CCCTCTATAGTAGTCGTAGCTTACTATATAGAGAAGGCGTTATTTCCTTTAAAGGGTCTTCTACTAGATCCTTACGAGTCTATAGTATTTCTTAGCGTTATCTTCTTAGCCTTTTTAAGATATAATATCCTACTTAGTATTACTTTCTTAATTTAGTTATAAAAGGTTACCTAATTATCCTATTAATCTATAATAAAGGCTATAAACCTTCTTACTTCGTCTTATATCTTTTTAATAATACCTACCTCTAAATAGTCGATTCTTATCTATCTAGTTAGTATATCTTTTAGGTAGTTATAGAGTCCGGTAAGCTTTAAGGCGTATTAGTATATATCTTAATACTTAGCTTATATTATCTACTACTAGTTATATTTAGCTTCTCGCTATATCTTAATAAGGTCGGTAACCTAAGCGAGCGTCTATATTTTAAAGACTAACTAAGTAAATATTATATCTAGATTATTCCTATAGTATTCTATCTACGTTATATTAATCTTTAGCGCTAAGAACTTAGTTACTTAGTCTACTTTACGTACGTTACTAATAAACTAGTTAGGGTATCTATTCTAGAAGACTTCTTAGTTTAACTTAAAGAGATTATATTTACCCGAACTCTTAGCTCTATATATTATTATATTATAGAGTATATATAGTTCCCTTACTTCCTTCTAATAAGATAGGTAGTCTTTAGCACTTCTTTATAATATAATCGAGTTCGTATAGATAGTATTAGGTAGTTAGTAGATAGTTTAGCTAGTAGTACTATCTAGCGAACCCTAATAGATCTTAGATCCTTATATTCTTACCTATAGGATTACTACGTTTTCTTCTTCGTCCTATAGCTTCGCGCGGATCCTATTTTTCTCCTTTACTAGAGCTAGACGTCTTTTAAAGGTCTCTAACTCTTAGAGTTCCGCCTCCTTATCTACCTCGGTCGGGGTTATTAGATCCGGCGGGTTTCCTCCCTAAGGGTTATTGTCGACTCCCTATACCTCTACCTCTTCTAGTAGGGGTTATAGGGGTCCTAGGACGTCGTTCGTTTCCGCGATCGGGGCTAAGGCTCCCCTTAGGCGGTCGCTTATACGTCGAGTCGTCGATATTACGTATTCTAACGGTCTAGTTCGATTAAGATTTAGCGATTAGAATATTAGGACCGGCGTGCTAGCGGGTCCTAGTAGGTAATATAGAACTAAAGTGAAGGAATAGTAGGGTGCTAGTATATTTATAAACTAATCGCTAAAGAGCTAAGTTCCCCTAGTAGTCTCTATATAGATGACCTTTGGCGGGTCACGGGACTAGGTCACCTGACCCGGTAGGACTCAGTCTTCCTGGTGTAGTCTCTAGCGGGGGGTCGTGCTACCCCTACTAGGTCACGGGTTCTGGGTCATAGGACCAGGCGGGATCCAGCCTGTGAGGCACTCTCCTAGTAGGGGGTCGTAACATAGCGGGACTATAGATCTATCTTAGGGCTAATATATCGCGCGAAAGCCTGATCGATCTTAGTTAATAGCGCTAACCTTAATCTAAAACTAAAGATAACCGGATTAGATTATTTAGTTTAATAGACTAATTAGACTATCTTAGCTATGAATAGTGTTAGCCGGTTCTTACTTAGTTAATATAGTTAAGTAATAAGGTAAGGATAATTTTTTTTATAATAATTATAATATTTAATAGTAGTTATACTAAGGCCTAGGACGGCTTTCGGATCTGTAAAGCGGCGAGGCGACGCTTTAAGTAGCGTGTAAATATCCTCTTCCCTTAATTTATATTAGTATATCGCGTAATCTATTCTAGATATCTACCGTCTTTATATTATTGAGGCGCTTTATAATTATATTAGTTAGTTTTATTAGTAATTAGTATAGAGGATAAGATAGAAGGATAAAGCTTATATAGAAATATACGTTATTTTAACTGAAAAAGTGCGTTTTTTACCATATAAACTAGTAAAGACTTGATATTATTTTATTTCATATAGTAGAAAAAATGGCAGAAAATATAGCTGCCTAAGGGTCTAGGCAGCAATCTATAAAAATCAGGCAGGGGGGTGTTATAATATCTAAGGGGGTGTTATAATATCTGAAGGGGTGTTTTGTTAACTCCACCCTAAATATATTAATATTAGTATTTTAGACTATTGAAATAGCGCGACTAATAAAGAAATCTATTATCCTAAGAGGATTTTATAGAGATAAATATTATAGATTAGTAAGAGGGTAGATTTATAAAATAAAATGGAGGTCAATATCAGCTTGGTCTCCCTGAAAATAGTCACAACAACACGGATACTCCTGAATTACAAGGCGATATTGGCATAGAACAGAGCAGGCATCAGGCTAGAGAAAATATAATATGCAAATTGGACAAAGTTTCAGGATATGAATTGAGGAAATGACACCAGGAGGGTACATTGCTTATTTAAGTTGTAACGGTAATTCGGGTAACATCTTCATTTTCTGCCCGCCAAATAACAAGCAATAAGGCACGAATCAGGCCAAAACTAGGCCATCCCATCCGGCCCCGTCATACACCTTTCCTCGTGAAATATTCATGGATAGACAATGTGATTTGACGTCAGGGGTCAAACGGGATAATCGTTTCAATGCCACGTTGAAACTGTCGCATTTAAGAGCGGTAACTATCGTTTGACTTGGATCCTTACTCCTCCTCTCTCTTTCTCCTCCCTTCTCCTTCTGCGCTCAAAATTCTTTTCCCATCCGAACAGAACCAGTGGTCAATTTTGCTTCTTTTACCTCTATCGGCTCTAATGCTAAGCGACTGTTTGACATCTCGGATATCAAGTGAAGCGATAGCTTGGGGTAGATACCCTTGGCAACCAGGATGACCACCATGCGAAACCCAACAGCCTTAACCGACCTCCCACTTAAGCTATTATGTATGATCTCTGAGTACATATCACCAGTTGACCTTGCTTGTCTCGCCTTAGGGAATCGTCATCTGCTGCGTTCATTTGCTACGACTGCTTTTAAGAACTTCTTAAACTGCCGCACCGGAAACCCCACGGATGACGCACGTATCGAGCTGTTATCTCGGCTTTCTTACGACCTACCGCAATACAATCTCTGTTTTATTTGCCTTCGACTTTATTTATGGAAAAAGGCTAGGCTGCCAAGCTACTATTCTCCCATGGTTAACCACCGCATAGATAGACCTCCGTACCAGCCCGTAAAGCCTAAAGCCTAACCCGCCCTAACCCGTAAATGGGCTAGGCTTTAGGCCCGGTCCCTAGGCCTATCGGTGGCTATAGGCCTAGGGTAGAAGCCTACTGGGCTTTTATGGGGGCCTAATAGGCTTTAAATAATATAAATATGCTAATACTTAGCAGATACATAAGTAATACAGATTTTTCTAGTATTTCTAGGTATTTAGATTACCCCCTAAATTGACTATAGGTGCCTAAATTAACTGAATTGACTGAATTAACTGAATTGACTGAATTAACTGAATTAACTAAATTGACTATAGATGAGATTATTAAAATTAAGATTTATAAAATTTAAGAAAAATGTAAATTAATAGAAAGATATACTTACTTCTCTCTATGTGAAATATATATATTTACATATTGATTCTCTGTCACCTGTTAAACCCCCGTATTAGGCTAGATTAGGGCCGGCGCCGAGATCTTCCGCGGTAAGCATACAGACTCAAATATGTGTAAAGAACAGACATTAATCAGCAGGTTTATGAGCGCCAAGACTGTATTTATGCATATAAATGGGCTTTAATGGGGGCCTCATGGGCCCCCATAATGGGCCATGGGCTTGGTTAGGCTTCGAAGGTAGGGCCCATAGCCCACTGCTGGTTGGGCTATGGGCCTAAGGTCCGGGCCCAACTAGGCCCATTGCGGAGGTCTACGCATAGATGCCTTGGATTATACCAATTGGTACCTTATAAGACATCTACCCCTCGCTCACCACCCATCATATACCTTTTACAAATTCCACTTCGTGTATCTACAGCTTGCTATGAGAAGGTTTTACTATGGACCGGAGTTCGGAATCCCCGTTGAGTCATTGCTCTACACAGAGATAAAAGCGAACCGATTCAGATCCAATGGCCCGCCCTTACTACGGCCCCCTACCAACAGGGTATCAAAAGGAGATGACCAAAAAGATATCATGATGACGCTATTCTCTGCTGAAGCTCGAATTTGCTCTACGCCCCCGGCTCTATGTATGCGGACGCAAGATATAGCGATAGTCACACGACAAAATATACCACGGATGTGGCCATGCCGCGAAAACGGTCCTATGAAAGTCTGCAAGCATATCCACACTTTTGACCCAGGCTTCAGCGATATCCTGGCCTCGCAAATTAGGCGTTATTGCTCTACCACAAGCGCCAAAGTCCTAGCCGACCAAGGGAGTTGTGATAAATGTAATACCTCTTGGCAGTTGGAGATTCGAACCCTGGATGAAACTCATACAAGCCTCACTCTTACCCTATGGATGGACCTAGGACCAGGTCTAAGTATAGAAGATCCTCAATGGAAGTATCGTCTTGATAATGTACCTAAGTCGCTTTCAGCAAAACATGAAATAGTGGACTCTCGCCTACGATTCGAGAGAGACTCTGTTCAGGCTAGGTCTCCAAATGCTCTGTCCGAGGACGAGATGTATTACCGGAATGTCTCTTTGCTAGAAGGGAAGACATATCAAACAGTGATGACTCCAGTGCACGGTGGAATCTACATATTGCACGGACAAGCAGAAGCAAAGACAGGTTCTTCTCGGTGTATCATTTTTTGAGGGAAGCAAGTTAGGGTGTCCAATGTTTGTTTAGTTCCCAAGAATATCATTATTGTGAAGCTCACCCACGTTCGTTCCTTCCCTGTTGTGATACTTCTGAATCGGGAAAGTCAACTCCCATGAAAAGGCCTCCCTCCACTCTCATTTTTCTTTCTTTCTTCTTTGCCCGCATTATCTGAAACTTGTTGACCACACACTTGTGTAATCTTTGTTAACAATACATTTATGTCGGACCCAAATTGTCGGAGTGACGCTCAAGTTGAGCTTGCCACGGCCATCGGTACTTGGCTCGGGCCTATACTCGGAGCCATTGCCACGGTTCTTATGGCCAATGTTCTAGAGGCGCGCTCCAAAAAATTCACCCCCGCCGCTTCTGACCTTGAGAGTTCTACCTCTGATAGATGCAGTGGTCTCCACCAGGATATGACTGCTGATATCGTGTCCGTGAGGCAAGAACTGGAGAGGATAGTCGCATCTCAGGATGCGCAGCAGAAGCAGATTGATTGCCTCACTGCCAATGGGGGGGAGTCTCTAATCCTGCTCGTCATGGTGAAAACGAGACTTAACTGGTAGTGGTGGCTGTGGTTGTATTCGCTTTGGTGGGCCTTTGCTTGTTTCGGCTTGCTTTTGCTTTCCTTTGCTGGTGTGGTCGAACTAAGGGCGATGGAAACCAACCACTCTTCTTACTTTGATCACACCTTGTTTCCTCCACAGACATCCCAAGGAGGTGCTTGCGTCTCCTTGGGCACCGCCCTCTCGGGGGTGGTGCACCAGCGATGGGTTTGCACTTCTGCGCAGTGCTGGTGACCAGTACCTCTCCAAGGTCTATGCCTTTTGAGGGAAGCTAGGACAAACCCACATGCAATTCCCTTTTAACTCATTATTCCTATGACGAGCAAGTGACATGCTAACGCGATGGCCTGAATAGTGGTACTTATTTCCGAAATAATCAATTAATCCACCCTTCAACAACAAACGAAGCCCGTAATGCGCACAAAAGCTGACTGAATATGCGTACGTGGCGTGCCATCCTGTCTACAGTATATCATGTCCACGCTCTCGAAGAGCTCCCGCGCTGTTCCAGGGCTTCTCCGAGTCAGGCTAGTTCTAACCAACACACACACGACACATTATTCTCAACGCACCCCTACCCTCTTGTATAGCTTATAACTCCACTCCCGGGGACATTACTAAAACGAAAATGAACCACCATGCCACGCCGCCTGGAGTACGGTGAATACATGGATTTGTTTGAACAAGGCTGAATGCTGCACTCCCAGAGACGAGTTCTCCACAACTTCCAGCAATGCCTCGGAGCTTTCGAAGTTTTGACAGAGCTTACAACGCTTCATGTATCTAGCGGCAATGGAGCTTGAAGCGCTCTTTCGGCAGTCTTTCTTTACCAATCGCCCGATCAACCTGCTCTTTACCGTCGATTTAGTCAATCACCAAGCTTTCCTCCTTCTGCTTTTGGTACTGATTATGACTAGGGTCGCTGCGGGTCGTATAGGGTCAGGGTGAGGGTCAGGGTCGGGTGGAGGGTCCAAGATCATGGACCACCCGGAGGGTCACTGCTAGGTCTAATAATAGACATATAGTAAGATGAGGACAATCATACTCTAAACCAAGTTGGATGTATGGCACCAGTCCTAATAAAATAGATAAATCCGCCTATACGGAATCACCACGAGTATCTCCCCTAAAACCATGCATAACCGTGGTCTTTCCACTGTTCCCCTGGATTACACCCTATCGGATATTGGATATCGAGTTATCCTATTAATTCTAACTTGACCCATTCTGGTTCAGCGCCACCTCGTCCCTGTGCGTGCCCGTGCGTGCTTCTATATATGTACCTAGTCAGTCCCTTCTATCGCCGTATGACAATGTATGCTATGGATGGCAGGTATATGATTCTCTCATTCAGAGAATTCAAAACATGATCGCCTTCTATTTTTTTACCACTACACAACAATAGAAAGTATTACCGCCTCGCAATCACACAGCTTCAATGATCTATTGAACGATGCAGCTACTAAGCCTACTTGGGATATATATCTATAATCTATTCAGGTCTCAGGACAATTCAGCTCCCAAAGTACCTTGCCAGCTTCGAGAATTCTTCTCCTTGTAACCCTCTTTTCTTATTAAAACCTCACTGTTTCCCATTCACCTACTCCTCCCAGTCAAACCATCATGCCGTCAAGATTCAACCTTCGACAAAAGGTCTTCGTCCTCAAAAGAGTCCTCCACCCAGTCATAGGTCAAGGAAGGATCCGGGGATTCGCTGTATGCAAGTGAGTATTATGCGATGGGGAATACGTAACCGAACTTCTGGTCTCCTCGCTCTGGGTCTTGTTTTTTTTTGGCTTTTACAATGAATGAAGAAAAGAAATCCATAAACGCTCAGTGGCATTGAGAATAGACCTTGCCAACTTCCATGGGGCCAAAAAGATACAGAAAGATTTTGGTCCTTTATCGTTTGGTCCCATATCCTACATAGTACGAAGACGGCGCTAGAATTAGTGGGAGAGATCCGAGAAACTAAAACAAAAAATTAGTTTCCCTGGGAATCGAACCCAGAACCTTTCCGGAACACATGCCAGTGGCATTTGTTAACGGAAAATCATAACCGCTAGACCAGGAAACTGTTACTTGAAGGTTCGTCGACTTTTATGCACTTTAAACGACTATTGCTAGATGGGTAAGCCAAACTAAGCAACGCCGAGATTCGACTTATGGATTTTTCACTGCCCGTACTAATCGAAGCATTGCGCAGCTTTGATCATTCGAATCAATAGCATTCTTACGGCTTCGTCACTGCTGTACTTCCTTCTTGTTTCTTTTCCCCCCCCTCCATGTGTTTATTACTACAACAGACATGTCATTGGATGTCACATACATAGATATATATGGCTTTGTTTAGACGTGAGGCAGGGAGAAGTTAGACAGCTTGGAAAAACACTTTGGAACACATGTCAACCATGCTCTCCCTCCCATAAATGTACAATGAACAATGTATGTTTCAGGATAAGATCCGAGCTTTGCTACAAATTGGAAAGTTGAAATTCGCATCCCAGGCGAAGGTCGAGTGAAGATGGAGATCCATACATACTCTAGCCCCGTGTACCCACCAACCATGCTCGGAGACAATCTGTTCGAATTAAGTCTCCGAGCCCTAACTCGGAGGATCAATTGCACCGTCGGTTTCTTCCAGGTCCGGTTCGGTGGGTCCCTGCGAACGGAAATTCGCCTACTGCGGTTTAGGCCTGACACTGGTATGTCGGCTGGGGCTCCGGTCAAAGCTTGATGTCGAACTAGAATGTGGCAGAACCCCTCGAGAACAACCTTGACAAGTGCGATCGACTTGATCCACTCCTGGGACTCTACAGATCGTCAAATGGAAATCCCCGGGTGGATCACCCACGGGAGAAACGGCACAGGCCCAGAAACGAAGCTGATAAATCAAGCAATGCAAAAAAACAGGGCGTGACGGTGGTTTAAAGAGGAACAGGGATCTGTGACCCAAACTTGAAGCTGCCACGTTTCAATTGACAAAATCCCCGAGACCTTAAATACAATGAGTGTCACGTTTGAAGTCTTCCGTGGTTCCAAAGACGGCAAGATCGTGGCCGACAAGACCACGCGCACCCTGCAACACAATGAAGTCTATATCGAGACAACACACTCCGGCCTCTGCGGCACAGATGAGCATTTCCTCAAGTCAGGACAGGCTTTGGGCCATGAAGGTGTAGGTGTAGTTCGCCAAATCGGCCCTGGTGTTACAAACGTGAAGATTGGTGCCCGTGTTGGGTTTGGATACACTCATTATGTGTGTGGAGACTGCGAGAGGTGCTTAACCGGTATGTCGCAAGATACCCAGCCAAACCACTACTGAAAAAGGCATAACTGACTTGACAGGATGGGATCAATATTGCGAGAACAAGAAAGAGTACGGCACGCACGACCACGACCTCGGCTCGTTTGGTGAGGGTGTTGTCTGGGATGCTGGATGTGTGGTTCCCATCCCCGATGGGTATGATTCGGCCGATGCAGCACCTCTGATGTGTGCTGGTGCCACTGTCTGGACCGTACTATCAGAATACGGCGTTAAGCCCACCGACCGAGTAGCTATTATGGGCATTGGAGGACTTGGACACTTGGCTATCAAATTGGCGGCTGCCATGGGATGCCATGTGGTGGTGCTATCGAGCTCAGAGGCCAAACGAGAGGAGGCGTTCAGTTTCGGTGCTTCTGAGTATCATGTTTTCCGCACCGGCCAGGAAATGACTGGCTTCAAGCCGGTCAACCACCTCCTGCTGTGTGGAAGCGCCAATGTTGACTATCCCTCGTATGTTATTTCTTTCCCTGTCCCCGTCAAAAATGACAAATACAAATTCTTAGCAGACTCATCCCGCTCATGGACATCCACGGATCCATCTACCCTCTGACCGTGGATTTCAATCCTTCGCCAGTGCCACTGCTGTTCATGAACATCAAGGGAGTCCGAATCCAGGGCTCCTTAGTAGCTTCGCGTCACTCCCTCCGGGCCTTGGTTCAGTTTGCGGCGGAGAAGAAGATCACACCGACTACCATGACATTCCCTTTGACCAAAGATGGTGTTGAGGAGGCCATGGAGACCCTTCGAAATGGAAAGATGAGATACCGGGGAGTTTTGGTTCGATGATAGATTGGAGAATTATGGCTTCTGTTAACAAGCGAACACAAAGTTGTATTCTGAATAGACAGAGGAAGAAGTTGATTGACATCATGATATAAACGACGGTCTCGCCAGCGAGAACCAGACAATCTCTCAACACTTTTTTATTTCCCCCTCTCCCTCCCTTCCCACCTCCATACCCCATCACCACCACCCCCGAAACCATGATCCCACGCGCCCCCAGAAAGTGGGTGGTTCTTCCTCCACCTCGAGTGACTGGCTCAAGGGAGACCGCACGAACTGGAAGGAGCGCAGGTGGTTCTGGTGGCGGCGGCGAGACTTCTTCGGAACGCTGCCAAGCTTGTACTTGGCGATTTGGCGCCGGCAGACGGCGAGGTTCTCGTTCACCTCCCGCTGCATTTGTTGCAGGCCGCGGTAGGTCACCAGCAGCCGTTGAAGGTCAGCAAGCGCCGGCTTGCTCTTCTTCCTCGCCTAGATGGGAGTGGCCATGTCAGTTCCTAGACGAAATATGACCAACTTTGAGGGAAGCTTTAGGACTCACCCGCGAGGATTCATGCTCGGCCGAACGCTTTCTCTTCCTCAGGCCTGAGCTCTACCAAACATTAGCTTCTTTGCATGTGGATCTGTGAGAGCTGGGGCAGGGACTTACCAATGAGGGCTGCTCGTACTCACTCACGTTTCCATCCATTGTGGTTTGCAGGATGGATGCAGCAATGGATATGAACTTAAGAGAAAAAGAAGAAGAGTGGTGCAGAGGTTCTATGTGAATTTATATGGTAGTGCATCCTGTGCTACGAGTTGTGTCAATAGCCATTATGTTCATTTTGCTGATCATTGATGTTATCATGTTATTGACAGACCAATGTTCCTATGTAGGCAGCCTTTCTGCATAATCAAGAGATCGTATTAGATATGGAGAAAGTGAATCATTTGAACCTTGGAAGGCAACGGTATCTTAGAATGATACGTTATTATTGTGTATCGATCAATAGATACCAGAATCCAGAGATTGTTCAATTTATATGAATAAGCCAATTGAAATTGAATAGGGTGCGGTAGACAGGCCTTATATTCACCTAGGCAGTTATTCTGAATGACTATGTGGCTAAATTAGATATTAAGTCTCTTAATAAAGAAGAGCTACAGAAGTATCGATCTCCATATATGTACATGTAGAGATTGATAGCTCATGAGCCTTTTCAGCCACATTCCACTCTAGCCTCTTTTTTACGTTCATTTTTCTTTGATTTCATCTTACTTTCCTTTTTATATCATTTTACAGCCATTTAAGGTATGTATGTACTATATGATCTTGATTGTTCGGATTATTCTACACCAAAGCCACATCTTATTCACTCATTCACTTATTCATGGCATATGAAAATAGATTAGCCAGTTTTGCCTGCTGTTCTTCTATCTGGGTAAATAAAAGAAAAACGGACTAGAAGGTTTAAAGAAGACGTCTTGAAAATAAATATCAAAGGTATTATAGGCATGACGTCAGTGAGCCAGTTGATATATTCCCAACGTTTCAAACACTCAGAATAGTTAGCTTCATCCACACAATAAGAACAAAAGTTGTATATAATGCCGTTTCATCTCCTCACGGCATGAATAAAAGACAGAATTGCAGGTGGTTGATATTTTATCTACGAAGAAGCGCTTGCTAAATAGTATTATGTGCTACTTGGATCTGGTATGGTGCACGCAACTAGAAATAAGGCGCTAGCTTGCCTGTCTGAATATTGAAGGTGTTGAAAATTGCTTGGTGGTGGAATCTATAGAGTGCCCGGCATATTTTGGAGGCTCCAATCTTCAGCTGTTCCGAAATCTCTGCCACAGCCAAGTAGGGAATGCCAATATTGCCATCTTCAATTTCCACTGAGGTTCCAATAGCACCCTCGGCCCCGAGATATGTGGTCTGCTCACATTCTCAAATGCCGATTCTATAGCATCTATCTGCTCTGAGCTTCCCCATCGAAAGGCCCCGAAATACTATCATAAGGATCGTACAGAATCGATTCTCCCCAGCGATAAGTTCAGGGTGTGACCACATAGCATGAAAGACACGACTTAAGGCCTCGGTTCTCTATGATAAATAAGCACCCGACACTAAAACCTTAGCAGCGGCAGCAGAAGTCGCATTCATCCTCGCTAAATAGTGCAATGGAAAGGCCGGAACAGGCAAATTACACCTATTAAGACCCTAAACAGACACATCCTCTCCAAGGCCCCAGACCTTATTCAGAACGCATTTAACGCTCAGCTGAACCGGCTACATGGGCAAGTGATAAACCCGTCGCATCACCACACAGCATTTTCGTGCTCGCAATCATCCCAACATGTTTGCCAGAACAATTCCTACACACAGCGGTGGGTGTGAAATCGCTCTTGATCCACGCGCGCGATACAGTCTCAGAAGGAGGTGCGTGTCCACGGCAGGGAAGATCATCCCCTGAGGCAGGGACTTTTGATAACATACTCCGGGCACGGGCGATGTGGCGTTCCTCGCTGCTGTTCGAGGCGCACATAAAGGCCAGATCATCTTCATCAAACTTGAAGTGATCCACCGGACCCGTTTCAAGGATTGCTCGCGCCTGCGCGGGTTTTGCGGCAGAGCGGGCGAGGGTGGTGTGTAAAGGGTCGCTAACTGCATAGAGGATGTTGCCCGCTGTGTCGGTAATAGCTGTATGGACGTTGTGGCGGTTTTCCACTACGCCACCGCGGTATGAGACGATGAGATGATGAAGTCAGTTGGAATGATTCTTCGCATCTTCAATGCGTGATTTTTATTTTGTTGTGGTAAGTTGAGGTTTGGGGGTTTGCAGATTTTTATCGCATCTGGGAATGCTCGTCGCGATATGTCATGGCGATCAACAAGTTACAATACGATGTAGGATCTAGAAAATCCGTTATTTTGTTTTTGTTTCACCGGAGAAAAACATTGCTGCGATCGAATATCAATATGAATGTAGAGTATGTGCAATTCCGTGTTATGTAAAACCTGTAGATCGTGTCTAAAATGTTATCGCTCAATGACGCCTTATGAACCTGTCTATAAAATCTCGTAAATCCCAAACGCTGAATGACGCTGATAAACCAAAATGTGAGTCCAGAAAACCGAGAGACATGACACATGTGAAAGAGAAATATGTTCTAAGATGCAAATAAATGACTAGAAGCTGAACAGACCAGTGCGCTTCTTGCCGTATGGATAGACAACCAACGCCGCGATGAAGAGTCCGACTGTGATACCTATCGCGACTTGGATCATACCAAAACCAAGACTGGCAACCGAAGTTCCAGAAAGAGCGCCGGAGGAGGAACTGTTCCCACTTTTTTGGAGGTTCTGGCGAACCTCATCGGCATATTTGATGCCGGCGATCAAGGATCCACTGGAAGCAAGACCGGAGGGAACCAACACAAATATACCGGGGAGAATGGCAGTGGCGGCATGTCCATGCCATAGACGACTGTACAAGTTGCCCAAAACGCCAATGGTAAATGCGCCGACGGTGTTGGCGACTTCCGATTGGGTGCCGAGTTTGGTGGTACTGAAATAGTTGGTGATGTACCCGCACACAGCAATGAAAACCATGACCGGCATTTGCTTCCACTTGCCGTGATTGACAATGGCCAGGAAGACGGCGTAAATAGCCACAAACGGAAACTGGCGGGCATAAACTGAGCCGTAGACATCCAAGCCTGAACAGGTCGATGACGATGTCGCATTGCCATCCATTAGCCCGTAGATTGTTGTCCCCACTGTGATACCATAGCCCAAGAACAAAGAGTAGATAATAGCATATACCATGCGGATCGATCCAGCGATAATTTGATGGGATTGCAGTTCCAGACTGCTACAAAGAACCATAAAACCTGGAAGAATGAGAGCGATAGATGACTGTGCCATAGCGGAGAAACAAAAGAGTTCTTCAGATTGACCATTGCGGGTGACCCTGATGCTGCCGAACGCACGCGCAAGGAAAGAAGTCAAGATAGCAGCTGTGACCTCAAATACGTTGGAGTAGAGAGTGGATTTAGGCGCAAGAACATGTTGCATCAGCCCAACAATACACCCGAGACAGAAGATCAGGGGCATATCAATGGGTCGCGCTTTGAAAGCGAACGGGCCAACGGCAGTACTAGCCATGCCGTACATCAAGACGAGAATCCACTTGTTGAATCGGGGTTTTCGCTGCATGATATCATCCAGTTCATGAGTTGCCTCTTCAACACCGATTAGATCGTGAACAACGTTCTTGTAAACGTTGTGTGTATCAGCGAGGCGACCGAGATCGACACCCTGCACCATTCGCACGAGTTTGACCTCCGCAGTGCGCGTTGTCGGATCATCAAACGACATAATCATGCAGCCAGGCAGATACAGAAATTGGCCCGACACCTCCAGGACACGGGCGGTCATTTGCATGTACTCCTCCAGACGATGGGTCGGCGCACCATATCGCATGAGCGCACGACAGAGCTGCATGATATAGCGCTGACGGGCGATGATCTCCGCGATATGCACAGTGACACGAATTTCATCTTCTAGTCGGGTCTTGCGCTTCTTCTTCCGTTTTCCGTGAATGCCAGGCGCGACGTCCACTGCGGCAGGCAGACTGGCAGTGCTGAGGTTCATGGAGGCATTGACAAGTGACGAGGTGGACCGATGCGTTGGCTTCTTGTACCATTTGAGCTTCTCCTTGCGTGGCGTAACAGAGCCAGAGGTTGGCATGGACAGAGTAATGGTGGGTGAGAGGGAACCCTTCTTCGGGGTGTTTATACCAGAAGACACCTGTGTCTCACTGTCGGAGTCATCGGTGATGACACTTTCCGGGCGCGAATAGCTTCCTGACTGAGCCGCGTGGAGTTTCAGTAGTTGGGAGAGGATCCCACTGCCGCCGGCGAGTCCACTCGACCGGCGGCGCTGGGCAAAGCCCTTGATCAAGCCCTCCGGGGTTGACTGTCCCGATCGTTGATATGCGCCACGGGGCTTTCGTTTGCGCATCTGATCCTGGACCATGGTCATACTACGAACGAGGCGATGCGCCTCGGCACTGGCGGGTGGTTCGATAACAGTCTCCCCATCCTCCAATGCGCGCAGTTGGTCGGTTTCATGCCGAGAGCGGCGGGCCTGGGGCTCTTCACGTGGGATACCGGTGTCAAAGTCGTCTGGAATGTATGATGCGCTGAGCGCCTCGCCCTCATCCGGGGGGCGACCGAGACGTTCGGTCAAGCGACTAGTTTTCTGGTGCAAAAGGTGACCAGCAGCTCTAAACCGGTCCCGGGCAGAGACAGTGCGATCCATGCTGTCTGCAAAGTCATGTTTCTCGAACTGAGCAAACTCCTCTGGGGTGTGTACGTTGGCGAGGCCAGAGCCATGTCGGGAATGTGCTGGGGCAGGCGGGGTGATGGTTCCGGCGAGGGGCACTTCGCGAAGGTCTGATGGTGATAATAATGGGCGCGCCGAAGGGTCTGAGGCATTCGGTGAGCCAGTTCGGCGCAGACTCAGTGAGCGAAAGCGAACACGATGGGATCTGGCGCGACTGTCTGCCGGTGGCTCGAGTCCGACGTTGTATTGGCTGACATCGGCAGTCGCCTCACGTTCAAGGCTTTGGCGATCACCAGGATTGGTGCTAATGATTGGCAGAGGATATTCTGCATACTCTTCGTTCGGGCTAGGATGTGGGTTGGTGATGCCCGACATGAAGGGAAGTCGGCGAGCTGGTAGCTAGTTCCCGGGAGATTAGCCGAGAGCTGCAGGCCTCTATGCAAGGCACAAGGCACGAACAACGAACAACGATATACAAGCAAAGGAAGAGAAAACTCAAGCATGAGTTGAGGGAGAAAGAATAAAGAAGAAAAATATTCCAGTGTGATCCAAGCGCGAATTAGCTTAGAACAACTGAAAGGGCCAAGTGGAAATCTCTCAATGTGATTGATTAGGGTGCGAGGAGTTAATATAGTTAAAAAAGACCCTAAAAGAGAGGGTCTAGATCTTAAATCCGATGTGAAATCATACTACGGAGTACATTTGTTCTGTATCTGCATGACACGATTCCTGCTTCTTATTTGTGAACTGCTCTCTTCCTTTCTGCGCTACTCCCAACCCTAATCCGCTACACCTGCGAATATCAGAACATCAGCATCCACCCTCACTGATCTACCCCCCTATCATTATCTTACGTTTCACCGGAGAAGAAATCTAGAGTACGTACTCCCTACAACGGACTTGCCCAGAGAGGTGGTGTGGGTCTTGGGTGGCGATCTGGTTGACACTGGCACCGAGGCCATCCGACTGAATGATTTCCCTGGAAGCTCGACGAAAAAGCCCCAGTTTCCTATGGCCTGCTTGTTCTGTACGGGTTGAACCATTGCGTCCTTGGTTCTGTTCCCTTTGACTTTGGGAATTTCACCATTCATCTGTGCTCTTTATCATTATTTAGGCGGTGTTTGGGCTGCCCAATCTGTCGATCCCGGCCCACGTCTGGTTTTACTTGGCAGTTTTCGAAGCCACCTCCTGAGAGAGAGAAAGAGTGGAGTGCAATGGAGTGGAATGGATTATCAAAAGTAACTCGCTCACCCCAAATCAACTAGCACCACTCTGTACCCACCTTGGTACGATCAGACCTCTTATCACCGAGAGAGAAAAAAAGGGATATCAGTTGGCGAACAGACCAGCGCCAGATTTATAGATAGAAGCATGACCCACTGAAGGATTCACAAACATTACGAATCGCTGAGAGGTTACTGCCCACGCCACCAGGTGGGGTGTCTGGCGCTAGAATGGACCTAGAATTGCGTAAATTTGTGTTGTGCACATGATTCAAAGGTCTCGAACCCCCTCTGTCGCATATACCTATGGCTATATGTAGATTGCTATGGCATTATACATACTATACATATTGATTGCCCCTCTCTTATCTTGTTTACTCTGACCGCTCTTTTTGAGGGAGGGTCCAATTATTCAAAATCCCAACACCAATGTTGAGGTACGCGGCATATCCTAGCCAGATAGCATAAGGAACGAGGCACCAGAATGCGGTCCGGTCGCCTGTCCACCAGTTGGCCATAAGGGCCCCCACGTTGCCGGCTAGTAAGGTCAAATCTCCGAGAGCCAAGGCGGGTCGTCCGAGGCGGAAGAACAGTGGCATCCACATGAAGTTCAAGCCTAATTGTGTGGTATAGAGGGTCTGCGCAGTGGTGTGTGCATCGCGAGCTGCAAGGGAGAAGGATTGGGAGGCCACAGTGGTGGCGTGGTGAGAGGCGTATCCCATCAATCCATATAGGAGAGTCCAGGCAGGTGCGAATAGCCAACCGGGTGGGCTGTAGGGTGGCTGTTGGAGCTGGTTGTAGGTAGAACGGTTCCGCTTTCCTGTACCGAATCGGAATCTCAAGTCAGTGATTCAGGTCAAAATGTGCATCGTCATGGGGAGCCATACGATTGGTCAGGAGAGCGACAGCGGTGCCCGCGGTAATTGGGGTTGCCACAGCCAAAATCGGCGAGCCAAAGATAGCCTGGGGAAGAGCGAAAGACCAAGGCATATTGACTAATATGAATCACAAGGGAAGGAGGAACTGGAGAACTGAAATGGAGATCGAAGTTCTGAAGATGAAGTTGTCAAGAGGATCGCCGATCTGGAGATTGTTCCTTACGACGGACGACGGCGGCCTCGGGGTAATCCGATCACGTTTTGTCGTTTCTGCCCGCAGAAAACTCTCCCATCAATGCCCACAGCGGAGCTCTTGACAAAGGCGGAGAGCACGCCGGTGAACTAACACCAGTGGCCGCTATCGTCATCTCCATCTTCTCTACGTCATCGCCCCTGCCTTGGAACCGCCACTGTTCCCAACACGTTCAAAAGAATCGATGGGTGAACCCATGGTCGCGTTGGTCTTTTGAGACTGGCTGACCGCGATGATGAGGCCAAAGTGGATTAAACTTGAACAAGTGGATGAGATCGACGCTGTCTGTACGACTGACAGCTTCGCCGAATTCAAGCCGAAGATGTCCATCGCACGGCGGGTTTCAATGGCCCCTGGTCGTCTGTGCAGATTGAGGAAATGAAGCGAATAATATCTCTTTTCTCGCCGGGGGCTGGTTGCTTGCCCTCAAAGCAAATATAAAAATGTCGTGGACAACAAAACCACCATGACGATCGCGGTGACTCCAGGGCTGCTTGAACTGTTTGTCACCACCTAATACAATGCCCCTTCGATTATTGTGTCTCCATGGCTGGGGGACAAATCAGAAGGCAAGCCACCAACATTGCTGATAGGGAGAGCCGGTATGCTAATTTCCCCATAGATTCTACAGTCGCAACTGAGTATGCAATTCCCGGCCTCAATGGCAACACACAAACTCTAATCAAACAGGTGGCCTGATGCACGAGCTCCAGCGGGACAATACCGCGACCTTTTCTTTCCTTGAAGGTGATATCGATTCAGTCCCCGGCCCGGGAATCGCGGGCTTCTATGACGGTCCGTACTACAGCTACTACCGTTTCCCACGCACTTTCTCCCTCGAGGATAGCGATGAGTCCGATATCCTGGAGGCTTACGAGCAACTGAGTGAAACGGTTGCCTTAGAAGGCCCGTTCGATGGGATTCTAGGCTTCTCCCATGGCGGAACATTGGCTGCTGGATTTATGATTCATCATGCCAAGATCAACCCGAACCAACCTGCGCTATTTCGATGCGCAATTTTTATCAATTCCCTGCCACCGTTCCGCATGGAGCCCGGAAAGCGCCCTGTCGTAGATGAAGGATTAGAGGGATTTATCACAATCCCTTGCGTGCATATCGCCGGGGCCAAAGACCCCTTTTTTGACTACTCCCTGGCTCTGTATCGGCTATGTGCTGAGAGGCATTCGATATTCGCCGTACATGGAAAGGGCCATGACATCCCCGGCGATGAAAAGAATGTCGCCATCATCGCCACTGCAATTCGAAAGTTGTCCAGTCAGATCTGGTGAAACTAAACACCCAAGAACGGGCGGTCACTTCGATTGTGCGATAGGGAGTTCCAAAGGGGGATTCGAAGAAAAGCGTATTCAAAGAGGAGAGTAGTATATTTGCGGTTGTGGAACATAACTTGCAGGTTGGTGTTGTAATGATATATTGCAGATTCTTCGCGAAGGTGAAAAACCCGTTTCAGACCGAGACATCCAAGCACTTTGACTTTTCTTTTGCCGTTCGAGGTTGCACCCGGACACTTACTTCGTTGTGAGTGAGGTGAAACCTTCCAACATATCCCGATGTAGGTTGTTGCAGACCCGAGAACGAATTGGTAAGCCCGACTAGACCCCGGGGCCGATAGGTTTGACGCAGGAAGGTCCATTGTGCTGGTATGAGAAATATCAGTCTATCTGCTTGTTTTGCTAGCATTAAATACATCATGAGTGGATGATGTCGACCGAAAACACAACAATGTCTTCCGAAGCTATAGTTGAGCCCCCCAAAAACACTATTGCGGGGGGTGATTTGGAAATATCGGAAGCGAGTTGCTGCCAACCGATAGCAATTATAGGAATTGGCTTCAGGGGACCAGCCGAGGCCAAAAACGTTGGAAAGTTATGGGACATGCTTCTCGCTGGACAGGAGGCATGGAGTCCAATTCCAGCTGCGAGATGGAATAGCGCAGCATTTCATCACCCAGACCACGCCCGCCATGGAACAGTAAGTGAGGTATACGAGAAATTCAGGTTGTCGATAATGATGATGTAGATAAACGTGGAAGGTGGTCACTTCCTCGAGGAGGATGCATCTCTGTTTGATGCGCCGTTTTTTAATATGACAAGCGACGAGGCAGCGGTGAGTTTGCGTCGAAAGAGTCTAGGGTCGATCTAACTATGTGTCCACCAACCAGGCCATGGATCCCCAACAAAGATTGCTCTTGGAGGTGGCATACGAAGGTCTTGAAAATGGTAGGTGACTTGTCTGACTCACCCTTTCATGGCTGATGTTGCATAGCTGGCATATCTTTGACCCAGATTATGGGCACGAAGACATCCTGTTTTGTAGGGTCTTTCTCTGCGGACTATACTGACCTCCTGCTTCGGGATCCCGAGTGCCTCCCCATGTATCAGTGCACGAATGCCGGGCAGTCCCGCGCGATGGTGGCAAATAGGTTGTCATATTTCTTTGACTTGAAAGGTCCGAGTGTCACAGTAGACACAGCTTGCTCAGGAAGCCTTGTTGCGCTTCATCTGGCATGCCAAAGCCTCCAGACCGGTGACGCATCAACAGCGATTGCAGCTGGAGTCAACCTGATCTTGAGCCATGAATTCATGTCGACTATGAGTATGATGAAGTAGGTAAACAATGATCCATGGCTATAGGGACGAGACTGATTTGGCCCAGATTTCTTTCACCGGACGGGAGATGCCATACCTTCGATGAAAAGGCGGACGGGTACGCGCGGGGTGAAGCAGCTGGCTGTCTCATCCTTAAACCCTTGGCTAAAGCGTTACAAGACCACAACACGATTCGGGCCGTGATACGATCTACGGGCTCTAATCAGGATGGACGCACTGCAGGGATAACGCTACCGAATGGGGCAGCTCAAGAAAGCTTGATTCGGAATGTCTATGCACGGGCTGATCTAGACCCATTGGAAACCGATTTTGTAGAGGCTCACGGCACAGGTACACTTGCCGGGGACCCAATCGAGGCAGAGGCAATTGCTCGAGTCTTTGGAGCTGGTCGACCGCCTGAAAATCCCGTGCGAATTGGATCTATCAAAACCAACGTCGGTCACCTAGAAGGCGCAAGCGGAGTAGCGGGTGTCATCAAGGCAGTGCTGATGTTGGAAAACCGCATGTTCCTACCAAACCGAAACTTCGAGAGGATCAATTCTCGTATTCTGCTCGAGGATTGGAAGCTTAAGGTATAGATACTCAGACAACTGCAAAATTGGAGACTAATATCCACCACAGATTCAATTGGATCCTGAACCATGGGAGACCACTGGACCCCATCGCGTCTCTGTGAATAGTTTCGGGTACGGTGGAAGCAATGCCCATGTCATTGTCGAAGAAGCAAGGGGATATCTATCCGGTTGGGGAATTAAGAGTGATGACGGGGTCCCGCCAATCCCACCGAAAGGCCAGGATGATGATGAAATAGCTACCAGCCCACCCTTTCGCATATTCATGATCTCTGGGTTCGATGAAAGAACCTGTGGGCAATATATGCACGCTTTGGGCAAGTACATTCTTGACAGAGGATCCGAGGTTGATTACGAGGAATTTCTGGACGATCTTGCTTTCACAGTCAACGAGCGGCGCTCTGTCTTCCCGTGGAAAGCGACGGTCGTAGGAAATACAATGGCCGGACTGGCAGCCACTCTTTCTCAGAATATCAAAGCCAGAAGCGCGGCGCGGAATCCAAAGCTTGGGTTTGTCTTTACTGGGCAAGGTGCACAGTGGTCTGGGATGGGAAAGGAACTGATTGAGGCATATCCTGTCTTCAAAAAGTCCGTTGCGGAGATTGACAGATATCTGAAAGAATTTGGAGCGTCTTTTACAGTACAAGGTACCCAAACACCCAAGATCCTTGGGTAGCCGTGCACTGACATGAACGTGAGAAAAAAGAGGAGATCACGAAGCCTCCACACGACTCCGATTTGAACCACCCAAGTCTCAGCCAGACAATATGCACAGCGCTGCAAATTGCAGTAGTCGACCTGTTGAATTCGTGGGGTATATTTCCAGACTCTGTCACAGGTCATTCAAGCGGGGAAATTGCCGCAGCCTACGCTACTGGTGCACTCGGCGTGAAAGATGCAATGTCTGTGGCATACTACCGAGGTGTTGTGGCAAGCCAGATTTTGACTGATAACTTATGTAAAGGTGCCATGATGGCAGTTGGGATGTCTGCTGAAGAGATACAGCCGTATCTGGACCAATTCCCACCCAGACAGCTGGTGGTAGCGTGTGTCAACAGTCCATCGAGTGTCACGATATCGGGTGATGTGTCTGCGATTGATGCACTGCTACAGACATTGAAAGACCACTCGGTTTTTAGTCGACGTCTTGAAGTTGGTGTCGCCTATCATTCGCCTCATATGGAACAGGTTGCCGGGCAATACCATAAATTGATCAACCAAATTCAGCCCCGAAAGCCAGTCCAGATACCCGAAAACAAGAGATTGCGCTCTATGGGATCATTCTTCTCTTCAGTCACCGCAAAGAGCGTCCCTTTGGATGAATTGGATGCTCAATATTGGGTGTCGAATTTGGTAGGCCAGGTAAAATTTGCCGAATCATTGAGGAGGCTGTGCTTTGAAACAAATAGTCACCGTCCTGGTCCTACAGGATCAACCAGAACAAGGAGGACTAAGACTGCTCAGAAGCCATCGGTGGATTGCCTCATCGAAATTGGCCCCCATTCGGCGCTTGCTGGGCCAATCAAGCAAATCCTCCAGGCTGACGCGAAACTCAGATCCGCCGATATAGCCTATGTCAGTATTCTGAAGCGAAAATCCAATGCAGTTACCACAGCCTTGGATGCAGTGGCTACATTGACATCGATCAACTACTCAATCGATTTTAGCGCAGTAAACAGGCCTAAGGGGACAAAAGGCGCCCACACACCACATCTACTTGTTGATCTCCCGACATACCCCTGGAATCATACAAGATCATACTGGGCAGAGCCACGACTGAGCAAGATGTATCGAAACCGAAGCTCCCCGCGGATCGACATACTTGGTGCACTAGAAAACATGGCTTGTCCCTTCGAGCCTCGCTGGAGGAATTATCTTCGAACCTCAGAGCTTCCGTGGCTCCTCGATCATAGGATACAGGGAAGCATTGTTTTTCCTGCCGCTGGATTTCTGGTTATAGCAATCGAAGCACTGATTCAGCTGGCTCAAAACGAAGAAAATATTGTTAAATATGTCTTGCAGGATGTCACGATACACTCTGCCTTGGTGCTCAATGAAACGTCTGCCGTCGAGCTTATGGTCTCTCTTCGAAGATCGACCCGGCATCAAAAAGAATTGTACGAATTCCATATATACTCCATTTCAGAGGAGAATAGGTGGACCGAAAATTGCACTGGTTTGGCCCGAATCCAGAAAGGTATTGGTGTTTCAAGCGATGGCTTCGAGGATACTGATCATTATGCGATGGTCCCTCTGAAAACCGAAGTCCACGGAACATCAGTCATCGATGTTCGTCAGTTTTATGACAAGCTTCAAAGCTTTGGGTTGGATTATGGGCCGTGCTTTGCGAACATAACAAAAGCACGTGTCACACAAGATGGAGCGTGCTTTGCAGAGATCACTATACCGGACACAATATCTACGATGCCTGCATCATTCCAGCATGATACTTTGATACACCCATGCATGCTAGACAGTATTTTTCATACCATTTTTGCCGCTCTACCCCTGGGGTTGGGAGTTGAAAAAGGTCCCGCCATACCTGTTTATATCGAAGAGATGAGCGTATCATCCGGTCTTGCTTACGCGCCGGGAGATATTATGAGAATTTGTACTCAGTTGCGTCCGACGGTCAAAAGGGATGTCACAGCATGCATAGTTGTGGTGAATTACAACAACGAACAATTTGAAGCTGAGCCAAGTATATCAGTCCGTGGCCTGCGATGTGCGCGGCTCGAGCATCATGAAATGACATCAAATACCAAAGATAGCCGCGCGATTTATTATATTGACTGGGAACCCGACCCAGGCTTTATCTCCAGCAATACTGCGTCACTCTTATTCGACAAGAGGAATGGTCTTCAGCAAAAGCTTGTGCCTCGAACGGGCTACGAGGAAAGTGCAGCCGATTTTATCAGAGCTGCACTGTGTGAAATTAACGCAACTGAAGCGCGGAAGCTTGACGATTCTCACTGCAGATTCCACCGTTATCTGTCAGAGGCCCTGGAAAGACATGATAATACACGATCAACATCGGTTTCGCACTCACAAAATCTCGATCCCATTCCGGTGGGAGGACTCACGCATGCCATCGGACAAAATCTTGTGGCTATCATTCGAGACCAGGTTGATTTTTCCTCCGTTATAAAAGACGACATCCTGCTGGATGAGTTCTGGGATATCTTCTCCACAGACGCGTCATACCAAGCGGCAGCAAGATATATCAACTTGATTGGTCACAAGAAGCCCGATATGTCCATTCTTGAGTTTGGTGTTGGAACAGGCCAAATAACCGAGATATTTCTGAAACATCTTGTGTCGCCCAACAAAACGCCTCGGTGCGGAAATTATACCTTTGTCCACCAAAGCGCTTCGGTGCTTGAGCATACCTCGAAGCGGCTAGAAGCGTGGTCGGAATGGGTCGAATGCAAGCCCCTAGATCTTGGCAATGATTTCACCCAACAAGGATTTGAACCCAATTCCTTTGACGTCGTAATATTGCCTCATGGATTAGGGACTGCCCGCTATGACCACAATGCACTCGAAAAGATACATGATCTGCTGAGGACATCCGGTTGTTTAGTTGCAATCAATCCTTTCGACCCAAAAAAGAATGTACTGGAAAGTCTCTTGTTTAGTGCGTTCCAATGTTTATCGACCGACCAATTCTGTTTAGGTCAAGATGGATGGACGGAGATTGAATGGGACAAAATACTGAGAGACTCTCAATTCACCGAGGTTAGTACGTTTGCCGAGCGAGGGCTTGAGAAGAGCAATCAATTCACAGTGGCTAAATGCTGGAATGCCGAAACGTTGACCAGGAAAGTCTCCATAATCTGCGAAGACGAAAGCGGGATTGTGAGACATCTTCTTGCTGAACTTGAGAAGACTCCATGTGAGACGAACCTAGCACGAATCGATGATATAGAGTGCCAAGATCGAATTTGCCTGGTTTTGGATACTTCACGGAGATCTCTGCTGGCTGCCCCCGATGAAATGACCTTCAACAATATAAAAGAGATGTTTACGCATAGCGGAGGAGTTCTCTGGGTGACCCGAGGAGGAATGATTGAGTCCGTCAACCCAAATGCAGGCTTAGCTGTTGGATTTGCAAGAACAGCGCGTGCTGAATCGGGTGTCAACCCGATTGTCAATTTTGATCTCGATGCTCAAAATGTTCTTCCAGACTCTGAAGCCGCAGAAATGATTGCAAGTTTCCTGATAACTCGATTTCTCCGTGCGACTCCGGATGAAGACACGGAATTTGTCGAGAGGAACGGAAAAATCCTTATTCCACGAGTTCTTGAAGATTGGGCGATGAACCAGAAGATGGACAGCATTAACGATATCGAGGCTGCGTCCGAGCAGCCATTTCATCAGCCTACGCAACCTCTCCGTCTTTCGAGCAAATTTGATACCCACGGTTTTGTTGGCGACTCCCAAATATCAGCACTTCCAACCGGCTATATTGGAATCACTGTACAATACTTTGGTCTGAGCGAATGGGATATTCAGCGAGACCCACGTGATTGGGAAGCCAGTGATACTCTTGGTCAGGTATGCAGCGGAGTAGTGTACAAGGTTGGCGCTGGAGTCCACGACTTCGCCATAGGCGATCGCGTTGCATGTCTCGGAGACGGGACTGCTCGAAGTTGCTATCATGATCATGCGACGGCTTTCCAGAGGATCGACGACAAAATGTCCTTGGAATTCGCCGCTGCCATCGTTCTAGCATATACAATTGCTTATTTCGTTGTGAACAATCTTTCATTCATTGAGTCAAACGATATGATTCTCGTCCATGATGCAGGGAGTTATTTTGGACAGGCGATTGTGGAAGTTTGCTTGCTAAGGGACGCTCGCATCTTCGCAACAGTGCAGAATCTCGCCCAAAAGGAGTTGCTGAGCTCGAGATTTGCGATACCCAGCGAGCACATTCTTACACACGGAAAAGATGATTTTGTCAGGGGTGTGTCACGGCTCAGTGATGGTAAGAAAGTGAACGTAGTAGTAGCATTCGAGTCACCAGAGGACAGCATTTTCCAGAACTGCATTGCGCCATTTGGTCGGTATATCCAGCTCCGAACGAAGAATGTCAAACCACCAAGGTTATCCTGCACTCAGAATATGTCTGTGTCCACATTCGACATATTTGAGCTCCAAAAGGAGAGAAGTGAGCTGGTCACCCAGATATGGCCCAAGGTCTTTCATTTGTTCCTTGAACAACGACTCAAAGGACCCGCCTCTGCCAATGTTTACAATGTTGCCCTAATTCAGGAAGCCATCGCTGCGATCCCAACCCAGCAGCATGTTGTGATTTCTACAGATGATAAGGATATGGTCAAGGTACCATGCATCTCAAGCCCCATAATATATATGTTGCTAACCAAATATTCCAGGCCACGCTACCCCGGCACACTCAGCCATTGTTCCATGCCGATGCGTCCTACATGCTAGTTGGAGGACTAGGTGGTATTGGAAGAGAAGTCGCCTTATGGATGGCCCGGAATGGAGCTAAAAGCCTCATTTTCGTCAACAGAAGTGGTCTGTCGAAGGAGCAGTCTCAGTTAACAGTGAGAGAACTTGTGGAAAAAGATATACAGGTAATTGTTCGAGCCTGCAACATAAGCGATGAGACTGAAGTGCAGCGAATGCTCCGTGATATCACCCAATGTGCCCCTCCCATACGAGGGCTAATACAGGCAGCCATGATTCTGAAGGATGTTCATATAGAACACATGAAAGTGGACGACTATCTGCATGTGATGGGGCCGAAATATCATGGCACCTGGAATTTGCACCGGAACCTTCCGGCAGATCTTGATTTCTTCCTCCTACTGTCTTCTATAAGTGGCGTGATTGGGAACGCCACACAGGCTGCTTATGCCGCCGGCTGCGCTTTCATGGATGCATTCGCCGGGTATCGACGCAATATTGGTCTACCGGGAGTATCCTTGGATCTCGGAACCATCACAGATGTTGGCTATCTAGCGGAAAACAAGGATCTAGCGGCAAAGATGGAACGACAGGGATTCCAGGGCACGGACACACCCACTCTCTTATCCTTGATACACGTCGCAATCTCTCCACCAAGTGGAGGAGGACAATTCGTGACTGGGCTCGGCCAGTGGAGAGAAATCGACTCACTTGGAAATTTTGACGCACCATTGTTTTCCCATTTCCGGCATCGATTCCAAAAACATGGTAAATCTGCTGTGCTCGAAGACTCAATGCAAGTATTCAAGGCTGAGCTTGGTGCCGCACAAACAGTGGATCAGGCGACCGTCATCATCTGTAACGCTCTCAGCAGGAAGGTTGCCTCTCACCTTGCTATTCCGATCGAAAACATCAATCCTTCCAATCTAGTCTCCGAATATGGAGTCGATTCCCATGTGGCGGTTGAGTTGCGCAACTGGATATTGAGATTGATGGACTGTACCATCCCTATCCTGGAGCTTTTAGCAAAGTCGATATCGGAGTTGTCGCACAAAATTGCTAGCCAGAGATTCGAGGGCAAGCTGGAGTGACTTATGGGGCGGAGATAGCTAGCCGATGCATTTCACCGAGAGTTCTCGCTGCTAAAGCACCAATTGTGTTGAAGATTGGCTACTAGCCTACCTCTGCGCACAAGGGGCCTACCTAGATATCTCCCACAGTCCCACTTTGAACGGACGTTCTCAGTCAACCACCATATAATGATGATTCTGACCTCGACACCTCCACTGTTGAAGTTGATTTCATCTCATTTATTGTATTTATGCTATGCACTGGTATTTTACCTGGGCCAACAAGTGAATATGCGGAGACAAATAACAGACTAAGCCGAGAGTTGTTGATTCACCAGTTAATGATGACAGTCTTGTTTCTAGATCGATTCTCCTTTTGGGTGTTTTCTATTTCATGTACGAAGTACTCCGTACTCGCATCTCGATCCACACATATCTACTCCGTATATACGCACATGGTTGGACCCTTGGAACCACATGCGAATTACAAAACGTCGGAGCTTTGAAACGTCCCGTTTTGCCGCTGACAGAGCGGACGACTACTAAAAGCCTCTCTGATTGGCCCATTTTGGAAACGGCCCCGGGGCTCTGTGGGGCTCATATCTGGGAATTCTTGGCATCACGCCTTTTCACAGCCATTCCCATGATTCATCCGACTCATGAGGGGCTTTTTTGTTTTTTGTCTTTTTCCAGATCCACATATGTATCAGCAGTTGAAGCTTAGAAACCCTTTATAATGCGTACTTTAGCTTGGGAGATGGCTCGGTACCGAGATTAAGGTGTGGCGATAAGCGCGAAGGACTCATGTCCATCGATTTATTTTAGCCAATGACATACCTAGCGTATAAAGCGTAACTTGCATTGTAACACGGAGTATTACGTGGATGTATATAGTCTGTCTGCGTGGCACATCACTCTGCATGTGAGTACTCCGTACGGAGTACAGAGTATGCATGATGTGGTTTGCAATATGGCAATCCATGCGATATCAGATCCATGCCAAGCCTCCACTCCTGGCCCTCCGGGGCCCCGACCCCTTAAAGCGCTGAGTCAGCGGCCTCGGTCAGAACCAAACCCTCCGTGCCGATTATAAATACTCGAAACAGGCCAATCAGAAACGGCCGGGAGGTATCTGCTTCGGCCTCGGGGCTCTTTTGTTCTTCCGTCTTGATGTGGATCACTGTGCCCCCTGGGCTCTAGAGCGCAAAAATGACAAAAAAAGGATCAAATGGTTCACTGGTTAGAGATCTGGTCTTTTAGTACGCAGCTAAGGAAATTGTCTACTTCGGACTCGGTTTTTCGGCTTTAAGACCGTAGATCCTGGAACTGTCATAAAAAAGATGGATTCCCACCGAGGATCTGCTCAGTTTACTGATCGGTACTTCTCACATTTCGCCTCTTATCTTTCTTGTCCGTCACTCTCACCATGGAGGGGTTGAGAAACCCCCGTGGCGCAAGCTTCGATGAGATCCAGAATGACACCGAAAGCAGCACCGCGACGATTACCGGCGACGCATCTTCCGCGAAGGAAACCTCGCCGCGCAAAGCAAATGACTGGGGCATGCTATCCCAGCTCCAGGAGGACCATGATCGTGATATAGCCGCTGGATTCAAGAAACAGGAACTCGGTGTCACATGGCAGGATCTCTCTGTCCAGGTCACAAGTTCTGAGGCTGCAGTGAATGAAACCGTTCTCTCTCAGTTCAATATCCCCACGAAAATCAAAGAGGGCCGGCGAAAACTTCCCCTACAGACGATCCTCAACAAAAGTCATGGCTGCGTGAAGCCCGGCGAAATGTTGCTGGTCCTGGGCCGCCCCGGTGCCGGTTGTACGACCTTGTTGAAAATGCTCTCCAACAGGCGAGGAGGATACAAATCCGTGGAGGGCGATGTTCGATTTGGTTCTATGACCCCCGAGGAGGCCAAGCCTTTCCGCGGCCAAATTGTGATGAACACTGAGGAAGAGATCTTTTTCCCGACCCTAACAGTCGGTCAAACTATGGACTTTGCCACGCGCCTCAAGGTTCCCTTTCATCTACCAGAAGGTATGACTGCCTCGCAATATCAACAAGCCACAAAAGACTTCCTCTTAGAGTCGGTCGGGATCTCTCACACTGCCGACACCAAGGTCGGTAATGAATACGTTCGTGGAGTTAGTGGCGGTGAACGTAAGCGAGTCTCCATCATCGAGTGTATGGCCACGCGGGGATCCGTTTTTTGCTGGGATCAGTCGACCCGTGGCCTTGACGCTTCTACTGCACTTGAATGGACCAAGGCCATTCGAGCCATGACCGACACGCTAAACCTATCAACCATCGTTACTCTCTACCAGACTGGTAATGGGATTTACGATTTGTTCGACAAAGTCCTCGTGCTCGATGAAGGAGAGCAGATCTTTTACGGTCCCAGAGAGCAAGCCAGGCCATTTATGGAGGAAGCCGGATTCATCTGTCGTGAAGGTTCCAATGTCGCTGATTACCTCACTGGTGTTACTGTGCCTACCGAGCGCAGAATTCGAGATGGGTTTGAGCACAGTTTCCCGCGTAACGCCGAGGCCCTGCGGATCCAGTACGAAAAGTCATCGATCCATACTCAAATGATCGCTGAGTATTCTTATCCGGACTCCGAACTCGCCCGTGAGCGTACCGAGGAGTTTAAACAAGGTGTGGCTTTCGAAACATCCAAGAACCTACCGAGGAACAGTCCTTTCACTGTCGGCTTTGTTGATCAGGTGAGGATCTGTGTGCAGCGCCAATATCAAATTCTGTGGGGTGATAAAGGCACTTTCATCATCAAGCAGTTGGCAACACTCGCTCAGGCGTTGATTGCCGGTTCCCTGTTCTACGATGCTCCCGATAACTCTGCTGGTCTTTTCGTCAAATCCGGTGCTCTCTTTTTCTCTCTGCTGTACAACACTCTGCTTGCCATGAGTGAGGTGATTGAGTCTTTCTCCGGAAGACCTGTATTGATCAAACATAAGAGCTTCGCCTACTTCCACCCGGCCGCCTTCTGTCTCGCCCAAATTGCTTCCGACATACCCGTATTGCTTTTCCAAATTTCTATGTTTGGTCTGGTTGTCTACTTCATGGTCGGGCTCTCGATGTCCGCTGCAGCATTCTTCACGTACTGGATTATCGTGTTCACCACTACAATGGTAAGTATCTTCCAATTGCTCACACGAATGTTCGCTGATCAATGCATAGGCTATGACTGCGCTTTTCCGAGCTGTTGGCGCTCTCTTCACTACTTTCGATGGAGCCTCTAAGGTCTCAGGTTTACTCATCATGTCTACCGTTCTGTACGCTGGTTACATGATTCCGAAACCTTCAATGCATCCTTGGCTCGGCTGGATCTTCTGGATCGACCCGCTTGCCTATGGGTTTGAGGCTTTGCTGAGTGTGGAGTTCCACGGGAAGAACGCTATACCTTGTGTCGGTAGCAATCTGATCCCTATGGGCCCCGGATACGAGGATGCTCAGGATCATCAATCTTGCGCAGGTGTCGCCGGTGCAATCCAAGGCCAGACTATCGTGAATGGGGATAACTATCTAGCAGCTTTCTCATATAGCCACTCGCATGTCTGGCGCAACTTTGGCATCAACTGGGCCTGGTGGGCCTTGTTCGTATCCCTCACAATCTTCGCAACCTCAAAATGGAAATCGCCCTCCGAATCGGGTAGCACCCTCGTCATTCCTCGTGAATACTTGAATAAGCACTTTCACAACCAACAGAAAGACGAGGAAGGCCAGACTTCAGAGAAGAAAGTCGCCGCAACCAAGGATGAGTCCTCTCAGCTCGACAATCAGCTGGTTCGCAACACCTCCGTTTTCACATGGAAGAATCTTTCATACACAGTGAAGACACCCACTGGCGACCGACTTCTACTCGACAACGTCCATGGATGGGTTAAACCTGGTATGCTCGGTGCCCTGATGGGTTCCTCCGGCGCTGGAAAAACAACTCTGCTCGATGTCCTAGCCCAGCGCAAAACCGAGGGAACCATCCACGGTTCCATTATGGTCGATGGTCGCCCGTTGCCCATTTCATTCCAACGTTCAGCTGGCTATGTGGAGCAGTTGGATGTTCACGAGCGCATGGCAACTGTTCGGGAGTCATTGGAATTCTCTGCCCTCTTGCGCCAGCCTGCCACCACTCCCCGCGAAGAGAAACTTGCTTATGTGGATGTTATCATCGACCTGCTTGAACTTCACGATCTTGCCGATACCTTGATCGGCAGCGTTGGGGCTGGATTGAGTGTCGAACAACGCAAGCGTGTGACTATTGGAGTGGAACTTGTTTCCAAGCCCAGCATTCTCATCTTCCTGGACGAACCCACTAGTGGTCTGGATGGCCAGAGCGCATACAACACTGTCAGATTCCTTCGCCGACTTGCAGATGCTGGACAGGCTATTTTGGTCACCGTGCACCAGCCATCTGCCCAGCTCTTCGCCGAGTTTGATCAGCTCCTTCTTTTGGCCAAAGGAGGCAAGACTGTGTACTTTGGCCCTATTGGAGAAAATGGCCACGATGTCAAGGGCTATTTCTCGCGTTACGGAGCAGCATGTCCGCCTGAAACCAACCCTGCTGAGCATATGATTGATGTTGTTTCGGGTCAATTGAGTCAGGGCAGAGATTGGAGCAAGGTCTGGCTGGAGTCGCCTGAACATGGTGCCATGCTCAGTGAGCTCGACACGATCATCGATGAGGCTGCCTCCAAGCCGCAATCCATCACTGATGATGGTCGCGAGTTTGCCTGTACGTTGAAGGAGCAAACAATCCTGGTCCTGAAACGTACCTCTGTCGCTTTGTACCGAAACTGCGATTACATCAACAACAAGTTTGCCCTCCATATCGCAAATGGCCTATTTGTGGGTTTCAGTTACTGGATGATTGGAGACTCTATCACAGACCTTCAGAACGTGTTGTTCTTCATCTTCAACGCTGTTTTCGTCGCTCCTGGTGTCATCAATCAATTGCAGCCCACTTTCCTTGAGCGTCGCGATCTATTTGAAGCTCGCGAGAAAAAGGCCAAGATGTATTCTTGGAAAGCTTTCACCATTGCCTTGATTGTCTCGGAATTCCCCTATCTGATTGTCTGTGCTGCTCTGTTCTTCAACTGCTGGTACTGGACGGGCGGTATGCCAGTTGAGTCCAGCAAGAGCGGTAGTATCTTCTTCGTGTTCTTCCTGTACGAGTTCCTCTATACTGGAATTGGTAAGTTGAACCTTCATCTTCTTCCGCATTGGCTTTTACTGATAAAAGCCCGTAGGTCAATTTATCGCAGCTTATGCCCCCAACGCCAACATGGCTGCCATGACGAACCCTCTGATCCTGGGTGTAAGTTCCCCCCCCCCCCTTTTGCACTACCCAAGAGCTCGACTAACGTGGCGATTCTCAGACCATGATCTCCTTCTGCGGTGTTTTGGTGCCTTACACACAAATCGTCAGCTTTTGGCGATACTGGATTTACTGGCTCAACCCCTTCAACTACCTCATGGGAAGTATGCTGACCTTCGCCCTGTTCGATCGCGAGGTCAAATGCAAACCGCTCGAATTTGCCATGTTCAACTCACCCGATGGAATGACCTGCGGTGAATACCTCGACGGTTTCATGCAGACCATTGGCAGCCGTATGAACCTTGTCAACCCGGACGCCACCTCTGGATGCCAGGTGTGTCAATACACCCGTGGATCCGACTACCTGTACAACCTCAATCTGAAGGATTACTACTATGGCTGGAGAGACGCTGGCATTGTGGCGCTCTTTGTGATCAGCTCTTACGGGTTGGTATTTGGTCTCATGAAATTGAGAACCAAACAATCCAAGAAGGCTGAGTGATCTGGGCTTGAAGCTTGGAATTTCCTGCTTTGGTGTGGACCGTTGATATTTCTAGATTATAATCTTCATAGACTTGCTAATTTTTTTTTTTGCTCTTCGTCTGCAAACACCTCAAGGTGCGAGCACAAAACAAGTGTCCTGTTGAGAGCTATGGCACACATGGCCTCTCCACAGAAATGAACTTGTGTATATTCATTCATATAGATTGATCGACATTCGATATTTGACCCTTTTACCTTTTTATTCTTTTTGATCTCTTCCTTCTTTGATCTTTTCTTTTTCACTTCCAAGAGTACCGGCGCTTACTTGCATCGTCGCCATCTGCCGAGGATATAACAGACCCCGAAATAGAGGCCCCGCTAGGGATTACCCCGGCCAAGCTCTGCTCACTCGGAGAAAGTCCGAGATCCTGAAGATGTGAACCGAAAGAGGAACCTGAATACCTAGGTACTGTTGAAGGCATACGGGTTGAGCGATCGGCGCGCTAGGGAATCGCCGGCTTCAACATCTCCTGTGCAGATTGTATCTCTTTTTTCCGACTTTGTATCGCATGTCTGTCGAGACCTTTATGAAATGTCTAAACCCCTAGGTCCATACAACGTACTCGACTCCAACCTCGGAATCCGGCTTCCAGGGCCCACGAGTAAAGAGGCTAATACGTGAAGCCGAAACCACGGAGTTAGTCCGACAGATTGGGAAAGACAGGAAGCTCTCCGCTTGAAACTCCCTGGCCTCCACCGTGGGGGTGGTGGACTATTCTCCCTGTTCCGAGCGCCATCAGGCCAATCTTCTGCTCGTAAACCTCCTCCTGTGGGCGTTTCCCCGCAAAGTGATTGACGTCGACCCACGCATCTCCTCTTCTCCCCCCACGTTTCCCCGGTTTTCACGGGAATGCGAGTGAGTCAGTACTCTGTGTTCGTGTATCTGTGCTCGTGGCTACATGGCTTAGGACCTGAGCAAGTAATATGGCATGGTCTATGCTCCTCACTTGACATAAATCATGCCCATTCCCGAGATTTCCCCCCTGCTCTATCATACCATTCTTTCTTTCCTTGCGCCATAACGTGAACATGGCTAGGATTTTCAAGCCTATCGCCGAGGGCGAGCTGGAGATAAAAATGAATCCCTCTCATGAGGAGGTCATCCACATGGCAGAGTTGACCGAGGAGGAGAAAGTTATCGAGAAAAAATTGCGCAAGCGCATTGATGCATTAATCATGCCGCTGTCAATTTTGGTCTACCTGATGAATTATATCGACCGGTAAGTATTTTTGCGGATGCCAATCATAACCAATAGCCAAAGCTGATACTAATTGACATAGCAATAATTATGCCGCAGCGAAGCTCCAAGGTCTCGAGGAGGATCTCAACCTCGACGATACAAAATACCAGACTGGCCTCTCTATCCTGTTTGTTGGATATATTTTGATGCAAGTGCCGTCGAATATGCTTCTTAACTACATGGGTCGACCGTCTCTATACATCGGATTCTTTGTCTGCGCATGGGGACTGGTATCTGCATTGACGAGTCAAGTCACAAGCTATGGAGCCATTGTCGCATGTCGATTTCTGCTTGGTTTGGTCGAAGCACCCTTCTTCTGTGCCATTCTCTTTTATCTGTCCAAATGGTACACCAGGAAGGAATTGGCGTTTCGAATGAGCATCTTCTATTCTGGCTCTCTGCTCAGCGGCGCGTTCGGAAACCTCATCGCTGCGGGTATTCTCAACGGACTCAAAGGCAAGCGAGGAATATCAGCATGGCAATGGCTCTACATTATTGAGGGATCTATTACATGTGCCATCGGGCTGGGCATTTGTTTCATTCTACCTGACTTTCCGGAGACATGGAGGCTTTTATCACCGGAAATGCGCAAAGTCGCCCAGCGGCGTCTTGCTATTGAGGCCGGTGAAGCAGACATAGATGAAGAGGGAAGCAAAAGCCAGTTCAAGGGATTCAAACTCGCTATGACCGATATCAAGACATATGCATTCGCCCTCGCCTATATGTGCATCACCGGAGCGGCTGGTTTCCAGAACTTCTTCCCGACTTTGGTCAAGACTCTGAATTACAATGAAACCATTACTCTTGTGCTGGTGGCACCCCCTTATCTCTTTATGGTTGTGTATTCTCTCTGTCATTCCCTCGCTTCTGACAGGTTGGAAAGGAGATTCTGGTTCTTCGTCTACCCGATTCCGATCACTATCGCTGGGTTCATTATCTTCATGAAGACTGATTCTTTTGGACCACGGTACTTTTCATTCTTCTTGATGATCTTCGTCTTCGCCCAGAATGGGACGCTATACTCATGGCTCGCGAGCTCCATTCCTCGCCCACCTGCCAAGCGCGCTGTTGGTAAGTCACATTTTCCTCACTCTACTATATCAGATATCACACTAACCAAGACAGCGTTTGCGTTCTTCAATTCAATTGGCAATAGTGCTTCGATCTGGACGCCGTACACCTACGTTGACAAGGAGAAGCCTCATTTCCCCACCGCCATGGGCGTTTGTATTGCCCTTCAGGCAATTGGTGGTCTTGCGGCCATCTTCTTGTACTTCAACTTGCGCATGCTCAACAAACGCCAGGAGCGTCTTGAGAATGAGGAAGTACAGCTTGGCGAAAAGGATCTTCGTCGGCTACAGGCTACTGCTGATGTTGAAGGGATTGACATTGCCGCCGCCCGGCGGTTGCAAAGGGGATTCCGTTATGTGTTGTAGAGATAAGTTACGAATAAGAATTGTATGGAGTACAACGAGCTTGTTTGACCTGTTGAGTCACAAAATTCACTTTTACGCAACACAAATCGATGTAGTTGCTACAGGTCCATCTCACCAGCAGTGTATCCACCAATCCGTGGCACCAGAATAGGACCCAAGTGGCGCGACCTCTCATATCATGAGGTTACTCGCCAGGGATTTCCGTATTATCCCCGTAAATGGATGCCGACTTGCAGCCTGTCCAATCATGAAATCATCGCAAATCATCGCATCGAACCATATGGCCTGTCACCTGACTTGTGTTTGGCATGAAGTCAGGAGCATTTCGCTTAAATACAGGGCAGCTGCACTGCTGGGGGTGGATTATCTTAATCAGAGACGACAGTTGAAGAAGATCTTAGTGCTTCAATACGCAATTTGACATCGCACATATAACTCATTGCACGGGCTCATCTCTGCCAAGTGCCATAGCCGACATACCCTGCCCACCATGCAATCAACTTCACGACCCATTCTCCGCATCACTGCCAATCCAGCTCTTTTCCGATCCCTCTCTACCACCCCCAGAATCATGGCTGCAGGTGATCTAGGGGCCCCCAAGCCGAGAGGCTTCATGGCCGAGTACGCCCACACTGGAGAATGTATGACGTCATATCTGACCATGCCGCAGGAAGGACTCCTTCACCAAACGCGAGGCCGCACACGAGGCGATGTATATTCGACAGCAAGAAATGGATAAGTGAGTTCAATATCCTAGTTTTGATGATACTGGCTTACGCAGATCTAGGGTTCAACGTTTAAGAGAGAAACTCAAGGAGCAGCGCAAGCATATGGATGAGCTCGACAAGCATCTGTAGGGACCTTCGATCTTTGCCCCGACAAACTCTGAGCATTTACAATTCTAACATATTGCAGTGAGGACTTGGCCAAATCTCAGGGCGGAGAAAAGAACTAGATATCTTGCGCACATATCCTGAATGGCTTTGTTCATCATGCGACCGAGCCCATATGTTACAACGCACATTTAACCACCTATGGTGGTGGTATTATGATCCTGCTGGAAACTGTTCACTCAATCTCTTTTCGATTTTAGCGTCATCATTGAATCAATGGAACTCTCTACCTTTCAATTTAACATGATCCCTCTTCGCTCTCTTCATCAGCTCTAAATCTTCGTCTGCCATCTCCACCGGTAGCTTAAACAAGCCCATCGCGCCATTACGAACATGCCAAGTGAGACTATCAACACGCTCCCTAGATATGCCACCATAGCTCTCTCCCCAACCTTATCGAGCATCTCGCCGCCAATAGGAATGCAGATCAGGGTGCTGGGGATTTATCAGCAGGACGAACTGAGACGGGGGCTTGAACAACTTACGCAAAGCTGACAATGGAATAGGTGAGCCCGAACCTCCCACCAACTTCGCTGGCCTTGGAGATCTGCCCGATGCAGGCTGGTGCGAGGCTAAGAAATGACCCCGAAGCTAATCCGAAGATGACCGAGAAGACATACAGCCCTGCTAGGGTGCTGCCAAATGGCAACCAGATTACAAACACGGCGAATGTGCCCAGGACAATGAGCACAGCCTGTGTGTTAATCCTGCCAAACCGATCGGCTATGCCGCCGGCCAGGAGTCTTCCCATCGTAGAGGCTCTGTGGCATAATAATCAGCAGGTTCCCAGAGATATTATCTGCTGCGAAGAATCGAGTGACTCACACATTCAGTACAGCGAGCAGTGTTACGCTGATGCTTGTAGAAAATCCCTGCATGACCACATAGGTTGGGTAAAGGCCTATGCCAGCAAAAACCTCAAGCTCGAGAGCTGTCGCTAATCAGCATCCCTTTCTTCACTATTGTCATTCACCATCAACACCAACTCACCAAAGATACCCAATGTCAACCAGGTGAATCTTGCATCTTGCAAAGAGCGCAGGTTGATGGTTGACTTGCCTCTGCCCTTTGGAAGACGCGCTTTCACTAAGGCTGTTCCAGCAACGCACAATACCAATGCCACCAATGCTAACAGCCTAATTGTCCACTTATACCCAAGCTTGGTAAACCCAGACCTAAGCATAAATGGAAACACAACGCCACCGACACCCGCGCCCGACATCGAAATCCCAATGGCAAGGCCCGCCTTTCGATTGAACCATTGAGGTACACTGGCCAATGCAACGGTGCTCAGGAGGGCAGCACCCGTTCCCGAAAGGACTCCAAGGGTAAGCACAAAGTGCCAATATAGGTGGCTTTGCGCAAGAAGAAGAAGGCCAGTTACATAGCATATAGTGCCAGCTATCAGAATACCTCTAGGGCCATATCGATCGAACATCGGCCCAACCTGGACCGAGATACTGAGACTAAAGAATGTGAACAGTCCCGGAATCCAGCCCACTGCACTGGGTGAGTAGCTGGCCAGCTGATGAGAAGCAAAGTAATTTTGCAGAATTCCCGTCGTGTTTATCACTCCGAAAGTAGCCATCAAGAGGAGAAATGAGCCCGCCACGACACACCACGAGGGCAACCCGCCATCTGGGAAAGTGTCATCGGTACTATGACCTGTCAGATGGGTTGTGAGAGTTGACAGCTCGGCCGGGGGTTCCACGACGGAGAAGGCCGACTGCGGAACTTCATCGTCGAAGTTCGCATTATGAGCCGCAGAGAAATCCGTCACGTTTGGGTCGGCTGGTTGCCATGGGTCTTGCACTGGTTGTTGAACAGACGTGGTGGCAGACTTTTGCATCCCGACAGTCTCGTGGCTTGAAGTGCAATTTGGTTGATGGGATTGGGATGCAGAAATATCGATTCAAATGCCTCGGAGTGAGTCATTCTGATCAGAGCCTGCATTAGTCGGCCATCATGACTCATGGCGGGGTTGGAAGAAACTATGGTGTATATGTCGGCATCGCGTTCCGATGTAGAGTCCCGGGATGCCAGGGTCAACCAACACACCAAGGCCATGGTGTAATTCAATCTTCGGAGAAATCTGCGATTTATTGACATCATTACTTGCCTTACTAGAGGTTGTCGCAGATCCTAGCAATGTTGAGAATCATGCCCGATTCTCCCCGTTTGGGGGCGAGTCAACGGTACGCCCAGTTCGACAAGCATCCTTCGTGTGATGATAAATCCTACTCCGTGTATAATAATGGAAACTGCTAGAATTGTATCCATAAAAATAGGAGATTTTTGAGAGATATCCCACTAATGGAGAAGGCATAAATAGCAGTAAATGTGCGGATATCACGGAGATCTGTAGACAATTCCATCCCTTTTTTTTTTATAGAGATCATATCCTTACCTTTTCCCCTGCAATCTCAATCTTGCGGTCAATTATCAGATAAACTATTGTTGAATCTCATACTCCGTACATGCTAGATACTCCATCTTTCGTATTCAACAAGCCATAAGCGCTGGACACGGCCAAGATCTCTATCGGCTGCCCTTCCGGGGTCACATGGACAGCATCCAGCATTGGAGTCATACGTATCTGCAGAAGGATGAGTCAGTTTAGGAATAGTGTCTGCCAATATGACTGCTCATCGTGTCGCTTATGCATTTCCACCATAGAAATTGAGCGGTGGACCTAAATGTCAATGTGCACTCGGGCAAATAGTCGAGGTATCGGCACCGGCCCCCGGGCCAGTCTCCATAAGAAGCTCGTCAATAGAAGTTTTTCTGCTTTCTTCTTTTGTTCTTTCCTCATGAAGACCACCCAATTTTGCAATGGAGACCGTTAATCGTGAACGTAGGGAAGATATTGTTCCCCGCTGCAGCTCATTCGGTGGCATGATACACAGTCTCGCCACTCCGTCCCAACATTATCCGCGCCGCAATCATTGATCCCGATTCCCTCCATTCGATTTGATTGGAGACTGAGTGGCATGATTGAGAAGCCAGGTGACGCTCTAATAATTTGGCTTGTAAGCTAACCGCATTCCGACCGCGTAGTTCGTGAGCATATATCTGTCCAATTCCTCTTAACCTCCTACAAGATCATCCAAGATCTACAAACCTCAATCGAGCCCCCCATTCTTCAAGATGTCCGCAACGCAATGCACCAGGCTTCTCGCCAGAAATATTCCTCAAATGAGGCGGCAACGCCAAATACAAAAGCCACGAGTCACGCTTGTCGGCTGCCCCGCTCCCAGTCACAACCCTACAATTGACTCCGAACGGCTACCATATCGACTCTACGAACTCTCACTAAAGAAGATTCGAAGAGAGGCCCATGCCGCTGAGCCTGACTTACGGCATGTCATTGCCGGAATCTCAATGCAAAAAGTGGTGTCCAATGCTGTCCATGAAGATCTTCTCCACCGAGTCGAAATGATCGAAACCACAAAAGCACCTTCCAGGCTCCCAATATTACCTGGCGCCGATGAGCCCTGGGAACCTGAAGAGCTTCACTCAGACCCAAGAGCGAACCCTAATGCTTGGGATATCGAAACCCTTGACCAAGCACTTGATGAGATGGAACGTGCGAGCAAGAAAGGGCATGTTGCAAAAGCCGTTTGTTTCCAATTGATCAGCGAGATGTAAAAAGCACAAGATCAGCTTTAGCCTAATGAAAGGATTATATGACCTAATGAGATATCTGAGTCGACACAAGCATTTCCCATTCAGGTAGACTAGCATCCGCAGGTGCACGGCCGTACAATTTTCACCACTAATGACTTCCGAAGTTGATCTCCTTGGTTCTGCCGATCTTTTTCTATTTGTCTTTCCTTTGCTGATCCTCTTCATTTTTCTTTTCTTTCTTGGGTTCTTCTATTCTCCGTCGCTAGATCCTAATTACGTAGAATAATAAATACGCGGTAGGCCACTTGACTATACCAGTCCGCACGTGTGTACTGTATAACACTTTTTTTATACTCGCTATATGTATACTGCTAATCTATGCTCTTCTGTCTGTTACTATCGCGTTGTTCAGCGCCACTTGGAGGTTATTTACTGTTGACAAACAATATTAGAATGATCCTCGACCATTATTACCTACACCACTGATCCTTTGTCTTCTATCGCGTTACTTAGGCCTTAATTGGACAATTTCAGGTGTTATATATCACAAATCCCTATTCTGTATTCACCTACACTGCTCATCTCTCCTCTTCTATAGAGTTACTTTCGCGTCACTTAGGCGTCACTTGGACGTTGTGTAAGCGATATACACTACCCAAAAGTCCATATCGTCGGAAGCCCTAGATGCATATGGGATATTATATACCTGTTTTTCAATGAAATTTCATTAGTCTCTTGGATCTGACGGTAGGAAACCAGAAGAAGTCCAATTACGGCTCCTCCCATGTGCTTTATTACGCAGTAGATGGATTTCCACCTTTGCACTGCACGTATTGCATACACTCCGTCTGCAATGCTTGATTTGCGAGGTTCTTTGAGCGGACTCTATCCACAAAGCCCATGGCTATACCTTAATTCCCTACCTTGTCACCTTTTTCTTACTGAATCCTGCTCTTGCCGAGACCAGATTCCGACTTACACTCCCGGTGGTTATCCAGCCCGAAGATATTCTCCTTACAAACTTATGCTGCTCTACTTCCTCGCTGCTTCTGTTTATCTCACTGCGGCAATAACGCTTCAAACCCCTCCCCCCAATCCAGCCAAAAGCCCCAAACATGTCCGAAGAGACGAGATGGTGTTACGTCTGCCGACGAGACAAGCCTATCCTTGAGTTCCAGGCGCATGGAGTCATAGGGAAGGAGTTCTACAAATTGTGTGAGCCGTGTCGCACAAAATCTCGAAATGTGAGTATATAAGCACTGAGGTACGAGCAGTATCCACGGATTGTTAGGGTTCGCGGACTCATTTGATCCAGGCTCACAGAGAGAGGAGACATCGAAAATGGCAAACATCACGAAACTCCGATACCGAAGACCAGAGGCACCGAGGCCAGCCATATTATCTCCATGAGCCCGTAAACCAAACCAACATCAACATCAGCAACGGGGGCTCAAGAATCATCCCTACTACTAATGGCGGCACAGCTAACGCTATGCCTGAGCCATCGACCTGCTTACAAGCAGACCCCAACAACCATACCTGGTTCACAATTGCGCCTCCTGTCGTGGAAAACTCCGTTCAAGGCACAACAACGAAAACCGTCATCACCATTTCGACCACCACCACCAAAAGTACCACCGACCCACTGAGGAACTCAGAGAATCACACGAAGACCGAGGAGGGTGAGACAGAACAAACCGAAGGCGAAGATCTCGAATTATCTCCAAGCGAATTCTCTTCCGAGCAGCCAAGTGATACGGAACCGGATATCAAGCAGCGCCCGGAATTGTTTGGCTGTCTGCATTGCGAAAAGCTTCGACCATGGCCGATGGCAGCGCTGCACATCTGTATGATGTGTATTCGAGACTGGAAGTGGTGTGCGAAGGGCTCACACAATCGGGCCAAGGCAAATTTCCTGTGGAATGGGGAGGAGCATGATGAGTGTTATATGTGTTATTTCACTGGGGAGTGACGCCCTTTGCCCTCATATGGACACCCTGGGCAAGCGGGCTGCAGGGATTGTAATCTTTACACGAAGCAGACATAGAGCCATTGAACGTTTTGCTCTTGAACGTTTTGTTTTTTTCTTCTGTCTTCTTTTTGGCTTCCTTTCTTTCTTTCAAGGGGCTATTATTTAGTATTCAAAATATGCATTGGAGTGGTATCTACACTATATACATGTACAAATAGACCCTGACATATTGGCTAGGAACATCGTCGTTCGGTCATAAGAACCAAATATCTGGTGACTTATACTTGGCAATATGCCAGGAAACGACGATTTTCATGTTTATACGAGGTCATTGCCACTGCTCGTTTCAAAATTACGTATAACAACAAGCCAGTAGCGTTTATTCCGTACGAAGCACAGATAATTGTCCCCCTCCCCCCTTGACAATCTTTTAAACCATTATTTTACCTACATCCTCCTTTAACTAGGTAGCACACGAAGACCAATAGGTATCTATGAACATCCCAAAGTGAGAAACCTTGCAAGATAGGGGTATCTGGATGGATTCCATACCAACCTCCCACTGCAAAACATGCGGTGGGATCCAAGGCTTCTCTGTTCTGGACTTCAACGTACGCTCCTAACACCGGCAACGTCCAATGCTACACGAGAATAAAAAAAAAAGTCCACTCAATTCACAACTGGAGAGACTGGAGACACTGATCCAGCCCCACACAATCCCGGCTCAAGTGCGATTACTCCGCCCCTTCCCACTCGCCTATCACAATCCTCGCGACACCGACTAATGTCGAACTAAACCAGCGCCAATTCTGTCTGAGACTAACACGACCCACCTCTCAAGCAGGCAGATCTCGGACTCCCTCGTCGAAATCTGGCTCGCCTAAATCCTGCCGTGCCGTTGGCCCAGGATGAGACCCTTTCTTCCTCCCCACCCATCCGAGCTTCCCACGCGCTATGGTCGGTGATACGCGAGTAATCCCCGATTCAAAAGCCAGGAAGGCTGCAAGTCGTCAATCGCGATCATGCAAAGTCTGCCGGCTCCGCAAAGTCAAAGTCCGTTCATCTCCATGCTCAGATCGCCCTCGGGTCGGGACGCTTCCGTTTCCATCTGATGCGTCCCACTGGTTGTAGCCCTCCAGCTAACGTCGATCCTGCTGCCAGTGTGACCGAGTCAAGCCCTGCCACGCCTGCTGTGCTCATGGGTACCCGTCAAAATGCGTGTATGAGCATGTCCCTGACGATGAAGCCCGCCCCATCAGTCAAGCAGAAGAAATTCGGAACCTGCGGGCGGAGATCCGTGAATTACGGGGGAGACTAGACGGCACAGATGATGGTAGGCGATGCAAACCCCGCCCAGTCGATTTAGCGTGTGGCAAATCCACGCCGAGGTGAAAGGATTGCTAATAGCCATGCAGGGTCTGGGGCCCAGGGTCTCCGGCGGCTGGATCAACTTGAGAGCTTATTTGAGTCTATTCGTTCCGCATCTAGTCCGTTAGTGAATGACCTTGTTCGCGATATTCGAACCGCACATGTCGGCCTCAAGAAGGATTTGGCCCCCGTGGGGCCATGGGAAGGCAGGGAAGGTGTGTCGTGCATTGATTACCCACAATTTATCTATACTGACGTCCCCAGCATATGAATCCTATGATTATCCCTCGCGCCATTCTTCGACTTTGCCGGTTCGGAATCGCCGGTTATTGAATTCTCCGAACGAGGACTTCAATAATTTCCAACCCGAGGGGCATGAGGATAGCGACTTCGAGCGCATGTCGCCCAGCAGTGGCTCCGAGTCATCTGGTACGATCTCGGTGATGAGCATGCAAAAGCCAGCCGTGGATGTTTTTGTCGAGCGATTTGTAGATGCATTCAGCCCTGAAGTAGATATGAAATCCGGTAGGGCGGGGGCACTGCGCGCTGCTGCCGAGATTCGAATGTTTTCACCACTGATCTCTGATGCATTCGAGGCCGTTTCGGTGGCCTTCTTTGGTCGTTCTGTACAAAACAAACAGATCGAGGCGTCTGGCTTTCGGCTTTATCCTCGCGTGCTGCGTGCATTGCAGGATGCATTGGTGGATCCCGAAAAAAGTAAAGCCGAATCAACTCTGGTGACCGTGATTCTCTTACTGGCTTTCGAGGTTGGTTTTGTGAGCCCCTTTTCCATCGGTTAGTGCTGACTCTAGCAGAGTGTCGAACGCACCTCCCAGAGTGGTGTCTCGGCTCATGTTCGAGGCGCAATGCGCTTGATCGAGCATCGTGGGCCAGAAAACCACGTCTACGGCGTAGAGCATCTTTTGTTTACGGAACTCAGACCATACTGGGTAGGCTCTCACTCCTTCGATAATCGATTCATCTTATTCTGACAGATTAGATTGGCGCTGCGATGGCGACTCGACAACCGTCGTTCCTCGCCCGCGAAGAGTGGAAGACAATTCCATGGTCAGCAGGGACTACCAACAAAGATATTCTACACCATCTGCTTGACCTGGGTACCGAAGTTTCAGGGTTACTAGCGCTATCCGATGCCTTTAAGGAAGCAACGATTACATCAATCATGGGCACACAGGAGATAGCCGTCAAGCAGTCCACGCTTTGGAACGGCATAGGCGAGCTCACAGCTCGCTTTTATCGATGGCACGAAGAATTCGTCGTAGCCTATCCCGACGGACCCCCACAAGAAGCCCAACAAAAAGCCGATGAGGACTTCCCAGTTTTCCAGCGCCGCGACCTCCGCACTGGGGCTACTTTCACCCCCACGAGATTCACTTATCCAAACCTCCTCCTTGCCCAAACCATGTGTATGTACTACGCCGTGCGACTCATTCTGTCTTCGATCGACACGCGGCCACACGATCGTGTCTCGCCCATGGAACAGTACGACCTGGGCTGCGGGATCTGCCGCTCATTAGAGTTCTATATCCTCACTGCGCCAGGAAATATGATCAACCGTCTTGCATTCCCTACTCGGGTAGCGTGGGAAGCGTTCCCGGATGGAGGCCCAGAGCGCCGATTCATGATCGAAGTTTTGCAGCTCGTTGAAAAACGGCACGCTCTTGGGCTTTGGGGCAGTGCCATGCCAGAATTATCTACAAGAGAATCCTCGCCACTGAATACAGGTAGCCCATAATGTGTACCCAAGTACTCCGTACAGAGTACATATTGATGCTCCGCATGGAGTGAGCACGACCCTATGGAGTAGGTATTATTATTATACGTCCTGTTGAACGTCGGGACAGATTAGTGTTGCGGCGACACGCAGTTGTGTTAATTAATCTGGAGGCTCATAGATGGGGCCTTCTCTCAGCCTTCTGGACTCGACTTCTCAGATCTACGGGTGGTTCTTCAGCTTACTCCACACAATCAAGAGGGCTGTCTTCGGGGCCGTCCTCCGGGGCTTCCGATGTTTGAATTAGCTGGAAAAACTCTCAGCATGTGGAATCCAAACAAATCAGAACATGGCAGCTGAAGTGATATATCCAAAATCAATTTGCCAGATTGCTTCTGATTGGGTGGAAGCAAAAGATCTGCGATGAAGCTATCACGAATTCGACATGGGCCCCGTCAGGGATCGGCAGCACCAGCCAGTCACAGCCAGATCGCATCGATCGACAATCGATAGTTCGATGAAGCTGAAGACAAAAAAAGAAATAGGAGATGATGGTTCCTGAAAACCCGACATAAAAAGCATGAAGCCACAGTTTCATAGAACGACAACGCTGACACCATACATCATGCCTTCCTTCACCAAATTGGCACTCTCTGCCCTCGCGGCCACTGCAGCTGTTGCAACAGGAATTAATGATTTTTCCTGCAAAAGCAACTCCAACCCGGTTGTGCTTTTACATGGCCTGGGCGCAACATACTATGAAGACCTGAACTTTATGCAATACTGGCTGCAAACCAAAGGCTTCTGCACGTATGCTATCACCTACGGGGCATACGATGGGTTCCCATTGCTGGGTGGATTGAAGGCGATCAACGAGAGCGCACCCGAGATTGCTGCATACGTTAAAGAAGTCGTGCAAAAGACTGGCAAAAGCAAAGTCGATTTGATCGGTCATTCCGAGGGGGGATTCCAAGCACTCTACGTACCCAAATTCGAGGGAGTCTCCCATTTCATCGACAAGATCGTATCCATCGCCCCACCCACACATGCAACATCATTCGCCGGAATCTACAACCTCGCGTACACGTTCGGCAACGCGTCGCGTGAAGTTGTGAGCGAAGTGTTGAACACATTCGGCTGCCCCGCTTGTAATGATCTCGGCCCCGATGGTGCCGCTATTAATCGGTTGAATGATGGCACACCGATCGTGCAGCCTGGTAACAAGGTCACCATCATTGCATCCAAGGTTGACGAGCTGGTCACTCCCCCTTCGACATCTTTCGTCCACGAGGAGGGGGTGACAAATCGCTGGATCCAGGATACCTGCCCATTGGATCCTGTCGGACACATTGGAGAGGCTTATGACCTGAATGTCTGGCACTTGGTCAAGAATGTGCTGAACTCGACCCCGAATGAGAAGTTCGTGTGTGTCCTCGGGTCGCCGGGAAAATAAAGGTCATTGGCGTTATATCACGCGAATCATCTTATACATAATGCATTGTACATAATCGCTAATCTTGAAATGGATATTATTTCAGCGCATCAGCATGTCTTCCGCAAGCTCATAGCTTCTATGTTTGATTTGCCTGAATCCTATTCCTTTGTCTATCTTGAGGGGTTTAGGTATGGAGTAGTCTTTGTGAACGTTTCCCTCATGTCGGATCAGACGCCATTCAGAACCATCTGAAGAGTCAGGGGGTTTTCAGGGGCTCGGAAATGAAACCTGAAAGTATCCCCTAAGTCTGCTTTCTGAGTCAGTCTCTTGCCCTTTCGGGGCATATGCCAATGCTGTTTTCCAGTTGGCACAACAAGTATCAGAGCGAGTCTAGATATAACAGATACCTTTTAGGGCTGCACAGCGGAAAAAAAAAACACATCCTTATGGACCACTATGTATACCCTAAATGTGGATTAACTATTAATATCGATGGACCCCTGTGTCTAATCAACAACTTCTCATTCCCACCCTTCGATATTTCTATGCCAGTTCGAGCTCAGTTTCTATCTCCTGAGATTTGTCTATTTCAAAGCAAAGTGATAGACCGTACTGCATGTGCCCGTGGAATGTGGAATGTCTTTCACAGACTAGGTGACCTTCCAAGTGAGATCGAAAGGGCTTTGATTCTGAAAGACCCTCTCCATATTGTCACCGTGGGATTGTTCCATTCTTCAATTCCTCCATTCAATCGCATCATTCCGATCAGATTGTGATCCCATTTTCTGCCTGGGGCATCCCGTCCATGTGACAGCTTCTTCACGGAACTCGGAACTTTCTTTCTCCGCAGACTATCTTATCTCTGACACGCAAGGATTAAAAAAATCACCATGTCGGGGCCAGAGGAGAACACTGGCTCTGAATCCAACGTCCACCGCATTCAAGAGCAATGGGACAGTCTGAATGAGATGTTCCAAAAAACCGACCCCGAGCCTTTGGGCTCCGCCGATGATCTGGAGGCCGAAATTCGTCAAGCTCAAGCTCAATTATCCCGACTGAAGAAGCAGCGTGAGCTCATTGATATCAAACAAAAGGTCGCCGAAGAGGAGAGGGAATTGGAGCGTGCTCGGAGTCGACTGCTGGCTACCAGCAGCCTGGACTTGTCTCCAGCGACCCCGGCTGCCACCCCATCTAAAGAGGCCGAGCCGAAGAACAACAAGGCTGGTATTGATGGCGCCCAAAAGAAGACTGTTGCTGCCCGATATGAGCAGAATACCGCTCCCCGGACCAAATCTCCTGAACGTCGTCTGTCCGAGGCTAAGCCATCCAAGCCGATCGAAATCAACTCCTCGCCTAAAGTCGCCAAGAATCTCGTGTCCGGGTTGAACCTGGAGCAACTACGAGCTCTTGCTGCAGCTAGCAGGTCCCCCGCCGGTTCCACCGCCATCAAGATTGAATCTCATTCCACTGTGAAACCTCCCACCCGACCTGCCCCCTCCGAACCATCTGCCCAGCCCCCACCGGTGCCCAATGTGCCGGTATACAACGGACGAGCCTTGGGGGAGTTCAAGAACTTTACTATGGGTCTAGAGCGGCACTTTGATAAATATCCCGAATGGTTTAAAGTGGAGGAGCGCAAGGTCAATCGGGCGCTTAAGCACGTTGCCCTTAATCTGGAGGATGAGTGGAAGCGACAAATACGTCACATACCCGCCGAGAAGATCTCATACGGCAGTTTCTGCACTTTTCTTATTCATCAGCTCCAGAACGGAGTGTACCCCGAGATCGCCAAGGCGCGCTACAAAGATAGCTATCAGCGACCGGCGCAATCGGTGACTGATTTCTCCAACTGGATGCAACAGTGGGTGCCACATTTCCCGAATAACGACTCGGAGCGGGACCGCATGCGCCATCTCTTTGAGCATCTGATGAACAGGGTCCGCAATGAGGCCGACAAGACGCATCTAGATTTCGACAACTACTATGACTTTGTCGAGTATCTCCAACAAGTCGAGGACTCCATCCCCAGCCGCGCCGAGTCTCTTGGGCGGCGGGTTATCAATCCCCGAAAGCGACCTCGCAGCCGCGACTAAGCTGACCGGTCTAGTTGAATTCCCGCCCTTGAGACTCTCCGAGGAGTCGAGCAAGCTGACATTTCGTTACATTTGCGCGTGGGAATAGACCGCAGGGGTAGGATGGATCTTACTACTGAATGGGGCTTCTTTCTTTGCAATTTTCTTGACTTTTCCTTGTACATAGCGGGCGTTGCGAGATCTTTGAAACAAAGTATTCGTAACGACCTTATTTTCAGACGCAGTCATCCATCCATACATAGCCAACTGTGGTCACGATCTTGCCTAATGTCCCCCAGAGCATCTAGAGCTCATGATGTGATACGTGAGCCTCTTGCATATGTATGAGATTATTTTCATCGCCCAATACCATTGTCCTTTTGCTGGTCAGACATATTTCCCAGGCTTTTGCGCTTTGACTCGAATAGTGTGACTACAGAACCGGTCCAACGCGGGCTTGGATCCATCTCACTGGCCCCTGAGCCCTGGAGATATGCAGGGTACACCGACCCATGAGCACATATTTCTCAGCTATCTTTTTGATCGCGTCCAATGAGCGAATCGCATGATAGACCCAAATCGCTTCTTTTGAAGGGAGATGCGATGAGCGAAGGCGTCGAGTGGCCCCCCCACTTGAGCGGGACCGGCGGGACCTGTCGAAAAGCCCCGACCATGGACAATGGATTGTTCCTTTGATCTGTTGCTCTTGGCTTCCTGGCTTCCTGGCTTCTGAGCGTCTGAGCTTCTGAGCTTCTTGGGGTCTTATTTTTTTGGGTCGCTGGGCTTTGGGTTCTGCGCTCCATCGCAGTGTTTTGATCGCCACATGGACCTAAAACCCGCTCCTTTACCGCCTCTTCAGGCACAGGCACGCCAGGCACCTCGTCAATATGTCCGTTGGGGATTGCCTCTGGCTGCTGTCATATTGACCTTCCTGGCCTGGCCGGCCACATTACCGTCACGAACGTTGGTTGAGCCTGTGGATATCCCAGTCCCCTGGGATGAAATTACTCCTTCGCGGTCTTTGGAGTACCACTACTGTGGAGATGATTTCCAATGCGCGAGACTAGAGGTACCAATGGACTATGAACGGGGAGATGGACAAGGTCGCACGTTTGAATTGGCTATTGTCCGGCTACCAGCCAAAGTTCCAGTCACGGATCCTCGGTATGGCGGGGCGGTTCTGATCAATCCCGGTGAGTGCGGTTCAATGTTTCATGGGGAATCAAGCTCACAATGCAGGTGGACCTGGTGGACCAGGAACAATGCAAGCATTTGAGGCGGGTCCGAATCTCCAGTTGATCATCGATGCGGAGGCCGATCCAAGTGAGATCGGCGATGAACCTACTAATAGATATTTCGATATTATTGGGTTTGACCCTCGTGGGGTGGGATCCACAACGCCTCCGGTGATGTGTTTCCCTGATCCAGTGTCTCAGAGGAACTGGGAATTGCAAGTCTCCGCAGAAGGCATGCTGGGAAGTGGATTGGATTCGTTGCAGAAAAACTGGCAGCGGACTGAGGCCCTGAACTCGGGTTGCTCGGTATACGATATGTCGAGCTTGGGAACAGAGGAGCCAATGATGTCCTATATTAATACACCGCTGGTCGCACGGGACATGCTGACTATCATCGAACGCCATGGGGAATGGCGCGAAAAGGAAGGCCAGAAAGCCCAGGCAGCTCACATGAGATACCACCGGCCGGAGACAAATGCGATTTTGGAACGCACTAAATGGCGCCGCGGAGAAGAGCCACTCCTCTATTGGGGCCGCTCATACGGCACCGTATTGGGCACTACATTTGCCTCGCTCTTCCCAGAGCGAGTCACACGGGCTGTCCTCGATGGGGTGGTTGACATGGTCAAATACTACCAAGGGACGGGCCCAAATGTCATTGCTGATGCGGATGCTATCTTTGAGCGGTTTGGTCAGTACTGCAATGAGGCTGGACTTGTGGGATGTCCCTTTTATCTGGAAGGTGGTGCAGATGCTATCAAGGAAGCGTACTGGGAACTTGAGCAACAGATCCTCAACACATCGATCCCTGTGATGGCATCTGGGGCACGCGGACCAGAGGTTGTTACCTGGACAGACATCAAAGCCATTCAGCGTGTTGCTATCTACCAGCCCCTCCTTGCATTCCCCATCCTAGCAGATCGAATGAGCGAATTGGCCAAAGGAAATGCTATTCCTATGGCCGATTTTAAGCATGCAAGCCACTTCGGTGCATGTCCATCTAACAAATGCAGTCTGGCTGGGCCTTGGTCACCGGAATGTGCCACTACCCAGGACAACATGCTCTATGCTATGGCTGCTATTATGTGCTCGGATGCAGAATACATGACAAACCTGAATATCGCAGAGTTCCAAATAGAATGGGACAGTTTGAAGGCGGATAGTGCAGCGCTAGGTGACTACTGGGCGCAGATGCAATTGAGCTGCGTTGGATGGAAAGCCAAGGCCAAATACCAGTTCACAGGTACGTCCCAATTTGACCTTTCAGGGCGTTCTCAATTGACCAGCTCCAGGGCCCTGGGGCGCTGTTACTGCTCATCCCATGCTGTTTGTGTCAAATACCTTAGACCCAGTGACTCCTCTTCATAGGTGAATATCCCTTTCCTCGCGAGTAGCAGTTCGAACTAACTGTGCCAGTGCCCAACACATGTCTCAGATATTCCCAGGATCTGGATTGCTCCAGCAAGAATCAGAAGGGGTGAGTCTCCCAGGTTGGTTCATCGTGGTATCACCACTGACTTAATTCATCTAGCACACAACACTCGCAGCCCCATCGATCTGCGTGGCCAAAGCTATTCGCCATTACTTCCAAACGGGCACCTTACCTATGGTGGGAACGATTTGCGAGGCTGACCTCAAGCCATTAGTTGGCTCTCCGCACCATGCGACTGCCAGTCGAAGTTTCAGTCCATCCGACCGTAGACTCTTCGACGCACTGATGGCAGAGGTACAGCGGGCGCCTCTGTTTCCGATCTGATCTATACACGCCATTTTTCTTTCTTTTCTTTCTGTTTTGGTTAGATTATGTCGGGATTTGATCCAGTCAAGTACGATTTGATGCATTAATGATTCGAACTGCTATATTACTGCCCAGCGATTTGATCTATTTCGGTGTCATTCCAGTGTTATCTGAGCCCTTGTTTCTAATTCCACTCAACATGCTTTCTTTCATACATCTCAACTATAAGCCCCCAGAGCACGATGACGTATGCGGAGAACTGCCACAGCCTCGGTCCAATCGCCGACAGCCAGCAACCCCGCTTCGAGGGCCTCTCAGTGAAGCAGACCAGGCTAACCCTGCCATTTATAATCCCTCCACTGCGCTTCGCCAGGCTCAATTTCACCACAGATTCCAGAACACCCAAATATAATCATGGCTCCCCCAACTGCCACTGAGATCCAGGCGAATACCGTCAGCATCCAGACACAGTCGTCCCAGGCGGCGGGTGTCGAAAAGGCCAAGGTCAAAATGCCAATGCCCAGTGGCCCAGTGTTTGAAGATAAGCTGAAAGAACGGGAGTATTTGAAGGGCCGCTTGGCGGCAGCCTTCCGAATTTTTGGCGACAAGGGATACGACGAGGGTAGGAATGACCCTGCAACACGTCTAAGTTAGCGGGCTAATATTCTTCATTAGGTGTTGCTGGTCACATCACTGTTCGAGATCCGGTTGATCCGACAACATTCTGGGTGAACCCCTTCGGGACGGCATTTAAGTTGATGAAAGCATCGGACTTGATCCAAGTGGACCATGATGGCAAAGTCATCGCAGGAGGAGCAAACCGGATGTTGAATGCTGCTGCATTCATGATCCATTCCGCTATTCATGCAGCACGACCCGATGTGAACTGTGCAGCGCACAGTCATAGTCTTCATGGACGGGCATTCTGCTCGCTGGGCCGACCGCTTGATATCATCTCGCAAGACGCCTGTGCTTTCCACAATGTATGATGCACCGAGTTTCGATGCGCTGTTCTCACATGTGAAATTTAACTAACGATACTAGGACTTGGCACTCTATTCATCATTCAAGGGAGTTGTTTTGGCGGAGGAAGAAGGCCAAAACATTGCCAAAGCCCTTGGCAATAAAAAGGCGGCCCTTTTGCAAAACCATGGCCTTTTGACAGTTGGTAATACAATAGAAGAGACAGTATTCTGGTTTGTGAGTCTGGAGAAGTGCTGCTATGCACAACTTCTGGCGGACGCAGCAGCCGCTGGACGAGGCGGACAAACGGTGAAAATCGAGGAAGCCGATGCCGCATTCACGTACCAAACAGTGGGGACTCCGAAGGCTGGGTGGTTCAGCGCAAAGCCCCTGTTTGATGTGATCCACGCAGAAACCAAGGGTGAATATTTGGAGTGAGACTTTAGCTATAGCGGAATGCGATCTAGTGGGATCTTCGGAATAATGGAGCTCGGAACATCATGTAGCTTGATGATCTACACGGTAAAATTACATTCGTACTGCAATCTTCCCCAACGCCTGTCTCATTATCTATTATATCCTACATCAATGTTGCAGTCCGCGGCGAGTAGCAGACATCGATCCCATTCGCTAGAGGCAAATCCCACATGCGGGGCTCCGGACTGCATAGGATCTGTTTGAAGGGGGTTAACGCGTCAATCAGAAAGCGCTATCAACTAGGGCAGGGGAGTTTCACCAATGAGCCTGGTTTGAGGGTTGTTTTAACGTGAAACCTCCAGCCCTAAACGGCGTCGGGAGGCGCTCCGTTTCGATTCAATTCCACCACTCCACCGGCAGAAGTGTATCTATACACATCTTGCTGGGAAAATGTATAAATAGAGAGGGGTATCACGAACGATATGAGAACAGACCATACTCTTCTAATTTGAAATCCCCCGAGCGGAGGCACACCTGGTATACTTGCAACGTTTCGGTCTTCTGGCTCATCAATTCCAAGATGCGTTTTGTACTCTCTTTAATTGCCGCTGCTGGTCTTGCTAGTGCAGGACTTCTAGGAACACTCACTAAGAGGGATGACTATTGGGGTGGCAGCGTCTCACTCGGTCCTTCCCAGTCCACCATCGTCAATGCCGTCACAACACTGATTCCTGGGGATGCGCCACCAACTCAGAATGGTGTCCTGTTCCTCTGGCCGGGAGTGAGTCCCCATATCTCCTTCTGGATTTGATCATCGTTAAAGTCGACAGATGTCCAACGGTACTGGCGACCTGATCCAAACGACCCTCGAAAGCTGGCCTAGTAATGACTGGTGCGGAGCAACCACTGGCCAGTGGTGTGTACGCGCCAGTATCTTTGGAGGCTTTGGTCAGCTAGACGGACCCAGTTCGCCCGTTAGCGGGACCGATCAGGTGAGGATCGAGTACAATCTAGAGTCGGATGGACAGACCTGGAAGCAGTAAGTATGACATGGAACTACCCAAGTGCATGGCTAATATGTTTAGAACTGTCACCAATGGTCAGACTGGAGATCTTCTTTCCACCTACTCTTATGCCTCCGGTCCCTATATGCGAGGGTAAGTCCACACAGAATGCCACCATACCAAGAACCATGCTAACGCGAGATAGCTATGGCACCGGAACCGAGTGCAATGACAACTGCTCTGGAACTATTGCTGCACAGAAGTATTTGAACACGGTCATCACCCTTGCGTCGCCCGATACCACATTCGGTGCGACGATTGCTAGCGCGGGCGGTGCTACTTATACTGGACTCTCCTCGAGCGAGAATGGAAAAGTGTGGACTATCACACAGATCGATATTCCCGCTATGGATTAGATATGCATTGGGGGATCTTCATCGCAATTAGATTGCTGGGATATTATGCAGATCGGGTTGGCCAGTTTACTATTTCGTCCTACAATATTCGGATGTAGGATAGTCTCGGGCAAAACCATGAATTTCTCAATAGATTGGGTGATCATCATAACTATCTTGCTACATCATACATGGGTATATATAAGAGGTTCACCATCAACCGCGATAATCAAGCAGCACCTTCAATCGCACAGGACCAGGAGCCGCCGAGCCGCCAATACCATTCAGGTGCTTCTTTGAATGGGTATAAGCATCAACCACTTTCTTAGCATGGGGAGTGATAATCGAGCATCCCTTCCCATTAGCCTGACAGATCGACATTCCCTGCACGTGGTGACGGGCAGCCTGCGCCTGAATAGCCGAAACATCCCAGCCCGACCAGCCATGATTCTCGCCATCACCAAATGTAAACTCGCCCCAGGTACAGGAATATCCACCAAATTGATCAGTGGGCAGATGGTCTCCAGGGGCAGCACCCCACGCACCCTCAGAGTCCTCATCGAAAGCAACATAGCGCGTCTCGCCGGGCGCAAGACTAAAAGACACGGCCGAATGACCATACCACCCAGTCATTTTACCATCAGGCCCAAACTTGTTCCAGAAAACGACAGTCCAGGGCTCTACATTCGAACCCGTGAACTGTGCCACGTACTTGTATTGGTGTGCTTGTTCGGGTCTGATAGTGATGATATTGCTTCCCCAGGGCGTGCCGACGTTGCCATGATAGTGGATCTCCTTGCCATGTGTAGAGGTCCGTCCTCCGAACCCTTTGCTCAGGAATCTATCCCCCGGTACCGTTGCAGTCCAGTCCAATGGTGCGGACTGGGCTGGTTGGGAGCCTGGGAGGATCTGGTCGATCACATGGATATCTGGGATGACTTGGCCTGGTAGATCGAAGACGGCGTTGAGTGGTCCACTGTTCGGGGGAGGGGGAGGGGTGTTTTTGGTTTGGATATTCTTTCTTTCTTCTGTCGAGCCCTTGGGGAGGGTTCTTGCCAACGGAATGGCATTCCCTGCCTTCGAGGGGTTCCTGGGAGATGAGTCTGCAACGTGCGTAGGGTTGGCTCCGGGGTGCACGGTCACCCTTACTGTATGTGTTGCCGTCTTGGTGATTGTCTTTGTGTTGTACATGGTAGTAGTCTCCTCAGACTCCGTTGGCTTGGGGGCTGGAGGTCCGGGCTGCGGTTCAGGTTGGTCCCGTTGGGCCTGGAATGGCGCGGGAGGTGTATGATTGTGCGCCAGGTGATTGGTTGTATATACTGTGGGCTCAGCCTTCGCTTTCACGAGCGTAAGCGTAGAGCGAGAAGTACTGGTTGGTGCGCAGTATCCAAAAACCGTTGTCGTGGTAGTTCGAGTGATGGATTCAACCACGACATCACCTGGGATATTGACCTGGCCATCCCAGGCCAGGTCTCTCGGTTCCAGATTCTCGGCATGTGGAATCAATTGGCGACGGCGATGGCCATGGGCAAGATGGTGGTGTAAGCCAGCAAAGGCGTACCCAACCAAGCCCGCAAAGACGAACAATATAGTCACGCTCCGCATTGCAAAAGAAACACGACTTTTACGATCGGTATTAGATCTATGAACTTTAAAAGCCGACGATCGATGCAAAGGGATAGGCGTCAATTGTATGATCCCAAAAATTGATGCTGAAAACAAGAGGCACGCGCTCAGTTCATCAGATCCATAGTGGTAGCGTGGTGTCGTCTGTCGTTGTCGTAGATGTCAAAAAGCACGCGATCTGGGGACGCGATCTGGTTATATACAGCCCTTGGAGCCAAGGTCTGGACTATTCATGAGGAATGTACTCGCAAACTGGATTTGTGAAGGGTTCCAAAGGGACTGTAGCAGCCCCGAATTCCAGGGCTTCTTGGCCTATCTTGGCTCTCGAAGCTACATTTTCCTGGCGATAGGATTGGGTTTCTGTGACTGTGTTTAAAATCAATTCTTATTTGTTTATTGGTCAGAAGAGTCATAGAAAAGGTAGTGTAGGGGTTCGTGGAGGTCATGTCGTGTCCGAGGTCAACCCTACGCCTCTGAAGCCCCTCGCGTCGCATTCCAGTCCGAATCACATTTATCCCCTGTCCTCTTCGCCACATCGATGTGCTCGTGTCTTTAGTGTACGGTGTAGTTTATTTGAATCTTTTTGGTGTGATTAATACTACCACTTTCATCACTTTCATGGCTGGATCGGATAAGTGGACATGTATTAAATGAGAGTATCAATAAATGTGACCAAGGAATGAACATATCGACAAAGTAACAAGGGGCCATATTCCCACAAAAGATAACCAAGTTCATAAAGCTCACTCTCAAAAGACAGACAACTGAGCACATTTTTTTGGTCTCTTCTTTGTTTTTCCGAACGCAAGACTGACAATGTATTATGCCTCCAGTGTTGTTTATCTTCCTAAAAGACTACCATGCACAGGATCCCGAGACCTGAGTCTGTGGGGGTCCAACGTCGACCTGCTGTGTACCAGTAACAGTGGTAACACTGTTGTCAATGCCATTGAAGACGCAGTTAATACCATCGGTGTTGGTTTCAATGTGAGAAATGCTCAAAGGGTTGGCTATAGCAGTTAGAGACTTTCCTTCTTGGGATACACAATATATATACGTACTGATTTCAATCCATTCTCCAGTTGCAGGGAAGCCCTGGGTAAATTGAGCATCGGCAGCCCCAAGGAAAGTGACCTGCACGTGGTCCTGATCCCCCGTGGGAGGAGGAGTGGTAGAAGGAGGTGGAGATGAATCCGATGCCTGAGCCTGGCAAGACCCAGTCACCTGGGTCTGCGGAGGACCGACATCAACCCATTCGGCGCCATTGATGACGGTCACGCTATGGTCAATGCCATTGAACGTGCATTGGACCTCAGCAGTGTTAGATGAGATGTGAGAGATACTCAGAAGATTGTCTAATTGAGTTAGCATTGTCTCTTTCACAGTCTTGGCCTGACTGCCTGCAAACAATCGAGACTCACCGATTGAGACAGCTGATCCATCAGTCGGGAAGCTTTGAGTGAACTGAGCGTCGGCAGCACCAATGAAGGTGATCTCAACTTGGTCATTTCTGGGCTTCAATGGAACTGCGCTAGCAGTAGCTGCATAGGCAACAAAGAGACCGAGAATTGCAGAGGACTTCATTGTAGAAGATGTTTGGAATATGTAGAATGCAGAGAGTGTTGTTCAAAGTTGTTCTGATTGTATGAATTGATACAGACCATCGATGAGATACTGAAGGGCCTTATATATGTTTTTTTCCTATATACTTCCAAAGTAGGCTTGCAATGCGATGTTGACAATATTGCTAATATTAGACCGGGCCATATTCCATGCTGTGTCGGATAGTGGCGTTATGATGTCTACTATGGTGAAAAACATAGCCACTATTGGCCTGAAGATAGAGTGAATGACAGGATTGAGTAGGGATGTTTTAGTTGACCCAAGGTCCTCAACGCTGGAGACTTGCCGGTGATGGTTGAGTGTATCAGCTGTTCCTCCATGGCTACCTCGAAAACAGCGGGTTCCTGTCCAATGGGATCTAACTTGACTTCCATTTCAGGGAAGATCCTCTTTTTCCCCCGCGATCTCCCCTGGTCCCATGGTAAGCCTTACATAGTTCCATGGCCAGCCCTGGAGAGCAGTACTAAATATAACATCCCGAGATCACCAGGTGTCTTGGCCCCGTAATACAATTCGATGAGAGTGGGCACAGCTGAAGTAGCAACGTGAACAAGACATTGCTAACGTGGTCAACAATACGAGCAGTTTTCTATATTGGCAGCGAACTCAACGGCATAGATTTGCACGGCTCGGCATAACCTGATAGCAAGGTGTTGAGGTGCATCTTCTCCGGTGGCAAACCATTGAAGCCAAGACATTGTCAATATTTTCAACACTTTCGCGTTTGGTTTGTTCGAAGGATCTTTTACAATAGTGTTGGAGATTCGCCTCCTGTTAGCCTTTTAGGCTCTTTCGTGAAATATCTCTTGTGGCTCGCCCTCCCGCGCACAGGGACTTCGACTGGTATCACCGGAAACATCGGCATAAGGACGTCAAACTCGTATACTCGTGCGGCAGGACCAAAATCCCCGAGCACGCCCTTTGCAGACTCGCGCAGAAGACCCTTCGCAGGTGGCCTTTTAGGCCACCTGCACTGCCTGACAACAAGGCAGAAGCCCTGGCTTACCTTCAGGGACTCAGCCTTACTGACTTCGAGGAGCTTCTCCGAGTGACAGCGTCTTACTCCAGGATGTGCACCTGTTAGCGGCTCCCGTTCCCTTCTCCCCTTTCGTTGGACCTAAACCACGCTCCATAAAACTCCAACACCCGACAATATGGGAGGCAGCAATTCTGGCCTGATAAACAAGGCTGTAAGGCCATGATGGATTTGTAATCCGCCTGCGAGTCAGGTGAAGTCCGACCTCGGGAGGCTTCATGTCTGTCGGCCTAACATCCATTGTATTCACTACTCCGTACTCCGTACATAGTATCCAATGGAGACTGCATGTTACTGATCAACCTCGTATCTCCAATTGCTCCAATTCCGTCCACTCCGCAATCCACCTCCATGCTCCGCCTAGCTTCTCAGAAATGCAGGCGCTAAACCCGTTGGGGGTAAAGATGCGCCCGGTGGTCTACTCAACGGCCAATCAGACGGCCTTGGGAGCGCGAAAGATTTACCCAAAAGGGAACGAACTGGTTCGTGCGAATATAAATGCAGTGCCATGCCCATGCAGAACGATTCATCATTATCCATCATGGCAAGCCTTCACCCCTTCGATCCCATCACTCCTGGGGAGATCCGATTGGCGGTCTCCGTTTTGGAAGCCGCCTTTCCCGGTGTCAAGCTACGCCACAAGCGCATTGATCTCCAGGAACCCGCCAAGCATGAGGTGGTACCATTCCTTGAGGCCGAACGCCTAGGTGAAGTGCGCCCGCGTAAGCCAGCCCGCTTGTTGATGGCACTCTTCCACAGGTTGGACAATGGGTCCTTCTTCAAGGCCCTGGTGAACGCAGACACCAAGTCCATCGTGTCAGCGAAAGAGCTGCCCAAGGATGTCCAGGGTCCACTGGATGTCGACGAAATGATGGAAATTGAACAGCTGTGTCTCAACCATCCTGCCGTCAAAGCCGAGATCGAAAAGCTGAAGCTTCCTGCTGGCCACACGGTATGCTTGGACCCGTGGATCTACGGTACCGAAGATGCCAAGGAGACTCGGCGGTTGTTCCAGTGCTATATGTACATTGTCGCGACAGATCACCCTCAGAACAACCAGTATTCTCTACCCTGCAAGTTCTCCCCGGTCTTCGATGGCATCTCCCGCGAACTAGTCCGTATGGATTACCTGCCTGGTGGGGCCGATGCCCAAACCACCGAAACACAGCCCTGGAAGCAGGTCTCTACTGTGCAATACGCACATGATCTCTTGAGCGAGCCTCTGCGCACAGATCTGAAGCCCTATATTGTCCAACAACCAGAGGGAGCGTCATTCAATGTTATTGGAAATGCCGTATCATGGCAAAAGTGGCGGTTCCGTGTGGGTTTCAACAACCGAGAAGGTCTTGTGCTACACAATGTCACATACGATGGTCGCAACACCTTCTACCGTCTATCTTTCTCTGAGATGACAGTCCCTTACGGCGGTATGTGATAATTATTCCCTCTTTGTTAACATATCTAACTTGTTCTAGACCCTCGTGCTCCCTACCACCGCAAGCAAGCCTTTGACGTTGGCGATGTCGGTTTCGGTATCACAGCTAACCAACTGAGCCTCGGCTGTGATTGTCTTGGCCACATTAAGTATTTTGATGGTTATCGCACAGATGCACAGGGTACCCCAATCCAACTTCAAAATGTCATCTGCATGCACGAGCAGGACAATGGATTGCAGCACAAGCACACCAACTACCGCAGTGGTGCGGCAACGGTCGTTCGTAACCGCCAGCTCGTTATTCAGATGATCTGCACCGTTGCGAACTACGAATACATCTTTGCCTTCATCCTTGACCAAGCAGCTAATATTGAACTCGAGGTGCGAGCAACGGGTATCCTTTCAACAGTGCCTTTCGACAATGAGAGCGGCCAAACCGTACCATGGGGCACCAATGTCGGACCAGGCGTCATGGCCCCCTTCCACCAGCACATGTTCTCCCTCCGTATCGACCCGGCCCTAGACGGCTTCAAGAACACAATTTATTACGAGGACAGCGTGCCTATGCCTGAGGATGAGAACAATCCATGGCTTGTCGGGTACACCACGGAACAAAACGTTATCAAGTCCAGTGGAAGCTCATTGACTAGCGTTGATCGCCACCGCATATTCAAGATCCGCAATGACTCAATTATCAACCCTATCACCCACCACCCAATTGCCTACAAGCTACAAACGAATCCAAGCCAGATGCTTCTCGCACACCCGAACTCGTTCGGCTCGAAGCGTGCCCGCTTCGCAACCCGCCCTATCTGGGTTACCAAATACCAGGATGACGAGCTATTCGCTGCCGGCGAATTCACCAACCAGAGCAAGCAGTCCGAGGGTGTGGAAGTGTGGGCTGGACGCAATGATGCAGTTGAAAATGAAGATGTTGTTCTTTGGCACAGTATGTTAACCACCCCGTCCCTCTATCGCAGGAGACTGACCTTTCTTTTAGCATTCGGTCTGACTCACAACCCTCGTATTGAGGACTTCCCTGTTATGCCGGTGGAGCGTGTCAGCGTGATGCTCAAGCCGGATGGATTCTTCACCAAGAATCCTGCGCTGGATGTGCCCGCGTCGAGCCAGTCCTTCAACAAGTCTACTCTGCACCCCGAGCCGACTTGCTGTGCGGCTCCTCAGGAGCGAGGACAGGTGAAGCTGTAGTCATGGATGTGAATTTCGGACTCTAGAAATAACATGTATATACGAATTTTCTAGCGAAAATGTAACGAATACATTTCGATTGGATGAACCCTCTCAAAGAACGGTGTAGTTCTCGGTATTTGTCTACCTCTTTAGCCGCTTCAAGGTTGAAACTGGAAACCAGGAAATCAAGCTCTGTACCCTCATCTCCAACGCAGCACATTCGTTCTTTTGCGAATTCAAAGATAGCGGTGCTTACGCTAGACGAATTGCAGAAGAAATCAGTCAAAGGGGGGCTTTTAACCCCTGGACAATCGAGCAGAAACCATCAGTGGTGCTCGACAAGAAGTAGTCTCTACCTGTATGGTCGATCGAGATTAATGGACTAGATTGATAAAATGATAGCAAAGAGATATTAAACTCCATTTTCAAAGCTACAATCTGAATGTCTCGGAGTGGAACTGGGCGAGCACTTGAATTAGTCGTCGCCAGTTTGCTCCCCAGCAAGTTATCTGCTCCATCTCCATTTCCACCCTCAAAGCAAAACAATACCAGTGAAATCAAGCCACCGAAAAGCGGTTCTTAATGCTCCTCGATAGAAAGTGTCTTGGCCCACTCATCCCCCGAAAGGACAGCAGTCTTACCCGCGAAGATCCTTTCCATCAACATGCGATGCACCTCCTCATCCCGATCCATGCAGCAATCCTCCAGGACCGTAACCCGATAGTCCATATCCATCGCCTGACGCACAGTAGATAGAACAGCCCCACTGGTGATCAACCCAGCAACAACGATAGCGTCGGCATTGGCGCAGCGCAAAAGCATATCCAGTTCCGTCGTGAAAAAGGCCGAGACGCGACGCTTGGTGAGAACCACTTCTCCCGGGATGGGCGCAATCGCGGGGTGGACGTGGGTCGAGGACTGGCCTTCGAGGTATTCACCGCGCGCGACGACCGAAGAGACAGAGGTGTTGTTTGGATTGTTCTCTGGGTAACCGGGGCGGAAGGCGGTGACAACGTGGATGATTGGGAGGTTTGCCTTGCGTGCAGATGTGACTGTCGATGCGAGGCGTTGGAGATATGGCCCGGTGTTTTTGAGGCGGTCGATGACCCCGTTTTGGACGTCGAGGATGATGAGAACGGTTGCCATGGTGGTTTGTTGATGGGAGAGGTTGAAGTGGTTGAGGTTGGAAAAGGTCATGAAGCGTCACAAACTCGGAGCAACACTTGGGTGTTACATGCCACTAGACGTACGGAAGAGGAAGGGGTTGAAGAGTTGAGCTTCAGACACGGAAATTGGATTCTTTTCTACGGAACATACTATATACTCGATACTGGATACTAGATACTACCTGGATATTATGAGTCCACACAAAATTCATAGATGGAGAAATGAAAGACAACATATCAGAAGAAAGGAACGAAATCCAAGAAATTGAAGGGAGAGGAAAGAAAAGAAAAAAGTAAAGAAAAAGAGGTGATAGAGATGCAACAAGTCATCAGCCAAATGCCCCTGGTCAACGGGCCCTTGATTTTTTAGATGACCGTGGCACCTTGATCCCACATCTCTGAAGCTCCCAAATGCACTTGGCATATTCTATCACCATCTCCTCCCGCAGCCGCTTCTTAGACTTGGACGACGCTGCTTCGTACTTATCAAACATCCTGCTGAAAGTCTCATTGGAGATCACCGAGCTGGTTACCGTTGGGGATGCTCGGGGTGGAGATGATCTAGGCGTCTTCGGTTGCTTTGGGGTTCGGCGTGGTGTGACAGCTGCGATATTGCAGGATTCGTCGCTGCTGGATTGCTCGGATTCATCCTGCTCCACTTTATCCGCAATACCATCCGAGTCTTCGATATCTTCCGAGCTATCAGAAGTTTCTGATTCTGGTGAGATCTCACCGCGAGTTTCCCTTGGTTGTGACTCTTGCAGTGACTGCCGCGAAGGTGACTGATCTTGGGGAACAATGACGGATGCAGCAATGGAAGCCTCTTCGACATCAGTAGCGGCATTAGTGTTCTCTGTCCCGCTGCTCGTATCGAGATATGTGTGACGACCATAAGCACGTGTCGGAGTGTTGGGCTCGACAGTTTGAGAGCGAATTCGATCACCCTTGCGGCGGCTAAGCAGCCGATCACCATCGGCAGGAATTAAGCAGGCTTGAGACCATGCGCCCTTCGATTCTTCCTCTCGGTCGGGATAACTGAGTTCACGGTCAACAAAGGTCGCGAATTGCGATGCTGAGATGGTGTATGGCCCTTGCAATTGTAGGTGTGGCGTCATGTGCTCTCGTAGCTGTTTCTTCATATGCTCTGCATAAAGCTTGTCGAGAGCCTCAATTATTCCGTTGTCGAAGGGGTTGAGATATTCACTGCCTTTTTTGGGAATGCAAAGACAGATGACCTTTCTCTCCCAGCAGTTCACAAAGAATTCAGGTGTTACGGGAAACGATTCATCAATCAGCAAGAGACGATGTTGATTTTGATCACGTCGTTGACCCCGGTTGCGGCGTAGAGATGAACTTGTCTCCCTCTCGAAAACACTGTTCAGCCAATCCAGCGCATGCGTTGTCTCAGCCCAACCCGTAGTGTTGTATGATATTGTGACTCGGCCGTCGTACTTTTTCGGTCCCCGAACATTGGATGACTTGAAAATGACGTACGGTGAAAGTGGCTTCCCACAAGCCGGATGACAGTAGATGACTGACGCCAATTCGCGGTTTCCAGAAGATCCCCGGCGGCGAATATTCAAAAGCCTCTTATCTTTTTGAATCGCAGTGGCATATCCAGTATCCGAGAGAACATAGGTTTGCTCATCTTGGATGTCATGCTTTGATCGAATGGCTGCGAACAGCTTAATGAATTCGCACAGCGTAGTATCTTCGACTTCGGGATTCTTGTTAGACAGTTGCTGTTTTTCTAATTTTCGGTCATTTTTGAACTTCTCGTGAAATTCATGATTGCGAGCGAATATCCCATGATGGCGACTGATACCGCTGTCTGGGTTGCCACAATGCTTGAGATAAGCACTGGCAATTTGTGACACCATGTCTTGTTTCTTGAGATGGAACCCGTGATCCCTCCATCGCGTAACGTAGTCAATGACTGCAAGATCCTCACTGGCTGTAAGCCTATCGGGGGATGCCTGCGGCTCGCGGGGTATACCATCTTCTTCTCTGGGCCCTAGAATCCCGGACCTTCTTCTCATTCTTGCTGCACTGTGGTTCACCATCATCTCTGATCGAATGACATGCGACTCCGGCGCATTCACCACATAAAGCCGACCTGGCATGGCCAAGTGCTATCTTTTCAACGTTCCGTCTGAGATGATTCCACGATTGGGGTGAGCCAATGATGGCGAGCAGAGATCATTCAAGTCCCTGAAACGCAGTTTCTCAGGAACGAGAGCAGCAAGGAGGCACCTGGGACGTTCTAGGGCGCCTAGAGAAAAGAATAGAGGAGAAGTTTTAGCATTGAAAGCGAGCCACGGGTTAAAAACACTGATCAAAGGCTCCACCCTTTTTAACATGCTGCGTTTTGTGTGGCTATTCTGGCTTTTTTCTTTTTTTTTTCTTTTGACGCGAAGCCATTAATTCGGGGGTAAAGTGGATGCTTCGCTGATTTCTATTTGTGACGTGTAACCGCCCAGGTTCTCTTCTGGCTTCCTTTTTGTCGAGAATAATTTTCCGGGGAGCAGCTGTCAGTTCCTGAGCAAGAATGAGACATATCTGGAAGCTGAATAATGAATAAACCCTGGTGTAGCAGCAGGTTTATACAGAATGAGAGATTTTCCAGCGCGGGTGCCGACCTCGGGGTTCTCTCAAAGTAGATAGCTCACTCACACTGTTGCAAATGGACGTTCATGTGTCACAATCACCCGAACTGTCTGCATTTTGTTAAGCATCCCCTGATCTTTTGCAGCATTGAGCTTTGCAGGACATAGTCCCTAGATATTATCATCGCTCTAGCTTTCTGCCTCGCTTGAGCAAAATATCGCCTCGGATTCCGAATAATCCGATTTGCCGGGGGGTCTTCTGATCTTCTCATCCCGACTGTCACAAGTTATCATTTTGTGTCTTATCCGCTCGATGTAACCGCTTGATTGCACGAAAGAGGGGGAGAGAGAACGGTGCGCTATGAGCGACTGTGAGGTAGACTGGGGCTCTGAAATCACTTGGGCTCCGAGTTTCCTTTGTGACCCTCAAAATTGGCCAGCATACATGGAATTTCGATTTGGTATTCCGATCAGGTCCGCTCAAAAATGGATGGAAGTGTAAAAAGTACCATTTTTCATTTTGAACTTGTGGTGAGCATCATGACGGGGCCGAACTATGAGAGAGCAGCTGGGCCCAAGTCATGTACTTGGTTCTCTCTAGGGGGTCGTGTTAGCGGCCATAGGGCTCCAGTGTCGCAGAACATGCGTATCACTCTCAGTATTAACCATTGACTGTAGACATGACCCGAGAATAGAAACCACATGTAGTTGCAAGTTGCAAGTTGCAGCTCCCGAGTCGACCCTCAGGGGACCCGGGGGCTTGTGACCCGATTATGTAACGATTCATGACGTCGACACCGAAACTGTAAAACAGACATTCCTCGACATTGACCCTTCTACCATGACTCGCTTGGATCCTGGAATGGCCAAGGAGATCTCACTCCCGCCCACATGTTCACCTGATCTAGTATAAAACCACTATGGCTGTGCCATCAGTCCCATTAACCCACGGCGGCGACAGTGAGTGTTTATAGCTCATGACCCCAAGTCTGGGATACTCACAGGATGAACAGCGTTTCTGAGCTCGGTTGCGGCACTAAATGGGCGCGTTTTTGACACGGACCCCGTCATCGGTTATATGTTACTAGATCTGTCGGAGAAAGAACGGCTGGCCTATTTACCGACATATTGGTCCACAATCATCAAGTCGGCCCTGTTAAACAAAGCACTCATTACCGAGGCGGATGGTTGGAAAGCGGCATCGGTCATCGTGCCGCCAGGGCGATACCTTGACAATGTATGGACTCTTCTGTCAGCCGGTTTCCTAGGCGTTTTGTGGAGAATAGGGTTCCCAGGTTTCAAGGTAAGAGAAAATTGATCAATTCCACGCGGGCCTAAGCACCTTACCTGTTTAATGACTGTGTAGCGTCTTTGGTTCGAGTTCTCTGGCATGACCGACAACGCAAAAAGAAAAGGCTTACGCGGAAAGAGTCGGTTTTACTACGTCTTCAGTCTCGGAACTGAGCGCGAACACCGCGGGAAGGGTAATGAGACTACACTTATCCCCCCATGCTGCTATATCTCGTGCTAAACCTTTTGCAGGACTTGCCAAAGCGATCATGCTAGACCATCAGCAAACCGCCCAAGCAGCAAATCTCCCGATTTGGCTCGAGGCAACGACCCCGAGCTCACGTGGTCTCTACCTCTCGATGGGATTTGAAGAAGTCGAGGAGATATTGCTCGGAAAAGGCAAGGTTGCTGCTGATGCCAGTCTTCAGCCTGGTGGGCCAGGTATACCTCTGTGGGCGATGGTGTGGTGGCCACAGCCCGAAAAAAGCACTTAATTCCTAGCTCTTATGCTTCTGGTTATTTATACGTCTATTCCTATTACAGTCAAGAATTAATCAACGCATAATCATTCTGCGTTGTTCAAACCGGGAAATTTGTTGCTTTGTATCGGAAATAACCCAGTGTCCAGTAGTAGCTTAAGTCAATCGAGTAGCTTTGCCAACTGTAAAAGCAACAGACCGCGTAGCAGACGCCATTTCACTTATAGAACCACTTTGAAACATCAATTTATTGGCTCTTTCCCGGCATCTGTCCTCTCGGGGGACCCTTGCAAGATCAAAAAGCGGCCACCACTGTTTATCGCATGTGCCTTTGGCCTTGAATGGCTCTACGTCTTGCAAACCGACAAAATAACTGCACAGGGCACTAGCGAAGTTTCCAAAGCATAAATAGCGTTAAGCAGCATACAGAGAGCGTGTATTGGTCTCCCAGACCAGGTCCTTTGAGCTAGCCCAAGGGGAAAATACCCTGCGAATGTGTCTACCTAAGGCTCGGGCGTCGATTTCGATTGGAATCAAAAAGATTTGCCTGAATATGCCTGGATATAGGCTAGCAAAAAGCTTAGGATACCTGAAATACTATGACAAAGTGTTTAATAAATGCCTAGTCAAGACACTTACGTCCAGCCTTAGAAGGCAGGCAGGCAAAATGAAGCCTTTCATATAGTCCGCCGCGTTTGTGGGCTTACAATGTCTTTCTATTGGTCTTTTGAACTACGTTCTTAAAGGCCTTTTGAGAAGTCATTTTTACAGATATCTCCTTCTCTTCTCAAGATATACCTATAATGTCCGAACGGCTTCGATTGCAGGAATAGCTTTGACCAGGGACTATGATTCGCAATATAGTGATGAGCGGTCTAAAGTCAGGCCTGCCTATTCAGGTAACAAACTCGATTTCAATTGAAACTGACCCCTGAGCGCTATACACTTTTGTATATGGCCTTACTTGTAGCAAACTTCTACTTGAAGGATGCCCACTACAATAGAACAATTGTATAAGAGATAACGTGAATTATCATTAGAGAACATTAAACATCATAATTGCGTTCGTTGCAATCGATATAAGAAAATCATAAAATATAAGCTACTCACAGTGCCTTAAGCAATTCCTGGATCAAAGGCAAGAAGCTTGTAACATCATCGATCAGGATCGAGGTCTCATTGACGAACTTGGGCGTCAGAAGATCACCCGCATTATTCAAGAGCGCGCTGACATCTGAGATGGTAGAGGGTTTGAGCAGCTTCTTGACTTCGGGAACGAGGTCGGGCAAGGGTCCAAGCAGGTCCTTGAGCGAGCTGACCAGCTTGGGGGTCAAGAGGCCATCGGCATTGTCGATAAGACCAGACGTCTCGCTGACGAAGCTCGGTGTAAGCAAGGTAGTAGCGTTGGTCACGATGTATCCGAGATCGGTGATGATGGTGGAGTTCAGCAGCGACTTTCGGAGATCCGGGACCAAAGGCACCACGTCGTTGAGAAGATCCTTCAGCCCGTGGACGATGGTTGGGGTGAGCAGATCGTCGGCACTGTCGATCAGACCAACGGTCTCGTTGACGAACTTGGGGGTCAAGAGGCTGTTGGCATTGCTCAATAAAGAGGTGATAGCAGATATGGTGCTCTTGGTCAGGAGTGACTTCAACTCGGGCAGCAGAGGAAGGACTTGGTTCAAGATTGACTTCAATGCCTTGCCCAGTTCCGGAGTCAGGAGGTCGTCGGCTGTGCCAACCAGGCTCTTGGTCTCGTTGATAAAGTTGGGCGTTAGCAAGGTTCCGGCATTCTTCAGGAGATCCTCGATCGAGTTGATGGACTCCTTGGTCAACAGCGACTTCAACTCGGGGATCAAAGGAGTAAGATCACGGAGCAGTGACTTCAGAGCCTTGATCAAGTCCGGAGTGAGGAGACCGACAGCCTCGGTGATCAGGGTATTGGTGTCCTTGACGAAGGAGTCGGTGAGCAGCTTGTTGGCGTTGATCAGCACGTTCTCAATCGCCTTGATGGTAGCTGGCTTAAGGAGGCCCTTGATATCTGGCAGCAGAGGAGTGATCTGCTTGAGGAGAGGAGTGACCTCCTTGAGCAAGCCCTTCAATGCGCTGACGGTCTCCGGTGTCAAAAGGTCGCCAGCTCCATCGATCAAATTAGAGGTCTGTTTCACGAAGTCGCTGGTCAACAGGTTGGCAGCATTGCCGAGTAGACCCTCAATCTTCTTGATATTGCCCTCAGTAAGAAGTCCACTGGCCTGGCTAATAAGAGGACCGGCCTGTTTGATGAGCTTGCCTGTTGTATCAATGAAGCTGGGCGTGAGCAGCTTGTTGGCATTGGACAAAAGCGACTCGATAGCTTTGACATTGTTATCAGTGAGTAGGCCGCTGGCATCATCGATAAGAGGGCTGGCCTTGCTGATGAGATTGTTGGTCTCCTTGACAAACTTGGGAGTGAGCAGCGTGTTGCCGTTGGTGACAAGTGACTCAATTGCCTTGACGTTCCTTTCAGTAAGAAGCCCGCTGGCGTTGTCGATGAGCGGGCTAGCTTTGCTAATGAGGTTGTTGGTATTCTTGACAAATTTGCTAGTGAGAAGATTGTTGCCATTGTCGACAAGGTTTTCCACCTTATGAAGGAACTCAGGGGTGAGCACTTCACCGGCAGTGTCGAGAAGATTCCCGATTGCCTTAGTATTCTTCTCGGTCAAGAGGCCAGCAGCATTATTCACCAAGGTTCGAATATTTTTGTCAACCGGGGGTGCCAAACTAGTGGCGAAATACTCGAAGCTGTCGGTAACCTGGCCCAAGAATGCCGGGTCAAGCAGACTTTCGACGCCACGCAAAAGCTCTGGCAAGCCACCAGAGCCCTCACCTCCGAACAATTTGCTGATGGTGTCTTTCAAGTCGCCTAGGACACCCTTTACTGAGTTCTCGTCGTCATCATCGGAATTGGAAGACGGAGCTGACTTGATGTTTGAGGTGTCTGAAGAACCAGAGGCAGTCTCGCTAGGCTCGGCAGCCGAGTTATCAACCGATGTAGTAGCGGAATCAGCAGTTTCAGTGGCTGCATCGGACGTCTCTTTATTATCGCCGTTGAGAGCTGTCTTGATGCCACCGACCACCGATTCCACGGGGTTAGGGAGCTTAGTTGTAGTTGGCTCCGCCTGCTCAGCAGAGGCTGTATCATCTTCGTTTGGTGCGGCAACATTGGCGGCGTTAGGGGTATTTGCAGCGGTTTCGGAGGGTTCGGCAGCAGTTGGTTTGGCAGCAGAAGTATTCGCAACATTAGCCTGATTAACATTGTTCTCTTGCTGCTGAGTGGCCGTGGTCGGGGCGGCCTCCTCCATAACGTTTGCGAGAGGTGTGGATACAGCCCCAGCTGAAGCAGCTGCCGGGCTTGCTCCTGTCACATTTATTGTGAACAGGAGCGCGGTAGTCAAGGTCGGCAACAGACGCATGGTGTCAAGTGGATCAATCTGGGGTGGCTATGTTTTCGTGTCTCTGTTCGATTGATATTTTGTCTTGACAGTCAAACTGGCGTCGATTCCCCAAACCTGCCGTGCAAAGGTTTGTTGCGGCGCAGGAAGAGCCTTCAGAAGATCGAAGAATCTAACCCCGGAAGAAGCCTGCTCTTTATTTGCAATGCGATTATGCCGATCCTCGTACACCAGATACGGTCATTCCCTACCTGACTCCCCAAAATCGCACTAACCTCTCTTTTTTTCTGTGCGCCCATCGCACATAGTCACTCCATCATCGCCGAGGAAATATGGATTGACACCGAGGTAGAATGCCGATGAGCTCCCATGTGATGGACAGCTCTGATCACAACTCCACCCCGGAGAGTGTGCAATAGGTACTTCTCCATCGCCCGTGCCTGGGGACTTGGTAGAGATCGGCATGCCTAGCTGTAGAGGAGAAAAGGTGGATGATCTCCGCCCCCGAGGTACGGCCAGGCACATGTATCGGCTTCTGGGCAATTCAAGGTAGGCCGGGATACTCCGTACAGTAGAGGAGTATAGCTCAAGGCTATGAAGGGTATATTGGCGTGGGGGAAGCGGTGCGGGATTTCTGGGGGCCAAGACCCGAGGAAGCGGGGATGGTGTCTTGTTTTCCCACAAAGTCAGGAGCCATGGAGTCATTCAAACCAATGATGGCGTGGCTGAAATGATGAACAAGAATAAGAACAAGGCAAAGCTCAGAAAAGTTCGAAAAAATGAGGGGGAAGCTCGGACATGACCTCCAAGAGGAAACGAACTGCACTCTTTCTCCAGCCTCCAACGGGGATTTCGCAGATCTCTCGTTTAACCCGTCAAAGGTTACTCCACACTCCGTATGGGACATAGGTTTCCCCATAACCGTTGAGTTGTATATGTTGATGTTGCCTGATATCCCGGAAGATGTGGCTTTGTCCTCTCCCTCTATACTTCGTGTCGAACGTGCGTTGTACTGGTATCTTCTTTATCCCAAGGTTATATTGGCAAAGGAAATAACCACAGAAGAATATCGACGATGGAAAAGATGCAGCTTGATTATCACATATATATCACGTATTGATTCTTAACAAGTGAACAAAAAAAAGAAGCCAGAATGGGGCCTTGGAGAGAATCGACCACTAGTGTCTTGAGTGACTTCGGGGCGACCTAACCAAAGCAGTTGGGATCGTCAAATGGGTTAATCTCGACAGGGAAAGCTTAAGCGTTCATCTTCTTTTGGCCTTGGGGTCTATTACGTTCCTTTTGTCTATGATTTGGCATGCGAGGACCGGACTACATGCACATATACGATATACATGTTTGTGGCGTCTGATACCACCCCTACACAACCCTATCTCCATACACCTTTTTAACAGCGTCACCCGCCTCTCCGGCACTCAAGGTCAATTGTGTCGAGTGATTGATAAGTCAAATGTCATACCGGCAAGCCCTATCGTGATTGGCCATGTTTCTTAGCAGATCTTTATTCCTTCCAGCCTTTGCCCGGGACTCCGATCCCAATCCATCCAAACTCCCGCCCAGGCAAGTACCCCGAGCTCTCCCAGTCAATCACCGTTTTCGCTTCCAAGTTGGATGGGCCCATCACTGGATTTCCATGAACGTTGGGAATTTCCGTGGAAATTCCTCCGCAGGCGAAGGCGTGGGCTCATGGAGCCGCAATCTCCGCGCCCTCCGGTACCTTATCCCTGTTCCCAGGACTTTCATTTCGCAGGACTGCCCGTGGGGAACCCCATAGTTGTCGGTCCAGTATTAATCTCCATACCCCGGAGGGAAACCAGTTGAGATAATCTCCATCGTAGCGGAGTGGGACTGCGGAGCTGCTCCGGACAATTGACGAGCGAATCTCTCCCGGGCTGCGGGATAGGCGACTCAACCTCCGTGTCAAATGACCTCATCACTAAAGGTGTCGGTAGTCGCAGAAACAACGAAGCCGAGAGTAGCTCCAATGCCAATTTCGACCGGCGCACGCTACTCTCGAGTCCGTATTTCTACTGGTTCGGAGTCCATTTGCATGCAGGGGCTCTTCAAATGTGGCGCACACGATGATGGCATAGAAAGCTTTTCTTTCTTGGCTATTCACACGGTAAATTAAAGCGTCTCAGATTAATAGTAGTCCAACGCAGATCTAACGTCCCAGATGGAGCGACAAGAATCACAAGATAAATCAAGGCGGTTCTATGTTACTGGAAATAATTGGAAGCAACGGAGATTATTAGCCACGATAACTGTACTCCGTACTCCGTAGACAAATAATATATACCTCCACCACGCGGATTGGTGCATGCAGCCCAATCTAATGGAGGGTAGCCGAAGGCCATCGAATGAAGTCCGCGGAGTACGTTCTCGTTCAACTAGAGCCTTGGGAGCATGTTAACCACAGCGACCTGCTCTCACAATACCCGTTGCTTTGAATAGAACCACGGACCCGATTTAGAAATCTCCCTTTGGGATTCAAGAATCATAACCTCAAAAAGGATTATTCCTACCAAAACTACCTACGGCATTTGTCCCAACTACCAGCGAGGTACGAAGCACCTGTGCAAGGGGTACCCCATAGAGTGTTGGGCATCAATGTGGTCAGGCAGAAATCTATAGGTGTTTGCCTGAGGCCACTTCATTCTTCATCTTTAGATCCCTCATAGTATTCTCCCTTTCTACATACAAGTCGATTTGGCAGCCTAGGCAGCCTTACGTGGGTATTCGTCGGGGTTCGTTTGATTCTTTGCAAATGGACCTTCCTAAGTATAATCTTTAAGATTGCTCCGGATCCGAGGATCGTGAGCTGTCCTCCGTAGCCCAGCCACATATCTACCAGAGGCGCTGGCTGTAGATATATTGTTGTGAAATTACAATTCAGATTACTGAGTTCCTAGGACGTTGGGAAATACCCTGGGCCTTTTCACATAGTATGCTCCCTTTCCACCTAGGTATGTTGTAGTTCTATGTTATGATTCCTCGTGAGAAGTTCTATATAGGAGGCTCCATCCACAATTTGCTGAAGGGTCCAGAAAACTACATGTATGTATTCAGTTCAATGTGATCTCAATGTGATCTCAATATGAACTGTGGATCATCCACCTAGTACCTAGGTAGTACGGAGTATAGCTTTATATGTTTGTGAAATATACAATGACAGAGTCCCAGTCATATTGCCCCCAATCTATCATGCTTGTCCAAACTCGGTTGTTCGGCTCCGAGAGATATATATAGCGCTTCTCCGGGGCCGGCAGCTCCGAAGCGCAACAAGGTACGGATACCAGGAACATCAACGACCCACTGACCCACAGGTGCATATACGAATAGGTATCCATACGGAGTAGATCTAGATCGATGGGGACTACTCCGGACCTCCTTGCCTACACGGAGTATATGCAAGGGACAGACGGAATTCAAAATACGGCCCCAAGGGGGTGTATACGGAGTAGGCACCCAAGAGACAAAGCAAACGGGGGTAACCAGGTGTCATACGAGGTCAGGTAGACTTTTTACCTAATGGACTTTGTAGTACTCCGTATGCCCAGGTGTACGGCGTACATAGAGCCATACCTCCCTAGTAGGTACTCCGTACCTATGTTATAGTGAGGGAATATCCGAGGCACTCCACAATATCACCCCATAATCTCGTGGGGGAGAAAGCCGAAACCGTTGGAAAAAGTGGATCGGGAGTAAAGCACGGTCGATCAGACAATAGGGTCTATCTCCGTAGACAGCAATATGAAACCAAAGGAGCAGGAGGCCGGGGAAATCTCGGTCGGCCGAACCACATGGCTCCACCTGATGCCCCTTTCACCAGAAACATCTAAATAAGCCCAATACTCCAGACTCCGTATTTCGTAGACACACTCGTTAAAAAAGCCAAAGCTCCGGATACTTCGGATCCGGGACGTGGGTCTATCGTCTTGAGTCCGGGAAATCGATCGGTCGGCCGAACGACTGGACAACGCCCGGAGGAATGTGCCGACTTGGGATTTTTTCCCATTGTCAATCTTTCTACTCTCGACACTTCTCACAGGTCCCGGGTATGGCGGAATGTATCATATTCTTCCCCCATGCGATAAAAGGGGTATGTATATAGGTTGATGCTGACCTCACAGCAAATGTCCGGGGATATGCCCATTGCCCATCTCCAAAACGCCGATGCAGGGAAACCAAAAAAGAAAAAAAAAAACGAGAATAAGGGATATTGATGCGGGATTATACTACTGGGTTGTCCCCACTCATACTGGGGAATAACATCACGTCGGAGACCCGACCCAGAATGTTCCGCATGCTTAGACCTTCCATCGGCTGCAGACCCACATTGGCTGGTGCCAGTGCTGGCATGTTGGGGCTGGGTTCAAGAGAGGGAGGGGAGGGCAAGACCAAGGGGGAAAAGGTAGGTCTCGGTTGTTGCCCTGTCGCAGGAAGCTTGCGAGCGTTGGCGCTGAAGGACTCGCGGATCTCACGCAGAGCACGGAGTGACGAGGCCAAATGCTTGGCCGAGTCGGTGCGACTGTTGTGGTTCATGTCACCGTCTGCATAGACATGATCTCCCAGAACCATCTCTAACCGGTCAATTAACTGCCAGGTCTGGGAGCTGTGATCATTAGCAACGAGCAAGAAGGCCGACGCAACGGTTCGCTGCAGACTGATCCAGGACCGTGAGCAGTGGGAATTGATCTCGTGCAACTCGACAAACGCATCGATCGTGTTGACCAGACTGCTGATACAATCTTCGCGAATCGTCGCGCGACGCTGTTCGTCCAGGTGGGCATGTGGATCGAGGGAGACACGGCACAATACGGAAAGCAGATACGAAGAGTGCAGGCGCAACTCGGTGCGCTCGATATGTTCGGCGAGAGTCCGGCACTTGTCTCGATACCGCAGATGAGGGGTTGCCTCAGCGAGCATGCGCTGAATCTGTTGTTTATACTCCCGAATCTCATGGACTCGCAACTGAGACGAGCCGGGATACATGCGCGACCGCAGCACTTCCAAGGCCAAGGATACAATGCGACACAGCGTCTCGAAATACGAGCGATGGCCCGGCATGGATTTGGGGTCGAATGGGATTTCAGGTTGGCTGACCATGGTGATGGATGGTCGATCATACGCAAGAGAGAAATGACTGTTCTGGAAGGCCATTGTCCACCTGAGAACTGTCAGCTTGACATTTCCAAAAAAAAGGAAGAAAGCAAAAGAAAACCGAATACGTACCAGACACGTCTGCGCACTTCCTGGTCTGCCAGTGAGAACCCTGTCGACTCAACATGAAGCCCGAGAACCAGACACATTCGCTCCGTCATGCCTGTCATCGGTTAGCTGGGCCATCTCATCGCGAAAATTCAACACGCACCAAGCAAAGTGTATGATGCACCTGCATTCATATTGTACGAAAGTACATTGCTAATAATGAGAAGGATCTGAATTACTTCTATAGTGGGTTGTGCTACATAATTCAACATCCGAAGACATTGATATGCACAAGAAACTAGGACAAGGTCAGTATAGGCCATGGACAACCTGCCGGGAAACGCACCGTATACCCACGAAGTCAACTCTCGGTCGCTCTCGGGGATGTCAGAAAGTTGACACCCTGATGCAAGAACCGCAAAGAGAAGACTCAGAAAAGCCAAATCCATCCCAAACGGTTTCACTAACCCGTTGGCATCGGCTTTATACGCACCCCCTGCTCGTCGTCGATTATCGAGAAGTCGTTTTGTTTGTCGCTCTAACTGCGAGATATCCGAAAGCACTGGGTATAAAACTGATCCTATATTTTGGTAAAACACCAGAAACCTGGCATCCCGAATCAGCATGCATCGCAGAACACTCCCAACTCGACGACTTACTGCAAACATTGCTCGTCCTCCGGAAGAACCGCACACACCCCCGCAATATTGAATGTGAACGGGTCGGAGGACCATAAATCCACAAAGGGGTACGCCACCGACTCATTCCCCAACGCAAGTTCAGCAAGGAGATCTTCTTGGGGAAGCGCCTGCGCTGTATCCTCCGAGCTTTTCGATTTGTCCAAGATATCAACCAAGGCGGAACGCGATCCGAGGTGGACAGCACCTGTCTTCAGGACATTCGACCCGTAGACACCTTCCGACCGGGTGGAACCTTTTCGTTCAATTGGTTCTGGTTCTGGCTGCCTGCGGGTCGAGTGTATCTGGAATAGTGAGTGCAGACTGCCAATGATCTGTTCCATTGCCACCATTTTGGTGTTGATTTCATCCCATTCTGTCTGCGAAATATCGATGATGTCCGGTAATTCCGGATCGATGCTGCTGCTTGATGGAGGTTCGGTCGAATATGAGCCATCGCGTGTGGGAGCCGAGTAGGCATACGGGGGGGATCGTGGGGGAGACAAAACTAGGTGGTTGTAATGGCGTGGAGGAGGCAGTGACGACAGTAGCGGGAAGGGGAACTTTCGCAGAGGGCGGACGACCGTAGGAACAGGTGAAGTTTCGTTTGGTGCAATTGCCGCAGGGAACGTTGCGATCGCAGCGGACTTTGCTCGCTCGGCACGGTAGACAAGTCTTGCACTCGCGCGGCCGGCGACGGATAGGGTAAGTTGGCATCATGTGGGATTTTCACTTTTTTTTCACAGCCCAAGCCCCACGATTGACAGTAAAGATAGGATAGGAAAGGTAGCCTGCGGCGACCGGGCAATAAGAGGGAGCGGCATAGGAAGGCGTAGATCGTAGTGAAGGTTGAAAATGGACAGCTCTCACTGGTGCTGACCAGTCGGAATAACGCCAATCACGAATCGGTACTCCGTACAAAAGGCTGGGCTTGGATCGATTGCTGGGTCCAACGAGAGTCGAACGATGCCTATCATCAGCCAAAAGGGGTCCGTGAGCTGCCCCGGATCGTCCTGCAAGTTCGCAGAAAGCCAGCACCGAGGACAGGGGATTGGGGAACTCTGAGATAAGAGTGAACAGTCACAAAAAGTAAATGGTCGATGTTAAGAGAATACCGAAGGGGATTGTGATAGAGGTGAGGTGTGCAAAGTGTCGAGGTCAATGGGAGATGTCCGGGATGATTTCATAACCAGCGCGTGTTCTCCAGTCTCCGTCGCGGCAACTCGGCCCTTGTTGTTTTTTGATCCTTCATCTCCAGGGCCGCTGTGGTGGTTTCCTTGGCCGCTAAAATATTATGATATCCATATTTATGTACAGAGTTTGTTAATAACGACTGCTCTGAGCAACTATTCGGGCCATTGGCAAGGTAATCGCATTAATGGGCCTGTTTCCACACAGAACAGTGCCGGTCATAGTACGATTCGGGTCATGATCATTTCTATTTTACTAATAAAGGTAGGTATCACTCATGTATCGGTAGTTGCGGAAGCAGGACATAGCCACAAAGAGGGAATATCTTTCAGGTCTTCGACTTCTTCTCGGACACCTGCGGTACTACCCACCAGTCATGCCAGCGAGACTTAGATCCGACTTCAGGAACGGCCACCTCCAACTGGAGAGATTGAGCTTCCGTGGAAGAGGCAGCAGAGAGTGCCTTTTTCACCGCCTCGATGGCAAGACTAGTTCCAATGCAGGCACGCATGGTGTTCTTCACGTCGCGCTTCCAATCTTCTTCAATGGCCGAAGGAGGTGGTTTAGATGGTGTAGCCAAATCATCAATGAATGCTCCATTGGCGAGAGTCGCTTCCCATGCCTTGCGTGCTTCTGTAATCGCTTTGGAAGCACGCTCCAGAATGATGACATCCGAATCACCCTCGAGAGCCGCTTCACGCTGGTATTCCTCATATGGAACCAACTCCGGCAATGTGATGGGGATGAAAGGTTTCATGCGGATCTCGTAACGGAGTCGGTCGGTGGAATATGCCTGGGGAGAAGAGGCAATTGGGAGCACGTTATGCCGGGCCAGCACCACGTACAATGCATGAAGAGCGATCGCAAACGCATCAACCGCGATAATATGTGTCGTCAGCCGCTCCAGAGTGTGGAATGAACGGTGGAAAGCGGATGCCTTTTGAGGGGAGCTTCCCGCACGGTCACCAGTAGACATCAAGTCGCGTTTTCGTGCGGCCACCATGAATGTACGGATGCGATCAATGTGACCAAGATGCGTGGAACAAATATGAGACAGGTACCAATACATGCCTGGTAGCTCTTCGGGGGAATAGATCGACAGCTCGAAGCCCATCTGAAGAATAAGTCGGAACTGGATGAGCTTCTGGTGATAGGCCCAGCTGCTTAGGGGGAAAGACCAGGTGGGTTCGCCGCCCTGGAATTGCAGCGGCGGTTCTGCACTTAACGTGCGAAGCTCAAGATCAATTTCTTCGGCCTATGTTGGGTCAGCGTTATCTTTATTTGAATGCCAAAGAGGCAGCTTGCGGGACAGACCTCTATCTGTAGATTATCCCAATCAACGAGGGTATGACAGAGCGTCCGGCGAATGCGACAGCGGTTAAGACAGGCACATCGCACGGTGTCAACAAATGGCTACATCAAATCAGCAGATGTGACATGGCAAGAATTGCGTATCCACCTACCTGGGCAAATCGCTTCATGAACCCATCCATCTTCTGGGCAATCTGAAACCGGGGATCGGACGGCATTTCCACTTCGTCGGTATTGGCCTCAATCAGGATATTGGCGGGTAGGACTAGTTCTGCAAGTTCATCATACAAGAACTCCTTAACTGGTACGGCGCCTAGAATCGTCATATTGCTAACAATCAATGCTTGAAGGAGACAACGGATATATATCGATGGTTGCGGTTTTCGAGAAAGCAAGGTCCATACTGCAGTCTTTCGTACACGTTAGGTCGAGATCAGGACAAAACCAAGTTCCAGCGTACATACCTTGAAATTGCTCGGGCCGGTGTAATCAAGCATCTGCTGCATGTCTATCGCATCTTGGCACAGCCGTTTTAGATGTTCTAGGGCATCACCAGAGTTAATATGAACCATTGGACGAGGCGGCACTGTGCTCGCCAGCTTTCGTTGAATCTTCAAACTAAAAGCCTCGGGGATTGGCTTCCCGAGCGAGACCGTCTCTGTCAAAGGTCCAAGTTGAGATAAACAAGAAGCAAAACTCTTTGTGGATCTGGTCTCCAGAACTTCAAGATCTTGATCTAATGCATACAGAAACTCGCGTCGAAACACTAGTCTGCAAATGATGGCATCCTTCAGGTGCTGGTCAATATCGCTCTGCTCGACAATCCAAGCAACCGCCTGCTCCAGCAAACGGTGGAAATGTGACATATTGAACGCAGAAAGTAGATTGCGATTGTACAGCTGGCTGACGAAATCTTCTTCCTAAGCGGCCAACCTTGGGTATTAGCGATAGGCAACTTTTAGGAATTAGCCCACTGACCTCATAATAATATTCAGTGGCCACGCGACCATGTACAAGGTCACAAGCCTTTACCAGTGCAAGGCAATATGCCCGAAGGACAAGATTAACCAAAGGCGAATCACTAGGCACACGGTCAAACCGAGCGTCGTCTATGTTCCTCGGCACTGGCCACAATAATTTATCGAGATAGATTGACGTAAATAGTGTCTGCGACAAAGGATGTCCCTTATGCCATGCCACCTGGAATAATGTCAGCAACCATTCCGTCTGTGCATGGGCGCATTCTTCACCGACCTCGTGGCACAGCAACTGATCCATCAATCCAATAACTTCCTCTGGTGTCAACGGTCGCCGTACGTCGTAATCGTCTTCCAGCGCTCCCGCAAGGTTTTCTCCGGGGGCAATATAGCCACTGTCCATCTTCGAGTCCATGATCTGTGCCGTTTCGATCGTCGTCAGCTGCAATTCTCGTTGCACGTTTCACACCCGGTGAGAAAGGTGACGCACCTCCAATGCGCCCACGGCCTCAAACAGCGTGAACGTTTCATCTTTCACGAGCTGGCCTGTCTTTAATTCTAGAAGTCCGAATAATTAGACACTTGTCAAAGCTTCCAAGGCAATAAGCTTACTCGAGGCAGCATTTGTGAATTCGGTGGTAATGTCGCGCACCGCAGACTGAGTAACCACCCGCGCACGGGGAACGCGAACTTGATTGTTCGGTAGCATCGCAAGGGGCTCCAAGCGTCTGGAATGCTGTTTTTATTACGGAGATCCGAAGTGATATTGCGCCGTAGAACGTGTTTGGAGGAGTCGGGATCGAGGGGGAGGCGGGGACGTGAGCGGAGGAAAAAGCGATTCGGCCAGGACATTCGGGCCCTGGAGATGACGTGCAACGTCTGACCGGCCACCCTCGGGCAGTATATAGATTCTTACAGCGGTTTTAATTAAATGCTTAAGTGTCGGATGAAAACAAAGACGAGTGCGATTTCTAAGCTCTGCCCAACCAGACAGGCCGGTATTGCTACACATGTACATTTCAATGCCTCCTCGGACCTAAAAGTTTCTCAGGTCCGTCACACTCAGGTCTTGCATATCTCCAAGCTCGATTCTCTCAGGTTATGGGTGAATATAGCTTATTTCTCAGCAGCCTTGGCAATGGCCTCGTTGTTGGCCTGGGCGAGCGACTTGACCTCACCCTGCTTGCCGTTCTGTTCGTCGTACATAACACAGTCAGTCAAAATCCCGCGGCATGGAACCCAGCATATTCACTAACCTCCCACTTGGCGAAACGGAGGTCCATCAGACCGCGGCGCTCAGAGGCGAGACGGGGGCCATCCTTCAAGGAACGGCGCACGGTGCGGGCGGCGATGGCCAGGTAGCGGTTGTAGCTGGATTCGGAGTTAGCATTGACAGAGAAGGCGATTTGTGTATGCGTACGTCAAACCGGCGGCTTTCCAGGCGGCAGTCATTTTGAAGAGAATGTGGGAGATATGGTTTGATTGAAGGGGTAAAAACGGTTCGGGTGAGTTTGGAAGCATTCGACTTCGGAGGATCGGGATGAGAAGCTCACGTGAGAGATACCTCTATATTTGGCAGGCGGTCAAGCATAACAGCGGTGAGGATTTTGTCCGTCACAATGTTCGATGCACCAGTCACGTGGCATAGTGACCGCATCTGCCCGAGTAGGAGGATTGGTTCGGAGAAGGGATCTTCCGACTTCGGGAACCTTGGAACCGTCACATTGTATGCAAGGGCGACCGTCCAGTCACCGCGGTTGTTGCCGGGTAAGCGCTACGTTTGGCGTTTACTTGGACGTCATCCCTATCCTAGAAACAATACACAACACGGCACGTTCATTACCACACATAGATATGCTTGATTGATTATTCTAAAATGATTCCACAGGATTGCGGCTAAGATATATTTAGTCTAGAGTGATGTTTGCTCTTTTTTTCAAGGTTCGGTGGGGGTTGCAAGCGCTCTCACGGGATAATATAGATCGGCTGAATGAGCTTGAAAATTCCTACCTTTCTGTATCTAATTCCAGAGAGATAGCGAACATACGCTCATTGGTCTCCTAAATAACAGTGAGATCTGCTGTACTAGGTAGCCCGTCCAGCTTTGGGTATAATGCTGTCGTATCAAATCTCAGACATGTGGGCATAGATCGATTCTGGAAAAAGCAGAATAGGGCCATTGCATCGGCGAGTGAGCTTAGGACATACCATCACTGCATTGAATTTCAAACATGTGGCATATATCATGTATTGAAAACACAGGAAAACGTCACTCGTCGCCGTATTGACCGCTGAGCATACCGTCGCCGTAATAAATCCCACGTACATGGGAAGGAAGCCTTACAAAACGAACGGTTCTGAAGGAGCCTCGGCCTACCAAGCAAGTGGTCTCGCAATCCACCAGCTCATTCAACCGGATTGTAGTATAGATGGGGTATACTTTAGAAGCAAGGCTGCACACGAGCATAGGGTTCGATATACCCCTTGGTATTGTAGGGAGAAGACATCCAAATACAGGCAATGAGGTGTATGGAAGGCATCTGCTCGATCTTGAGAGCAAACAAGTCTCTCAAAGGCAAGTCTGCAACAGTCCTTCAAGGCGGTCTTTGGATTGGGCGGGTTTGCTGTCGACGACAACTTCTCCCACCCACCACTTCCCTCACTTCTCTCTCAATCCCACCCACCTTCATCAACTTTTCATCGTACACGGTCTTCGTCATCGTGGTATCTCATCTGCTGCTTTGTGATCAAAGCACTTCGAATCGACAGGCTTTTGTCATATCAACCAGGTGAGTTATGCAGCTTCGATCTTGTGTTGGTCCATCATTGCCTTGCCCCGCACATTCCCCATTCAGACGATAGCAACCGTGCATAAAATCCAGTCTCCTGAGACACTATGCATTGGCTGGGGCCCCCAATCACACATTACACACCATCGATACAGACTCTCAGTCGCCGTTGCACTCAACAGCCTCGTCGATTCTCGGGTCTTCTGGGCGGCAGGTATCCCAGGACGCTTGCTAGATGTGGGATAAGTTAAGATTGCTGGTTTTCGCACCAATCAACAATACTAGGCGCCTAGCAGAATGTTGCAGTCTTCTGTCGCATATATTTTGCGCGTCATCATTCACAATGTCCTTGAGCAGTTGTGGCATAGGTCGAGCATGTTGTGTATGATACTGCTTGACACTGCCACGCTCATGATCATTGTAGATGGCTCATGGTTTGAACCTGGCCCAGCAAGATCACAGTGATCATTATCGCTTTGGGCGTCTTCTATGGGCCATGTTCTATGGACATGAACTCGTGGTTAGCGTTGTGACTTTCCGTATTTGTCTGACGTGCCTTGATTTGGGTTGCTATGGTCTCGTGCCCTAGGCAAACCCATATTCAAAAACCATTTTGCGCGTTATGTCTGTGTCCTGGACTTGTCCAACCATGCTGCGCTGTTGTTATTCCCAACTGGCCTACGTCGTTATGGCCTTGCGGTGCTTTTGCTGTTGCTTCGAAGATTTTCTGCCATAGAGAACCAGTTGCTCCAAGCTATCAGTCACCAGTGTGCCATTCAGCCCGCAAATCTTTCATAAATCCCCCATCCCTGTTGTTTGGTATCACTGATGCACGTATGCTAACACTATCCTGATAAACAGGCCATACACCAATCATTAATCCGACATGCCTTCCAGGAAGAAGAAGCCGCAGAGCAGTCGCAAGCGTGACAACGATGCCGATCAGGCCGAGCTTGAAGCTCTGCGCAAAAAGGTCGCCGAGGCCGAAGAGGCTCGCATGCAAGCAGAGGCTCAAGCTAAGCCTTCAAGCCGACGCCAGCGCCAATTAGTTCGCTGGGATGGTATGTTTCTGCCGAAATGGTTATAGTCAGCAAGAAGGAATCACTAGGGAATGCTAACTGACTGGAACAGTGGACACCGACATCCGACTTCTGCTGGCCGTTCAATATGTCTGCAACAAACAAGGGGTGAAGATTCCGTGGAAGGAAGTTGCAGAGACCATGGGCCCGAAGTTCACAGAGGGTGCAGTGGTTCAACACTTGTCAAAGCTGCGAATCAAGAGGGAAGAACAGGACAAGCCAAACCCACCCCCGCTTAAGCGTGCAGGAAATAGTTCATACAAGAAGGATGCAAATCAGAATGAGTCGGTGCCTCCTCAAAAGGAAACCTCCAAGTCCCAACCCCGAAGCACAAAGCGTCGCCGTGGCACCTCTGAATACTCTTCAGATGATGTTTACACACTCAAGAAGAAGTATGCGGAGAGAATGAAGCAGCAAAAGACCTCCGCTACCGCAAAGCGCCAAGCAAAGCGTGCGGGTACCAACACTGATGGCACGACGAATATGTTGTGTGTTGATGCACCATGGCTGCAGGATTTCCACGGCGGTAACCCTCGCGACGATGAGGAAGATTCGGAGCTTTCTGACATTGAATGGAATGAGAACTCAACCGAGAGCAGTCAGGCAACAACTCAGGACTCAAAGAAGTCCAAGATCGTGAAACTTAAGATGGACGCCGAGCGATTGGCAGACGTTGATCGTCAGATTGGCGCTGCAGCTTCCCGCGATGGAATTGTCCCCATGGACATGTCGTACGCTGGCACCAGCCTTCCACTTAATCCCTCATTGTTCTATCCTTACATGTACCCACCTCCACCCCCGGCATTCTCTCCCGTGCCTTACGCCAACTATCCCGGTACCAGCAACAGTGGGCTCGCCATCCCATATCCATCCAGCGGTCCTAGCCCATTTGACTATGTGAACCGGGCTCCGACGCCTCTGAGTGATTCCACTTTTGAGGCAAAGCGCGAAGAAGTCTCTGGTGTAACTGATGGATACAATCAGTTGGATGCGTCGACAACTTATCCGCACCTGAACATGCCTGGGATGTTCCAGGGCCACATTGTCGGCCGAGACGTCCCCACGAGCTATGGCGGCAATAACGAGTTCAACCGCCTGTTCGCCCCAGAGAGCCACGAGCTGTTTGTGCCTGCTTCGGATTTCGCTGGTCTTGAAGATGTGGAGAGACCCCGTTACTTCGGATATGATGGGGAAGAGACCAAAGAGTTTTGAGTTCCGCGACGGCCAGCGATGATCCTTCGACCTGTGTGGTCTTACATTCCTTACCATTTTTCTTTCTTTTTCTTGTTCTTCTCTTTTATTTCAACGTTCTTTTATTTTGGCCCCGGTTGTGACTGACCGTGGGGAGAGGGGGTGAGCCTCGAACCTGGCCAGGTGCAAACTCCGGATAATGGTTCTTGCGAGGCATGGAGTCTCGCCTTATCCGGGGTTTACACTGCACAACTGGGGGCCCGGCGTTTGATGGGGGTTTTTTATTGGGCTCCTACGGGAGGCCTGGTTAGTGAAACGCACAGTTTGTCTTATTTTCAGTCTCATTTCTAATGTAGTTGGTCAGTAGATCAGTAGTTCTTTTGTATGGAGTCAGGAAATAGGTCATAGTAGAGTGAGATTCGAATCATAGTAATATCTCTTAGGTCGTCACCACTAGTCAAAACGTCTAGAGAAAGGAATTTGAAGGCTGGCCCATATCTTCAGAGTCAGAATGCTGAGAAAGTCATGGATATAGTAGTATAGTACATAGTATATAACTACAGCTCATATGTACACCGCATACTTGCTACAGTCGACATTGCCGAAAGTCGGAGTACCGTCCCGAGGTATAGAGATCGGGGATCGATTACGAAGTACCTTACATTGAGTGACATGGTAGACACCACTTTGGCCTCTCATGGAGTATTCCTATGGAATGTATAGCTATTGTAGAAATCTGCTTCACGATTGTCGTCATCACTTCTATTTACCAGCGAACATTCTATGCCCCAAATCATCCTCAACACCTTGCCGATTTCCGTCCGTTGTTCCGGCTCACGTGACGGTTCTAGCTGTTTCTGCCGCCAAGCTCTGGGGATGAAGGAAGCGCCTAGAAAATTTTCGAGACTTTGGCTTCATCTCTCCCCCAGCTTTCTCCATCTCTTTCTTTTTACCTCCTCAAACCCGTATTTCTCCTGGGTTGTCTTTGTATTTCTCTCTTCTTTTAATCCCTTTTTAATTTGTTTCTAGCCATGCAGCGCGCTCTCTCTACCCGGACCTCCGTCCTGTCGGCCGCTTCCAAGCGTGCCCCTTTCTCTCGCTCGACTCTGAACCTCCAGCAGCAGCGTTTTGCTCACAAGGTGTGTTGAATCAACAATTACTCTCGGAACCATCGATTCCACCCGTCGATTCCGTGTTCCGTCGATTCCGAGATGCTCAATCGTTCCCCTTTGCTAACTCCGACCAGGAGCTCAAGTTCGGCGTTGAGGCCCGTGCCAGCCTTCTCAAGGGTGTCGACACTCTTGCTCGTGCTGTTACTTCCACACTCGGTCCCAAGGGTCGCAATGTCCTCATTGACTCCGCCTATGGCTCCCCCAAGATCACCAAGGGTAGGGATTCCAACGCACGAAAAACAAACACATACATTGGGCCAGGGAAACTGATTATTTCTTAGACGGTGTGAGTGTTGCCAAGGCTATTCAGCTGAAAGATAAGTTCGAGAACCTCGGTGCTCGTCTTATCCAGGATGTTGCCTCCAAGACCAACGAGGTTGCTGGTGACGGTACCACCACCGCCACCGTCCTTTCCCGCGCCATCTTCTCCGAGACCGTTAAGAACGTTGCTGCTGGCTGCAACCCCATGGATCTGCGCCGTGGTATCCAGGCTGCCGTTGAGGCTGCCGTGGAGTACCTCCAGCAGAACGCTCGCCCCATCACCACCGGCGAGGAGATCGCCCAGGTCGCTACTATCTCTGCCAACGGTGATGTTCACGTCGGCAAGCTTATTTCCACCGCCATGGAGCGGGTCGGCAAGGAGGGTGTTATCACCGTGAAGGAGGGTAAGACTCTGGAGGATGAGCTCGAGGTCACCGAGGGTATGCGCTTCGATCGTGGCTACACCTCCCCCTACTTCATCACCGACCCCAAGTCCCAGAAGGTCGAGTTCGAGAAGCCCCTGATCTTGCTCTCGGAGAAGAAGATCTCCGCTGTCCAGGACATCCTCCCCGCCCTTGAGGCCTCCACCACCCTCCGCCGCCCTCTGGTCATCATCGCCGAGGACATTGAGGGTGAGGCTCTCGCCGTCTGCATTCTGAACAAGCTCCGCGGTCAGCTCCAGGTCGCCGCCGTCAAGGCCCCCGGCTTCGGTGACAACCGCAAGAGCATCCTGGGTGATCTCGCTGTTCTCACCAACGGTACCGTCTTCACTGACGAGCTCGACATCAAGCTCGAGAAGCTCACCCCCGAGATGCTCGGCTCCACCGGTGCCATCACCATCACCAAGGAGGACACCATCATCCTCAACGGTGAGGGTAGCAAGGATAACATCTCCCAGCGCTGCGAGCAGATCCGCGGTGTCATGGCTGACCCCACCACCTCTGAGTACGAGAAGGAGAAGCTCCAGGAGCGTCTCGCCAAGCTCTCTGGTGGTGTTGCCGTCATCAAGGTCGGCGGTGCCTCCGAGGTTGAGGTCGGTGAGAAGAAGGACCGCGTTGTGGATGCTCTGAACGCCACCCGCGCTGCCGTTGAGGAGGGTATCCTCCCCGGTGGTGGTACCGCTCTGCTTAAGGCCTCCGCCAACGGCCTCGCTGGCGTCAAGCCCACCAACTTCGACCAGCAGCTCGGTGTCAGCATCATCAAGAGCGCCATCTGCCGCCCTGCCCGCACCATCGTTGAGAACGCCGGTCTTGAGGGATCTGTCATCGTTGGCAAGCTCACTGACGAGTTCGCCGGTGACTTCAACCGCGGTTTCGACAGCTCTACCGGCCAGTACGTCGACATGATCTCCGCCGGTATCGTCGATCCCCTGAAGGTGGTCCGCACTGCTCTGGTTGATGCCAGCGGTGTCGCTTCCCTCCTCGGTACCACCGAGGTTGCCATTGTCGAGGCTCCCGAGGAGAAGGGCCCTGCTCCTGCCGGTGGCATGGGCGGCATGGGCGGCATGGGTGGTATGGGTGGCATGGGTGGCGGCATGTTCTAAACTGCCCCCAACCCTGCCCCCTTCTCTCCCTGAAGAATTACCTCGAGCGCTCCCCTTTGCATCGTAGCCTGTTCTTATACTCGGAAATTTGTGTAATGCCTTTTCTTTATGTGTTTCTGTTTGGTGTTGATGTTTATTATTATCTTTTTTCTTGGTCTCTTCCCATACCTGTATTCTTTTGGACTTGTCCTGATCTCCTCCCTCTCCTCTCTCCTCTCTAACCCGAAAAAGGGTTCACTGTACTATATCATGTATTCCATCAATGAAGTTCCATCTGATGCAGCTTACGAGCAACCCAACTCTTGAGTTTCCGACCATTTCCCCCTAAGCTCGTAGATCGGCGGGATCGACCATGTCTGTTTGATAGAGTTGCGTAGATCCATTTGAAAGCTGAAACTGGATCCTCTGCAGGGGAAACATTCCATTCGATCCTTTCCCCCAGGCGCAGGTCGCCTCGAGACTGATTGGTCGCACGGGTCGGCTATTTGTGCAGGTTGTTGTGCAGCTTGTTGCGCAGGGTCTCGAACGGGGTCTAGACTGAAGGGGAGAATTACAAAGGAATCAAAAATGAGACTACAATTGCAAGTCAACCTGATTCCGTACTTGTGTAGACAAATCAAATCCTCGTACGGAGTAAAGGGCCTGAGACTACAAGGTGGGGACCGAGGTCAACTGCCTTGTTTTAGGTCTTCTCTTCTGTGCCTCTCTCTCTTCTCTGCTCACTCCGCTTCTTTCCTCTTGCCCCTTTGCCACTCGGGTGACCAGATCATTCCGGTTCTTTTTTCTACCTGACTTGGGCTCTTTTGGTCTGAAAGATTCTGTTATTACTGACTATCTGGGCTATCGGGGATGCATAGAGCGCTTGCGGGGAATACAACGTGCTGGCATCTCCATCGCCTGTCACTTTCACCCACATAGTATGGCCATGAGGCCCCTGAACTCCATAGTGACACGACTGATTTTTGCTCCAGAGTCACCTGCATGACGCGAAAAGCGCTTTTGAAACGAACCAAACCGAATCTCCAATCATTTGGATTGCTGCCGACAATGGCAACAATGGTGGACAGCGCTCGGCCAGCCCTGGTGAGCGATGCAGATCTCATGCAAGCACGGGCAGCTCTTCAACATCAGCAAAGCCCAGAGCTTTCTGTACCCCGCGAATTCATTTCCCTTATCGTTGATGAACTCATCTATCGCCGCGAATCGCATTCCTCTATCGCAGAAATCGAACATGAATGCTCAACCCTCCGGAAAGAGCTCCGCAAACACACCCACATCAATGAGGCATTTCAAAAAGAGCTGCGGGAGATCGGCGAGATCATTACCCAAGTAGCCCATGGCGATCTTTCACAGCGGGCCCGGATGCACCCCCTCGAGATGTCGCCTGATATCGCAACCTTCAAGCAGACAATCAATACTATGATGGATCAGTTGCAGGTCTTCAGTCAAGAAGTATCGAAGGTTGCTAGGGAGGTGGGCACAGAGGGTGTACTGGGTGGTCAAGCGAAAATTGAGGGCATCCAGGGAATCTGGCACGAGTTGACGGTAAATGTGAATGCCATGGCGAACAATCTTACCACCCAGGTCCGGGATATCACCACCGTAACGACCGCAGTCGCCAAGGGTGATTTGCAGCGCAAAGTGCAGGCGGATTGTAAGGGCGAGATCTTACTGTTGAAGAACATTATCAACTCGATGGTCGATCAGCTACGGGAATTCGCATTCGAGGTCAGCCGTGTTGCACGGGAAGTTGGGTCAGACGGCGTGCTAGGTGGCCAGGCGGTTGTGCACGGTGTTGAGGGCACTTGGAAGAATCTCACCGACAACGTTAACCGCATGGCATCGAATTTGACCCAGCAGGTCCGCGAAATTGCCGATGTAACGACCGCCGTCGCACGTGGTGATTTAACGAAGAAAGTGACCGCGGATGTGAAAGGCGAGATTCTGGATTTGAAACTCACCATCAATGCGATGGTTGACCGGCTGAATCAGTTCGCATTCGAAGTCAGCCGAGTCGCACGGGAAGTAGGAACGGACGGCACGCTCGGTGGACAGGCGCAAGTTGAGAATGTCGAAGGACGCTGGCGCGATTTGACAGATAATGTCAATACCATGGCCCAAAATCTCACTTTACAAGTTCGCCAAATTTCCAATGTGACCCAGGCGATCGCGCGCGGCGATCTTAGTACCAAAATTGAGGTCCATGCGCAGGGTGAAATTCTGACCCTCAAAGAAACAATTAATAGCATGATGGATGGCTTGGGGGATTTTGCAGGGGAAGTGAAAGGCGTGGCGAGGGATGTGGGTGTCCGAGGTAAACTCGGTGGCCAGGCGAACGTCGCGGGATCACACGGAATATGGAGGTCGATCAGTGAAGATGTCAATACGATGGCGGACAATTTGACTTCGCAGGTTCGTGCCTTTGGTGAGATCACCGAAGCTGCGATGAGTGGCGATTTCACAAAATTGATTACCGTGTCCGCTTCGGGAGAAATGGATGACCTGAAACAAAAGATCAATAAGATGATCTCTAGTTTGCGTGATAGCATTCAGCGCAATACTGCTGCTCGCGAAGCGGCAGAGCTAGCAAATAGAAGCAAGTCTGAATTTTTGGCTAACATGAGGTATGTCCATGGCTATGCTGGTGTCCACTGGCTTCTTCTTTATTGGTCATTATACTAATTGGGACATAGCCATGAGATTAGAACCCCGATGAACGGGATCATTGGACTCTCCAGCCTGGCACTCGATACCGACGACCTTCAAGCTCCCGTCAGGGAGACCCTGAATATGGTCCATAACCTTGCCATTAGTCTCTTGACTATCATCGACGATATTCTTGACATCTCTAAAATCGAAGCCAACCACATGATAATCGAGAAGACGCCATTCAGTCTTGGTGCAACAGTTTTTAGCGTGCTAAAAGCCCTATCCGTGGAAACCAACGAGAAGGCATTGGGCCTCGTCTATACAGTCGACGGGGAAGTACCAGACTATTTGATAGGAGATGCATATCGCCTCCGGCAGGTCATGTTGAACCTGGTCGGTAACGCAGTCAAATTCACAGACCACGGCGAGATCAAGGTCACGGTAAAGCGCGCGGAGGATGATAAATGCGCTTCGGACGAGACGGCATTCCAATTCTCCGTCGCAGACCCTGGAATTGGCATTGACGAAAGCAAACTAGGACTGATCTTTGATAAGTTCCAGCAAGCTGATGGATCGATGACTCGTCGTTTTGGCGGTACAGGTTTAGGCCTCGCAATCTCGAAAAGGCTGGTTTCTCTCATGGGTGGTGATATCTGGGTGACTTCGCACGTGGGCGAGGGGAGCACATTTTCATTCACATGTCGAGTGAAGGTAGCTCAGCCCCCGTTAAGCTTTGCAGACCAGCTTGTTCCCCACCGTGGCCGGCGTATTCTTTTCTTTGATCACGGGCTTACACGTAGCTTCCCGATCGCCTCAGTGCTAATGGAGCTCGGGTTAGATCCGGTCATTGTCACGGAGGAACAGCTAGAAAGCGGCCAGTTCCACGGTGACTGGGGCTGCTCATTTGACGCGATTCTCATCGAAAACCTGGAGATCGCCGCAAAACTCCGAGCCTGTTCAAACCTCCAACCTGTCCCACTAGTCATTACAGCACATACTGTATCTCTTGCGCTCAGAGCAGCTGGTGAGCTCGGTATAGCGTCCTATATCACTGTGCCTTGCAGACCCATTGATCTGTGGAATGGCATTCTCCCCGCTCTCGGCAATCGTGCAGCGAGCACCCCTTCGGGCTATACTCGTTCACTGGCCATTCTTCTAGCAGAAGATAATGACGTGAACCAAAAGGTTGCCGTCCGTATTCTTGAGAAATTCAACCACAACGTTACTGTCGTGGAAAACGGCCTCCAAGCCGTGAAAGAGATCAAACACCATCGCTATGATGTGATCCTGATGGATGTTCAGATGCCCGTTATGGGCGGATTTGAAGCCACAGGAAACATCAGACAGTACGAGAAGATGAATGGACTTCCTCGCATGCCGATCATTGCCCTCACTGCGCATGCTATGCTTGGAGATCGCGAGAGATGCATACAGGCCGGCATGGACGATTACTTGTCTAAACCATTGGACTCTAGTCGCATGATGCAAACCATCCTAAAATGCTCCTCTATGAACCTCGCATCCCTAAATGCTATCGGGGGCTGAAAGTGACTTTGGTCAAAAGGTTGTACGGAGTACAGGGACCAAACCCTGGCTGCATTGCCGGTCATCCCCGTCTTTACCCAGCCATTAGCTCTCCATCCCGCGCCTCGCGGTGTATACGACCTTCGACAACCATTTAGTCGAGTCGGCTTTCCTGTGGGTGAGCTAACAGCCTCATTCCTTTTCATACTCGCTGCGGATTATCTCTCCCATCCCTCCAGACAGTCTTCTCTTTCCCTTCATTTTTAAGATTGCTTATGACATGAATTATGCGATGGAAGCGCAGAGTTTTCGAATTTCTATCTTTTTCCAAAATACCCCCTCTGTCGAACTGTCTCTCCACAATTTCTTATCGGCCATTATGTTTATGATATTTGACTGCTCGGAATACGATGTGAAATGAATGTAAATCATATGCACCGGAGTTTATGGTTTTTGTGCATCATCTATTGTTCCCATGACTATTCATCTCTTTCAACACACAGACACATATTTATGTTTGGAATTCATATCCAGGTTCTCTTTTTCTTTGAAGATCTTTCATTTCTCGCTATGGCCTAGCCACGTAGGTATAGGCAGTCTTGGTCTCATTCTCTCATTGAAGTCGTGTCATGCATAGCCCCCTTGCTCTCGATTCACTGGGGACTTCAGTATATATCACTGCGGTCATGATCAGTACTCAAGTACTATGCGATCAACATATCAGCCCAAAAACGCATCTGGGAACAAGAAAATGCACAATGCAAAATGAAGGGGGTATCAAAAAGCCACCAAAAAGCGAAATCATACCAAAAGCAAGAACATCGAACATAGAACATAAATATGGCTTTCGTTTCCATCGTGACATACTGTCTCTTATCAAACCCCTTCCCACATTCCGCTCTCCTTGGCCTGATGATTTCGATCATCCTGCCACCGCTGCCAGATATCGTCATCATGCTGCATATTGTCCTGGCGATATCCAAGGTACTCATCGAAGCGTTTCCTCCATCTGGATTTCTCAGGTAAACCAGTAGGAGGTGATTTGACCGCGGGACTCAAATGCAAGGGTTCTAGGATCGGCCGGAAGACGAAGTCTTTGAGTAATCCGAAACCGATCTTGTGCGATTTGAAGACAATTTCGCGCAAATCCTCACTAAATGCAAGAACTAGGGTGATCACGATAATCAAAAGTGAGGCCGGGACTGGAGAAGATCAGAGTTGTCTTGAGAATAACTCTTATGGGGATGAAACTTACCAGCTATCTCAAACATTGTGAATATGGACGGGTTTGCTGCTTCACCGCTCCACTCTCGAGCGTTGATACCGAAGAGAGAGGTGAAGAAGGATAAAGGGAGGAAGCTGGGATTGTTAGATGTGTTTGGGCATCCCGAAGAAAATGACAACCTACACAACAGAGAATACCGTGAAAACCATCACGGCTCGCGATTGAGTTTGGGTGACTTCGGCCTCCCATCTCGCCATTTTGGCTTCGTCGACATTTGCCTGTTTTTGCTTCAAATCAAGGAGAGTTTCGACCTAGATGGATTAGTGGATGCGGTTTGTAAGAGGGAGACTTGAGACTCACTGCTTTCTGTGCTAGATGGCTATCGCCTTTCATCTCGTTGATCTGCGATCTATACTCATCGATCCGCGCCTGCGCTGTGTCGAGGAAGGATTTTCCGTATCCTTTGACATCAAAGTATCTGGTCATACTTTTAATGACTGTGTCTTGTTGATCGAGTAGCTTTAGAATAGTGGATAGCTCATCCTCGATGTCGCGCAGTTCCAATAGGACCGAAAGATCTTCTCTATTTCGTCGAGCAGCCTCGTGTTCGATATCGTCTCGCTGGGCAGCGCTCATCGTCTTGCCACTTGCGGCGCGGTCATGATCTGATGGGCGATTGGTGAAGCCTCTATTGCGGAAGCGCTTGAAAGACTTGGTCACGGATTCAGTCTAGGATTGTTAGAACAGATCAGTCAAAGAATCGGGTCGAGGTGGTGAACTTTACCAATATACTAATTGACTCTTCAAAGATCCGCAATATTTGCAGATCATGGTGCAATGTCTTGTCCAAGAGAACAGTCACAGCGTGTAGCATGATAAGAGCAGCCAAATCGCCGGCGGTCTCGAAGCGACGTGATAGGTCTCCATTCAATTCATTGTATATGCTATTATGCAGGTTAGACTGCTCAAAGAGCTTGCCTTCAGAGGTAGTCGCTTCCTGCTGAGGGAAGAACGTAATAACAGTCTTTTCATCAATGATCCAGATCCAGAGCTGATCGACCATCAACACATTCCCATTCATGAACTCGTCGGCACCTGGTTTATCGGGATCATCATCATCAGGCTGTAGATACTCCCTGAGCTGTTCATCGATGCGCGCTGGTCTGCGAGTTCGTTTCCAGAGCATTTGGTCGTCGTCCCTTGCGACCGTCGAGCGTAGATTGGGATAGCCGTATTGATCTAGTGTGCGGCGGAAATGCACTGGGGGCTCGCTACCAAGGTAGGTCCAGATTAGCTGGGCTTCCAGGCTTGCTTTTGAGATGCGATCTGGCACGGGTCTTGATCGACCTTGGCGAAGCCGTTCCTCGACTACCTTACGCCGTTGGATGAGGTTGCGGTATGTATCCCAGTGGAGCTGGATTAGGTTAGAAGATTGTGTGAGAAGGGGATCGCTAGTTGATCAGAGGTACTAACGAAGGGGACCTAAAATGTAGATGTTAGCACCGGCAATCATCCGGGAAACATGGTACATACGTATAAAGCGAGTTGAGGATCGTCCGAAGTATCGGAAGGATCCTGGGGAAACTCCGATTGCCTTGAGTGAATACATGCAGGCTTGACAAAACGCGCATGAGGCTCAAGATGGCGAGCTCTATTTAGACGGAGATACCAATTCTCGTCATTGATAAATTTTCGAACACTGGAGAACATGGTCAGCACCCAAAAAGATCTCGTAGGGTGGATGTGCTTTTTACAAATTGTTAGGCTCTTGGGTATCCCGACAAGCTCGGCGGATGACTTGGGATACCCAACCCGTATGTGTATAGGGCACATGAATCCATATTAATTTCTCGCTACCAGCATCAGGTCGGTCGAAACGGGGAACTGCTCGGGGAATGTCTGCTGCCTCGCCGCCCTGGTTGATGCGATCTCGGGTGCTCTTGGGTATTGCGAGGAAAGATGATTCCGCTTGTTGTGATGCCGATGTTGGGTGCCTGTTTACAGATTAGTCCTGGCTTTTAGCCCAACCACCGGGGTCTGTTTTCCTTACGAGGGTCGTGGTTCACTACTGGCGTCAGAGTTGCTGTCAGCTGAGCCTCGGCGGTGAGATAGCTTCACTGGAATCAATCCGAACGCCTTTGTGATCGAATTCTTCCGCTTCTGCGTCTGAGGCGGCGGCGGGCTTGGTGGGTCATTGGCGCGCTCTATGTCTGCTTCGGTGATGTGAATTCGTGGGAATCGACTAGATGTACTTGCAGTACTCTCAAAGCTTTGCTTGTACGGCAGAGCTGGTGTCAAGGGCTTTGGCTTCTCCTCGTGATGGTCTTTATTACGCCCCCGGGCATCGGAACCAGAAGCAATGTAAGATGAGCGCGGACTATCAAAACTGCTGATCGACGAATCATCCAGCCCACTGGGCTGGCCTCGGCCCAGTCTCTCTCGAAGGCATGCTGATGGTCCCCGGGAGAGAAAATCTTTCAATGAGACTTTAGATGACCATAACTTGAGTGGGCTTTCGTCGCTGACGCCCAGTGCGGTATCCTCAAAGAAAGCATTTATTTGAACCATGACATTTTGTTCCACGTCCAAGGGCGTATCCTCACGACCCGAGATTTCAACAGCAATACTCACAGCGGCACCAAGCTCGCTGAGAAATTCTTCCCGAGCTGACGCTTGGCCGTGAAAAGTTGCTATTCCCGCATGGTCTGTTGCCACAGGTATCTCCTTTTCATGCTCGATGCCTAACAATCCCGACCGAATTGAAGTAATGGGAGCATGGAACTCCATTACATTCTTTGTTTGAGCATCGGCAACATGCATAGTCGAATCAACGGTTTCGAGAAAAGACCAAACCTTCATATCCGCCGAAAGAGCCTTGAAGCGGTTAGACAGATGCCATAGCCACTCTTGGCGCGGACGGAACTGTTTTCTAAGCGCCGATGGAGTCTCGTGCTCCAGATGCAGTATGTGGTGGATACTGGGGGCATACTCATTGGCTGAGAGATAAGTTGATCCTTGATGGGGAGTCGCAAAGAAGGCAATGCCATGGCAACTGGTCAAGATGGCCTGATCGGGTTCCCGTGATGCTAGAGCTAGAGCTGCTTTCACAACAAGCCCACCAGTGCTATGACAGACAAAGAAGATAGGCCGACGCGCGGTCTGTAGAGATGTTTAGTACACGATTGCAAAAGAAAACAGGAAAACAAACATGGTATTTGCGCTCCGTATGTAGTTGATTCAACAGTCGTTGACCCAATTTGTCGATCTCGTCCTCATGTAGCTCCCCATAGTTGTACAGCAAGACTCGTGCTCGTGGTACATGTTGGAAGAGCTCAGTATCAAGCCAAGACGACTTGGTACCGTGCGATGCCCATGTCCTTCTATGACGGGCGCCGATTGGGGGCACAGCGACAATACTGACGATATGAGTAGGATATCCTGACGGGCATGGGAATGCGCTTACTCGACGGTAGTGTCCTTTTCCACAGCAACATGTTCAAACCACGATATTCGCTCTGTCACAGGTGGGCGCGAAGTCATGTTTTGAAAATGTTGAAGCCGAGAAATTTGCGGGGAAAGAGTCTGACAGCTGGAGAACCAGCCATCTTTTAAGTCTCGTGGATTAGTGCGATCAGCCTCTTTGGGGTCCGGTGCCCACATCGTCAGCACTCGAGACCACGATTCTATCGGAGATTTTCAATTAATGTTATATACAGACTCCCCTAATATTCCAAAAGCTAATGCACACTCTATGACTCCATGCGGTATCATAAGAAACGCCAAAAACAAAAAAACAAAAAAACAAAGGAGGTGAGAAGATACATGATAATTGTACAGGGGTTTATTCGGAGTGTCGACGTTCGTTGACCTCCCTGGCCATGCGCTTTCCAAGTTCATAGGTGGAGATCATGATGGCGCACGCCGGGGCGACTTTGAGGCATCGTGCAGTCCAGCCACGAAACAGACCGGCGGTCCCCTCTTCGCGGAAGATGTGCATAAGGAACTTGGGGAGAGAGAGTTGCTCGGGTGCCAAGATGCTCGAGGTGGACATCACGCGGGCTCCAGTGGGCACGCGGTCATCCATATGTCGGAAGACTTGCTGTCGTGTTTTGCCGACATCGAACGGGGTAGTGACGAGCGCTGCGAGCGACCCAGAGACGGCCCCTGAGATGAAACTATCGAGGAAGGCCTGGAAAGTAGTTTCTTGGGGCTCTTGATCAGAGCTCGAAAGATGCGGGGCCTGCTGGCGGGCCGCAATGAGTCCCTTTTTTACTTCTTCGTATCCCCACCAATAGAGACCTGAGAAGGGGACATCACGCCACATTGTAAGAGTGAACCCTCGCCAGAGCGAACCGTATCCTTTTGCCTGCGTCATGTGGTATAAATCCTCCACAGTGGTCTTGAAGTGGCCCGCGCCCGTCCCTGGAATGGCTTGGAGACGCGTCCGAAACATCTCGAGCGGGCTGGTAGCTGCTGCTGCTGCTACTCGAGCGAAGGCCCCCGCTACTAAGGGCGCATATCCCTCTGCCACCCGTTGTTTGATGGGACTGCGATCATCTGCGCGCAGCCAGTCATAGCCGGCAAAGTATATGACATTAGCCGGAATTCCCATCATCAGCGTCGGGCTGAGCCCCCGCCATAGTGTCAGTGTCCCTTCATTGCGCGCGATCTTTCGTAGCCCGTCGAGGGTTGATGTGAATGTTCGCCGCTGCGATTCTTCGACCGCACAATCAATCGCCGAGTGTGGATGGGTTCCGACCGCTGTGACTTGGGGTCCTAGCATGCACATCTGAGCATCGTTGCCGACCCAGAATACTTCGCGACAGCAGGAGGTGATGCCGAGGCTCGGAGGGAGGTTTTTCAAGGTTTGGGTGGTGTGGGAGGTGAAAGGCGAAGTGTTGGAGAGTTGTGATTGCGACTGTAGGCGGACTCGTACGACATCCAGAGGAGTCACTGGAGCTGTTAATACGGGGTTCCCAAGGATCGGAAGCTCTTCCGACTCACCTAGTAGTCCGGTCAAGACATTGCCGGCGGTCGCAGAGACCATCCGCTGTCCTGGCGTAATGTTATCAGTTGGAGCAGGAGTCTTGGGCGCTCCAGGAGAGCCCGCCATGGATGTAGTGGCCATTGTCGTGGAATCTTCAAATTGTGCCTCCCATGACGCCACTCGAGAGGCGTTGAAGTCTGTGCCGAATTCGTTGCCAGTACCGTGGCCTGATGAAGCTGCAAATTCCACGGACGGCATTCAGTCAATTCAAACAAAATGAGGACAAAATAAAGTCGAGTTGAGTTGCAAGAAGAGGATGCGTCACCGGGAAAGGAAGTTTTTCGGGGTTTCGCGGGTGGCGGTGGGCGGAGATAAGCGTTTTGGGGGGATTTTGGGATTTGGAGGCACTTGGATTCTGCAACATTCAGAGGATTTCGCCTTCCAACCAGCTTCAATGGCGCTTTATATTCTGAAATAGTGGATCGATTGATTTTTGCTTGGTCCTTTTTGTTAGGCCCGTGTTTTTCCCCAGTGGGCTTATCAATCTGATCTGATATCCGAGGTCGGACCACCTCCCCGCCATGGAAGACAACGCCGAGCTTGAGTCGTTCCGCCAACAGTGGCGCGAGGAGGTTACTCGTCGATCAAAACCCAAGGCTGCCCCTCCTGCGACTGCAGCGCCGACCGACCCGCCTCCAATTCGCCTTCCACCCGCCCGCCACGAGGCCTCTCACCGCAAAGAGATCGAGGAGGAGGGTCCACCGCTGGCTTCTTTCGACCCCGATGAGCTAGCCCAACAAGTTGGAGAACTGAGCTTCGAATCAACCGAAGATGATTTTCAACGTCGAGAGGTAGCAGAACCAATATCCGCCCTTGAGCACTTTGAACGAGCGGTCGAGAAGGAGGCCGAAGGCAACCTAGGAGACAGTCTCTCCCATTACCGCAAGGCATATAGAGTAAGTTTGACCCGAAAAGACAAATATAGTTCAATACTCATTTCCGTCAAGCTAGATTCCGCTGTCGATAAGTCCTACCGAAATAAGCATTATGCTCATGTATGGAAGAAGTCGAACGTGCCGGCTCCCACCACCGCTGTTGCGGTGACCCAACAGCCCGCCGAAGTACCGATCCTCCCAACACCTGAACTCATCGCGTCGTTTGCACATCTGCCGATCCCATCACTCGATCCAGTTGTCGAGAACACCCCACCGCCCCCCTGCCCAATTGCTTCTGTCCCGTCAGAAGTGATAGTTGAGATACTACGACATGTGGCGATGGCCGACCCATCGATCTTTGGCCGGATGGCACTGGTCTGCAAGCGGATGGCATACCATTTTGCCCACGAACAACATATCTGGAGACAAATTTGTCAAGCGCCGCAGTTTGGTTTCCAAGGAATGCATTATGCCTTTGCGTGCGACCTGCATGGCGAACCGATCTTCACACTCGCTCCACGATACACTCCGTTCCCCAAGGGTAAGTCTGTAGAAATACCCAAGTCACTATCCTCATGGAGTCAGGTGTTTCAAACTCTTCCTCGGATTCGTTTCACGGGAATCTACATTAGCACGGTCAACTACACTCGACCTGGTGCGGCAGCTGCCTACTCAAACCTTACATGGAATAGTCCTATCCACATCGTGACTTATTACCGTTATCTGCGATTCTACCCAGATGGCTCGGTAATCTCATTACTCACTTCAACGGAGCCAGTCGATGTGGTTCCTCACATCAGTAGGGAGAACGTGATGGCCGCGCGCACCCCAGCGCACCGAAAGCACCACCGGCATGTCTCTGATGTGGGTCAATCGCTTTCTGGAGCCGCTGATGCCGTGCCGCCCGTTGCCATGAACACGTTGAAGCATGGTCTCCGGGGCCGATGGCACTTGGCCTCGCCCATTGACACGCCTGAGAGCGCCGAACCGCCGACTAAGGACTGGAAGCCTGATTCAGCGTCTGACACAAAATCGCTTCTCTCGGATGAGAGGGATCTCGTCATTGAAACAGAGGGTGTGGATGCTAAGTATATCTACACGATGCATCTCTCTCTGCGTTCTTCAACGCTACCGAAAGCTGTTCAAGCCGGGCCGGCTCCTCCTAATCCCTCTAAGAATACGAAGTTAAGCTGGAAGGGATTCTGGAGTTACAACAGATTGACCGATGATTGGGGTGAGTTTGGCCTTCGTAATGACCGAGCATTCGTGTTTCGTCGCGTGCGTGGCTGGGGATTGGACTGAAATGATTGACGACTTTACATAAATGATTGTGTACATACATCAAAAGGATATGATTTTCAATATGACTCGGTATTCTGTAATCGAAGGTCCTGTTCATTACGCTTTGTGGGTTTGGCGGCATCCTAGAATTATAAGAAACGACCTCGGTCTGGATCTCCTGCTGCGTTTCTATATTCCTTCGGGACTTGCACTCAGTGCTCGTACCCTCCACGTTGGAACATCTCTCACTGGTATATTGCTATGTTTTAGGATTACAACTTACCCATGCAACAACAGGACAAAGGTGATATGACTTGATATGATGTCAGGGTTGGGGGCGAAGAGAGCCAACTAACATGCCAGCCATTTCCAAACAAGTTATATCCGAGAAGCCGGAGCGTATATATAGTTTCTGATCAAGAAAGTGTCTGCCTGCGCTGGGATGACTATGTCGGGTCATCGCTATATAGTCGTGGCTTGACAGACTCACGATCACAAGACCAAGCGTGGACAGATCACTAGAAACTGCGCTTACTGTTAATTGCCATATCTCTGTCTTCACTGTGCACTACTCAGAATGGCCAATATCCTCCAACAAATCCTTGGAGAATGCCAACCTTCGCCAACCCAGATCAATCTCAACGTGATAACCTCATCAACCATACTCCATAAATACGGCTCCGACACCCCCTTCACGCTTACCCTCGAGGCGACCCTTCCGGACTCCACGAATACGCCTAATAAGCCTCTCACCATCCTTACATTTGGCACTCTGCTGGAGCCTAACGGCAATGCCCTCTACGAAAATGGTATAGACTTCATCAATAGCAACACAGGCGCCCAGGCAAAGCGTCCCAGCCTGACCGCACATTATGATTTCGGCGATAAGTCTAATATCCCTATCGATCCCCAGTATGAACAATATTTCGCCACCCTGGAGCCCGGTGTGCCGTACCGGGTGACGCACACCATGAAACCCTGTCCCAGACCTCCGCAAGAAGGTGGATCCAACACCGGGGCAGATAGAACTCCACTGGGGGAAGGCGAAGCAATGGAGGCTGAAGCTATGGTTCTCGCGGCATTTTCGCCTGTCACGCCCTTGGATGTGGGGGCCACATACCGGGTAGAGCTAGGGGATAAGTTGAACTGGATTTCCTGGTATCGATATGGATCAAAAGAGGAGGTGCTAAAGATCAGGTCTGCTGAAGGCCTGGTGCAGAGGATGATGGGGACCAAGAGGCATTCTGAGCGGGTGGGCGACAATAAGATGCAGGCAATTCCGCTTGTGATGCAGGGCTCTGCGGGCTTTAGGGTTGAGGATTAGGGGTGCCATTGAACTTGGAAACTTCGGCGTCTTGAAAATTGATGGGGATAATTATACATGGCAGCTGAGACTCTTAAATCTCGAGGCCTAACCTTTCCGCGCTGAATATGAGATTCTAGCGGGGCCGGAGAAAGCAGGAACCAATTGTACTGATGAAATATAGCTAGGCTATGTACGAAATGCACATCTGTTCAAACCATCCAGAACGTGGGTGCAAAGTCTGCGTTTACGCGCTTAAAGCGCTCCTCACGCTCTGTTGAAGAATGCATCACCCAGCAACTGGGTAAATGGCATTCTCTCGTACTCTGGGGCAAATGGGTGACACAGCCAACATCTTCGGACTGCTGCGCTTGTGGAAATATGGTAAGAAGCCATAGGATATCATAGTAGTCGAGGTTCTTCCTTGCAGTATTGACCAGTTCCTCTGTGATGTTGATATGTGGGTTGTGGTCGAGAACGGCAATGATTGTTTTGAGGTGTCCTCTCTCCATAATGATTCCCATCGCTCCTTGGGGAATAGCGATGTTGCGCTCCACTAAGAACCAGATTAATCGAGCCAAGAAGTCATGCTCGATGTTCAACCCGTCATTTGATTCATTTGATTCATTTGATCCTACAAATACACCGGTGCTTGCGGTGTCAAATAACACTTGATCGATAAATGAGCTTTGCTGGTCAGATGTGCTTCGCTCGCCAAATGAGCCTGGCTTGTCAGATGTGCTCTGCTCGTCAGATGTGCTTTGCTCTTCAAATGAGCCTGGCTTGTCAGATGTGCTCTGCTTGTCAGATGTGATTCGCTCGCCAAATGAGCCTGGCTTGTCAGATGTGCTCTGCTCGTCAGATGTGCTTTGCTCGCCAAATGAGCCTGGCTTGTCAGATGTGCTCTGCTCGTCAGATGTGCTTTGCTCTTCAAATGAGCCTGGCTTGTCAGATGTGCTCTGCTTGTCAGATATGATTCGCTCGTCAAATGAGCTTTTCTCATCTGATGAACTTTGATCGCCAGCCGAGCCTTGCTCACTAGGCAAGGTCTCAGGAATTCGAAATTTCTCCAGCATTTCTTCGGAAATCTCCAAAGTGGTGTGCTCCAATAAAGCATCCGATATTTGCTCACTGAACCTGCAGCCATCCTGCCATAGATGCTCCCAGAATGATTGAAGATCCAAGGGACGATTTTCTCCCAGCATAATACGGGTGGTTCTAGCAAAGTATGAAGGTGAATGAGCTGCAGCCAGAAGGATATCTTGAGTGATGGGCACTTTGGATCCTAAGCGACCGAGAAGCGAAATCAAGATATGTCCTGCATTGTATTCCTCGTTATTACGGGCGTAGGAAACGATTCTTTTGACCCTTTCCTCAGAAACCGAAAAGTCCAGATTTTCAAATTTCAGAAGAATACGCATTGCCTGAAATACGTTTGCGGTTTCAAATGCCTTTTGGGTAACTCGGAGCTTTGGGTTGTGGGCCAGGAGAGTTTCCAAAGCGTTCGCATGTGTTGCGAATGTTTCGACTAGCTGCTCATTGACAGAAAGGATGCCCCGGTCGATAAGAAGCTGAATGACTTCCCCGCCAGCAAAGGGGTTGTCGAGTATGCGTTGAACAATTTGCTGAACAGGCGCCTCATTTTGATTTCGATTGAGAAGGATTTCCATGGCGAGAGGATTCTGATAGGCAAACTCGAAAACCCCGGTCGGTACACTGGAAAAGGATGATCGGTCGAGAAGCATCGACATTGCACCCTGGCTCATTCTGGAGTTCTGAGCAGCAACGCATAGGAAATATTCAGGCACAGTATACTCAGGTCCAAGAATGCCAAGTATATACTCTACCACGGTCCCTATATCGCTTGCCACCCATGAGCTCTGCTCCAGTACTTCATGCAGTACAGTCTCCATGGTAGAGATATTCGGACGACCCATGGCAACCAGGAGTTGCATGTGTTCTACACTCCCTGTGGCCGCGGCCTCGACCAGTACTCTCTCTGAAACAGACACCAGCTGTTGTCTGCGAACAAGTTCTTTCATGATATTGATTCCGTCTGAGCAATGATCGAGCATTTTCATCATGATATCCTCCCCAATCAAGCGGTCCGGACCACATTCATCAAGCAGGATCTTGAATATTGAAAATCCCTGAACTTTGTTTACAGTGGCAGCGCGGAAGAGGATATGGCTTATCTCGGTCTCGGGGTCTTTGGCTTCGAGCAATAAGCCAAATGTCCTTGAATCTCGCCGATTCCAGGCAGCAGCAGTCAGAATCCGGTCTGTGACCAAGATCCTATGTTCATAGACTTGGATAAAGGCCTTCATGAGCTCAACATCGAACTCTTCCGCAACAGTTTCCAAGAGGTGCTGTTCCCGATACCCGGGCTTTATGAGGAGTGGGAACCATAGACTCGCCAGTTCGGGTTTGCTCATCGTAGCTTGCGCGAGCCCACCGATCGCACGTTCCAATGACCCGGTTGCTGTATCCTGTCGGTCTAGCACCATCTTTAAGATTTCTTCCAGATGCACGGTTTCTGCCGCGCCACAGAGAAATGGGTCCAAGCCGAACTTCACTGCGTCTCCAGTTCGATCAAGGAGCAGTTGAACCAAGAGAGGTCCACATTTTCTGTTGTTTGCTGCAGAGCACGCGACGTCCCAACTGATTTCGCTAGTCCCATCAGGTTGCAGTTCAAACAACACACCCATCCCCCAAAGTGTGTCAACAATCCTTTCCAGTAAATCAGCCCCTTCTTTTGAATGATCGATATGTTCCATCATTATCTGTGGCCTCTTTGGCTTCTGATTGCCCTGTAACAACAAAGCCAATAGTGATAGATGACCCTCTTTGGCAGCAGAGCAGAATGCGCTGTCATCATGCCACTCCTCGGCCGGTGTTTCCCCCTTCTCCAATAGGCTTTTGGCTGTTCGTATGAGGCCCAACTTTGAGGCCATCAGAAGAGGGAGGGGAAACTCGTTGTGATCCATGTACCATTTTCGATAACCGTCATTACCATCGTCTCTGAGTCGAATCCAATTGAAATAGCACTGTCGGTGAAGAAACAGATGATCAATATTTTCCTGAAGATCTTTCGGTGGCATCGAGCCACAACACTCCTTCATATGCCCGTCCCAAAACCGAGCCGCATAGTCCAACAGTGCGTTGTCTTGACAGTTGAATTCATCCAGACGAGTATCACTGCAAGAATGGAGCTCCAAAAGTAATCGATCCAAAATGATCGGATGTCCAAGTTTCGTAGACAGGTGGAAGAAGCTAGCTTTTTCTCGGGCATGCTGAGAAATCAGGAACTCCTTGACGGAGAAATGAGCCAGGCGAATGATATTTTCCGCATTGATAGACACCAGTGCTGTTGTACAAATCTCAACAACGCTTTTGCGAATTGGAAGGGACGCGACGGTAGCAACGGCATCTAATGCCAGCGGCCCCAGAGAGAAGCTGAGCCAGATGAGGATTGTGCGGGCTTTATCTCGATTCCTTTCATCAATCCCTGCCAGAATCTGCTCATATGACTCTTCAAGAGATTCTGGTATGGAGTCTAACGCCTCGTAAATATCGAAGGATGTGTGATAGTTCTCGAGTCGTTTGACTTGCAAGTCAACCCATCGGAACCGCCTGTAGTCCATCAGTTTAAGATAAACACTGTGACAACACTCAGGAGCCTACCGTTCAGGAATGTTCAGAATTCTGTTCTCAATTTCTGCATGAACAGATGGGTCAACATCCCTCCATCGTCCCAATTCTCCATCTTTGAGTTCGCTCCTGATGAAGGTCTCAACATCACCATTCAGGATATCCTCAATATCGAAATTTGTATAGCCTTTCATCTTTTCGGAGATGTCAGGTTCCCGCCGGCTTGTCGCGAGAAGATGAAGTTTGCTTCGGTGCTTTCTCATCAAGCCTATCATGAACTTAAGCAAAAGACCTCTTTCACCTCCCCTGGGTCCCCGAGGACATTCATCCAGAGCGTCAAATACCACGAATAGCTCTCCGGGTAATTGATGGATTAATTCATCTAGGCCCTCCAGGAGCTGTGCATAGTCCGGCTGTTTATTCTTTGTGCGGTCATCCCACCATTTTCGTATGGAGGTTGGCAAAGGACTTGGAGCGACCTGACGGATGAGACATCCAACCATGTTCTCAACATATTGCGTTCTTTCGTCGCTGAAATCAAAGTACCAGTATGCAAGCAAGTTGAAGTTGGTCCCGTCGCAGTATCTCTCAAGGTCATGGATGATTGTGGAACTGAGAGAACAGTTAGCTAGTTGTATTTTCCCGCAAATTGAGCTATGATGAGATATCACTCACCAAAGCACTGATTTTCCACAGCCCACTTCATTCGATGCGTTAGTAGATTTCAATATTCCGAGCGCATTTCATGACTTACCAACACCACTCAACCATAGAATGTCCCCTGGACTCGCCTTCCAATCGGTATATACTTTCGACTCGAGTAGCCCATTTCCAGTGTCGGCCGATCGGCTTCTCTGCTTGTCATTCTGAAATCTGGAATATGGGATTGCAGATATCCAGTCAAGAATTTCTAGCTCCTCCTTGTCTGTTTGGGTTAACCAGAGTACATGGGCTAGTTGTGGATATGCTTACTGCGAACTCGCGAGTAGATGTCGCGTAAGTCCTTGATCACTTCTTCATTGAGAGTTTCCAAGATACGTTCTGCATTCTTCCTTTGCTCTGCGATATTTCAGCGCTATCAAAGTGAAGTTTGGATGGGATTTGAAAACTTACCCTCGTCTCGAACTAACATCTTCCACCGATCAACGGCCATACTCGTACTCTGAACGACTTCCTTGAGATCCTGCAACGGCTTTTCAACCAGAGCAGTGATACTTTTCCAGATGCGCGCTATATTTCTGTTAGTTATCATTTACGAATGAGTGCAAATGAAATGCCACAGTACATCCGAACTTCTCGTTATTTGCCATTTGCACTTCGGCAGTATACTTGAGAGTTGCGACATAAACCTCCACAAGTGCATCCTCCAATCCTGAGTTTGCTTGTGCATTTTCCAACCGGTAGTTATTTTCAATGATGGTATGATAGGACAGAACACCAGCGAGGAATTCCGATGCTTCCATGAGTGCGTCACGTCGTTCGATGTCATTTTGGATTAGCTGTCTATAGTTAGCCCTCTTCACTGAGAAATTTCTACCGTCTTACTGTAAGCCCAAATGATACCAGCGACCATGCAGTTGAAGCTAGATATATTAGCTTTGTGACCATTATTCATGCACCGGAATTCTCTCACCATGACCAGTTGGATCAAAAGTTGCAACTGCCCCGATCAAGTCTTGGGCTTGCAAAGTGAATATGAGGATCTTCTTTGATACCTCGCGTGCATCACGGGTCCCCTCCTTCTGTCGAGTTCCGAGTCCACCCATCTTGACTTGCTTGTAGTTCTCCTCTGCTTGCTTTCGTGTGTCCTCGATGACTTGCTCGATTGGCCGGGCTGGTTCCCTCTTCAGCCATTTCTTGCAATCCTCGTCGAGCCTATTCTCTGCCAATTCCCAAAGATTGTGTTTCCGGGATTCGATTCCATTCTCAGATTGAGATTTGGAATCGCCAGGACTGTCGGCCTGAGACGCAGGCTGCACGCCCTGACCAAGCACGGGCTTTGCTTCGGACTCCGTCGCGCCTCTCCGCTTACAATCATCATTCTGACTCGTAGAATCTTCTTTCTGAGGTTTCAAAGTATTGGCATGTCTCTCCAGAGGCGCAACGCGCGTCGGAGTCGCGATTTTGCCTTTGTTTGCCGCGTTCTCGTCTTCGTTAGGCCGGTGGAGTCGGGGAGGATCGCTAGCGTCAACGTCCACGGGCTTTTTCTTTGAGAAACAGTTCAAACAGTGGACCATTGTGTCTAAGGAGATTGACTCGCTGTTTTGACCTTGGTAGCTTCAATAGAACGAAAGATTTAGGCAAGCAGGTTGGAAATCTCTCCGCAAGCCACCTATCGGATCTCATCACAACCGAGGTGATGGACCTGGGCACTAAGGGGAAACACGTTAGGCTGAGCTATTGGTCAAGGCTGAGTGCTCAGGTGCCGATGTCTTACCATTACCTCCTATTGAGAGAGTCCCCTATACTTGATTTCGTCTGCCACTTCTTGGAGAGTTCCCTTTCCGTTTTTGTGCTCAAACCCTGCCTCCTTTTGCTCGCAGAGTAAAGCTGACAGCCACCCTAGCATAGTCTTCCGGATAACCCAATGTTGGTCGAAGGTCCTGACTCTGGATCCGGCCTCTATGTAGGTATGTATGTCTATAGGCATTCATCTGAGGCTTTCTCCAGGTCGGCAAGGAGAATCCACGCCCTTCTGCTTCCTTCTTTGCTCACATCCCACGCTGCTACAATTTAGAGTCGATGAAACTCTTGGGATTCCCGAGTTCCGCCATGGTACCTATGACTAGATGCGAGCCGTTGCAGTCGCAAGTGGGATCGTCGGATTGCTCTCGTCTGGCATTCAAACTACGCAAACTTTGATTGATCATTATTCACTCCACCAAGACCAAGACAACGACATTTCAACCCTCATGCAAGATGTTGGAGATTCTCAGAATACCTTTCAACCGGTAGAACTTACGTTCCAGAAAAGCCGGACCTCTCAGCCTGACCCAGTAAGCTCTATTAAGGAATCGACAAAGTGCTGCAACAATACCATGGAGAATTGACACGGCTCCAAACAAAGAATACGAAACTTGATAATGGCTCAGTCAATACTTAGGTAGTTTATAAGACCGTGCACAAGTTGCTAGACAGCTTCTCCTTTCTCGCCAGCCACTAAAGCATCCCAGAGATTGGGGAACTTTGCGAAGCAGAGAATCTCTTCCAAGGAATACTGCTGAATCACTCCATGTACCATAGCGCCCGCATCGACGAGCCACTGCGCGATCTGGAGTCTTTCTATGGTTGGCAATCTGCGCGCACGGAGGATTCGACCACCCTCCTCCAAAAGAGGCACCTGATTGACACTTAATGCGATATGTAATGCGGTCGGTCCACTAGCAGGGTAGGCACTATGACGGTCCGTTACACCTGTAACGGCATGAATGTCAACATTCTGCTCAAACAGGAGCTTGACAATGTCTAAATTGCCGCGTATTGTGGCTGTATGGAGGGAAGTCCCAGTCCAAGCCTCGCCCTGGTAAAGCCCAGACGGCTTTTCCTGATCGTTGTTCCATCTCGTTGCAGACGCATGAGCATCTGCTCCCTCGGAGATCAAGGCTTCCACGATGTGCTTGTGTCCTCTAAAGCATGCCACATGCAGCGGGCGCCAGCCATAGTCATCCGCTGCTTCCGTGTCAGCACCATGACTTAGCAGAAGAGATAGAATCTCAAGTTGATCGTCTCTTGCCGCATGATATAGCAGTGGGATGTTATTCTTCCATTCTGCGATGGTTTGATTGGGATTGGTCCCTGCTTCAAGTAGCTTTGCAACAGTCGCGACATTGTGATTTTTCACAGCAAGTTCTAATGAAGTTGCGTCCTCTAAGGGAACTGGAGATGAGATATGGCCGAGCATTGCATCGGTCTGTGATGTGTCAGTCGCAGAATGGCAATCATTGTCAGGAGTATGCCCTTCTGCTCCTTCAGCCATAAGAGCTGTCATAAGCCTAACATTGCCCTCCTGAACAGCAAGGTCTAACAGCGTTTGGCCCTCATGGTTGGTCTTATTCAGGCGTTTTGCCCTTCTCAAGCAGAAACATACAAGCTTGGTGGAATCGCTTTCTTCTGGTGCTTCTTTCAGAAACCTTGTCCAGTGAGATGGATTGGGATGAAATATGGACCGATTCAACAGGCTTGATAAATCTTCCTGTTCTCCAAATAGTGCCGCAGTCAGAATTGGATCAAATGTCTGCAGTGATCTGCAATACAGGTTGGCACCGCGACTGAGAAGATTTGGAGATATATCACGCGATCCGCAGATGGTCGCTGCAAGTGTCAAAGCCGTCATCTCGCGCGTGTCCCTAATTTTGTCTCTTTTTTCGATTGTACCATAGAAGTTGATATCGGCTCCAGTAGAGCATAGAGCCTCAAGGGTTCTGTTGAATCTATCACACAGAATAGATGAATCCTCTTTGGAAGATTCTCGCTGGCGGATAAATGATTCAACGAGTAAAATCACCGAGTTTGGAGGCGAATGACACCCTTTGCTGCAAAGCAAAGCTATCGCATCAGCCTCAAGATCTTGAATGGCTCTTTTGACCCAGGTATCAGATCAAGGTGGGAATGGAAAGTGGCCCCAAGCTCTGAAAATATATGGAGAAACTTCCATCGCCCCTCGAGCAGTGCCATTGTTAACGGCGTAAGATTATTGCTCATTCCCTCTGGGCTGTCTGCCAGAGATGAGGCATGCACTTTCTCATTCAAGAACTCTCTTGGAGGAGAGAGTTTCCTCCCAGCCGCAATAAATAGAAGAACCACTGCTTTCAAGTCTTCCATCTCACACTGGGTGTCGTCGCATCTCGTCAAGGAATGTAAAGGTGCTTGTCCATAAGGACCAGCAGTATCAATGGGGGCGCCAAACTCAAGCAATAGTTTGATGAGCCGAATATCACGACGGAAAAAAGCCCTATTTAAGGCTGTCCTCTCAGAATCGTCGCGCAGCATTAGGTCTGCTCCATTCGAGAGTAATATCCGTACCATTCGCACGCTGCCGCCAGCAAGAATGAGAGGTGGAACACCCGCCGAATTGTGTCCTTTTCTGTTCAATCTCAAGCTAGCCTTGGTGGGCATATGTTGATTCACATTGGATCCACCATCAATCAAAGATGTCATCGTTTCCACAAACCCATTGAGAATCGCGATGTGTAATGCTGTTCTCCCTTGGTCGTCCGTAAGAGCTGTGTCCGCACCGGTTTGGAGTAAGCATTGCACATAACGCGGATCCTTGCGACGTGCTGCCATATGTAGCGCGAAATAGTATTCGGAACTGGCACCAGACTGAGCGAGCATTTGAGCAGATGAAAGTTGAGCATCACGAATTGCAGACACCAGTAGAACCGACTTCCAATGCAAGGGGTCTGATCGCATGTGTTCCTCGAGTTCAGCGCTCCCATAGCGATCTTCACTTATGTCTGGAATTATCGATTCGATTCCATTCACCTGTTCGCCCTTGGTAAGAGTTCTCCAGGGGTTTCGAGAAACTGGAAAGTCGAACCTGGCGGTTTCCCAAATGCAATTGAACCTGACATCACCCAGCTTTCCTTTGCGGGTTTCCAAATGTCGCACTAAGAGACCGAACAGGTCGCCATCCTTTGTATCTCCTGCAAACTCTATAGGGGTCACATTGCCTTGAGAATATGGCTTGATCTGTGCCATCGTCATCGTGTAAAGTGGAGCAACTTTCTTCGTTGAGCGCGAATGGTGGCCAAGAAGCTCTTGAACGACAGATAAATGACCGCCAGAGATGGCCCAATGGAGGGCTGTCCATCCCAGGGTACTTCGGAACTGATGGTCTACACCATTTGAAAGAAGCAGACGAACAAGCTCGATATTTCCGATGAAAGCGGCCCAGAAAAGCGGCGTCCACCCCTGTATATCCGGAAGATTAGGGTCTGCTCCCTTGTGAATAAGCACACTGGAAACGGCAAGATGTCCTTTCGAGCATGCCCAATGCAGAGGAGTCCATTTGTGAGAATCGGTTGGAGACGCATTCGCCTCCGCTTCCAGAATGATCTTGGCGGTCTCACTTAGATTCCAGTACGCTGTCATATCCAATGCATGTTGACCTTTGGGAACAGAATCAAACATCTCGTCCGCAATGCCACCTTCAAATTCCGGTCGGAACTGGAGAGCTTGGAATACAGAGTTCAGGAGCTTTTCATCATTCAGTAACGCCATGATCAGCAATTGCAACCTTTTTTCGGAATCCTGACTACAGATATGATGGCCCCAGTATTTTGCAGAATAACTCAGAAATTTCAACTCGTCGAAGCGCGCCACAAGCTCTTTGGAGGTATTACACGGCTCTGATATCAAGCCCTTTAGCCCCAGGTATCTCAAAGACGTTTGTGCAATGTCAAAATGCGAAGTTTCGGGTGAAATGAAGGTGTACAGGTACTCGTAAGCTGATGTGTGGACCAGACCAAAAGTATTTTCGGCTTGATTGAAAACAACCATGCCAACACAGATGCGAAGAAGAATGTCAGGAGTAGGCATATTCTCATAGTCTAGCCCGTCCTCATCTATCGCAAATGCAGTCATGATCTCTTCGACTTTGAATCTTCTTTTGGCGTAGAGGATCCAGGAAATCAATCGTCGCGCCATTGAGCTTCTCGCCTTTGACTGGTCATCGATGCGTTGCATAGTTGATTCAAACGTTTGTTGTAGGCCAAGAGCCTGCTTTTTTAATGTCTTTCTTATCTGGCCAACCGTGGTGAGACTAAGAAGCTCATCAAGAGTAAGCCGAGCAAGAAGAAATCTTGAAGAGGTCAGTACGTGCAATCGGGCGGAAGTATAGACTGATATCACATACAGATTCCCGCTCTTGGATACAATACCATCGATCAGTGTGTCGTCTTCGGCAAGCTCATCCTCGAAATCACTTTCCTTCAGTCTCTTCTCAATATAAGTTTTCAGGTCGTGAGTGCTTCCTGTGATTTCCAGCTGACTGGCCGTAATCATCTTCTTCTGAATGTGCGGAAGCTTTCGACTTGTGACGAGTACATAAATCCCAGACGTAGCAAGAGCTAAGCAGTGGTCCAAAATCTCACCCGGAAGCTTTATTTCATCAACAGCATCGATCACCAAGTATATTGGCTGGACTGAGCCAGCCTTTGCAATAATTTCGGCGATATCGGCTGCATTCTGCGGGGGATTGGATTGATCCAGGAACTCCTTCAAAGTGCTCAGCACGTCTTCACTTCCTCTTTGAATTAGCTGCCGACTTATACAGCGAAGAATGTTCACAGCTGTGTGTTCAGTCTGCGAAGGGAAGTCGCAGAAGAAGTATACCACGAGAGCGTCGCCAAGGCTTTTCTTTGCAAGGTGATCAACGACAATCGAACTGGTAAGATTCTCTGATTAGGAGCGACTCGTTGGTTGACGAAAACTTAGAAGGAAATCAGGAAGGGAGAATGAATGAATGATGAATGTTAGAGGGGAGTGAGGCTCTGCGATTTGAGGCAAGGCGCTTGGCTGCTTCAGGCAGAGGTGGGATGATCATGCCCACCCCTTGAGAGTTACGAAGCAAATGACCATAGCAAAGAGGAAATTTACTCACGCAAGAAAACTTTTCCCAACCCCCGCTAAAGCCTCGTCAGGAGAATTGAAACACCGTGCGGAGTACTCCGTATCGTTGGACTACTTACGTGGGCCATGGCACCACAGCATTCGCGATGACCTGTCAATCCAACACTTCACAATGGGATGGTTCAAAAACCATTGACCTGTTCCTGGACAAGAAATGAGCTTCTCTCGTAATTGCATCTCCACCGGCGGGAGCAAGGTGAGCAACATCGTGCGGTCTTGTTCTGTGCAAGGATTAGTATATCCAATTTGCGATCTCATATTTGGGGATGGACTTACCTATGCTGATAGACGAAACTTTCTGATATGTCGCATTCGTAGTAACTCTGCTTATGCATCAGCGAGAAAGGATACCTAATTTCTCAAAGCGTCGGGGATACACACAGGACACAAGCGGAAAGATACTCGGAAAGATTTTCTCTGAACTTATGAAGCATCTCAATGTGCGGTCTCAATTCCCTTTCTTGAAATGGTCTCAGGAGCCGAGATTTTCGCTTCTGAAGCTCAAAATGGAGAAGCGATAGTTCCTTGTAACAATCCATCAACGCATCATCGTCCAACGAAGGCGGACGCGGTGGAAGGAGGCCCGTAGGTTCGGCGTCCACAATAGTCTGTTCAATGCGAAAAAGGACATCCATCAAGGCCGATACCTCCTGGAGATATTTCTTCTGTATCTTAGGCGCATTCTTCACCTCCTGCACGTAGCTATAGCTTAATTGGGTGACTTGGGCAGCTAATTGAACAACAGCCGCAATGTTGGCAATAAGTCCAAGAGCTTCCATGGCGACGAGAAAGCCTTGAAGATCCGGAACCCTGAGACAGTCACCAAAATAGTTTCGGAGAGTTGACAGAGAAGCAATTGAAGTTGGCGACAGGCTCCAAGGCGCACTTTACCCCGCCGCAATTCAGCAGCACTGCCACCGCACTGCTTCGATCGCATGAGCCAAATATAGCGCCTTCTACTCCTGGGCTTGGAAGAACGGCGACAAAGTCCTTCTAGATCCCACTGTGTATCAATAGCAATACAATGATTCTACATTGTCTGGTAGATTTCTACCCTGTAGATCCGTCCTCGTGGCGTCCATGAGGCTAGTCCCACGAGTCCTCGAGGGCCGTCTACCTACGATAGCACCCAAATCCTGCTGGAGATGTGCCAATAGTGGCAGTAAACCTATTGAAGAATATGCTAACTATGCTCATTGCGCAGGCAATCTAGACTTAATATCCTACTTCAAAAATGTACCCATCTGTTACATTTCCTTGAAGCAACTTGAAGTTTGTTCTATACGATCACTACATTTATTACTACCTAGACACCCATGATACTTCAAAACTAGCATACAGTCCTAGAGCCCTCTCTATTTTTAATTCCACGCTATTGGTTATCCAAACAGCCTCTCCCGACTCATCAACAAAGAGGAAACCAGCCCCAAAGCACCAGCCACAAGGGGAATGATAAAGGCCCTTGCCATCGCGGAGGTGATTGCTTCGATCGCTGCAGCCCGCATATCACCACCGAGTTGCTCAAACAACGAGCTTTGGGATCCAGCAACAGCATTTCGAATTTCTGATTGACTGAATCCCTGACCTCTTAGAACGTGATTCAAGTTGCTGATGGCGTTTGATTGGAACGCTTGGCTGGCAATGACAAGACAGATGACCGTGGATCCAATCTGAGCAACATTTTGCAGGTTGATGGCGCTGAGGGCGTCAGTTGGCTTGACTTTCAGGCTGCCCACGGAGTATCCTAGCTGCATGGTGATTCCGGCGCCGATTCCCATCAAGACACTGAAGCCATAGATCTGACCCGTTGGTGTCGATGGAGAAAGATATCCCACGAACAACGCACCGGCTATCGTCATCAAGATACCAGAAACCAGACACATCGGCATGTAGTACTTGATTTTAGGTAAGGCCGCGCCGGAAGCAAGGTTGAGGGCGATGGTGAATAGGAGGAAGGGGAGGAGTCGCACTGCGGCCATGAGGGATGAATCATTCCGTGTGAATTGGAAGTAGATCGGGATGTAGAATGTGGTAAAGAACATGCAAGTATTCGCGCAGGTGGTGGTGATGTAGAACAAGACTTGGGTTCGGGATTTGAGCAGATGTCCGGGAAAGGATCTATGTTCGGGAGTGGTAAAGATGCAAAAGCTCTGCTGCAGTACGTAAAGCGCAAGCAGAACTCCCCATATCACAAGCATCGCAATGGTACGACGATCATTCCACTGCCAGATTCCACCCGCAAAGATGAAACCGATAGCAAAGGTAGCCCACATCGCTGCGCTGAGCACGAATCCAACATAGTCCAGACTGAGAAGTCGATCTCTGAGTGATCTTCCAGGGGATGGATCAATGACTGGAAGATATAAAAGGTAGACGGGAGCTGTGATAGCACCGATGATAAGATTGATATAGAATCCCCAACGCCAGGTGGCAGATGAATCCGAGAATCCGCCACCAACCACGGGGCCCAGGATCGCTCCCAAGCCCCAGACAAACCCAGTGCCGGCAAGATACACCCCGCGCTCATTCCGAGTCGTCATGGCCGAGATGTGATTCAGTCCTCCTAAATATATACCGGTTCCTCCAGCACCGGCAATCACACGTCCGACAACCAGGGCGCCCATATTCGGAGCGCCACCACAGAGAGCAGACCCGCCCTGGAACAAGACAATCCCAGCAATATAGAGCCATTTCATGTTGAAAGTGGTAAAAAGAAACCCGTAGGGCAGAATGACAGCGAGCGATCCAAGAGGGAACCCGGCTCCAATCCAGGCAAGTTGGTCGACCTGACCAAATCTCTGAATTACGGCTCCTTGGACGTCCGCAGCGATGGTTGTATCCAGTCCATACATCAATGCTGAAAGGTAAAGAGCAGCACAAATGAGAAACCATTTAAAGCCCTTGATCTTGCGTACATCGTCGTTGGCACCCGGGTCACTGGAGTGACCTTTCTCGTCAGGTGGATGGAGGTAGTCTTCGCTTGCCGGGCTCTCAATTTGCTTTTCGGTCGGTGAATATGCTATATTCTGGTCCATAGCTCTGGCAGTGCCTGGTTTATAGGGAGAAGAATCTCTCGTCATGGTTTAAAGCTCGTCGGGGGCTGAACTGGCCAGTGGGTGGTTAGGTGACCTGATCGAGGTAGTTATATCCAAGCATACCACGAAGAAGGTAGCAAGGGCCGTAGAACGAAGAGGAAAAACACAAACCACGGGAATAGGAGTTAAGGAATTGCATGATTTTAACGCCGATGGAATTGAGGTGTCACTGTCTGTTGTTTATAGCAAAGCCGATGATTGTCGGCCGAAGAGCCCAGGACCCTCTCGGAACCCCGAAAGGCTTCAACTCGATTGGCTTACCCTAGTTTCCGATCAATTTCAGGCCAGAATCTTTTATATTAGTCATACAAGCTCCAGGGTTTAGCGGACATAATCGGTCTTTGGATTGTAGTTGTATAGTTGCACGCTTGGTATCCCCGGGGGTTTGTGGTCGGGAAAGAGACTTAACTGCGCCTTCATCCCACATTGCACAGTAATGGATCAAGGGTGCAATGAAAGTTGGGAAGGAAAATACCTAGGAAAACCTGGATAAGAATGACTTCCCAGAGCTACTTTCAGAGCGTAGTTCAGAAGAGCACTAAAAGGACTTGCTAGGTACTAAAAAGAACATCGCAACACCGCAAAAGCGGCCGACTATACCTATGAACAGCTTCATTTCGCCCTCTTTCCAAGGTCGGGCCTAGGTACATACCTTAACTACATATTTCATCATGTACCTAGGTAGGCACCTATTGAAGTCGGTCATATTCATTCAGGTATTCGAGCTTTCTGCTAGCTTGACCTGAGCAGTGCCCGGTCCATTGATCTGAGTCGCGGGCTACCGAAGCAATTGAGAAGCTGGCCCAACTATGTGATTTGGCGAAGTTTCGACGAGCTGCGTTAGTGCATCATAGCTGCATGTCATGGCCTCTAAGGCTTGATGTTGCATTAAAAATAGGGGCGACAAATCGGAGTTAACTGGCGAGCAAATCGTGGGATGAGTTGGCGCCAAGTCATGCCGTTTGGGGGCGGAGATCCCGTGAGGTGGGGATGCCTAATCCCCCGTTAATCTCCACTGCCTCCACTACCCTGACTCCTCCGACTTGCGTTGGCCGATTTCTACTCACCCCTGCGACAATTTCGCCATGCAAGGTCGAAAATGGCGTGTCAGGACATGTTATCAGTGTTATACGCGTAAACAGAAAGCGAGTGCGATCGGCATCCGATCGTGAAGCAAGGCTAATTGGATTGTATATAGTGCGACCGCCAATATCCCTGCAATCATTGTACCCGCCGTCGCCGTCCTGAAGAATGTGTCTACGGTTCTCCGCCAGTGAATGTACCTTCCTGTCCGCCAGCCCCTGCAGATCAGCTGGGGAGTCAACCACCGCGGCCTGTAGAGAGTGCACGCCCCATGCGAGAAACAGCCGGGCCTGAATCCGAACCTCACTGGCCCAGAGAGCATTCTGCCCTGGTCCGGTCGTTTGGCTATTTTGAGGATAGCACCTCCAACACTATGGCTTTACTCCGAAGAGTAAGTCTCGTAGTGTTGTTATCCTTGTCATATTATCTAGACTTACCTACTCAACTTGACAGTTAGAATTGCTTAATCAGACTGATACAGAGTTAAACGATGCCTTGCCTTCTGCTTGGGATACCATTCACCGTGAGCTTGATATCATGCCTGACCGTCAAATCCTCGACTTTCTTGTGCAATACTTTGTCTGTGAGTTGAATTGGTAAGATCTTCTATCAGTCTTGTTTGGTCCGATTGCTTAGCTCTCTTATTCTAATCTTCATCATGGACTCAGGATGAAGCATATCATTCATGTTCCCAGCTTCTTGGAAAAATATCACCTGTGGTGGGCAAACGATAAAATAGTGGACGTTGCAGACGTCGAGTTCGCAGCTTTAATTGCTCGCATATGTTCCTATACAACACAATTCCTGCCCTCGCCGTCTCATACGGCTGATCAAATTTGTGGTCAGTCTCTAGCCGATATTCGCGACACCTGTAGTAATATTGGGAACAATCCTGCCACAGCTTGTGAGATTCTCGATTGGAATGGCACTTTAGTCCGTGTTCAGCACATTATGTTCGCTGCACTGAAAGTGTCATGTGAAGGGAGAACCAGCCAATTTTGGGAGGGTATAGCCTCTGCATGTCGGGCTGCTCAAAAAGCTGGCATTCACATTAATAATAGCAGTCTGGTGGAATATCAGGGTCCTAAGGATAGTGCCCAGGAGTTAGAAAAGGATGTTCGGCGGAGGACGTTTTGCAGCCTTTATGCTTTGGACAGGTACGCTTGTTATCATTCTGATACTGAGTTCGTATTGACACATCTGGATATAAGCCATCTATCCCGGCAACTAGATCGGATCCCATTTTTACCGAATTGTTTGGTTGAGGAAACACTGCCGCGGCTGCGCTTCATCCCAGACATCGGCAATATACCCCTAGAAACTGCTACCAGCGCACCCGATATATTCACCGAACGTCTCATGCAAGTTCAGCTTGGCTTGTTTTGGCGAGCCTTTGGGTTGCAGCGTAACTCGGGGTTTGATCCTACCGAAAGTGAGCGACGATATGAGAAGTTCAACGCCGACTATCTCAGGAATTTGCACCCGGCTTTCACCATAACCCACCCAGACATGACATTACATTGGATCAGGCTCTTCCAAAGCTACCGATGCAAAGACAACTTCTATATATCGCGATCTTCGATTCAATCTGTTGGAACTTCCGACCGCTCCTGCTACTCAAACCAGACCAAGTCGCAGGCTTAGCCCCCTACAAGAGAGTCCTTCTCCGGTCGCAGAAACAGAGACTTGGTATGGCTGCATTGAAAGTTCTCGAAGCCGTTGCAACCCTTCATACATTGTTTGGGAGCTCCTACACGCGCTTTTCGGCAATCATCTTTAACTCTTTTGAGCCTACCATTCTTCTACTTACTCTTTGTTCCCATGCAGATTTCCCATTCGATCAAGAAGACAATGTAACAGATCTTATGGGCATCAAGGTTAAAATGACATATCAAATAGCAATGCAAGCAGTGGAACAGGCTATTTATCGTCTTCAAATGCTTGCCGATCTCAGTGACATGGCTGCGTCAGGAGCACACGTGGCTACTCAGCTCTTTGCTAGGACTGTCCAAGCAAAGCAGTCAGGTAGTCCACTGGCTCTCACATTGTCTGCTCCTGGCTCTATAGGTCTATCCCAATTCCGGACTCCCATAGGCATTCATGGGGACCAGGAACAGTGGCCATCTTCGGAAGCAGGGGACCTTTGTTCAATGCCGAGTAATTTTTCCTCAACGGCGCAAGGTTCTGTTCTGGGTCCCCAGATTTCATCGTTAGAATTCCCCATACACTGGGGGGAATCTTGCTTCTAGCGTGGCCTTCAATGAGTTATCAGGCTATGGTTTTTGTTATAAATTCCTGATATTAGAGGGTTTGTTTATTTTTGATAGTTAGCAATGATCAAGATGAAAGAGAAAAGCTCGCTCCCGCTGTTCACAGGAGGCAAATTACATTCTTCGCCGCGGAAGATTGCCATGCAGAGATTAAGAGTGATTTTGGAGCCGTTCCCAGCGCGCTCGATCATGTTGGAACCATAGACCATACCAGCAAGGCAATTTAGAATATGAGTCTCAAAAGCACTTTCTTGGTCAGGTGTGAGTTGATTTTGAAGGACCGCAGAAAGTTGATTTCCCAGTTCCATGATCTCGGGGAAGATGGTATCGGGGTCGAAATCGTTCGCGCCAATCTTATAGTCGAGGCGTCATCCATAGCAACTTTTAATTGAGCCTGAACACCAAGAAGACTGCGAGATGAGACGGCCCCGTAGCCAATATGGAGCGTTGACTGAATGTGTCGACGTAAAGACTTCGCAAGGTTGATGGCGGTCCCTGGCGAGACGACCGGCGGAGGGGTAGAGGTTGATTTTATATAGCATCCTTCAAAAGCTTTCGAGAGGCTTGCGCGTTTGAACCTGGTCGTAGAAGGCATTTTGATTTCAAAGCGAAGTGACAGTGAGGAAACAGTCCACGTGAAAGAAGGCAGGGTTTAATTGAGGGGGGAGAAGAAACTTAGGGTCTGCAGGTCAGTGTACTTGGAGACACCGAAGAGATAAGATGATTGAAGACAGAAGTAACAGTCAGAAGAGGGAAGTGAGGTTGAAAGTATAGTTGATATGCGTAGCAGACGGTTGGCCCAAATAGGACTAGTAGCTCATAGCCGCACCCTTTTTGGGAACTACGTATCTTGACTCATTATCACTCGTTTTTCATCTTTTGCCCAGGTTTTTCGAATATTGTAAAGGATAGTCATCGTTCGGATGGGTGCTGCGGAGGTAGGAAGCAGGGCAGTTCATGGGCCCAAACTACCAATGCATATCGGTGCAATATTTTATATGGATTGGAAATTCACACGCATCGCTAAGAGGGATCATCTGGGGATCTACCTAGGTACGCTGGATAGCTCAATTAAGCCCGTTTCGAAAGTTATTGATTCTCACACAACCTTCATACGAGGTGATATAATGTATTCTTCTAACCTAGCTGCGATACCCTTAGGAATTCCTATCCTTGACACAATGAGATCACCGTCAATTCCCTAGGAACTACGAGTAATATAACGAGGGTTAGATGCACGTCGGCGGGGCAGGCCGGCTAGAGGCTTCCACAGTTGCTCAGTATGACACGCCTATAGCGAGCCCCACCTATATAGTACCAGTCTTAATGTTATGCCCTATACACGTCACGCACCATACGGCAAGCTGGGGGTGGAAATCACCCGATAAACCGCTTCATCAACGCCGACGCCATAATTGTTCCATACGTGCCATTAGGCAATTGTATTCCTTTCGGCGCCTCTAGTTTGGCTGGTAGCAACCCCCATGTGTGGTAGACTTTGAGGTGAACCTTCAATTCCAACATATTTGGTGAATCATGATAATCTCAAACTTGAGCGACGCGGCTGATACTGTCATATAACCGAGCTACGGAGAAGGCGGTGCTGAATATGTCGGGAACCAGGGGGGAAATGTTGAAGCAGTCAATACTCCGTAAAGGACGGGGAAATCGAACGGGGAAATCGGACAGATCTGTTTTCATGCAGTAGCTGTATGGTGTACGGAGCACTCCGTACACGAGTATCCATGCAATAGACCCTATTTTTCCGGCATCGTGCATGCGTCAGCATCGCCTCGAAGATACATCCCTCGAACGCCACATCAAAACGGTCTCGGTCTAGTCCATATACGCGTCTAGATCTATCCATAGATCAGCCTATCATCGGATCGCGCTATACTTCATATTTGGGATGTAAGACGGTCCTTTGCTTGTAGCGTGGCTGAGGGGTGCAGGAACGGGGTTTGGTTTAGTTTAGCATATCCCGCCATACTCCGTATGTACATAATATCTATAAAAAGGAAAGTGGAGATTATAAATTTATCCACAGGGGAAAATAAATTATATACATGTAAAAGGTCTGGACTATTAAACTAGGAGCGCCAATTCGGTACCTGCTCCTCGGTGTCATCCACAATTACGACCATCCATACACCTACTTGACCATTGCTAGCCATTAGGGGCGTGCAATGAACCCAACGATTGCGCCCTTCTGGGTTAGACCGTGTTACCCATTTGATACGAGCAGTCACACTGCGACCGACCTTCATGGCTTGTAGGAGGTCATCTTTCACTGCCGAGGAGCTGCCGATACGCGATAGGAATGAAGATTGCAATATTCCCGGGATCTGGAGGGAGGGCGATGTAAACAAGATCCGAAGGACAGGATATGGTCGAACGAGGAGGTACTGCGTTACGTTAGAAGGTGCAAGCAAAAAGGGAGAAAAAAAATAGAGAGACAAAACAAGTAATTCTTACATTTTCATAGACGCCAGCCAGAGACATTCGGAAGAATGGCGACTTGATATCCCGTATACGGATAGCCTCAGTCTCACTCTCCGGCGATGGGCCGCTTAGTGGCCAAGATTTGGGGTGACGCGGAGATGCGGAGCTTTTAGGTGGTTGGAAAAGATGTCCGCCGTGCTCTTGAACAGCGCATAGTTCGCGCGGACTGAATAGTTCAGTCAGTTCCCGGAATTCATCCTTTTCTGCTGGTTCTGGCTGGTCCACGATCATCTCATCCTCGGTTTTGTTGTATTTGGTTTGTAGTTCCATTAATGACTCCATCGAGGCTCCCTCCATTGCGAGCCCTGATACATCAATCTGTGCACCGATAAAGTATTTGACACGACCTTGGCTGTCGCATAAGGGGGCGCACTGGAGGAGGTTCATAAAAGGGGAGCCGTCGCGGCGACTGATTATGTTATTAAACTGATGACTGAATGGCAAAAGGCGAAAGTATAGAACATACTAGTTGAGAAACAGCTCGGAATGATGCCGGCCTGCGTGGATAGCTTCGCGAAGCCGGCGAACACTGTTTGCATTTGTCTTTGGGCCTTGCAAGAATCGGCAATTCCTACCCAGAACATAATCCATGCCATATTGCGTAGTGCGATGGAACTCTGATTTTGTCAGTCAATTTCAAAAAGGAACCACCCGCCGAGTTGCGCAAACGAACCATCAGATGCAAAGATAATTGGATTGTCAGGTCGCGATGGGTCTGTCAAGCAGAATACTTCGGCAAGTGCATTCGAGGTTCCACGAAATTTCATCGGTAGAGTTCCGCGAACTCGTTCCTCGACGATCTTGCTTGTAATGGTGATGCATCTGGATGTGATGAATGCAGGAAGCTCCTCGGCAGTTAACGCCAACAACCCATCCACAACACGCTGTTCCAACACCCGATTCACGGTTACCCCGACGGATTCCTCGTCTGTCTGGACTGTCGGAGGAGGCACATCGACCGACAGGCGGATGAGCGCATTGGCATACTGAAGTGCTTTGAGAGCCTTGGTGGCATTGAGATAGTATGTGAGGGTAGAGATGGAGCGCGGCCGTTCTTCTAAAAGGAAGTCGCGGAACCGGGACAGATATCGCGGATTGTTCAAAATTGTGAGCATATGCTCCGACGAGAACATAATATCTGCGATGCGTTCCAGTTTGTAAAGTGGTAGATCACCACCATCGTACGGCGCAATGAGATCGTAGGAGCCGTTTTCTTCAGTGACCGGATTAAATTCCGGCGCTCCCTCATTAGGATTAATTTGTTGTAACAGGGGAAGTTCGGTGGCTGTGGCATGGCGACGTAGATTCTTGATCGACGGTTTGGGGGTGGGATACACCGGGGTTTCTTCCTCGTAGATCGAATCCAAATTCATCGACCTCGGTGGCTGGGGAAAGTCGTCCAGCAGATGCTCAGTTCTATCTCGTTAACGCGACTTCAATTGGATTTATTTGGTGCAGTTTACCGTGATGATCGACCAGAGTCGGTGACCCAATCGTGGTATTCATCCTGGATCGTTTCTGAGAATGAGCGCAACGACGCGGCGTCGGGGACGCTTAGCTCCTCGGGGAGCGTATGGAGATCTAACTGCGACATTGTTGGAGCGCAAGAAAAATAAATCCCAGAATGCGCGTCCAACCCTCGAAACACACGTTCCCTTTAATAATCCGCGAGATGGTTACAAATATTTTCCCCTCCAGCGTGATACATCATTTGGTCGACTGCCCCGTTCTGTCGCTTCGGGCCATGCAACACACAATGCACCTGGACACAGACACAAAGACAATATGGCAGGTCATAATGAAACCCGATCAGTTGTATTTCGATCGATCGGTGGTTTGGGACTGAACCCAACGCGATCGGAATTGAGGATCGACCGATGATGCCACTGTGCAGCTCAGGTGTTCTGTCAACGTTGGCTTGACGTTCGGGGATCGACGGCCTATTGAAATTTGAGTTGTAACCACCATGACGGGATTGCGATGCATCCATGGCCATTGGATCAGTGGGAACATTGTCCGCAATTAGGCTATGGTTCGCTGTCTGTGATTCGCCGGTTCACTGGGGATCTCCGTGGTTTCTTTCTCCGTTCCCCTGACGGCCTGAGCGCCACTAGGAGTACTCCATACTTCGTACTTTGCGAATCATTAGCTCTAAACTATTCCACTTTCTCTAGCGAGCTGTCAACTTGCCTTGGATTCAAGAAGTACTTCAGCCCAGCCTTGATAGGGGTGTGTATACGGAGTACTCCTTGGTTCACTACGGTTTACACTTTGCCACACAGTGAATCATTCCCCTAAATGGACACAACGCATTCATCGAACCCACAGCCTCTGGAAATGACGAAATAGAGAGTATGATAATCACCCACGCCAATCCTCCACCTTTGCAGGTACTCGGGGGTCATCATCGACGGAATCATCACAGCGTAACTCGAATCGGACCGGGAGTGACGGTTCGGCGGCATCAGTTGCGCAGGAGGGAAGATATGCTCCGTCCTGCCGATGACCACGGTCTGATCAAAAGCCTTGCACGGGGCTCCGTGAATGCTCATTGGCTAAAAATATTCCACATTGGCACTAGTGTTGCTAATAATACTCCGTACTGCTGTTCTTGTTGGATAGTCATTCGGTATGGAGTAGAGGATCAGCCGCTACTACGCAGCCATTTTGCCCAAGTGTTGACAAAAGTCCGCTGGAATTTTGAGTCCTTGTGATCAGTCTCCAATTGAGGACTCTTGGCATGGGAACGGACTCGTCTTTCGGTTTATGCTCCCACTGTATGGAGTAGCCCCATGGCCTCTATGACCTTGGGAGAAAAGGAGCACGGACCGATCGGAGTAAGTATCGAGGTCTTCCTGTCCACCAAGTTCTTTGCAATCTAGTCTCTGTGTCAACCAATCCTAACAACAGGACTGGACGGAACCTTGAGCCCCGTAAAGAGGAATCGATAATGATATTTTATTTTTGAAGCAGGAAGAATATCAAGTGTTGTAAATTGTCTTCTGGATCTCGTGGTACTCGTGGTGTTGATAAGGGATATGCTTATCAGCTTATCGATAAGGCGAAATTTTCGGATTCGAGCTTCGTCCGTTGACAATCTTTCGCGCCACTCCTCAAAATGCCGGAAAAGGTCCGTACCGTGTTCGCCGACTCAGATGATGAGAAGGTCATAGAGCCCAAGCTCTCGCTCCAAACAACGGAAGAACCCGGCCGTAAAAAGAAGAGAACCAAGAAGCGCAAGCGCGACGAGGATGCCTCGAAACCCGCCGATCAGGATGAACCCAGGGAAGGGCCTGTGATTGTCGAACGGGCAGAAATACCCGTGTCTGTGCCAAAAGTTCAGGAGACAAAACCTCAAAGTAAAACGGCCCCGGTGTCGAAAACATACCCAAAATCGAAGCCGAGACCTTTCACCGATACCAAAACCAACTTCACACCTTTGCGAGAAAAGGCCAAAGCGCTCCTCGAGACGCGGCGTAAGCTGCCAGTATTTGAAAATGCCGATTTGATCCGAAGCCTATTACGAGAACAAGATGTTATGCTTTTGGTCGGTGAAACGGGTAGCGGAAAGAGTACACAAATTCCGCAGTTTCTGGTGGACGAATTCTGGTGTCGCCCCGTACCTGCCCAAGTCACACGGGACGGGAAGACAGAGAAGAAAATGGTTGGAGGATGCATTGCTATCACACAGCCGCGACGAGTCGCTGCCATTTCGTTGGCCCGTCGTGTAGCCGAAGAGATGGGCACGCCGCTTGGAGCCCACTCGCCTGCTAGCAAGGTTGGCTACGCCGTGCGATTCGATACTTCCGTGTCGCCCAGCACGCGGGTGAAGTTTTTGACCGAGGGAATGCTGCTCCAAGAGATGTTGCATGATCCAAATTTGACCAAGTACAGCGCCATTGTTGTTGATGAGGTGCACGAACGAGGCATCAATGTTGATCTGACGCTCGGATTCCTGCGCAATCTTGTTTCTGGAAACAAGGAAGGCCGTGGTGGTGTTCCGCTGAAGGTGGTTGTCATGAGTGCCACAGCGGATATGGAGAGCCTAACGGGCTTCTTCCAGGAAGGATACAAACTTGCAGAGCCAGCACAGAAAGCTATAGAAGATTTACCTGAGGCTGATCCGGTCGATAATCCCAAGCCAAAGGATATCTCTGTCTGTCACATCAAGGGCCGACAATTCCCGGTTAAAACAATCTATGCACCTGCGCCAGTACACGACTTTGTGGACGCCGCGCTCAAAGTTATCTTCCAGATTCACCAGAAGGAGCCAATGCCAGGTGACATTCTTGTCTTCTTGACTGGTCAAGAAACCGTCGAAGCTTTGGAACACCTTGTGAACGAGTATGCCATGGGCATGGACCCAGCACTTCCTAAAATCCTTGTTCTGCCTCTGTTTGCCGCGCTGCCACAAGCTGCCCAGCAGCGCGTCTTTGCCCCTGCTCCTCCACGGACGCGCAAGATCGTGTTGTCCACTAACATTGCTGAAACCTCCGTCACCGTGTCTGGGGTTCGGCACGTAGTTGATTGCGGCAAGGCAAAGGTCAAACAGTTCCGTACTCGTCTTGGTCTTGACTCGCTCTTGGTGAAGCCTATATCCAAGTCAGCTGCAATCCAGCGGAAAGGTCGTGCTGGTCGTGAAGCTCCTGGTCAATGCTTCCGCTTGTACACGGAGAAAGACTATCTGGCTTTGGATGAAACAAACACGCCCGAGATTCTGCGCTGTGATTTAAGTCAAGCACTGTTGAACATGAAGGCGCGTGGCGTTGATGATATTGTTCGGTTCCCCTTCCTGACCCGGCCCCCGCGCGAGGCATTGGAGAAAGCTCTTCTACAGCTTCTTAATATTAATGCTTTAGAGGATGATGGAAAGATCAGCAATGTTGGTCTACACATCGCCAAGCTTCCCTTGACTCCAACTCTAGGACGAGTGCTGCTGGCAGCTGCCGAGAACGGTCCTGAATGTTTGCTGGATGTCATTGATATCATCTCATGTCTCAGTGTGGAGAATATCTTCTTGAACACCACATCGGAAGAGAAGAAGGAAGCAGCAGAGGCAGCACGTCGGGATCTATACCGACGTGAGGGCGATCACCTCACAATGCTGACAACTGTCCGTGTCTACGCCGCCGAACATGCCGATCGCAAGGCATGGGCGGAGCGACATCTCGTATCGCACCGAGCGATGCAATCAGTCATGGTAAGTAGTTTAATTCCCACCACCCTATCCAACCAAACTAACGAAAATTCACCAGGATGTCCGCAAGCAACTTCGCACCCAATGCCGCCAAGCCAAGCTGCTCACCAACGAAGCCTTGAACAACACCTCATTACCCGATCCATCACCCATTCTCATCCTCCAGAGTTTCCTGGCAGGATTCGCGACCAACACCGCTCGTCTCGTTCCCGATGGCAGCTACCGTACAATTGTTGGAAACCAAACCGTTGCTATTCACCCTTCCAGTGTGCTTTACGGCAAGAAGCTGGAGGCTATCATGTACAACGAATTCGTGTTTACCAACCGCAGTTACGCGCGTGGCGTGAGTGCTGTACAGATGGACTGGGTGGGAGAGGCTCTCGCTGGAAAGGATTGATCACTAGTTAGAGATGCTATGTCCTAGTAGACTAATATATACCCCTGTGCAAGCGATCACACCCGTCCGATTCGGCATATTTTCTCTTTTTCCCCATCTGTCTTTGTGGCGTCCAGCACCCATGTCAACAGGGAGTTCCAAGTTTCAAATATCACGAAAATGAAAAGGGGAGCCCCATACGGTTGTCGATATCCAAAAAATTGACGCGAATTTGTTCATGGCTAGGAATCAATCACTCCCTTCCAGTCAACAGGGTGATATAGGCCCTTCCAAGCAGACTCAACCGGTATCCCAAACGTCAACTACTTTCTCATCCAATTCTCCACCAGGCGTCTTGTCTTGTGATGGTCGGGATCTGCCCCTGGAATCCACAATGATCATGACCGAGCAGATAACACTTTCAATCTTTCTAGGGTCTGATCCAGCCACCAAAGTATACCAATTGGAACTCGTTGGGAATTGTAAGGTTCTCCCACTGAGCATTCTAGAGAAGAGAACGGTGATGCACAGAACCGTGACCGACGAGCCCTGATAAGCCGTCAAACAAGAAACGATGTCAACATACGATGAATGCCAAGCTCAATCTAAAAGGAGTAAACCTCCACCAGATGATGGCGTGGTCCCCAAATCCAGTGCAAGCCACGCCACCTCATTTACAAGGCTTGACTTGACACGACATCCAGCGCACAGCTCACAACACACGACTTTCAAACAATACGACCCCTGGGCAGTCACACACCGTTCGTTCCACATTTTCTCGAAGGTCAGACTACCCAATCAAGGACTTCTGTGCCTGATAGATATCAGGAATTGAATCTGAGGCGTTGGGGCCTAAGCGGTCGACAAGGATGTGAGACAGTTATACTTTCCTAGGAAACGAGATAGCTATGAGCTACCATCCCTCAACGTTAGATCCATGAGATACCTAAGTCAAGAACGGCTGCCTGCTATCGACTCACTGATACTTCCTATCGCGGTTAAGTTATCTGTGAGCGATTTGTTCGATCTACCAACGTACGATGGGATCCTCCCAAGCCCGACAACATGCATGACAAGTTTCTTGGGTATTGACGAGCATAAGCTCTTGTTTCCACTCCAGCAAGGTGGCCATGGCAAGCCTCGATGCCCCTGCTCCCAAGACTCTTGACATCGTCCTGACCGCAACATTGAAATGAGCCCATCCCGACAGAGCCAAGGAGTTTGAATGTGCGACGAACCAAAATGCAATCCTCGACAAATCATAGGAGACCCTCGAGTTTCACTCCAGTGCACATTTAGAAAAAGCAAAAAGGTAGTGTTGGTCAACCTACTAGCCTTTGGCGGCATTCAGCTCTATCTGTCTGCAGCACCTTGTAGTCTGCAACAATGCAAAGCACCTACAAAGACAGCTGGTCCAATGTCCAGCTCTGGTAACATGGCGGTGTCTTGATGCCCCTCACGGCCAAATCCCCATGTTTGCCCCCGGCGATACACCGGTCGAATTTCGGACAATGACCCTCCCTCCTTGGTGTTCTTTGCACTCTCCAACTAGCTCTGTGGCAACTGAGGGGTATGGGTTAGTGCAAGCGACAACACGCCGGTCTCCTTGGCATTTAACTACATGGAAGACAGGCTAAGATGAGATGGGATACTCCGTACAGAATACAGAATACAGAATACGGGGGAACGCTGTAAGGATTTGCTCCAAATCCCTTCCCAGCGTCTAGTAACGTAAATGTGACAGATGTGAGGATCACACGTCACAACGTCGATCCCGGTGACCGTCGTCAGCTGATGAGAACCCAAGGTTCTGGAAGACCAGTTATTCTTCTTCAGACGTGTTTATCCCCTACGATTCACCCCCTAAGAGAAATCAGGGAGAATTGGGTGGTCTCACCATAACTTGCATCATTGGAGGATCATTCATCGCTTATCAGCTAATCTCTGGATCGCCTCACATCATCACTCGGGGAGGCTCTCTGTTGGGAACTCGATCTCTCTCTGTCTTTTCTTTCCCTTATTTTCCATTGTCTTGACTATTTAATTCCCCCCTTATCTTCCTGAATGCCTCCATTCCCGACTTAACAGCCTTAACCCCCCACTGTGACCTTCGGATCTACTCTTGAACCCGCTTGTCTATTCCACCTACAAGCTCGGGAATAATATGGCCTTCCAGGTCCCAACACATGCCCCCCGCCGCAGAACTTCCTATTCCGCTCCTCGACCGCCTGCCCTCCGAATCCCCTCTTCCACACCGGAGCAACGTGATGACGACACCGCCCAATGGGTCCTGTTTTCCCCGACCGCCCATACACAGTCAACCTCCACCGATCGTACGCGCACTATAGGTGCTTCGCGACTGAGCGATTTTGGCTCATTCGCTGCAACCCGGTCTCTGACTGGTGTTGCAGACGAAGCAGATGACGAGAATGCTCTGGACGACCAACTGGACGAAGATGGAACTGAACTAGACAGTCTAGACGATGGACTACATGCCTTTCGGGCACCCGAGCTGGCCCCGTACTCTCCCATACGGTTTGATCAGGGGCAGCCAGCGATACTCCCAGCCCATGACGGGTTAGGCAGTTTCCAGGCCTCGAGTCAGGCAGTCCAAGACCAACTTTGGCGGCATGAGCAATACAACCCCCGGCGGCCCTCGTATAGCCAACATCGCCGTAACTCGAGCGTCCAGAGGCATTTGGATACCGTCGAGGAGAGCGAGGCCAATGTCGAGCGCGAGCGGTGGCAGCGAATCGAAGATTGGCGGATGGATCAGAGCCGGGCTCTGTTGCACGAGATCGAACGGGAGACCCGACAGCATCGGCTCAGTCAGGTCAGCCGATCGGGCGTTCCTCATTCCGCTGATAACATCGCCCAAGCTTCTATCTCCGAAGTGCTGTCTAACGAGACAAATCCTCCCGGAAATGGCTCAGAGGACGAAGACACTTTCTGGCGTCGTATCACACGAAAGGTTATTCGTGATCTGATCGGTATTGATGATTCCTTGCTTTCTGTGATCCTTGGAGAGTCCTTGCCGCTGGACGCGCAAACTCGTCACCAGGAAGAACCACTGGACATGGAAACCGTTTTAGCCCGTGAGCCAGAGCCAGACTATGGCGACTCATCGATGTGGCAGACAAAGGTGCTCCAGAAAATCGCCCATGAGCTGGGCATTCTTGTCCATCAACTTTGTGAACACCCCGGGGCGTTCACGTCGTATTATCAAATGACTCAAGATATATCCGCCGAGTATGCGGGCATGCCCCTCGACCGTCTAGCGGAAAGCAGCGTCTCCCTGAAACCCACCGAGTCCATCGCACCCCCCAGTACAGATGCCACAGGCGAATCCATGCTATCTCCACACTTTATACCCACCCTCAATGATTTAAATCGGGAACATGAAGCACAATGGGGTATCGAGGATGAAGATCCCAAACCATCCGACTCAATCACCGAATCAACGCGACTTCAACACGAATCTGAGTATTGGGAACGCGGACTCGATGTTATGATGGTATTCCGCTACCTCCGCAACCGCTTAGGTCGTCGAGGATGTATGCACACCGAGACGCACACACCATCTCCACCTCGCCGATCCCCGGATGCATCCCGCCGAGCAGCCATCATCCGGCAACATCACCCACTCGTAGCGCGTGCTCATTCGCGAGCCCAAGCGCAGGCTCGCCGCGCCTCACAATTCTCCGGCGTATCAAACCCCGCGGGTGTCTCTTCTCCTCTTCTAAGACCTCACCTCCGCCGGCCCAGCTCGAGTTGTGCCAGCCAGAGCGCCAAACTCACGGCTCTTTCCAGCCGGCGGACGATGACAGGGTCTAGCCGGAACTACTGGGATATTGGCGGCAGCGAAAGCAACAGCGCCATCGGTGTCGGAGCTGGTCTCGGCACTTGGGGTGAGGTGTGAGTACTTGCAGAGCAAGATGATGCATTCATCGGAGTTAGTAGATGATTGTTTGATTTCGGGTAAATATTACTGGATATATATTGCATTTCGTTTATATTTCATCATCATTTACACAGAGAGCAATCCTTCTCAATCCATGGCCTGATGTAAAGGACACGGCACGTATGCACGTGAAATGCCGAATATGTAAAAGTCCTAGGTGTCGACATGATCAAGGTCGCTTTTTCGGAGGTCTATATATGAGTTCACTCAGGGCGCTGCTTTTGTGGCATGCCTTGTCTGAACAGCGTCCTTGATTAATGCGGCACGTGGATCTCCAATGCGGGGAAGGCCAAAGATAAGGTTATCGCCCTTTGGGTTTAGTGGAGCCTTAATTGATCGCCGGCCGTCTGCGAAGGTCTCTGTCATGGAAATCCATCTTCTCCTTTTCTGCCATCTTCAACTCAGGCATATTCAGGCAGCAAATCCAGTTCGAATCAAAACCGACCCCTGAGGACTATACACCTTCGCCCCTGTCGCCACCTGCAGCAATCATAACATGTATCTGCACATTAGACGAAGACAGTCATGACAAAAGCTGGCGGGCGACCCTGTATACTTACGATATTTTCCATGTTGTTGATGAGGAAAAGCCAATCGAAAGAGTCGCAAATAAGGCCATCATCGCATCTGATGGCGAGAAACATGAACTTGATGTGTTGATTTATACAACGGGCTTGGATACTATCATTGGTGCGCTCAGCTTCATTAAGTTGAGTGAAAGGACAGTCAACTGCTCCAATTACAGAAGTGATAAACACATATACTAGGCACACTATCGAATATAGCAAGAGCGCTGTGTTTAAGGAAGTTGATAACTTTATGATTCATGTTAATATAACTGTCAAGAGCACGGCTATTCACAGTGTTTCAAGATGGGCGGGAAATGCGGTGAAGTATTGTTGGGGTCCGTTGAGCCTAGGGTAGGTGGTTGGAAAGGTGTGGCATTCAACTCTCCAGTTCCAAGCCTTGATGTGTAATTATTCTTTGCTCCTTTATCTTCCGACACAAACTAAACCACACAAGGTAAGCCTCAGTCAGACCCCAAACTAGCTAATAAACTAGCAGACGGAGCGAAGAACGTCGTTCCAGTCAACGGCTTCGAGAAATCAAGAATACGATCATGCAGTCCCGGCGGATCCCCAACAAACATGCGCTCCAACATTTTCTCAACGACCCATAGACGTCGACTATAGCCAATAAAATAAGTTCCAAATTCGCCAGAGGCAGGAGAGCCAAAGGGCATATTATCGCGAAGAATATCATACTCATTCCCATCATCATCTTCAATCGTGTTGAGAGTCTTATGAGAGCGCTGTCCGGATTCCGCATCATCCAACTCAACATTATCGATCTTAGTACGACCAATGATCTGTTCTTGCTGTTCCGTCGAAAGATCCTGCCACCCGGGCAGATCATGGCTGTACTTCTGCACAACGATGTAGCTACCACCAGAGGCAGAAGCATCTTCCTCTGCAACAAGAACAGATGCAGGAACAGCCAGGCCAACCGGGTTTGCCGTACCATCCACAAACCCAAGAAGATCACGGACATCGAAATAGCGAAAGCCGACTGTTTCGTCGACCACAGTGACCGAATCACCAAGCCGACCCATCAACTGGCGCTCAAACTCAAAACAGATATCACGGCGCTCTGAGCGAATGTGAAATAGTAGATCTCCCGGAGTAGAGATCGCGGTATGTTTCGCGCCCTGGATCTCGCGGAAAGGACGCAGTTCTGCTGGCCGGGGAAGGGCTGTGAGACGATCCCAGATGTCATTTCCAATTCCGACGGCGCATGCGAACTGTGCGCTCAGGTCCCGTATTGATACATTCTTCGCCAGGCTGTCTATACCTGCTAGTGTGGAGCGCACAGTTTCAATGGCATCGGATTTGTCAGTCACAGTCACAACGAGAAAGGTCGCTGATTTCGTGAGAGGGGCGTCTACGCGCTGAGACGCTATTGGGACCCGTTGACTGCTCATTTCTGCCTTTTGATATGACTCGCAATTAGAATGAGGCACCTCCGGTGATATGTTTGAGGGATGAATGGCCGATCTGGTCTAGAAGTTGGGTTAAATGCTGTCGTCGTAGCTGGGCTACACGTTTCCAAGTAGGGCGTCCAGGACTTATTGACTGCAGAATGTGAGGATAGCTGGAATAGAGTAGAGAATTATTGTATTTGTAACAGGGTGCCAGTCTGCCAGGTTTGTTCATAGTTTTGCTGGTCAATATGAAGGTGAATTGAGTCTTACAAAGGACTCGAAATTCAGCGCAACAATAGATTTCAAGAAGAGATGACTTACTGCATAGTCCAAAGGTTTGATTCCAAACAGCAAAGGATAACAAGGTCGAGGGTGATGAGGTCACACCCGACAGAGCCGCCCAAGAGCTGGAAAGGGGATGAGTCCCTATTGTTTATGAGACAACCTCCTACGGGGGAAAGGTACTCAATACAAAGCATATGCTTCTTCCCCATTTCCAGCAATACACTCACTCATAGACACTATCCACTAGCAAGGCCATTCCTATAAAAAGCAACCCCCGTCCACCACTGAAGTACACAGCATCGGGAATGCCCTCCGGCCAATCTATGCGTTCTATTGATACTGCATTAGCAACCTTCTCCTACGCATCCGCCAACATATGCGGCGACTTGGTCATCGAGGGGGATTCGGTGTACTCAGGACAGGTAGCATTGATGCGCAAACCCTTGTTAGCATTATCCCCCGAAGCAGTCCAGGTCAAATCGATTCCCTACCCACAGGTACCAACGCCAATGCCAATGCCCCCAAGGCAGTGGAACTCATGCCTCTACAGCTAGACGATATGAATGGCCATTACCAACACCCATTTTGCTACCATCCAGGCACTCTTTGACCACAGAAATGCCAACTCACATGCATGTGATGGGGAGGGCAGGACTCCTATAGATCTTGCTTTGGAGAAACTCGACTAGGAACAAGCGCTAGTCTTAAAAGAGGCGATGAACATATTCCTGAATAATTTGCTGGGCAATTGATTTTATTCTCCAATTGCAGACATTGGTCTTTCGGGACGTAGGATCATGAATTATGCTTCGTCCCAGCCCAACATTGTCCATGTCAAAACACAACACAATGATATGGCCAAGACCTTTTGTAAAATGCTAGAGTAAATGAGAAAGAAACAGGTCTATGCCATCGATGCCTGGAAGAAAGAACCAAGTTCGGACAAAGAAAAAAAGGGGACAAGCCATAACGCGCCAGGACCAGCCAGGAAGAAAAGCGGGTGAAAAACAACAGTCAAGAAATGCTCCAACGAGGGCAAAAACAGATCAAAGCCCTCCAACGTAAGACAAAAGTTCGTGACCCATTTACATCTGTCGCAATCCCTCTGCAAGGCGCCGCTTGCCAAACTCCCAGGCATTCATTAGACCCTGTTCCGTGAGGTCGATGTTCTTCATATTGGGCGCATCGGCGGCGGGCGCACGGCTGACACGCGAAGCGATCATGACGGGGTCTGTCTCAAGGATAATTCCGTCGTCGATAATCTCATCAATGGCGAGTGAGACAAGGTCGTAGTTCTCGACGATAGTACGCTTGTCGGTTGCACCCCTAATAAATGATATTGTTAGCACCGGCGAGTGTAAATATCCCTCATTGGGACGCAAACATACTTGAATAAGATTCCCAGAGCATCGCGCAGTGATAGCACAACATTGTACAGCAACACCTCGTTCTCATCGGCACTTCCGACAACGTAAAGCATGACGTCGCTTTCCATCTTGAAGACGACAATTCGGTTATCGTATAGGATCACATCGCTTGCGGACTTGTTGGTCTTCTCAAGCAGGCCCTTCTCAAAAGCGCGCTGTTCCTTGACGGTGGGGTAGGGGTTGGCACCGGGGTAGTCAGTCGAGTTGGGTGCGGCGCCGGCGGGGGGTGTGGTGCCGAATAGTATTTTGCGAAGATGCGGGAGCCATCGTCAGCAGACATGACAAGGACCGCATTGACGGAGAAGAGGGACAGAGAGCCAGGCATGGTGATTATTGGTGTGGAGAGCAATTGTAGAACACGGACATTATGATTGTTGATGCTCTCAACCGCCAATCTGGCCGAAGGCGGAGACGCACTAATGTTGTTCCGCCATCAAGTAGAGCTCCTAGGTACATTCTTCGAGTGAACAACAATGTCTATATCTTTTTTTCAGGGGAGCATCAAGACTTGTTGACTTATAGATGAGTAGCGCTTTTATTTTCCTAGCCAACTATGGGACCGCTTTTTGTGTGATCAGCGTGATCGTGACAATTTGATGCAAATGGTCCAGGAAGACATTACCAACAAACTCATTGACGCTTGTCCTCAATACATCATTACATCGTTAGAATGGAAATCTAAGATGTTGACATCGAGGTTGGAAATATCACATAAAACGAGTGGAAATACATCATCATAAGAAGTAGATGGGGAATAATATATATCAAAACAAACAAACGGGGGGCTCCATTACGAGACAACGTCGAATGGAGTAACATCATGATCAGATTGCGTCAAAGGAAACATAAAAATCGGGGTTCTTGAAACACAGGCGAACATCCAAGGCATGACATGCGTTATGTGCATCATAGGGGGTAGGGTATGCTAAAAATACGGTAAAGACCAGTCTGAGATCACATCAAATCATACTGCCTGGGGAACACGGCCTACTGCGGCGGTGCCATTTCATCGGTGCCTGTGCGATTCAACCACGGAATCCAGCTCGCGCGGTTTGCCTTCTTGCGTGCCGCTTCCTCCTCCTCCTTGATTCTGGTGGTTTCACTGACGAGACGCAGTGGGCGCAACTTGTCCTGTTGCATCACAGCTCCAGTATAGTTGTTCATGCCGCCGATCGATCGGGGAGGGCTGGAGGTAGCACCGGTAGAGGCACCATCTCCGTGAGGATCACTCGTGATACTAGGAGAACTGCTGCGAGCGAGTCGCTCTGGCTGGCTGGAGAGGGAGGGTGCGCGGCTCATGCCAGATATATAGCTTGCTGCTCCAGAGAACATGCTCTGGCGGGACCCGGGGCCCATTCCAGTCGGGCTAATAGGTCCACCCGAGTTGCGTCCGCGGTACATATGACCAACGACACTCGCGGCACTTGGATCGACTTGTTCCGAGCGGCTGCGACGGTGGCCAATTCTCACGGACTGCGTGCGGAAGGGAATGCTGGGCGCAGTGTTGGGATTCTCATTTTGCGAGGGTGTCGTGGGTGTCGGCGGAGGCAGCATACTGGTTGGGCGCGACCGAGGTTGAGTCGAAGGGCGGGAATTTGGGCCAGCAACAGCCGACTTGGCTCGTTGCAAGAAACCCTGAGACGCAGCATCGTCCTTCTCGGGGGAGTTGGAGGAAGATCCTTTTCACTCCCGGTCTTTGTAGTAGAGGAGTCATCATCCTCATTCCGATCCAAGATATGCTCAAATCCGTCATGCATAAGAAGCCTGCTGATGATACGCTCGATATAGAGAGTGAGAGCTTTGTTCTGATCTTTTAGAGCCTTGAGCTCTGCCTCCGATGGGGGTTGGGCATCAGCTTCAGGAGATTCATCCACAGACTCAAGTTCGTCTGCCAAAGACCCCAGTCCACTCGCCGACTCCTTCGTGGGGTTGGCGTCCCGCATGAATTCGCCCTTGGCAAAGTCTCCGGTAAGAGTCTTCTCGCTCAGAAGAAGCTGGTAGCTCTCATTGTCTTCCATAAGGCGAGCGTTGGCCATGCGGGCTTCGAGCAGCTCTTTCTCGAGTTCTCGCTGACGACCGCCACCTGCGTTTTCCATCTCAACGAGTTTGATTTGTGATTCAGCCAGCTCGAGGCGCAATGACTCAATGAGTTTGTCTTTTTGCAGCAGGAGGGTAGAGTTGTTGCGTGACGGGCTCCGCTCGATGTGCGAGGAGGGCGCAAATTGACCATCCACATCTGGGGATGATCGGTTGCGGAAGCTGGCTATCTCAAATGTCAGTATTTAGATCAGATAATTCCTCATCATCATAAGCGTCTTACAAGATCGGGAGACTTGGTGGCGGTCACCTTCTGCGTTGATGCGCATGTCCTTCTGCGCCATCGAGTCCTTCAGGCGTTGAATAGTCGCCTGCATCTCTTCCTCCCGGCTAGTCTGCTGTTCTTTCTCTTGAAGCATAGCATTTCGCTCCGACTCGTGGTTTTGTTCCAGATCCCTGATCTGGCGACCTTGGTCCCGGATCTCACTGTTGAGGGCCTCGATCCGAGTGTCTCGCTCATGAGCCTGGTCCTCCAACTTGCTTTGCTCGCTGATTGCTTCATCGAGGCGCATTTGCAAAACGCCTAGCTGTTTTTGATATTGTTCGGAGGCGGTTTCGGCCTTTTGAAGCTGCTCTCGCAGTTCCACGATGAGGGCGGCATTCTGGGCCCGCGCCTCCTCATCGGAGTGGTCATTGGAGACTCGTGGAACGTTCGACATGCTGAGGGTGGAACGGGCAGGTTTTCTCGCAGCCGCGCGCGCAGAGACAGGGGTAGATCCTCTGGAGGAGGGGGAACGGTTGACTCCGTTGGATGTGTTGCTGGGCGAGCGTGCATGTCCTCGTGTGGTGGACCCAGTGTTCGAGTGCGGATCTGCGGGTGATGATTTGCTGGAACTACCGGGAGTTCCAGGCTTGCGAGACATTGCTGACATGGTGCAGAGTTCCAAGCCCAACGCTGATGGATTGTATAGGGAGGAAAGGTCTATATAGCCCACGATTTCCTGCAATTGAGGGGGAAAAAATAAGAAACCTGGGTGCAAGTGTGCTTAAGAGCGGTCAAAACTTAGTGGACACCTTGTGGAGAGCGCTTGTATGGAAGATTGAGGACCAGGAATGTGATGAACGCTGTCACAGATTGATCGCTTGCCACATGGTAGATCGAAACTGAAGAACCATCGGAAACAATTGCAAGATGACAGTCGGAATGAGAGAGGAATGAGAAAAGTGATGATTGCAAACCTTCGATCAACGTTGTGTTGTTAAGAATGCGGATCCCTTGCTGTATCTAAAAATACACAGTAACGGCTTTGGGGGCTGGATCAATACGAGAGTAAGGATTCGCCGGATAGGCTGCACCAGCTGGAAGAACGAGGAAGATCAGTCCAAGGAAAGAAATTAAATAAGGAGGCCTGATACGGGCCTCGTGATTCTGGGTTTATTGTTAGACACCTATACGGACTCACAAAAGCTGGATGTTGAGCCCGATGCTCTGGCATCAGCCCATGAAAGGACCAATACCGTTGCATTGGGCTTCTTTTGCAAAAAATAAGGCCCTCGGTGCCTCAGGCTAAAGTTTCCGGAATAATATTCCTCCTTCTCCACAGTGTCTAATTGAGATCTCCATTCGCAGCTCTGCATCCACTTCCAACGATACAGGTAGCACTTACTTACAATTGAGCCCCCCTGGATGAATATTGGGTTGCTTGGAGATGCTATATCTCTCCAAGCAATTTGAGGAAGGATCCGACAATGTGAGTAGCGGGCATTGCATGTCTAGCATTGCGCACGGCCCAACAGGTGGTCTCATGTCAACCGTTGTAAGCTCATCTGGGGAATCAAGTCTGGCAAGTTTGACCCGCGTGCTCAGTCGGCTATCTATTGAAATTTGAGCACCGCACATTTTGGCTTGCCAATCCATATATCCACCATAACTGAATCTAATCGGCAATCAAACGAACCTCCAAATGAAATATGCTAGCATTACTCCATGGGGGTATAAAGATGGGGAATCGGTACTCCGTATATCCACCCCTCCCCCCCCCCTATATAGCACCACGCCCCCTTATGTACTATGTGTAACACCAACCCCCCTGTGTGTAGGACCACCCCCTGCCTGATTTTCCAATGCCGCTTTCTTACATGTAATTAAGACACCACCTTAATATGTGAAAGTCAAGCAAATGCCCGACAGGAGCACCCAAGGCTTGACAACAAAAACCAAAAGCAACATCATCCGATGAGACCAATCAGCCAGAGACGAATGGCAATGGGATAGAAACGAGAAAGGTAGAAGGTAACCCCGTAGGAGAAACATGCAATCAGTCCTTGCGCAATGCCGTCTGCGATGAAACAACCTCGCCCTGGGATGTAAGGATATTAAAGTAGGAGTAGTCTTCATCAAAGCAGACGTGCCATACATGATACTGCAAGCTGTTCCGAAACATCTGATGACAAAAGGAGGTATTTGTCGTTACTGTTGTGTTTCCGCTTTCCTTTGTAGATTTTTAGGTAACATTAGCGTTTAGGTTAACTCGATTGTCGGGTTTGGTATTCGAAACTCGCCTGGGTAGGAAGACTTCTCTCGTTATACTCGGGGCCATGGCTCGCGCTTTCATACGAGCTGAACAAGCAGTATTTGGATCTCTCGGGGTGACCAATCGAGGGCTTGATGGCCTGGTTCCAGAAATCGACATCTGAGTAAGTTTCCTGGGCTTGATCAATGATAAAGGTAATATCATTGTGCAATATCCGGTAAGTTTGAGTCCAGTAGCCCTGCCCGACAGAGTCAACCACTAGATGGTCAACCGGAGACTTGCCCCTGGCCCAATCCCTGAACAGAACGACTTTTGGTCCTATTCCGAGGAGATGAAGATATAAAGCTTCCGAAAGCATCGTCTTCCCAGATCCTGGTGTTCCTCGCACATGAATGACTGCATACTCTTCGAGGATCTTACATAACTCTTTTACTGTATCCGTTCGAGGGCATACATAGGAAGGAAGAGAGAGTTGTGAGTTCTTTCCCTGGTCACATAAAGGCAGTGAGCGGAATTGAGTATAGGCGGCAAGGAAAACTTACCGTCTGCAGGTATCTGATGGCAGTTTGGTGGATGTAGACAACACAGACAACCCGAGCTGCTAGTTAGAACTGCTGGGCCCGGCACACCTTTTGAACAGGGGCAATTCTGGCTTTGAACAATCCACGTATACCCTCCCCATTGCATTTGTTTTGCAGTTGTAAAGCGTTCGGTTATAGGTTTGACAAGTAATTGTAGGGAATCCATAATAGTGATGATCTGCGGCAGTAGACTCCTTGATGGATTGAGCGAAGGAAGGAAGCAATGTCAAATCATGTTGTGACATAAGCTCGGGTATGACTCGAGAGGGACCAGCTCTTCTAAGGTTAGTGATTGCTGAAGTCATATTGTAGGGGGGAAAGTAACACACATGGTTTCGGCTCATAACCCATAGCATTTCTTGAGGAGACGCTATCGTAACCCCCAGAAGGATAGCTTCAAGGAAGCCGAATTATTGGGACTGAGAAAGACCGAGAGGGAGAAAGAGAAAGAGATAAACTTGATCGCTCTTTCCTCTTTCCCCCTTCACCTCCACGAGTCTCAATAAATTCTCTATATCTCCTAGCCATTCTTCTCATTGCTATTCACTAACTCTGACTCCTGTTATCTGTTCTCATCACGTCTTGCTCTTAGACTCATCTCCCCCCTTTCTCTTCATGTCTCCGTATTCCTATATCTAAGATATCATCAGCATTCTTACGGCTTTCGTTCCGCTGGTTAACGGTAGAATCTCTCAAGAATTGCTGGGCTTATGAGCCGAAACGTTTGCCACCAATTTCACTGCTGTTGTCTTGCTCTTGCTCTCTTTTGAACACATATGCTGCCTGTAGTTATTTTGGTAAAGTACTTTGTACTTTGTAAGGTGGTGTCCTAATTAGGAAAGCGGTATTGAAAAATCAGGCAGGGGGGTGGTGCTACATAAAAGGGGGGTGGTGCTATATAAGCGGGGGTGGATATACAGGCCGCGTGCCGGAATAGATTAGTGGATGTTTGCACGCAGATGCGTAGGTGCATACATACTCCGTACGGTGGGCGCTATTAAAAGTCTTGAATCACCTATAAAAAGTTGCTCTTGCTTAAAATAACACTTCTCCGTATGGAGTACGGAGTAGTTGATCCATATAGTGTGAGTATTATCCAAAGTATGATACCACCCCTTGTTTTAATTTCCAAGAAAGACTTCTTTTGAGATCTCTTTCTGGTTGCCTTTTGAATCTCTATTTGAATTTCTCTTGTACTCCCCCTAAAAAGTAGGCCATGATATCGATACTTCGTAGCCACACTACAGCTGCTATTCTGCAGCTAGCATCAGAGTTGGATAGGGACTTCTGATAGCAGTCTCGGTACCAATTCCCTATAGTAATGCATGCAACGCTTGCCAAGACCCAGTGTATCATCTCTCGGGCAACAGCGTGAGCCACCTTTGTAATCGATTAAAAACCCAACACAATGGATTGATAATCACGGCGGGTTACAATGGATACCAAGTTGGGCATCGCCTGCGCCACCGGACACGTTTACTGGCACCATGTTAATGGCCTGACGGGGAAATGAGGAGGACAGTCATGAGTATGTTGTACCCCGCAGATTATCGCAATCTGCTCCATACTCCGTACACGCCTATGAACTAGATCCAACGCGGCCGAAGTCAAGTGGACTCTGTAATTGCCTTTGTAACTCCTGGCGGGAATGCTTCCAAGGCCTCCAACAGGAGACTCGGAGTACAGAGTACAGAGTACCAAAGGAACCTTGGAACTTAATGACGTGACCCGTGAATCTACTGAATCTGAGACAGGAGGTGACTGAAGATGCTCACCAATCTCGCCGCAGCACCCAAGGCCATATCAAAAGGATTTGTTCTGATTGGTAGAGCGCCATCATGAAAACTAAGAAAGTACGTCGATGTGATAAGAGATTATCGCCAATTCGATCATCACCTCTAGACGTAGTAGATTTGTGGAGAAATCCCGAGGTCAAAAGCTGGAAGTGTCGCTGAGAAATCCAAAGTGGAGAAGGCCCGACCTATCAAAGAATGGATCTCTAACCTTGGTGGGGGCCTGAGCGCTCAGGCATAAATAGGGTTAAACCCTTTTGCCACAGTGCTGCTTGGAAATCAGAACCCGTGACCATCGGGCCCTCTTTTCTCTCTCTCTTTTCGAACCCTCGACACCAACGACAACCTATACCCAGTTCGCAGGAAGTGCCATCACCACATTTCCAGCACTCAAAATGGCCCGCCGTCCCGCAAGATGCTACCGCTACTGCAAGAACAAGGTGCGTGCCGATTTCGGGAGGATTTGAAGATTTGTGCGGATATCTTGGTTGTGGAGAGGTGCATCAATACGTCGCAAGCGATCACCTCGCCATGACCGGGGCATCGTCTTTGTTGCAAAAGGGATTTGTTCGCGTAGCATCGTGCTCGCAGACCACCCTGAAGGATCTTTTTTTCGTCTTGAAGATGCACGGTTTTGGCTGACCTAAATCTTCAATTTGCAGCCTTACCCCAAGTCCCGGTTCAACCGTGGTGTTCCCGACCCTAAGATTCGTATCTTCGATCTTGGTCGTAAGAAGGCCAACGTGGATGACTTCCCCACCTGCATCCACTTGGTCTCCAACGAGTACGAGCAGCTGTCCTCCGAGGCTCTCGAAGCCGCCCGTATTTGTGCCAACAAGTACGTTCATCGATTCCCGCCAATACTGCACCTTACATTCATGGACGCACACTCATAACTTTCAATAGGTACCTTGTCAAGATCGCCGGTAAGGAAGGTTTCCACATGCGCGTCCGCGTCCACCCCTTCCACGTCGTCCGTATCAACAAGATGTTGTCTTGCGCCGGTGCCGATCGTCTGCAGACCGGTATGCGTGGTGCCTTCGGTAAGCCCCAGGGTCTTGTCGCCCGTGTGAACATTGGTCAGATCATTCTGTCCGTCCGCACCCGTGACGCCCACCGTGCCACCGCTCTCGAGGCCCTCCGCCGTTCCATGTACAAGTTCCCCGGTCGCCAAAAGATCATTGTCTCCAAGAACTGGGGCTTCACCCCCGTCCGCCGCGAGGACTACCTCCAGCTCCGCCAGGAGGGCAAGCTCCGCCAGGACGGTGCCTACGTTCAGTTCCTCCGTGGCCACGGTGCCATTGAGGAGAACATGAAGCGCTTCCCCACTGCCTACGAGAACCTCGCTTAGATGGTGATGGGTTGATGTTGATCAGAATATGAAGTTCAGAACAAAAACGCTTGAATGTTCACTTATTTTTTTTACCTTGTCCTACTCTTGATATCAATCTTGTGCAATCACCATGATGGAGTTCTTCCAGGGGTTTTTACATTTGCTCGTCGAATATTGCACTTGTTTCGTAGGATTGATCAACTTTAGACAGTATCGTAGATTGTATATCATTTGCATGTATAGTACCAACCAAGCTTTTCTGGTCCTGCGGGGTGCACACATTTAGTAGATGTAGCAGAGATCTACTGAACCTAGCAGAAGTCTAGACCCTGTGTCATACTGGGCTTTGCTCCGTACATAGTCCTCGAGTGTTGAAATATCGGGCACGTCATCCACGAACTACGCGGCAGCAAATTCGATCTCACTCAGACATGAGACTGCATTCGACGTTGTATTCCCTATGAGCTCAACTCTTGAATGTTCCTAATGCTTAACAAGCTTGGGTATCATGGATTTACTGGGCTAGACGTTTCTAATGTGAGCGTCGGAACTAGGGACTACAATGGATACTGACATGTATACTTATGTCAGGGCCCAACAAGTATTTAGATAATTAAAAACAGTTCATTTGGTATTTTCTGCAGAAATCAAATGCAACCCAAATAAATGATTTAACTTGTTATTTTGAACCCTCAAAATCAAGTTTCATATAGATGTCAACACATATATATCCGCCCCTGACACTCAAGAGCCACACCGTTCCACATGGAGTTTTCCAGCAACTAAAATAAGCAGCACAATTAGTTCAAGCCTCCCAACAATCAAAATGACCGCATAAAATGTAATTGGATCAAGAACCGATAGAACATAGAGTAGAAGAGGGTGAACATACGCTTTATGTCTGCCGCAGTACAAGAAACCTCCAAACAGGTACCGAGCGTATCCTTGAACGCCTTACTGGGGCAAGTGCACTCAGAATCAAGCTGAGAGATACAGCCTGCTACTGTGGCTGCTTCAGAGAGACATCGGATCTGTTAAGTGCAAGCAAAGATGGTTAGCCTTCTCAGATTCAATCATACACCTAGTCAAGGCCAGCATACAAGACATGGACTAGCGTAATCCACTGATTCAGCGACAGCCCAAGACAAAAAGGCGGCCAGAGGGTAGAAGATAGTGAGCTTCATTTTCAATGTGTATGTGTTTATAGTGGGTGTTTTAGGGGCGATCAATGGAAGACTTGGGATGTGAGGGTTAAGGAGGAGAGAACGGCAGGCGGCCCTAGCTCAATTTATTCACGTCAATCTATTTTCAGAGTAGTACTCCGTAGAGAATACACATTCTTCAAAAGCAGCGTCTCAGCGTAAACAAACCCGGTGCCTGGGTAATGCGGAATGATACTTCCAACATCGGAATGTGAGATCATCAAAATGAATCGATGTCTTCCCTAGGTTGCTGGCAATATCATGCTGGGCAATGAAATTGGCAATTGACTTTAGTATTGTAGAATAGTGTATCTCGTCGTTATCAACTAAGGATCCAAGTGAATTTTAAGTGTCTAGGAAGAACTTGCACAAAATACATAGGCGCTCGATTTTTGAGATTTGACGCATTCTGCTTGCCATCTAGGCGGCTTAAAACACGAATCAACCCTTTTGCCACGATGAATAGTTCCGAGGCCATGTTACTCTTGTTATGCCAGTCTAATAGCAGCGAGACTACTGGTGATGCCCGAGAACCGGGCTGAAAATGGCTTCCAGAGCATGCATATACGCACAATTCTATTTCTCCCAACCGCTTACGACCAGATCTAGTAGCTTTGCACTTAGTCCAATTATTGCATGCAACTGGAGAAACAAACGCTATAAGCTATGTTAGATTGATAGATTATAGAGCTTACGTGTCTTGCTGGTCGATATTGGGTCGTTCTTTGTTTCCAGCAACCACGGTATCGACTCCGCTGATGTTGCACATGTCCGCTAGCCGTGCAACTTCGATCAAGGTTGAGGCTTTTATAGGTCCATCTTGCATTTCACATTCAATTTCCCCGAGATACAGGAGATGAAACCATGGATAGTGTTAAGTCAGTCTATGGCTGCTCTATACATATACTTGGGAACATATGTATGCAATTCCCTCTCTTTCTAGGAGACAAACGTTATAGGGCAACACGTGAACCAAAAGCATAGTATATAATTGCACTGGAAAGGATTCTAAACCTTTCCTTTGTGAAGCAGAGTGCTAATACATATGTATGTAGTAGGTAGAAGGAAGATATGCTGTATAATTAATACACGATGGCCGCTATTCCGTTTTAGGACTCCGCGAGCTGCCCCTGTGCCCCGCATACGTCACCCTCGAAAATTCCTTTCTCTTCACTATCACAGCCATGAAGCAAAGATTCTCGTCCTTGGATGTTAAGGTATCTTCAAACCTATCTCGGTACTGTGAAAAAGGCTGTCATGCTAACAGCACTAGGTCATCACGCAGGAATTGGCGTCGGAGTGCGTCAACCTGCGGGTGTCCAACATCTACGACCTGTCCTCGGTATGTTATTTTTCTTCAGTATCAAAGGATAGCCAGTTGATGTACCACTCTTATTAGCGTATATTCCTTTTCAAACTTGCCAAGCCCGACCATCGTCGTCAGCTCATCGTTGATTCCGGATTTCGCACCCATGTCACTCAATATTCGCGAACCGCGGCAACCACACCTTCGCCCTTTGTGACTCGTCTCCGAAAGTACTTGAAATCTCGTCGGATCACAGGAATCTCTCAGATCGGAACCGATCGCATCATCGACTTCTCTTTCAGCGATGGCGCATACCACATCTTCCTCGAATTCTTCGCCGGTGGTAATATTATCTTGACAGACCGCGAGTATAACATTCTTGCTTTCTTCCGCCAAGTTGCTGCCGGTGTGGGTCAGGAGGAGATCAAGCTTGGACTCAAGTACACTGTTTCTAATAAGCAAAATTATGATGGTATTCCGGATATCACGGCGGACCGAGTTTTGCAGACGCTGGAAAAAGCGCAAGCACTCTCTGCTCAAGAGGGAACCGCGCCCAAAAAGTCAAAGAAAAAGGGAACGGATGTTCTACGGAAGGCATTATCACAAGGGTTCCCCGAATATCCACCCTTGCTACTCGACCACGTGTTCGCGGTCAAGGAATTCGATACCGCAACGCCACTGGACCAAGTCTTGGGCAACCAGGATCTTCTACAGACAGTAAAGGAGGTGCTAGAAGAAGCGCAGCGCATTTCCAACACTTTTGACTCCGGCGAAAGCCACCCAGGCTACATTGTTGCGAAGGAAGACACGCGACCCATCCCCGAAGGAGAGAGTCCCTCAAAGGCCTCGGGTTTGCTGTATGAAGATTTCCATCCATTCAGACCTCGTCAGTTTGAGGATAAACCAGGGATCAAGATTTTGGAATTTGAGCGCTTTAATGCAACGGTCGACGAGTACTTTTCCTCCCTAGAATCCCAGCGACTTGAGTCGCGATTGACAGAGCGCGAGGAAGCAGCCAAGAAAAAGCTGGAATCCGTGCGTTCGGAGCACAAAAAGCGGATTGATGCACTCAAAGACGCGCAAGAACTTCATATTCGCAAAGCCGATGCCATTCAAGACAATGTTTATCGAGTCCAGGAGGCAATGGACGCTGTCAATGGGCTGGTGGCCCAAGGAATGGACTGGGGTGAGATTGCACGCTTGATTGAAATGGAACAGGATCGCGGCAATCCAGTGGCACAAATCATCAAATTGCCTCTCAAATTATACGAGAACACCGTCACTCTGCTTCTTGGGGAGTCAGGCGACGATGAGGAAGACGAGGAGTTCTCTAGTAGCGATGAATCAGAATCCGACTCTGAGAACGAAGAAGCGGAAGCAACAAGCCGCGCGGAACGGGAATCCAAGCTCTTGACCATCGACATCGATCTTGGTCTCAGCCCATGGGCGAATGCATCACAGTACTATGACCAGAAAAAGCAAGCATCGGAGAAGGAACAAAGGACAACCCAGTCGTCTACGAAGGCACTTAAGAGTCATGAGAAAAAGGTTACGTCCGACCTCAAGCGAGGCTTGAAGAAAGAAAAGCAAGTTCTGCGACAGGCTCGGGTGCCATTCTGGTTCGAGAAGTTCATCTTTTTCATTTCTTCAGAGGGTTACTTGATTATCGGGTATGCCTACTCATCCAATTCCGTTTTGTGATATCTACTGATTTTCAAAAGTGCACGGGATGCTATGCAGAGCGAGTTGCTTTACCGGCGTTATATGAACAAGGGCGATATTTTTGTCCACGCTGACCTGGAAGGCGCAACGCCAATCGTGGTAAAGAACCGGGCTGGTAGTGCCGATGCACCAATATCCGCAAGCACATTGTCCCAAGCTGGTAACCTTTGCGTAGCGACTTCATCTGCCTGGGATTCTAAGGCTGTCATGTCCGCTTGGTGGGCGCATGCTCACCAAGTATCGAAAATTGCAGAGAACGGTAGTGGGATCATGCCCACGGGTGTTTTCCAAATCAAGGGAGAAAAAAACTTCTTGGCCCCATCGCAATTGGTGCTTGGATTTGGTATTATGTTCCAGATCAGCCAGGAAAGCGTTCGGAACCACAAGCAGCGATTCGATACATCTGACGTTCCACAAGCTGCTATCATTCCTGCGAATCGAATTGAAGTTTTTGAGCCAAAGGAGGCTTCCGCTGTGGCACAAGAAGCTCTAGCAGAAGGGAAAGCCACCGAGGAGGCCACCGAGGAGGCCATCGAAGACGCAGAGAAGGAAGATACGGCCTCCGAAGAAGAGGATGAAGACGAAGATCGCAAAACCGCTGCTAGAAATCCTCTTCAACGAGGCGACTCTGAGGTCCCACCCTCTCAATCTACCCTAGAACCAGAACCCGAGGTTGAGACCGAGTCAGAGGAGAGCGAATCAAAGGATGAGCCGGAGCAAGAAGCGACAGAAGACCAGCCAGATGAAGAGGAAGCTCCATCAATGGCAGACCAAAAGACCGCGCCCGAACAAGCGGAGCAGCCAGAATTGTCTGCCCGAGAGCGACGTACTCTGCGACAGGGCAAACCTCTTGATCGTCCCGGTGAGGAAGAGCCAGTCGCACCACGCATTGCCCCCACCCGGGGTAAGCGGGCGAAGGAAAAGCGTGCAGCTGCCAAGTACGCTCATCAAGATGACGATGAACGCGAACTTGCCCTTCGGTTGGTAGGTGCCAACAAGGGAAAAGTCGCAAAGGCTGCCAAGGCAGCTGAAGCCAAGGAACAGCGCGAGCGCGAAGCCGAGGCACAAAGGCAACGACGCCGCGCCCAACATGAGCGTGCAGCTGAAGCCGAACGCAAGCGCCAGGCTCAATTTACGGAGAATGGTACGGACGATTACAACGAGGAGACCGCTGCGGCAGAAGCCGCAGATCTCACTTGGATTCCAGCCTTGGTCGGTACACCAACCGTGGATGATGAAATCCTTGCGGCCATTCCAGTTTGCGCCCCATGGGCTGCACTTGGACGCTACAAATACAAGGTCAAGTTGCAGCCGGGTTCCGTGAAGAAGGGCAAAGCCGTCAAGGAGATTGTTGGTCGGTGGGTGTCCGAGACCACTACTGGAAAGGTCAAGAAAGAGTACGCCGAAGATATCGGGATTCCCCGCGCTGATGCGGAACGCCTCCGAGAACGGGAGGGAGACCTCATTAAGGGCTGGAAGGATACAGAGATTATCAACACCATGGTTGTAGGCAAGGTGCGCATCATGACTGCGGGAGTTGGAGGCGGAGGCGATAAGGGCAAGGGCAAAAGTGGCAAGGGTGGTGGTGGTGGAAATGGCAAAGGAGGTGGTAAAGGCAAGAAGAAGTGATCAATTGCTTGTGTACTAAACATATAGAAAGCACATAGATGAAAGCCCTGGATTCATTACTGGATTCTACAAACTCTTGTTTCAAGTGTCAAGTCAGTGTATACCTAAACCAGTTCCCCTAATATCCCGATCAGCCACAACGCCCCGTTGACTCTTTGTTGACATCTTCTTGCAATTCCATACATACATGAATGATTCCTTGACTCTAGTGCCCATATGATCGCTGTCGATGTGACGGCGTCGTCCACTCCAATCTGATGCGCTGAGTCATCCGACGTCATGGCCGAATCGATTTTCTCGCGATCTTCCGCATAGGGCCTCTTATCGCTTCTGACGGCATTGTGCAGAATGATAGCGATCGTATGCCCTAGAAACGACCTTTGATCTTCTGCTTAGGTGAAAAAAATACATTTCCCCGCGCAATTGGAACTCGGCCCCCTCCTCGGGCATCATTTAGCCCCTCATCTGATTGCGTGTGCGCCTGAACGGTGCGTCATTGAGGTCTTCGCGAACACCACGCTGCTTTTCACACGCGTTTTTGCCGGCCGCTGTCAGCGCAGTTGTGCCAGATCATTGACTACTATGTCTACCCAAACGCGGGTTGTCTCCGTCCAGCGACTCAGCCAAGGGCCTGGCGATTTGTCTTTGAGGGAATGGTGGGAGAAAGAGCGCGGCCAGCAAACGCCTGAGTCCAAGGCCATCGAAGAAGCCGCCGAACTCCTCCGATCAAGTGACCTCCCCGTTGCTTTTCCTACCGAGACGGTTTATGGTCTTGGGGCCGATGCCACACGCAGCGCCTCTGTTCAAGGGATCTACCGCGCGAAACAGCGGCCCTCGGACAATCCATTAATCGTTCATGTTGATTCACTTGACATGCTTGAGCGTCTGCTCAACCCTACTCTCCAATCTCGCCCTAATAGCACCAAGACGCCAGAAATCTCTCTCCCATCAATTTATAAACCTCTGATTGACAGATTCTGGCCCGGCGCACTAACAATCATTCTACCTAATTCGTCCGGCTCCCCACTGGCACCAGAGGTCACTTCTAAATTGACTACATTCGGCGTCCGCATGCCCTCTTCTCCGTTGGCGCGTCTACTCATCCATGTGACAGACCGGCCTCTCGCCGCACCATCTGCAAATGCATCTACCAAGCCATCCCCAACAACCGCACAGCATGTATATCACGACCTTCAGGGTCGCATCGAGCTGATCCTTGATGGCGGTCCATCCGGAGTGGGGGTCGAAAGCACGGTGGTCGATGGACTATGCGACCCACCGGCGATCCTGCGACCCGGCGGAATTGGGATTGAGGAGATTCGGAAATGCGAAGGGTGGGAAAACGTGGCCGTTGGCTACAAAGACGGCACATTAGACGTGAAGGAAATTCCACGAGCACCGGGCATGAAGTACCGACACTACTCCCCCAAAGCACGGGTTGTTCTTTTCGAACCGACGTCCAACCCCGCCGGGGTGGTGAAGCACGTGCAACATGATCTGAAAGATAGCGCCATTGGCGCACACAATATCGGTATTATCCGCACACGGAAATGGAAGCTGGGCTTGGAGCTGGCTCCAGAAGAGGTCATCGCCAGTACCTTGAATCCCGTTCCTTCTGCCATTGAGAACCTTGTCAGCTTCCAGATCACTGTCCAAGAGAATGGAAACCCAGAAAGCTGCACGAAGATGGCTTATGATTACCATCTTGGCTCAGATGCGGTTTCCATTGCTCATGGTCTCTTTGCCGCCTTGCGCGGGCTGGATGAACTTGATGTCGACGTGATCTACGTGGAAGGTGTGTCTGATAGTGAAGGAGATCTGGCTGCAGCGGTCATGAACCGATTGCGAAAAGCTGCTGGTGCTGAATTGCGGGTTTAGATGGTTTACGATTATACACATTTTTCTATTTTTGGTGTACATTCCGGAATCTAGATAGAACTTTGATGGTGTCAATATTAGATTTCAAATATATTCAAGTCAAATCCCATTACAGTACAGGATACCTAATTATGAGATGAGAGAGTCGCGGTGGTTGGAGAGCGTATCTCTTAGACCTACTCGTTTGGTTGGCTTCGCTCTGTTGATTTCACTCGACTGGAACTCGGAGACCTCCGGTGGGGCCAAGCGTCTCTATCGTCGTACTTAACTAGTTTTGTGGGAAAATAAGACTGAGTCATAAGAGAAGGTCGTAATCTGCTCGGTGGAAGAGAGGGAAACTCGTCCGGGCGCTTTTATCTGTTCCCGCGTTGACTTCGAAATTCCTCCCAACAGCATTTGCTTCAATTTACAAAGATGTGCCAATCTCCTTTGCACGAATTCCTCGAGGGTCTTCCTAAATGCGAGCATCACGTTCATTTAGAAGGCACTCTGGAGCCAGAGCTCATCTTTAAGCTCGCGGCACGCAATGGCATCACCTTGCCGACCGATCCAGTCTATACCTCCGTTGAAACACTCAAAGAGCGCTATGAACACTTTAGCAATTTAGATGATTTCCTGCACTTCTACTTCGAAGGCATGGCCGTCCTCTGTAAGGAAGAAGGCTTCGCCGATCTAGCTTGGGCTTATTTCCAAAAGGCTCACGCCGACGGCGTACAACACGCCGAAGTGTTCTTCGACCCGCAAGTGCACGAAAGCCGCGGCGTACCCTACAACACCATTGTCACTGGATTTTCCAAGGGCTGTAAACGCGCAGAAGCCGAGCTCGGCATGAGCACACGGCTTATCCTGTGTTTCGTGCGCCATCTCCCCGTCTCGTCGGCGAAGGCAGTCTACGACGAGCTCCTAGCCCATGAGCACTTTGAGTCAGGTATTGTACATGGACTGGGCTGGTCTTCTTCAGAAGTCGGCCCGCCGAAGGACATGTTTCGCGAGATCTATGCGTCAGCCGCGAAGAAGAACATCCCCCTCACGGCTCATGCCGGCGAGGAAGGCGATCCGACCTATATCAGCACAGCGCTTGAACTTGGTGCACAGCGCATTGATCATGGTATCCGGCTGGTAGAAGATGAAGAATTGATGCAGCGTGTTGCGCGCGAGGGTATCCTACTTACCGTCTGTCCGTTGTCAAATGTGCGGCTGCGCTGTGTTACTGCCGTGAAGGAGTTGCCTATCAGGCGGTTCCTGGAGGCTGGGGTCAAGTTCTCAATCAACAGTGATGATCCTGCTTACTTCGGTGGTTATGTTCTTGATAATTACTGTGCTGTGCAGGAGGCCTTCAATCTGAGTGTGCTGGAATGGAGAATCATTGCGGAGAACAGTGTCCAGGAGAGCTGGATTGAGGATTCGCGCAAGGCAGAGATACTGTCGAGTATCGAAGCGCATGTCAAGAAGTACATGCACACCATTGCATCATGAATTCGGATTATTGGTGCATGTTTTGGTGGCTGAGATGGGCGTGGTGCATTTGATACCCTTTGTATCCACCCTTTTGTATGCCAATTCTCAACTGAAATACATATCAGAGGCATAACGCACATCAAATGTTCATTTATATTTGTCAGTTAGGCCAAGAACTACCTGGAATTGAAAGCCTCCGTTGATAGAATCAACTAATTCGATACGGTTGATGCCTTGCAATTCAGGCATCACATAGCCATGTCTGACGACTCCTCACTTGGGAGTTTGATATCCAAGAGTCAGCCCTGCTACACTGGACTCCATCCCATGTCCCAAACCATTCTTTGTGGTACCTGGAGCCTCACAAGGGCTACTTTTCGGTCCCAGCTACGGTCTCACACACCTTACACATTGCGTCTAGCATCGTGCTTTGTACCTTCTAGCCTGAGAACAGCCCCGCTTCAGAGTGCAAGACCACTCCGATTCACCCAGCAAGACAACAGAGAGAACTGCATCCATTCCAAACACAGGATGTCTACAAACTCCCTCCCAGAGCGGTACAAGCTCATCTTCTTCGTCCCAACGGCCAATGCAGAGATGTGCAAGGAAGCCATCTTCACCACGGGCGCAGGGACATTCCCAGGTGGGAAGTACACCAAGTGTTGTTTCCAGACTGCTGGAACAGGCCAATTCCTGCCCAACGAAGGCGCAAACCCAGCGATCGGAGTTATCGGGGATTTGGAGCGATGTGAGGAGGTCAAAGTTGAGATCATGTGTGTTGGTCGACAAGTTATGCTGAACGCAGTCGACGTTTTGATCACGACCCATCCATATGAGGAGGTTCCTTATGAGGTTTATAAGATGGAGAATGTTTAGTTGGTCGACTAAACATGTGGTAAGATGATGTGATGCGGCATAATCAGAGGATGCGAATGGCCCGGCAATTGTCCTATTCTGTACTTTTTAGTAGGTGAATATGTTTTACCACCAATATCGTCTTCGCAAAATCCATTCGAAATCCTCCATTGTCTCGAAACATGAGTGTGGTGTTGTACGTGGTGAAGAGCAACTGTGCAGCTGTGGATTGGTAAGGCGGTAGTAATCCCTGGACGCTGATTTGGCCAGGGCCCGCCCGAGTAAAACGCCTCGTCAACTTGACTTCTCCTCCAACCTCCAACCTCGAAACTCCCCCCCCAATTGACCCTCACTCATCGCCCGCGATGGCCTCCAAGTTCTTCTCAGTCCCGCGGGTCGGCCGCCAGCTGGTGCACCAGCTCCCCAAACCCCAATACAGAGCCTTCTCCGCCGGTTCGCAACGGTTCAGCGACTCCCTTTCGGTGGTGCGTATTCTTTTCGATCCCCTCTTGTATTGCGAACGCCAATTGCATCCCGAGATCCTAGAATTGAAGATACATATACTGATTTTGATTGTCTTCAACAGCACCGCAACAAGCCGTACAACAACCCGACCCTCCCGTTTAAGTTTTCCGACCAGAACCTCAAGCTCGCCGATGAGATCCTCAAGCGCTACCCTCCCCAGTACAAGAAGGGCGCTGTCATGCCTCTGCTTGACCTCGGTCAGCGCCAGCACGGCTTCACCAGTATTAGCGTCATGAACGAGGTCGCTCGCATGCTCGAGATGCCCCCGATGCGCGTCTACGAGGTTGCGACCTTCTACACCATGTACAACCGCGAGCCCGTTGGCAAGTACTTCGTGCAGATCTGCACCACGGTAAGCAACGAAACCCGGCACTAATTCCAGCAAATCCTAATTTGCCATCTCCCAGACCCCATGCCAGCTTGGCGGCTGCGGTAGTACCGCCATCGTCAAGGCCATTACCGAGCACCTTGGAATCACCCCCGGACACACCACCGAGGACGGCCTTTTCACATACATCGAGGTCGAATGCCTGGGCGCTTGCGTTAACGCCCCCATGGTCCAAATCAACGACGATTACTACGAGGATTTGACCCCAGAGTCCATCAAGACCCTCCTGACAGCCCTCAAGGACGCCGCCACCGCTACCGGTGCCGGCGCCGGCACCAAGATTCCCGCCCCTGGCCCGCTGAGCGGACGCGCCACCTGCGAGAACAGCGCCGGCCTGACCAACCTGACGGACGTGCCGGAGTGGAACCCCGAGCAGATGATGCGCAAGGACAATGCATTGGATGCGGCACCCAAGCAATAGAAAAAGCAAATGAGAAAAAGATATTAAAAAAGAGCTTTTCATTGCCGCCAATTCCGGATGGGAGGATATTATAATGGTTGTGTTTTTTGTCGAATGGACGAGCAGAAGCTGCCTTGGGGGCACCGCGGTCAACCTGGGGAATTGATAGAGGTCACCGCGCACCCTTTTAGCGCCCTGAATGATAACCCCTCTTGAGGCGTCCCTGTTTTTTTGTCTGTCTACCATGTACAGTACGTTTGTTCCTGCTTCTTATTGGCGTGATCGGAGCCCAGATGCAGATCTGGCCCAGTCGCAGTGGGATATCGGCAGGACCAAATCGCAGAATTTTTTTTCATTGACCTTTTTATTTCTTTACGGTTGTATGTGAGTATTTTTCATAGCTATTTGTAGTTTGGACCTAGCAGATCTGTACATCTGGAAGATACATTGCACTATCCACCTGGCCATTGGTGTCTATTACTGGCAATGATAGCTTACAAGCGCTACATCGGCCAATCGAGAGATCAGAGTGAGTTCTACAACGCCACCTTTGGGCTCATGAAACGTAGGTACAGCGAATGGAATGATTCGGTAAGTTCGAACTCCTGTTTCTCGTCCTATTATAGGTACATATGTATACAAATCAAGGAGAATTGCCAGTAGAAACCATGCGATCCTTGAGGAATTTCAATAAAAGCCCATACTTCATGGCCGTACTATCACTTCCTTCCCATGTAGACCTTTCAAAAGTTCCACCAATAGATTCAAAGTGGCCCAGTTGCCCCAAAGTAACCAGCACTAGGGCAAGGTAATTCATTCACAGAATGATCTGGCTCAACAATCGGCACGCCGCACAATAACGTTCCAGTCGCCGTCGAAGAAGACCTGACCACCGTCACCAGCACACCCTTGGTAGAGGTACAAAACTCCATCACCAATCTCGCTCCAGGAGTCGAGCGTCTTCGTATGGGGGCTCTGATCTCGAGTTAGCGACATAGATCCTTCCCTCACCAACAGATATACTTACATCATTACACCACCAGATGCCAGCACTATTGGAGCAGCTGACGCGGCCACAATTTCCCGGTCCCGGACCATTTGTTGGCCGGCCAGGGAGTCCGTTGATGTAATCCATTCCACGTCCAACTGCCGACAGGAGCACTCCGGGGAAGTTACAGTGGGAGTGCGTGATATGATCCCGCTTTATCAAGTGGGAACGCTTTGCGAGTTCCCTCTTTCCTCGCTCGCGGATCTCGGCTGCAGCATTTGGGTTTTGCATGGAAAGCTGCGAGACAACGTCCTCAATCGTGCCTTTGATTTCGAGGGCAGCTTCGCCGTCTTCCTGGGGAATTCTCCATTCCAGGGTTTCAACGCCGTATCCGGGGATACTGTCCGTCCAGTTTGCAGGGGCCTATTTGATCAAAGGAACACTTAGTTAAAGAATCTGTGCAAGGTGGAGAAAAGAACTAACCGCGGCTGCAATGCAGGCGAAGAGAACTACAGCCAAGCTAGCGTGTCTCATGTTGCCGACTGGGATAGGATATCAAGTATGGAGTCCGAAGACAATAGAGCTGTCCAAAGCACAGATATTGATATTGATACCCGTTATTCGCAGACAAGAAGCGGATCCGAGGAAACAAAGTCATACACTCTTTCATCCGTGGGAGAAATGACCATCTTTATGGACTCCTTTTACGGAGTACAAACCCCCTCGATCGGCATGGCTGAAACGACCCACAACAAGGAAATAGTAGGACTATGGAGTACTCCGTACCGGGTACATCTAGGGGTCTTAGACGCGCTATACGTACTAATGCAAGCCACTTGGAGAAAACCTCAGTTTGAGACATCAGATCTTCGAGGATAGATGCTCTCGTGCGATCTGTATGGAGGAAAACCACATAAAGTGGGCGGCAAACCGATATTAAGTGGGCCTACGCCCGCGCAGGTGGTTCGATTTGGCATATCACTGAGATTCTGAGTCACAATGCGAGAAGCACGTCTCAACGGCCCATTTCCAACATGAGAAAGAGCATGATGAGGTTGGACTCAAAAGATCGGAATCCAGATTGAATCCCACCATGGAACAGCAATAGGCTATTCCGCTCAGATTCAGGAACACATAGGTACTCGGTAAACTCAGTTCCACAAAAGAGGGAATGTGTTGGAGGCTGAAATCGGTGCCCCGTGTGTCCATACATAGTACATAGTACCTGGCTACCTACTGTACGCTACCCAATTTGGGAGTAGAACTCTATTTGTTGTGGCGTTATCACTAGGCCTCTCCTGGCCTAGTCCCTTGGTATTGCAGATACGCCAGCCGAACAATGCGCGCCTTCCACGGTGGCCATCCATCCTAAGCGCGCGAAAGAATACGTTCGGGGATTACACTAGTAAGATTCGAGAAAACAGAGTTCGATGCTGAGCTGGCCAGTAAGACCCGGGCCAATGAGAAGCACAGGAGCCCTAATCATAACCTTATGACACCGATGTACATTGTCCCGGGGCTCCGTCCATCCCTGTCTGTTTCTCGTATAGGACATCCGTGGATGTTAATCCCGACGTGGAGAAACCTGCGTCAGCAAAGAGCGGTCTGAGATCACCTGATTCTTCGGATCTACAGTGACCGGATAGAGCTGATCGATTTGTACGGTTTATGCTCTATAAGTGTGCGAGTCATTTCTTCCAGGCCTCTCAAAAAACAATCGGTGGAACAGGATTCGGCGTACGAATTATGAAAGTCGAAAAAAAGAGCTAGTCAATCATATTCGATACTTCTTCTCTTTTACTTACGTTTCGCTGTCCTTTTATAGAAGGACGATTGTGAGGTACTATGTCAATTGACCAGGGACCGGTTATAGATGTACTCCATACGCAGTATATAAACGTTAGTACAGAATCCATTTAACTATGCGTTTGTGTAACCCGGGGATGCGTGATTATGCACGGAGTATAGACATTGAATTACAGGGAACGAGGCTAGATTCAACAAAGATGAACATGGGACTTAGATTTTATGTAGTATACAGCAGAACACTCAAAACACTCAACATGATACTACATGCCTAGCTAAGTACTCCGTACTAAGTGGCGAGATATGTACTCAATACAAGAGATACAAAGACTGGCATCTGCCTGTGCCAGCTCATCTTTTTTTCGTTTTGTTTGTTTCGTCTTTTTTTTTTTTTTTTTTTTTTGGTGGGGGCCCGTTCACCGAGGTTCATAAGCCAACCGGCGAGCTCAAAACTGCAGCATGTTTGGCTTGGAGCGAGGTTCAGAGCGTTTGTTACTTTGAGTCGCAACCATCATGAGTCGGGTCTCACCCAACCGTCTCCAAGTGTGATGAGCCAACCGGCAAGTTCAACTTTGCAGCAATTCAGCCAAGGGAATGAGGGCAGAGCAAGTGGCTTTCTTTGAAATTCTCTGTTTTTATTGGACCACATGTCTCTCAAGGGGCACACGGCTGGCACGCTGGATGGCGATGGAGGGTGACGAAGTATGCTGTCGGCTTACTATGCTCGCTCAGACATCGAATTGTTCTGGTAAAACATTCCCTTCGTATCTGATGTCACTTGGTAAGACCTCTCTCTCTGGTACTAGAGCTGGAATGCCGTTGCGCTCAATGAGTCTGCCTCCATGAGCCTTTTGGTAAATGTTGACGTCGTATGTATTCCTGACCAGCAGATGGTAGACATGAACGGTCTTCTTTTGACCGAAACGTCGGGCACGACCAATTGCCTGCGTCATGCTAGATTCGTATTCATGCTGCGAAGAGGCGAGATATGGTGATAAGAAGATGACGTGATTGGCGCATTGGAGGTTCCTGAAAATCGTAATTAGTAAACTTGTTTCAAAGCAAGACAAAGGGGGCCAGGGGAGTGTGGGGTTACTTACAATCCAGCAGCCATTGAGCTTCCCAGTTCCAGAAGTAAGGCCTTAGGGCGTGAAGGTGTTGTTGTCGTCCCCCTCTTGGGTCTGGGGTCTTCAATAAAGTCACTGATCCCTCCCATGGTGGTCTTGGTGACCTTGCGGTGGTCAATGCCCGCGGCTTTGAGAGCTTCAGAAGTGATTGACAGCAGAGGAGGACTTTGTATGAAGACTATGACAAGCTCATCCTGCGGAAGGCTGTTAATAAGCTCGATAAGCTTATTGAGCTTGGAGGAATGGAGTGCTTGAGCCTCGTTAAACACATCGGCGCGGGAGATAATCTTGGATCCTGAGATACGGCCTTTGCATCCCTCGACAGGGCACACGATTCGTTCCTCAATGCAGGGTTTACAGAGAGTGTGCCCACAGGATTGGAGAATTTTTATTTCATCATCATCCAGCTCAGAATGTTGGCAGCCATGTCTTTGGCATTGTAGAATTGTTGAGACTTGGATGTCGTGCAGTTGCCTATGGAGTCGGAACGAGCGCCCAAGTTCAACAAGTTGTTTCAATTGAGCAAGGATCTCAGTGTTCAAGTTTTTGCGAACATTTCTCTTTGCTGATTCGAGAGTATCATCTGGTCTTCCCCGATCTTTCGATTGGAGACGTCTTGCCCTGACCACATCTAAGGCCTTCTGCAATCTCCCTTCAACCAGTCCTTCAATTTCCTGAGAATCTTCCCAGCAGCGATATGACCCGAACGCATTATTTAAGCAACTGGCAAAATCCTGACTGACTTCTGTGTCGAAGTCCTTTTGTGCAGCCTCAATCAAGGAGGCTCGGTAGGCGTCGGGCGAGGTATCATCTGTGTCATCTCTTTCGCTGTCGTCCGTCACGCGATTCCACACAGCTACTGCCTGTCGAACCAGCAAGCCCACTTTGTTCCAGACCTGAGGAGTTTTGGTTTCGGTATTGCTCAAGGCTTTCTGGCACTTCTCAAGGGTCCAGGGAGGCTCTCCGACCTGAGTGGTCACACAGCACATCATGAGAGATTTTTCGCCCGACTGTTTCATCGAAAGAATAGATTTCAGGGGCCCAATCACCTTCCTCTCTTGCATTCTGATCGCTTCGAACAACGTATCATACATTATCTTTTCAGCGGGCGACTGATCGATGATGACAAGGTTTCTCGTCAATGGAATGTTGGTGATGTTGGCGATGTTTTGACGCGCAAATCGATAGAGGAATCTTTGGGCATGGTCTCGGCGGTTATGGTACCATGCGTTGCTATGAGGGGCCTGGTAATACTGGAACGCTTCAACGGCTGTGTGATTCTTCCGGATATTTCGCAGTCTGCTGTTCTTCATCGGTCGGTCGGTATCCCCATCATCATCTATCCCAAGGTGAATACCGAGGTAACCTGCAATGCTCTTGATGTCGGCAAATTCATCAAGACCTGGCGTCCCGGAGAGGATCCATTTAGAACGTGCTTGCAATGACAGCAGAGAGGTTTGTTTTTCTTCCCCGGCATATGTGTATTCGTCGATGACCAAACGATTGAAGCTGAAAGCGTGCAAAAATGCGCCTTTCACCGTACGCCAGTCTTGACCGGGACCCTTGCGAATATTGAAATCCTTGCGGTCATCTTTGATACTCTTGGCTTGGCCTCTCTTGACCTTGGATGTCTGGCTTCGCTTGGTCTTGGGTGAAGAGGTCTTCTGTCGTTTTTCTTCTTGGTTTTCTACTGACTTCACCGCGCGCCTGCGCTTTCGCTGGCCCTCGAGGCCGGATGGTTGGTTTTGATCTTTTGAATCGGGATGAACAGAATCTTCATATCCTGAATCAGATGCAGAATGCCAATCCTCAAAAGCTTTCGCGTCATTATTGGCATTGGTATTAGCATCAGCAAATGCTTGACCACGGAGGCGTCTGGAAGGCACGTATGTGAAATCGGCCTGTGCCTCGTGAACTCGGCGACGTCTGGCCTCCAATTGCTGGAGCATCGCCTCAGGCCCTTCAGTTCTTAGTATGTCAACAGACTCCCGCAAGGAAGCGCGAGCGTCGTGGAACCAGCTATCGAAATTTCGACCTGTTCCTCCGCTCATTTTTGTGGGAGCTTTTGGTGTACCGGTGAACTTTTGAAGTCGGGCATAGTAGGAATCGCTCACTACGACATTCCATGACAAAATAATGATGTCGGCATTTTGAACGTCCTGAATCTTGATATTGGACATTGATGATATTGCCAAAACGTTGTAGGTATTTGCGAGGAACTTTTTGGTCTCCGAAGCCCACTGATAGAACACGTTGTGGGGTACAATGATCAAGGTTGCATTTGTAGGAATCAGCCCATGGTCCTCAGCGGGGAGTTTGCAGTCTCTTTCGTACTGAGCGTCGATAAGACCAAGAATGATAGCCGTCTTACCATATCCAACCTCGTCGGCTAGCACCCCACCGCGAACGACTTTTGGCATTGTTACTTTGACTTCAGCACGCCAGGGCATCAATGGGAGAATCGACTCTTCCACTTCCTCTTCCATGAATGGTTCTATGCCTGTGGATTCTTGTGAAATCATCCAGGCCAATGATCGAAGCTGTTCTTCACGGAGAGAGAGTTGGAAGTTTGGAGGCGGTGGCGCCAGATCATCGTCCTTGTTGTTCATCAAGGTGAATCTACCCGGTCTTCGTTGGCTCATGTCGTATGCATGAGGAAGAAGTCGCCAGTGAGCTCTTCCTATCTCAGTGCCTGTACTGCCAAGCAATTTTCCATGTGCCTGGTGTGTCAGAGCTTGAATATTGAGTGTAAACCGCAATTCAGTCTCTCCGTGTTCATTGATTCGTCTGAATACCAAAAACGGGGAGGGTCGGGATTTGATGGCACGCTCGTAGATGGCTGCTTCCTGAGGGTTTTCATATGGGGTGATACGGTCCTTCTTGTCACGGCCCCAAAGGATGGTAGGCGTAGGTGGATTGCAAATCTTACAATTATCATTCACGTCATGATCATCCATTGAGCGGTCTGAATGGGTGATTTCGCTCCAGTCTTGATAGTCTGACCACCCAGCTATCTTGGGGAATAACCAAGCGAGGCTTTTCAATTCTCTTGTGGAGACCTCGGGATTCCAGGCTTGCCAATCGGTAGTTGTTTCAGGCAGGTCAATAATCGTTGTTGACGCCGACAGCAAGGTGAGAGTGATACAAGCATCCTGGCAATCCTGGTTCTCAATTGAGATCTGGATCCCGTGTTGTAACGTGTCAATCGTAATCTGCTCAGCAGTACAAAGGTTCAACCGAGCTTGAGGAGCATTGGCCCATCGACGACAGAAAGCAGTGACCTCTTCCAAATCTGGTTTTACATTCAAGGACCTCCAAGTTGGGGATAACTCGGCAATTGTCATTCTCACATCATATCCTGGGAGGCGGCTATGGTCAAGGGCAAACACACAGGCATCTTCATCGGGTGGTCCAACTTTCATCGGGTCAAGGAACAAGAAGATTGGAGGTACAGTGGCAGTAGCTTCCTTTCGGTACAATGCCCCAAGGGCTGTTCCACATTCAGGAAGGAATGTGTAGATTCCTCGGATGTCGAACTCAAGAATCGCCACATCTTTTTCTGGTAATTCAACAGAAATGCGAGTCCAGACTTTTCCATTCTCATAATCAGCATCTTTCAGACCACACATGGCTTGAAACGATGGAACCTGGTCTCCTTGACCGGAAATCAGAAGTGAGAATGATGTACTCACGGGCGAACAGATTTCCCATTCACCATCGACAAACGAGCCTGGATTTGGACTCATTCTTGCAATTGGCTTGGCTAGTATTTCTCGGATGATACTTCTCATGTTCGCGGACTTCGGGGGCTTTGCGTACAAAGTCCATTGGATTGTGTCCGGGCCAATATCGAGGAACAGGCTGGAGTACGTGCCGTCGTAGATAACTCGCCATTTTCTTCCGCGTTTGATCTCGAAGAAACGGAAAACATCGCAGACGGCTGACTTAACGCATTGAATGAAATCATTCCAGAATTGGAGGAGAATTTCGGTTGGGTAAAGGGTCCTGAATCTCTCGAAGTCCATTTCAGACAAACCAGACAGCATAAGCTTCATGGGAAGAAGTCCCTTCAAATTCGCTATAAACTCTGACGGCTTTTGTCTAGAGAGGTGGACAACATGTAGATATGAATGCGTGGGATTTCCATGACAGGATTTGCAAGCGGTGTGTCCGCACAATGTGCACTTGAAAATGGCATCTTGAACACCAGTCTGTCTCTCACAGGAGCAGTACATCACACTACTCGCTGCATTGGCTTTGAGGACAAGATGGTCGACAAGGGAGGCTTCGACGACTTGGAGGTTGCTTCTCACAAGGTTGTAGACCTCGTTTGGTACGAGAAGGGACTTGGCCTCCGTGTCGTGAGACTGGGTTGAACTCTCCTCCATGTCGTCAAGAATTGGATGCACGGCTATCAGACCAGCCAGCATGAATGCACATACGACAGTACTCGACATCGCATTTCCTGCCATATCCATCAAATCGGCTTGGGTTTCTCTCGTGAGTAGCATTCGATCGAGAGGCAGACCTTGCAGTGAAAGAGCCTCCGTGCCAGATACGGGGCCTCCACGGGTGGTCACATACGGTATGCCTTTTGGCGTCAGGCAACCTGCGATCCCAGCCCCGGCAAGGCTGTCATTACCTCGATCGACTCCCTGAGACAAGTCGATCCAACGCCTGTGAAGTGAATGATTAGTAAGAGATCTCTGTAGTGAAAGTGAGAATGAATTGAATGAATACTTACTCCTTGAAACTCATGTCATATGACTGAAGCATGCGCCTCAAGAAATTCATATCCACAGTTTCCCAAACTCTTTCCGGCTGTGTCTGCCAGAAACGATGCCAATAGAAGTCCGGTGCCTTCAAATCATTGACTCCGGGCAGGGATCGAGTGATTGGCCTTTCGTTGCCTAGTCCAAGGTCGCGACGGTGCTGATCGTGGCGATTCTTGTACTGGTCCCAGCTGGTTTCGCTTCGGGACTCAAGGCGGGCTCTCATCTCGATGAGCTCGAGTCGGCGGTCTTCATCGTCTAGCAAAAACAAACCGACAGGCGCACTTGCTGGTCGTCTGAATTGATCAACAAGCTCACGAACGCGTTGAGCGACGGTTTGAATGCCGCTCTGGTCTATGGGGTCTCCAAGCAGGCCCGCAGCTTCCAAGCGGCGCTTGTCAATAACCACCATGTACCCGCGCTCGCGTGTCTGCGGGATGTAGTAGTGCTTAGTGTCGACGTTGGCTTGCACTGACATATATCCGAGCTCCTCCCACTTTCCCATCATCTGATCCCAGGGCGCAGTCCGGACATTCTCCTGGATGACCATTCGGGGTCGATATTTCTCCGTGTACCGCAGCAGACCGTCAAACGTGGCTCCAGACTCGCCGCCTTGTTGCAGCGATTTGCGCAGGTTGTTCAGCGAAGAAAAATCGACACAGGCGGTGCCAGCAACTAATATATCGAGGTTACCGGGGATCAATTCCGATGAACCATAGGCGGTCCGCCTTGAAACTCAAAGTCAGTAATATATTCAAGTAAGACAAACATAGTAGGTACTTACGCCTCGTTTCCTCCAAGTTCTGTAATGTCTCGAAAGAGGAGAGGAGGGCAGAAGTTCCGTTCAATGTATGATTGCTTGGACGGTACAATCTCGCAACTGAAAACGTGCGAAATCCGAAGTTGCTGGTCCGATACCAAACCTGCCGATACATTATTAGCATTTGCTTCATTGTCAATTTTGAGATGAAATCAAGGATGAAGTAAGGAATATCAGGGAAAAAAATAAAACGAAGTGTGACAGCAACAGATGATAAGGCAAGGTCAGACCGAAACGGTGATAGATGGGGGTTGAAACAAAGTTAGGGCAAGGAACCATGTCACATGTGACCCCATCACCCAAAGGACATCGGCGACCAAGTTGATACATGACACTTGACCAAACAAACGAAACCGGAAAACAGCAAAATATCAAGACCGCAAGACACCGGCAGTCACTGCACTTACCCGTCTGAATCAATTCCAGGGCCAAAAGCGGGGCTTCCGTTCCTGAGCACATCGTCGCAACTCGAAGTGGTCGACTGCCGAGCTGGGAGAGGACATTTCCAAAACCCAATTCCAGGGCCTTCGATGCCATATCAGCGAAAATATCTCCCAGTCTATGCAGGGGCGGGAGGTTATTGGCTAAATACCGACCCGAAGGGATCGTGCATCCTCGCCGCAGCTCCGGAATCTCATCAGCGCCGGCCGCAGGTTTCTGAGCATCCATTGCCGTAACATCCACCGACAGCTGCTGGGAGGTCCTTCCTTTTGGCGCCATGACCTGTGTTGAAGAAGTGGGATGGGGTAGATGCAAGACTGTCACAATAACAAAATGAAACAGACGAAAAGCAAGGCTTGCGATGAAACGAACGCAGCAAAGAACAAATTTGATGCACAAAATGGATAGCTACCGGCTCAAACACAAGGAGAATATGCAAAATGATGGAATGAGCAGTTCAGAACGTGGGAAAGTCGAGAAAGAAAAGAGAAGGAATCGGGGGGACAGCCTGGCTTTATACAAATTCTGAAGGCAGCGATCATCGCTAGCTCCTGAATCGAAGAGGACTTTTCGAGTCGCCTAATTGGATATGTTCCTCTCGAGCGACTCATCGCACGACCAGGCAGCGATCATCGCTAGCTCTCTAATTGAAGAGGGCTTTTCGAGTCGCCTAATTGGATGTCTGCCTCTCGAGCGACTCATCGCACGACTCATCGCGCTAGAATCTGGAAGGTACGCTTCCAAGGTTGCGCCGAGGACTAATCTCAGCGTTGACAACTACATATTATGCGACGGGTTATTGGTTTCCAACTTTTGACGGCGGACTGGTCGTTCACATATGGAACCGGGAGCCACTTCGCCTCAGATAACCGCTAATGTTGACAATGCAGTGTTTCTACCGAATCAAAAGTACACTGGTCTTCTCTGATGAATAGAGCGTTGTTCACTTTCCGGGTCCTTACCTACCAAGCCGGTTATCAGTAGCAGAGATAGCAAGCAACCATAATGTCATGGTAGTACACGATCTGTGCTATACAATACAATGCAGGGTTCCTAGGTTCATAGCCCAGTACGGAGTACAACATTATAAGTTTGACGGTCGACAGAAGCGCAAAATGCGAAGCTGGAAGGACAGGATCCATATGTCATTCTACTACTATTATGAAAGTATAGCTTGAAGTTGGGGCGTTATGCAAATTGAAATGTGGGAAAGAACAAAAAAGAAAGCAAAGTAAAGACAAGCTCCTGTGCGCCACCGACCGCCTAGTAAATGGGAGAAAATGAAAAATGAGAAGCGAAAATCGAGGCATTGGCCATGCTATGCCTGCTATCAACGGGCAGGGGTACAGAGTACCGGAGTCGATAGAGACTGCGGTATCAAGAGTGAACAATGCCCTACCGCATGCCACTTTGCATAAGTTGCTGTCTTAGAAGCATAATTTGACTCCTTTCCATAGGAGGTAAGGCATCAATAGCAGCCTGGGGCATGCTAAGGACTTGTTGAAGTAGTTCTTCCTGGCCGTGCATCGGGGCAGCAGATTGAGCTGGCGGAGGGGCGAAAGGAGTGCCGGTGACGGGAGGGGTAGAGATTTGGGCAGGAACACCATATTGCTGGAATTGTTGAGGGGGTTGAGAGACTTGAGGAGGTTGAGCAGCCTGTTCGACAATAGAACCAAGCAGTTGGTATTCAACCAGGTTCATGAGAAGCAGAGCCTGGAAAACGGCATATGCGAGCTGAGGTGCTTGGCGTAACAGCTCAGTGGCACGGGCTGGGTCTGCAACCGCCAAAGACTTCATTTGTGTCAGGACGTCGAGCAACTGATTTGGGGGGAGGGATGCGAGTGTGTGTGAAATGGCATTCGGGCAGTCGATTTGAGGGGGCAGCTCCACGCCTGGTGGAAGAGGGGGCAGCGGTGCTGAGCCTGGAATTTGTTGCTGCTGAATGGGATCTTGGTTCATCATTGATTGTGACTGTTGCGAGTAATCCGGGGGTATGGAGTCTTTCTCATTATTGTGAGGCCAATCGACACGGATTTTGCGCCCCATTACTTCGTGGTCATTGAGATTGCGGACCGCCGAGGCGGCAGCGTCAGCGTCTGCAAAATCTGCGAAGCCATATCCCTTGGGTTTGCCGGTCTCTGGGTTCATCATGAGTCGAAACTTGGTCACGGTGCCGGCTGTGCTGAGGATATCTTTGACCTGTTCCTCAGTGAGGTCTAGGAAAATATTAGTATTCCGTGAGTAGAGCAGGTAGCTGTAGATACATACTGTAGGGAATATTCCCCAGGAATACACTCTTCCCAGTCCGATCGGGTGCCATGGTTGCGATAGGAATAGGAATGCGAGTGGGAAAGGTAGCAATGAAGTGAGCGCAAGCAAAGAAACATGATTCTGCCCGACTTTCTCTCACCGCCCGCAACCTCACCTCATCCGCTGAAGCATCAGACCAAGTCCGTCTTCATCCATCTCTATTCTCGCCCGCGCATTTCCTCACATCATGTCTCAAAATCAACGAGAGGCTTGGGAGCGCCTCCAGGTTATGCTGTCCAAGCGCAAGGCCGGCTTTGGCGGCATGCCATCCGGTGGTGGCCGAGGAGGCATGGGACTTGTCGGAACTCTTGTTCTGGCCGGCATTGGCACCTGGGTCGCTTCAAATGCGCTTTTCAACGGTATGTTGGATCGATCACTCAGGTAATAAGCTTCTAACTAGTTTCTAGTGGATGGTGGTCACCGTGCCATCAAATACTCGCGTTTAGGTGGTGTCAAGAAGGAAATCTACAACGAAGGTATACCAACTCCCTAACCAGATGAAGGAGCTCCCACTCACATTAGGGTACCTCTAGGAACTCACTTCCAAATCCCTTGGTTCGAAACGCCCATCATTTACGATGTCCGTGCGAAGCCTCGCAACATTCCTTCTCTCACCGGTACCAAAGACTTGCAGATGGTGAACATCACCTGCCGTGTCCTGTCTAGGCCCCGTGTGGATGCTCTGCCCCAGATTTATCGAACTCTGGGTCAAGACTTTGATGAACGAGTCCTACCCTCGATTGTCAACGAGGTGCTGAAGAGTGTTGTTGCTCAGTTCAACGCCAGTCAGTTGATCACACAGCGTGAGAACGTCGCCCGTCTGGTGCGGGAAAACCTCGCTCGTCGTGCCGCCCGATTCAATATTGCTCTGGACGATGTTTCCTTGACAGTAAGTGCCTTCGTTCTACTCTTTTACCCAATCAGCCACTAAAATAGGATACAGCACTTGACCTTCTCTCCCGAGTTCACAGCAGCTGTTGAGGCCAAGCAGGTCGCACAGCAAGACGCCCAACGTGCTGCATTCATGGTCGACAAGGCCCGCCAGGAAAAGCAGGCCTTCATTGTTCGCGCACAGGGTGAAGCCCGCTCGGCCGAGCTTATTGGTGATGCCATCAAGAAGAGCAAGAGTTACATCGAGCTCCGAAAGATCGAAAATGCCCGTCACATTGCTCAAATCTTGCAAGAGAGCGGTGGTAAGAACAAGCTCTACCTGGATACTCAAGGGCTGGGTTTGAATGTCAATGCTCAGGGCGAAGAGAGCAAATAAATGCATTCCACTTGAAACTTAATGGCGCTGCGTGGAGGGATGTGAATTATTGTACAAATAGCTGGATTATCAAGCACCTGAATGTGGTCTCTTCTCTATTTTTCTCCAAACAGTAATTCTTCCCAAGTGGTGGCTAGGGATTGATGTTCGTAGTCAAGATATATTTTCTCCATGCGGGGACAAAGGCGGCGAGACGATTTTTCGGCTTCGGAGGGGCAGCAATTTTGTCTTGCTCGACCAGCATTGACTAGAGAGTGTCGCATTTTAATCATTAGTATGTATTGACAAGACCAGTTACACCCAATTATGTGACTTCAGCTAACAGCATCAAGACCATGCCCGGTGTTACGGACGATGCCCCAGTGCACCTCACCGAGGTCGATATCGACCTTGATGTGCAAGAAATCCTGCTCGCCGCATCACAGCACGATCAGTCTAAGCTGCACCGCCTCCTCCGTACTCAATCTATCCTGCCAGACGCAGCGAACGTCAAAGATACCGAGTCCGGATTTTCACCTTTGCACGCCGCAATCGCCGCCTGTGAGCCCGACACAGAGATCGTCGATACTGATGGCGTAGTCTCCTCAGACTCGAACCCAAAGGGATTGGATGTTGAGACCGTGCAGTCAGCAGTAGAGACAGTCAAGTTTCTACTGCAGGAAGGTGCTATCTGGAACGATCTTGACAAGAACAATGAAACACCCGGTTGCATCGCACGCCGGATCGGCGCTCTGGAGCTGTACGACTTGATCGTTGACGCAGGCGTCCGCGCAGAGTTGCTGCTGAACCGACTTGATGCCTACGAAGAATTGTCCGACGACGAGGATGAGGAGGAGGAGGAGGAGGCAGAGAAAGAGACCGAGACCGAGACCGAGACAGCGCCTGAACTTGTCGATGCTTCTGCCGAATCTTCGACCGAAACCACTGTCACACCTGCTAACCCTGATGTGTCCAACCCGCAGTACCTTGAGTCGCGCCTGAATATCCAAAATGACCGAATCCTCGACGCAGACCAAAACGGCGTGATGATGCGTTGGGAAAGCGATATCATGCGCAAATCTGCGACCGCCCTACTTCCAACACCGGGCCTTAAAGTACTGAACATCGGCCATGGAATGGGTATCGTGGATGGATTCTTCCAAGATCAAGGACCAGCTGCGCACCACATTGTCGAAGCGCACGAAGATGTTGTTGCGGAGATGAAGCGTCGTGGATGGGACACTAAGCCCGGTGTTGTCATTCATCAAGGTCGTTGGCAGGACATTCTTCCCGATCTTGTGGCGGCAGGAGAGACTTTCGATGCTATCTACTACGATACTTTCGCTGAGTCATACGGTGATTTCCGGGAATTCTTCTCTGAGCAGGTCATCGGGTTATTGGAGCAGGAAGGTCGTTGGGGATTCTTCAATGGGATGGGCGCTGATCGTCAAATCTCTTACGATGTCTACCAGAAGGTCGCAGAGATGGATATTTTCGAAGCTGGGTTCGATGTGCAGTGGGAGGAGATTGCTGTGCCTAAATTAGATGGCGAATGGGAGGGCGTGCGCCGAGCCTACTGGGTTGTGGATGATTATCGTCTGCCGCTGTGCAAGTTTATGGATTAAGAGGAGTCATTGGAGTGCCTTGGTGAGACGAGATATCAAAATGGGGATTGTAAAAAGAAAAGGAAATTGAATGTTTATGACTGAATGCAACGCTTGAAAATGCTATAGAATGGCTAAAAGGAAGAATGTACAAATGATATCAAAGTTGAATCAAATCCACTTCCGAGAAATCGGGAGGACTGCGACTGAAGATTGTCCGACACTTGCCATCCAGCGCTTGATACTCATTACTGATCCAGATATGCTTACTGAATCTTTGTGTTCGGTAGATCTCGTCATCACTTACACCCAGATCATCACGCGGGATCCAAATGACAGGCCGCTTTGCGCGAAGGGCCTCGTGCTGGAAGGCACGCTGCACCAATTGATCACGCTCATCGGGAGTGAGATCCTCCAATTCGTCGTGAATACCAGCAAACAAGGCTTGGCCAACTGTGTTGGGGCCTACTCCCTGAGACTCCGTGTCTTGCACAATTTTCTTCTGTACGGCCCGTGGCGCATGTGCAGATGGCGAGTTCGAGCCAAAATACTTGGACCTTCGGTTTGATGTATTGGAAGCCCATGATGGGCGTTTTTGTCCAAGCCGAGGCGTTGATAAGCGGTCCGAATTCCGTCGCTTCTCGTCTGGTAAATCGATATCCAAAGGTTTGAGCTCAATGTCTCGTGTGCCTTGTTCTGGCCGGCGCTCCTGGCGCTCACGCTCAGCGAGACTATGTTCGATGTCGCCATCGTCGTCACTGTCATCGGCGAGGCCAAGGCGAGCATGTTGAGCACGGCTAAACTCCTCATCACGTCGAATAGCATCATCTTCCAGAGTGATGGGAAGATATCGGATTAGTGGACTAAAGGCCTCGTTGAGAAGGATTTGATAACCGACGGTTAATCCCAGTACCACGATCATGCAAATTCCCTGTCCCTTGCAGGAAACATCATTGTTTTCGTCTCGAACTAAGAAGAACAAGCCGATCAGGCAGACCTCCATAAAGTAAATCCCGGTGAATAGCTGGTTGATAGCTCGGGGAAAAAGGAGACCACCAGTGTCAAAGCGAAACTTGGTGACATAGAGTGTGTTGTAGCGGTAGACGAACCAGAAAAGGCTGAAGGTGATAATATTGAAAACCAAAATCAGAGGTGCAATCACAGAGTAGATCAGACCTTAGCGAGAAATGTTAGTCAACGTAATCGATAGAGAACAAGGTAAGTAACTCACCGATAGAGGCAAGAGTGGTGTAAACAGGGAAGAATGTGCCCCATTGCATCTGATTGAGATTGGTTGTCCGAGCCCATTTCTTCCGGGCAGTAGAATCCAAAATGGGAGCAAGAATAAACCAGCTCACCAGACCAAATATCTGGACGAGAGCACCAGCGCTCACAGACATGGCTTGTAGAATCATGTAAGAGAAGAAGTAGTTACTGGACTTCGGGATGTTCACAGCTAGTAGTTGCGGCCAGCTGGTCACATCAGTGACATGCTCGATGATTGTAGAGAAACTGGAGGCAATGGTGACAACCAAGAACAGCTGCACAAAGAGGAAGGCAAAGTAGTAGTTTTGGACAGTGAGTTCAATGGACATGCCAGTGAAGAGGCCTTGTGTGCGACTCAAGAAGCGAAGCATGAGAGGCAAAAGTGCCATTAGAATGGCTAAACATAGTGCAGGAAGGACACCCTGAACGGCTGAAATGAACCAGTCGGGCAGCTTGCCAATCCAAGCCAGCCATGTAAATGCACCCTCCAGATATGACAATTGTGAAAGTAGTCCGGTAAACGCAACGGGAAACGCCCACCCAACGACCATTCCACAAACTAATGTTATGATGCCGAAGGAACGCAGGTATCGCTCCCACCATTTGATCGACATATTATCCCAAATGACATCATCAGGAGATATTTCCACGACTCGGGGTGCCATTTGCTTGGGCAGATGATGGCTAACAGCTTGGCATGCCATGTGGGCGGCAACTTGATGATTGAATTGAATGAAAGCCGAGTTCATCAAGGGGAACCGCTCAGAATGCTGTTGGTCGATTTCAATTTCCAGATTTAGACGAGCAAGTTCCTTTCGGCAATAATCAATGGTGTCGACCTTTTTTCCGAGAAGCCAAATTGAAGGCATCCAACTCCAACCAAATATGGGTAGTCGCATAGTATCACGGTCCTTGGGTCGGATATAATCTTTCCACAATGGCTCTCCGTAGTCCTCATTATCAAAGTTCTCGTTGTAAGCGGTGGGATAGTCTTCTGGTTTCATTTTGTGTTTCTCCTTTCGGCCGCTTGTGTCTTTCTCATTCTCAAGTTCATTGGAGTCACAACAAACAGCACCGGTCGCAGGACCTTCAGGTGCGGTCAGTGGATATTCGTCAGCTTCAGGTATGCCTTGCGATTTGGTATGAGACGAGATGCGTCTCCAGAATGGTGGCTTCGGTGGAGTTGTTGGGTCACAGCACGTTGAATTACTCAGGACTGGACTGTGAACAGGGCTCTGGCCTGGGCGTCGCAGGCCTAGAGTTTTACTAGACGTTGTCACAGGTGTAGTCTCTGAGAAAAAGTGATCATGGGATGGAGGGGAGCTTGGACGCAATGGAGGGGTGTCGTCGGTGGCGGGAGGGTCGTGGGCTGGATGGGTGTTTGTATGCAGCGGGCCGGTGTTGCCAGAGGCGGGATGGTCCTGTGCCGGAATGATGTTTCCATGCGGAGGAATGATCTCGTCGGTGGCGGCAACAAAGCCCCTAGTCTGAGCTAAGGGTGCTTCAAGGCCCTTTTCAACCTTCCTAAAGCCTCCAAGCACTGATTTGCCGAGTTTTCCCACACCTAATCCAACTGCTCCAGCGGCTGCAAAGGCAGGGTCAAGTACCCGTCGAGCTCCATCTTCCGACCGCTTCTTTTGGGAGTGTGTGGGGTGGAGCAATTCTCGTACCGTGTGGGCCTCATGAGGATTACCAGAGCTGATGCCAGGGCCTATCGCCATCTGGGATGCCCGTTTGTCGGTCACCTTTTTCTCTTCTTTCCCTGCGCTTGCTTTGCTTTTGCCGGCCTTCTTCGCCTCCAACTTGGCCTTTTTGAGCTGTGCCTTTTTGCATTTTGAGATCAGATCTGTCTCGGCACTCTCAAGTTTGAGAGCAAAATCGTTTCGCGCTTTCACTTTCTCATTCAAATCATCGAAATTGCGATTGAGCCAGATGTTTCGTACCCCTCCAGGGAAGACATCGAAAAGATTATCAAGCGCATCCGTACTCAGCCAATCGGGCGGAATAGACGTAACGAGCACGGTGGTTGCAGAGGCCCGGAGTCGATGCTGGGGAGATGTCAAATACGCCTGTCGCAGGCGAATATAGTTCCGAAGTTCATCGAAGAAGACAGCACAGACATAGATAATGGCAAGAACGGCCATCACTAAATGAGCCCAATACCGATGAGTGTGCTGAGGGGTCACATTACCCCATGCCAACTGATCCAGACCAGTGACACCATACTTCTTGCCTGATGTACCATTTTCGTATGTCTGGCCCTTGCCGCCAGCGCGGTTGACTGGCAGTAGAACCGGCAAGATCACAATTCCCAGGGGGACGAAGATCTTCAGGAGCATGCGCAAATAGCGCAGGAAAAAATATGCATCAAGCCCACATTTCTGGATAAACTCGGCGCTGGATGTACGAAACACAGGCACAATCCAACGGAAGAGGCCTGGTGGTGACGGACTTGTGCGTTCCCTATCTGGGACCAAGTATGTTCGTGGTTGGCTAAGTACCAATTTTGGTCAGTTCAATGTTCGCGTTCGCTTTGGCGGTGAGGTTTCAGGGGACTTACTATATACGACTTAGTTTGCCTTTTAAAAGCATAAAGAGGAGGAATTCAACGACGAAGACAGCGATGGCCGTCGCCAGCGAGGCTAGAAAGGTCGAGATTGAGACACCCTCGGCGGTTTGCCCATGGCCACCAGTGTGTTGCAGCGCTTCCTCCAAGCCCGAAGTCATGACGATCGGCTCGGATATTGCCGAGAGAAAACCAAAAGATGAAAAAAGGGGGGATTAAGACACAGAAAGGGTTGTCGAAGGAGGTGTCACCATAAGAAGCATCGAAGGATCTCCTTGTAGGCCCCGAGAGATGTTAGAAATAATCGCCCATAGTCTAGGAAGGTCCGCAATAAAGAGCTCGGCGATAAGAGAAGAGCAAAAAACCACTAAGGGCATGCACCTCAGGAGAAAAGGGCGTCAACCTGATCAACAGTGGGGGCAATAGCGCGAGAAACGTGGAGTTCGCTAGAGGTGATTTTGATGAATGCGTTGACCTGGCGGCTTGATCAAGAAATTAGAGCGCTGAAAAACAGGGATGATTGGAGAGATCGTGGGCGCGCCGATCAAGAGCAAGATGACATCAGGCGCTAGGTGAAACAGCCAAACCAGTCACGGCGGCTTGAGGCAGATTTGAATGAAAGGAGTTAAATTTTGCTTTGTGTAATCAAGTAGGTCATAGTTTGCGCTATAATTATAACAAAAAACGGTAAGCATGACCAAGATCTTTTCTCCAAAAGACCGAGATCCTATTCCGGCTGTGGTAGTACTGCCCAGGCGAAGCATCTACGGAGTACAAGGGGGGTTCCTGGAGTGAAAAAACGGAAGGAGCAGTGATTGGCCCTGGCTGATACCGAGGTGTGGCTGTGCATTATGTAATCTCGTATTCCGCAGGAACTATGGAGTACCTGTGGCTAGAGAAAACACGTCCGCCCAAAGAGGAAACCACTTAACGCGCCCATCGCGTCGGTAGTGGCAGAAAGCGCGTTCCGCCCACAGCTTTTTGCTCTCCCTTTCTTCGTTTGTGCCCCATATCATCACCACCCACCTGACCACCGTCCGGTATCAACACATTAATTGATATCCACCATGTCGTCACCATCACAAAGACGGAGGGGTCGCTCCGCCCAAAAATCAACTGCATCGCCCAGTTCATCGTCCCGACAGGAGATGCCCAGTAGCCCAAATTTTCAGACCACCCCTCGTGCCACGAGACGTCAAGTGGCCGAAGCTGCATCGTCCCCTATCTTCTACCAATCATCTCCGATCAAGGGGAATAACAATGCCGACACTCCTGATGAACGTATGGCCGATGCCAGTTCAACGGTAGATGATGGGGAGAGAACCCCTCGAGGAAACACAGGCGTGAGAGGTATGAAATTTCATTTTATATGGAGCTGCTATCTTCTGTTTCCTATGTAGATCGCTGACTTCCCATCAGACTCTTCGCCTATCCAGTACATCGCAAGTTCTAGCCCAAACCGAGGCCACGCTCGCTCGGATATTCGCTCTGATGCACTGAGTGCCAGTAGTGGATTATTTGTGTCGCCAGGAGGCCAGGGACGTCGGGCCGCTTCTCGCCGCAATGATTTGCACTCTAGTGTCTTTGGATCGACTCCTAATCGCCGCAGCCGCATGTTCGTCGATGCCAATGGAATGCCCACTGGTGATGCGCTGCCTCGTTCCGATGCCACTTTTTCGAACATCAACCCCGGCACCTCTGAGGCCGAGGCCATGGCTGGTAACTCCACTCGTGTGATCTGGGGAACCAACATCTCGATCCCAGATTCAATGTCGGCATTCAAAAATTTCTTGTATAATTTCGCCCCGAAATATCGCCTGTGGGCCGATGGCGTTAAAGATGATGAAGTCAGACTTATGGGAGAATCGGCAGAGAAACATGAGTGTATCGCCATGTGTAAAAACATGTTACGGCTCGGTGTGGGCATTTTCAACCTCGATGCTGGAAATCTAAAGGCGTACCCATTGACTCGTAAGCTGTGGCACCAACTTCACGCATATCCCCAAGAAATTGTCCCTCTCATGGACCAAGCCTTGAAGGAAGTGATGGTGGAGGTGGCTCTCAAAGAAATGGATATTCTTCGGTCAGAGAGCCAGCGTGCTGCTCAGCCTCGTGATCGACGTGGTCCTATTCTCACCTCGGACGCTGCAATTCCGACTTTCGATGGACCAGATTTAATGGCCGAAGCAGAGGCCATGACCTTCAAGGTGCTTCCCTTCGGTCTGGATAAGACTGTGAACATGCGTGATCTCGACCCAGCCGACATGGACACGTTGGTCTCCATCAAGGGTCTGGTCATTCGTGCTACCCCCATCATCCCTGATATGAAAGAGGGATTTTTCCGGTGCAGCACTTGCAGCTATGGAGTGCAAGTTGACATTGACCGCGGCAGGATTACCGAGCCAACTATTTGCCCCCGAGACTCCTGCAAAGAGAAGAACTCGATGCAACTCATCCACAACCGTTGTGTCTTCACTGACAAGCAAGTCATTAAGCTCCAAGAAACCCCTGACAACATTCCGGATGGTCAAACTCCCCACTCGGTGTCTCTTTGTGTCTATGATGAGCAGGTTGATGTCTGCAAAGCCGGTGATCGGGTGGAGGTAACTGGTATCTTCCGGTCCAATCCCATGCGTGTTAGTGCGCGTCAGCGGTCTCAGAAGTCGCTCTTCAAGACATATATCGATGTCCTTCACGTGCAGAAAGTTGACCGTAAGAAGATGGGCATTGATATGTCCACTGTTGAGGAAGAAATGTCCGAGCAGGCAGCCGAGGCAGATCAGTCGCGCAAAGTCTCGGCCGAAGAGGAAGAAAAGATCAAGCAGACTGCTTCTCGCGCCGATATCTACGACCTGCTGTCTCGCTCTTTGGCTCCTAGCATTTACGAGATGGACGACGTGAAGAAGGGTATCTTACTCCAAATGTTTGGAGGTACTAACAAGACCTTCCAAAAGGGCGGTAATCCGCGTTACCGCGGTGACATCAACGTTCTTCTGTGCGGCGATCCCTCGACCTCCAAGTCCCAATTACTACGATATGTGCACAAGATCGCCCCACGCGGTGTTTATACTAGTGGTAAAGGCTCCTCCGCCGTTGGTTTGACTGCATACGTGACTCGTGATCCGGAAACTCGCCAAATGGTTCTGGAATCTGGTGCTTTGGTTCTGTCCGATGGAGGTGTCTGCTGTATTGATGAGTTCGACAAGATGAACGATTCCACACGGTCCGTCCTTCACGAAGTCATGGAACAGCAAACTGTCTCTATCGCCAAGGCGGGTATCATCACTACTCTGAATGCCCGAACATCCATCTTGGCCTCTGCCAACCCCATTGGCAGCAGGTACAACCCTAGGCTCGCTGTTCCTCAGAACATTGACTTGCCACCAACTCTCCTCTCTCGTTTCGATCTAGTGTACCTAGTCTTGGACCGTGTCGATGAGACAGAAGATCGTCGCCTGGCCAAGCACTTGGTCGGCATGTATCTGGAGGATAATCCCGAGAATGCCAGCTCGCAGGAGATTTTGGTAAGTGACTCTGTCCGCGCATACGATTTCAACAATGTCTAACATCTCTATTTAGCCGATCGAATTCCTCACGGCCTATATCACATATGCTAAAACCAATTGTCACCCCGTGATCACACCAGCTGCCGGTGCTGCACTCACCGAGGCCTACGTGGCTATGCGCCAATTAGGTGATGACATCCGCGCCCAAGAGCGCCGTATCACCGCCACCACCCGACAACTGGAATCAATGATTCGTCTTTCCGAAGCCCACGCCCGTATGCGTCTGTCCCCCGAGGTCACCGCGGGCGATGTCGAGGAGGCCGTCCGTCTCATCCGGTCCGCCATTAAGCAGGCTGCCACCGATGCACGCACCGGTCTCATCGACATGGGTCTTTTAACCGAAGGCAGCAGCGCCACTGACCGTCGTCTGCGCGAGGACTTGAAGAAAGCGGTGCTGTCCCGCCTTGATGAACGCGGTGGTGTGAGTGGTGGTGCGGTCCGCTGGTCTGACCTATACCGCGACGTGAGCGAGCAGAGCGACAACAAAATCGACCACCACCAGTTCGGTGATGTGGTGCGCTCGCTAGAGACGGAGGGCTCTGTGAATGTCTTTGGTGAAGGTGCTCGTCGCAGTATCCGCCGGGCGGCCATGAGCATGTCCTAGGTGACCGCGATGATACCATGATGTGATGATAGATTAGGCTGCATGTCATCTCTGACTGAGGGTGCCTGGCGTTTGCGATTTATGAATAATACTATACGATGAGGCTCACCCCCATAGCTGCTGTAAGCTAATTTACATGTTTTTCAATGCTCTCGAGCTTCCCTAGAGTCGCCTAACTTGTAAGCGAGTCCTGACCCCGGGGCCATCAATAGCACTGCCTTTACCGCCAGAGACACCAATATCTTCAGCCTTTTCTTCTGGTCGGCTTTAGGCATATTCACGCCCGTAGGGATACACATGTCCTTCCGAGTCGCCAATCGCACCAGTAGCTCATTCCATATCACTTGCCCTCCAATAATTGCATTGTCTCTCATCAAACGCCTCATTAAGTCCCCCTGCGAGGCCATAATTGGAAATCGAGCCGACGGACGATCATGCATCTAGGCCCAATGCGAACTATGGCCGGGGTGGGGCCCGATCGTCTAGCTGCAGATACCTCCATCTGCAACAGGGATTGGAGGTGAACAAGAAAAGCGATCCTTGTCCCAGCAAGGGAGGAAAATATGATCGTGAGATGCGTGGTCTCCCATTGTGTGTCTTTCTCAGTACCTAGGTAGAATCACCGAAGACCGTGTTGGAGTGAGATACAAGTCGCTCGAATCAACCGGTAACTACAACCCCAAACACCAACCCGGTGCCCACGTGCGCCCGTGACTGGTCAAATTGCGAACGTCATCACAGGGGCGCTGACTCAGCTGTATGCTGCATACACCGTTACCATACCAAAAATACCAGAAAGCGCCTCGAGATGGCGATGGTTTCTCATGATTATCGCCTGAATCGAAGGGATTGATGGAGATCCAGCATAGAGGTGCTCTTGAAGTAGTATGAACTTGCCATTACTGAGCTCCTTTGTAAATCTAAGCCCCCAAATCCCCGATCTAAATCACTGTAGTCGACTATTAGCACCCGCTTTGATGACAGGATGGGGCCGTCACCCGCTAGTCATCGGGCTAACCGAGTTCGGGGCCCTTGGCCCTTGTGTCTTCGGAGAGCTACAACCCTCCGATCTGGCTTTCTCCATTGATCGGCCTATTTTTCTTTCTCTTCTTTTGTTTTCTCCCGTGATGAGCTTGGGATAACCCTTCTTCGCCTCACTTATTTCTTTTAGCCCATTATGAGGTGCGTAGCTCCCCCTGCTATATCCCAGCGGCCGTTCAACTGCATTCGACTCCCCGCATCGGTCACCCCGTACTGACCCAATTGTTCCACAGGTTCGGTGAATATCTCCGTTCTTCTATGATCAAGGAGTTCTATCCTTTCTATATTGCGTACGACGAGCTCAAGAAAGCTCTCAAGACCGATTTCGTCGACGAGCCAACCTCCGACAACACCAAGCCCGCCCGCAAAGAATGGACTGAGGATGATGAAACAGACTTTGTGTCCTTGCTCGAGAGCGAATTGGAGAAGGTATTCCTGTTCCAGAAGCGTAAGAGCGAGGAGATTGTCGAGCGCATTCAAGAGAGCGAGTTCGAGGTGAATGATGTGGTCTCCCGTCTGGACAGCTCGGTCGATACCCGTCGGCACAGTGCTCGAGCCTCTCGGCCCACACCCACAGATGCAGATTTCTTGATGCTGGAGCAGGTGCTCAGCGATATCATTGCTGATGTTCATGATCTGGCTAAATTCACCCAATTGAATTATACCGGGTTCCAGAAGATCATCAAGAAGCATGACGTACGTTTTCCTTTCAATCTCGAAGCCAGATCCCAATTTGCTAACAATCTCATAGAAACAAACACAATGGTACTTGAAGCCGGTATTTGCGACACGTCTAAAGGCGAAGCCTTTCTTCAAAGATAATTATGACGCTTTTGTGATTAAACTATCTAAGCTGTATGACTTGGTCCGCACCAAGGGTAACCCGGTCAAGGGTGATTCATCCGCGGGTGGCACACAACAGAACTTTGTGCGCCAGACTACAAAGTATTGGGTGCACAGAGATAATATTACAGAGCTGAAACTGGTGATATTAAAGCACCTGCCGGTGTTAGTATTCAACGCTAGCAAGGAGTTTGAGGAGAAGGATACGGCCATCTCCTCTATTTACTACGACAACACAGATACTTGGGAGCTGTATCAAGGTCGTCTGAAGAAAACAGAAGGCGCCGAGGCAATCCGTCTGCGTTGGTATGGTGGGATGGAAAGTGACCAGATCTTCGTGGAGCGCAAAACTCACCGTGAGGACTGGACGGGAGAAAAGTCGGTCAAGGCGCGTTTTTCCCTCAAGGAAAAACACGTGAATGCCTATCTCGAAGGCCGCATGACCGTTGAGCAGATTTTCGACAAGATGCGCAAGGAGGGCAAAAAGAGTCCAGCAGAGATTGATGATCTGGAGCAATTAGCCCGTGAGATTCAGTATCGCGTTATTACTCGTCGTTTGGTACCTGTCACCCGCACCTTCTACCATCGGACTGCATTCCAGCTTCCAGGAGATGCTCGTGTTCGAATCTCTCTTGACACGGAACTGACCATGGTTCGGGAGGACAACATGGACGGCCGCCGACGCGCAGGAAATAATTGGCGTCGGATGGATATTGGAGTCGACTTCCCATTTTCCCAGCTGCCCCCTGAGGATATCGATCGATTTCCCTATGCTGTGCTGGAGGTGAAACTGCAAACCCAGGCAGGCCAGGAACCACCCCAATGGATTCGGGATTTGACTGCTAGTCATTTGGTTGAGGCCGTCCCGAAATTCAGCAAGTTCATCCACGGAACAGCCACCATGTTCCCTACTCGCATCCACCTGCTCCCATTCTGGTTCCCCCAAATGGGCGTCGACATTCGCAAACCAGCCACCCATCAATATGGTATTCACAGACCGCTGGCGAGCACCTCGATATCCGCCAATGATGAAGATTCAGACGATGATGAAACTCCGGGGACGGACGAGCGCGTCCTGAATGGACAAGACACCGAAGACCAGACTGGATTGTTCGAGACCAATGGCAACGAATTGGATATCGAAGAACGCATTGCCGCTCGACCTCTTCCCGGCGAGGAAGATTACCCCTTGTACGACTCGGACGACGAATCGGTTTATTCCGACGAACTTGAAGAAGCCCGCCGCGTAGGCGGGGTGTACTATGCGCAGAAATTGGCCCAACACTACCTCTCCCGAACCGGACATGCTGTCGCACAGGGTCTAATGGCGATAATTCCCCGCCCGCGTCCAACATCCCTACCACCTCCGGAACAACGTGGGATTGCTGTCTTGGGTACTCATCAACGCACCCTGCAGCGATTCCAGGCGCCCCCAGGCAAACGTAAGTCATCACTAAGTCATTCCGTGCATGTGCAACACAACCCACATAACTCCTTTACTGACAAAAATAGGCATCTTCGTCCCCGTGCGCGTAGAACCTAAAGTATACTTCGCCGCTGAGAGAACCTTCCTCTCATGGCTCGAGTTCTCTATCATCCTCGGGGGTATCGCCGCCACGCTCCTCAACTTCGGCTCCGACTCAGCCACGCTCATCTCCTCCTGGGCGTTCACCATTCTCGCCGCCGGCTCTTTGGTCTACAGTCTGTTCCTATACATCTGGCGCGTGGACAAGATCCGCAAGCGTCGCGACGTTAAACGTGTATACTACGAGAAATGGGGTCCGACAGTCGTCAGCCTCGGTCTTGTCATTATCATCTTGGTCAATTTCGCGCTGCGCGTACGTGCTGGAGGGTTTATGGCTGCGCCAGGCTCGGAGGGCGAGCCTCAACATGGCGGGCATGGTGAGTTGTAGAAGTTTTGATCATCTCACCACTTTCCTCTCGGGTTTTATGTTCTCGGTCAACCGCTGTTTTTCCTATATCTGCCTGTGAGCGGCTTTTATGTGTTGTATTTACTGGTGTTTTGGTCGGGGCGTTGGAGATTGTAAATCATGTACAAATCGCATGTATGCCATTGCAAATATGATAATGGTACTCGATTACTTTCTATCCCGCTCTGCATATTTTATCGTAGCCTTCAGCAAAATACCTATTTAGCTACGTACCTAAGGTACCTAGTGAACATAATTCAACGCTATTACTCAAAGTATCTAACAGATGAGAATGAAACCAATAATATCCAGGCCCTCCCAACGGGGGTATATCCATACAAAATGCAGTCAGAAGAAATCCATGTTAAAAATGCCAAAGCAACGCTCCCAACTATGCAAAACACTCAGAACACAAGCAAAGACCCCAAATCCGTGATGTTCATTCCTCCAAGTCAATCTGCATCTCTCGATCTAGAAACCCATCCCACGTCAGCATATATCCAATCTCCAATCCCCATCATAGAGTATAACAACTTACCCCAGAGCTTAATCGCATGAGCAATAATCGTCTCAGCCTTAACCAGTAGCTTGGCAGCATACCTCTCCGACTCGGTCGGATAGAGCTGACTTTTCTGCAGTTTACGAGGATTGACCTAGCCCGCAACAGATTAACACGACCATCACACACAAAAACAGAGAAAAGGAGCAACCCACCATCATAAGAATCGGAACCAAATCCTTCGGCTCCGCCTCAGCCAAAGCCCTCAAATTCTTAAACCCGTTTTCCCTCAACAACCGCGCCGTCCAGCTCTTCACGAACGTAACCTGCGTCATCTCGAGCAGATCCGCACGCGCACCGGCCTCAAGTCGATCGCGCATATGGTCCAATACAGCGGCTAACATGCCCCAGTTCATGCGCTGGCAGAATTTGACGATTCCGGCGGCGAAGCCGTGGCATTGCTGGGCTAGGGTTTGCACGGTGCCGCGGGGGATATTGTAGCGGTGGGAAATTGTTGAGAGGGGGATTTCGTTGCTTAGGTCTCTGAGTTGGAAGGCTGTGTAGGCGCGGCGGTAGATGCGGGCTTGGGTTATTTGGCATGGGGTTGTTTCTTTGAGAGAAGCGCCGGATTGGACCCTGTGGGGATGGGTGTTAGTTCTGGGTTAGGGGGATATGGAACAGGCGAGGGAAGGTGAGAAGTAGGGGCTGCTCACATTGTGTTGACGAAACCTGGTTGGACTCCGACGAATTGTAGAGCGCGGAGACCGCTCTCGTCGAGACGGTCTAGTTGATCGCGGAAGATCTGCCAGTCGATTGGTGTGTTCATGGCTGCTTGGAGGGGAGTAAACATGTAGAATATGTGCATTTCGCCGTCCATGACGAAGGCTTGTAATGCTCGTTTTAGCTCTTCGTGGACGAATAAGCCGTCTTCGGGTGAGAATGCTGAGGCCACGACTGCCTGTCCTAGGGGAGTGGCTTCGTAGGACTCGTCTTCTCGGAAAAGGAGGAGCTCTTCATCGACTAGTTCTTCAAGAGCTGATTTCATGAAGGTATATGCAATCTTCTTGTCTAGTGTGAGGTAGAGAAGCGTGCACTGAACATATTCTTTGATCGCTTCGAGGCCAGATACTAATCCAGTTGCCACGGCTTCTAGGATAGCCCTTGGAGGTGTGAGCTAAGGGCTGAAGAACAGTTGGATAGAACTAAGTGAGTGGGACGTACCTCTTGAGGCCTCTTTTTTCCGGTGCTAGACAGCTCTCAATGGCCGGCATATCAGCGTCTAGTAAGTCACAGACAGCCTGCATATCGGCTTTCACGCAGATGAGATAGGTTTCGCCGGCGCTATCCTTGCCCTTGCGTCCAGCACGACCACACATCTGACGACTGTTTGGGTCAGTCTATCTCTCAACCCAGGGGATAAAGGAGAACATACAGCATTGCAGGACCCACTAGATCACGGCCCATTCGAGCTCCGTTGATGATAACTCGCCTCGCCGGAAGGTTGACACCAGCTGCAAGGCTGCATGTGGCTACGAGAACTTTAATAACACCCTGGTCATAAGCCTGCGCAATGAGCTCACGCTCTTCTGTCGTCATGCCAGCATCTGGATACTCGTCAGTTAGATGAGACAGCTCGATCAAGGATGGTGGTATACTAACTGTGAAATCCTGTGCCTTTAGCGATTGTGATCTCCAAAGCCGGATCCAACCCGCAAGAGAGACTCCGCAGCTCAGCGAGAAGATCAAGTCGCTTATTCAGCTCTTCAGGCTCTGCTGGCGGCATCGCTTCGCCAATAGTCGCAGCGTGGATCTGGCATGCGTGACGGCTACCACAAAACACCAAACATCCAAAGCCAGCGGCTGCAGTTTCGACTGCCAGAGCTACCATGGCATTCGTGGCGGAGTTGCCAAGTTGCTTGAAAGTAAACGGTTCGATAATTCGATGGGGAGGAATGGCATCATGCAAAGACTTAGCAGCAGTCAGCTTGGATGCTGTTTGAAACAGCTGTCGCGATGTTGCAGCTGGATAGATTCCATTCTCGTACACCAAATATTCGTCAATAGGAATCGGTTTGTATGTTGAGATAAAGAACTTGGCGTTCATCCATTGTGCCAGCATTTCAGTGTTCTAATACTCATCAGACAGGTCTCTGAGTAAAGTATCGAGACAGGGACTCACAGAAAGTGTAGCACTCATTCCGATAATCTGAATATCCTGCTGTAATAACAGCAATTTCGTGACCATCAGTTCCAAGAGGTAACCACGGTGCTCGTCATCAAGCATATGCAATTCATCGAGAACCACGGCCCCCAAATCACCGATACTACACTCTTCGATCGCGGTGTTTATCAATGAATTGGCCTAAAGGAAGAAAATATCAGAATTCTGCAGATAATCATGAGCATCAGACATACACACCTTCTCTATTGTACAAACAGCAATATCAGTATCAGCCCAAGTAGCTGTGGTCCGACTTCCACCAAAGAAGCCTGTTACCCGAATGTTTTTCTGCAGCTTCTTCCCTCGCCTGCGAGGGAATCTAGAGTCCTCTTGATCATCAGGGATATTCTTCTCCACATCTTGCACGATGCGACGCATCCATTTGAGCTTTTCTTGAACCAACGCAACATAAGGCAAGACCAGCAAGGCTTTACGACCGGGATTTTCAATAATGCGCTTCAAAAGCAAAACATCCGCAACAAGGGACTTGCCGCCGCCTGTGGGAGCCGTGTAAACCAAATGACGTTCACCGGAAAGCAGGCCCTTTGCCAACAGACACGATGCCTGCCACGGGTAGATGTTTTTAACACCGAGTTCGGCAAAATTGGCCGTAAGAGCGGGCGGTAGGCCATACTTTGGGTTAGATAGAGACAGCAGGGGATTCTGACTAGGAGGGGGAGCGGAAGCAGCCCTTTGATGATCGCCCTGGGATGGTTCTGGGCCAGCCCCAGCGCCGAGATAAATCTTGCTGGCAGTAAAGCGATTGACAGGGGCGGTTAGCAATTCTCGAGCAGACTCCAGCGGTGCTGATTCCAATAGGACGTCTGGATTGACATTTCGACGAGGTAAAGTAGCTTGCTTTACGACTGGACCAAGGGGTGGTAGATCGGCAGCCTGCTCTGAAGTCTCTATCGGAGGTCGCTTCTGTCCTGCCACAGGCGCTACACGATACGTCTGTCGACGGACAATATCAAGGGAAGTCTGAAACCCGCGAGACTGAACATGATGGTCCGATTTCGACATGCCTCAAACACAGCCCGGTCTCTCATCTGGGGAGGGTACCAGTCTTCTTGAGATCAAATAACATCGATGATCTCTCTAGAATTTGAACGTTTGCTTCTAACGATGCTGTTTCCCTTGTTTGTTGTTTCCCAAGGCTCCCACGCGACTTAGACCCTGTGGTGGCCTGAGGCAGTTATGCTTATCTCAGCAATTATGTCATCCGCTCGGATCTCCAGGGCTCCAGGCCCCCGGGGACATGCAACTACATTGCCACCCAGGCCAGAACCACTGCGAGCGAGATTGATCAATAATGTACTCCGTACTCCGTATGCAGTACGCATTGGGGAATTATTACTCCTATTGCAGGCTTTCATACTCTCGTGCATGACTTTTGCTGCATGTTCCGATGTGTGGCACTCCCCTTGCTGGATCACCACTCCAACCTTGTCCCAGATCGTACTTCTGTGGAGGCTTATGTTCAGGGCATTTCTTTCGTGCCAGATTACGTTTAGAAGTTGATATTGTCACGGTGCCGAATACTGGACGTTGTAGTCACCGAGAAATTGGCGCGTGTGTACATCGGAGCCGAGAGGGTCTGATGATCTGGGGCCAACGGCTGATCTGCCTGGCGCGGCTGGGAGATATCGTGGCATCCTCCGAACCCCATGTACAACATGCATGTGGATTATGTGGACTCAGAACGGATACTCTGGCAATAGCTGGGAAATTATCCTCTCCAAACTTGGCTGCACATCCCGAGACCAGGTACAAAATCCGAGACCCCGATCGGGGTGGAGGCGTCATAACGACTGTATCATGAGTCGCGCGTACCACATGCGAGATGAACAGGAGCTAGGTTCCCATCAATGCGTATGTTGTATGTCAATGATACGGATTCCGGTTGAACACCCATGCATCCAGCTGGAATGTGATCTACACCGTTCGATCTCCATATTCTATGTTGGAGGTATGCCTCCATCTTGAAGGGAAACAGAAAAGAAAGAGAAAAGAAAGAGAAAAAAAACCGAAAAAAACCGAAAAAAAGAGGGGGAAATGGGAGAAAAAAATAGGCACGATTTACAGCGTCTGGTCAAGAGCTGGTTTTCTCCGTATTCCGTATAATACATAGGCATATATGCGTCCTTGTCAACCGACTGCAACCAATCATAAGGATGTTCCTCAGGGTAATTGGGATTGTTCGTCGGAGGTCTGATCGCCGTATATACATATCTCTCCAGATGCCTGATCTCACCTCAACCCTGATCTTCCCACCGCAAGCCTTTCTATTTGTGTGAATAAATTACCCGATGCTGTGGGTGGATTTCCTAACGGAGTAGGCCGGCACGTTATACCCAAAGAGCTCAGACCTTCACGGCAAATCATCCTCGGCCAGTTCTCGGCGGCATCGATCGTCATTGGAGAGAGAAGTTTAAATTACATATGACTTTTTTCTTCTTTGATACACCTCGGTGGTCAGGTTGTTTCTGGATGTGCGAGTTCGACGTTCTATGTCTCTGTTTGCCTCCCCACATGGTCCCTGGAACTCCTATTCATCCACGTTATATTGTAGATATCTGGTGCGATCCACCCCGTATGATTATCCACGCGACTTGATATATGATCCCCCTTTTGCCCCCCGAGATTCGCGGTGAGTCGCGAATCTCGGTGTGTTTGGTCACACAGGATGCCCAAGACCAACGGGGAAAATTCGCAACACCCCAAATCGCCCAAAGCCAACAGGTATTAGGTATCTGGTATTTTTTTTTCTCTCTTTGCGTATCAGTTGCGATCCAGTTGAAGCTCCCAATAGACATAGGCCGAAGGTGTCCAGGTACACGTTGCCGCATTCCGTAGTTTTTCATAGTCTTTCGGACTTGATAGAATCACCTAGATCGAGCAAGGGAGATGCTTTCTGGTTCCCAGATCCGTCATATGAACCCATCGGGACTAGGGGCGGATTTCTCAAGTCTCTCTTTTTTTTCCTTTTCTTTTCCCCCTTCCCCATTCCCCGTTGGGCTATATCGTCTTTTTTCCCGCTAAGTCACTTTTGACCCGCTTCTCCCGACCCATTCCTCCCCATCTCTATCTACTCTTCTCTTCTCTCTTTCTCTCTCTTCCTCTACTTCACCCCTCGGAATTGTTTTGGTATTGTTTGATTCCCTTTTGCCTTCTCTTATATTCATTCATCGTAAGCTTCTTCTTTTTTTCCTTTTCTATTGGCTTCAGCTTCAATTGCTGCCTCGCCCCTATGTGCATGTGGGATCTGGTTCTTGATATTGCCCAGAACACCCTTCACCCCTGCAGAGAATAAGATCTGACACGGTCCACTCTTTGTCTTTTCCGCCTTTTGTCTTCTGTTTCCTCCCTTCGCAACTCCCTTTGGATGTTCTACCTCCCGCACAAGTGGATGATCCCATATCTGCCCACCCGTATTTTGAGATTTTCGCCCCGTGTTCATTTTCCAACCTTTCCCTGTTGAACCCTTGTCTTCCCGCTCTTTGCAAGCATACGGCACTAAACGCCGCCACAGCTTCTGCGCCTTTCTTCCCTTTTGCGGGCCTTGCTCTCTGCTTGAGCTCCCCATCCTTCCAAGCTTCCTAGTGGATGACTAAGGACATCACTCGATGACCACTCCCAACTCTCCGGAGCCAGTGGCCGATTCGGCCAACGGCTCCGCCACCGCGTATGGCACGCGCTCCAGAGGTCGCAATGCCCCTCGGCCAAATTATGCTGAGGACCGTGATCTGGACGCGGATATCGATCTCTCTGCGCCAACCTCCAAGTCTGCCAAACGACAAAGCGGCGTGGCTCTCAATAACATCGTCAACGGCGCTCACCCGGATGAGAAGACCTCATCGGCGCAACCTAAAAAGAGCCAGACCAACGGTCACGGCACAAATGGCTCGGCAAAAGACGCCATTCCGGGCACTTCTTCATTCTCTGCCAGGCCGGATGATGCTAATGGGTCTAATGTGAGGAAACGCAAACAACCGGCCAGCACGCCAAGCTCAACACCCACTTCCGGCAGTGCTGCCAAGAAGATCTTCACCTCCCCACCAGGCGATTCCGAGGGAGGCTATATCACCAATATGGTGAGCTTTGAAAGCTCCGGGCCATATTTACAAGACGGTCAATTAATAGCTGATGATGGCACCACTTTTGCCGTCAATGGTTGGTCCCCACTCACAAATCAATCATGTTCCACGCTAACTCGCTTTCAGACCACGTCTATCTAATTTGTGAACCTCCTGGTGAGCCTTATTATTTAGCAAGAATTATGGAATTTCTTCCATCGAAAACCAAACCCGGTGGTTATATTGAGTCCATGAGGGTCAACTGGTATTATCGCCCACGAGATATTCAGCGCCATTCTCCCGATAGTCGATTTGTTTTCGCTTCCATGCACTCTGATACCTGCCCTCTTTCTTCGCTGCGAGGCAGATGCGACATCCGCCATGTATCGGAGATCGAGGACATCGGTTCCTACAAGAAAAGGAGAAACAGCTTCTGGTACGACAAGATGTTCGACCGATATATTCATCGTCTTTACGACGTCATTCCAACTAAAGATATTATCAATGTTCCGGCAAATGTTAAGAAGGTTCTTGATGAACGCTGGAGATTCATTCTCGTCGAGATTGGCAAAGGGAAGGAATTGACGGGTGCCGTCAAAACTTGCAAGCGATGCCGGTTATACGCTGCAAACTCCGAATCGGTGGACTGCGCCGTTTGCCATTCGACTTATCACATGCATTGTGTGCGACCCGCTTTGACCAAGAAACCTGCCCGAGGCTTCGCTTGGGCTTGTGCTGCTTGCAGTCGCGCCCAGGAGCGCAAACTTGAAGCACGCAATACACCATTGACCGGTAGCATCCGAGCAGACGGTGAAGATGTGATTATGGAAGACGAAGAGGAGGAGGATCCTTATCAGGCGAATGGTGTAGCGAACGGTACCTCCGTCAGCACCCCCGCGGCGGAGGAAGATTTCATGCCTCTGCCCGCAACCGCGGAACAGATCGCACAAGCCAAAATGTGGCCTTATCGATACCTCGGTATTCATTGTCGCGTGGAGGATGCTCTGGACTACGATGATCGAATTTACCCTCGAGCCAGCTCACGTCTAGGAACTCGACACCAGGCAATGGTCCCTGCTTGGCCAGGACGCGCAGTTGAATACGTGAAACCTCTCGATGCGAAGAAGAAATCCAAGGTCTCTGGCAGCAAAAAGGATGGCAAGCTTTCTAAGGAAGCGCAGGCAGCTCTGGAAGCGGCGAAGCATGCGAGGGCAAACCGACCAAAATGGGTCCAAGATGAGCCCGTAGGCTATATCCATCGCGGCCAGGACGAACCGGTCGCAATTAACGGGAAACAAATGCGCACCGCCGAACTTCTGTTCAAGATGCCCACTGCTGATCAGATCTCCACCCGAGGCGAGGATGATGCACCTGGGTCACATTTGAGTGATGCAGATCGGCAAAAGTTCATCGACGATTACATGCGCCAAGCCAAAGAACTTGCCCCCGGTATTGGAGTTGAGAAATACTCCACGAACTTCCTCGACAGAGCCATTCAACTTCTCTACTCCGAGAGCTTCGATGCCCAGGCGGCTCTTGCCAAGCTAAAGAAGACCAACAAGTACAAGGATCTCAAGGAGCCTCACATTCGACCGGAGGAGCTCAAGTTATTTGAACAGGGAGTTGCCAAGTATGGATCCGAATGGCGCAATATTATGAAGCACGTCAAGACTGTCCATATCTATCAGATTGTCCGATTCTACTACATGTGGAAGAAGACACCCAGCGGTCGTAAGATCTGGGGCAGTTATGAAGGCAGACGTGGCAAGAAGGAGGTCCGCCGCCACAGTGTCGTTTCATCCAAACTCCTCGATGATGTAGCCGACGACCATGACGATTCTTCCTTTGATCCTGAGAAAGCCGTCGTTCTGAAACGTGGGTTCCATTGCAAGTTCTGTTCAACCCGTCACTCGCGGCAATGGCGCCGCGCGCCGCTCGTACCACCGGGTACCGTTATTCCATCGGAGCCTTCTAACAAGAAAGACAAGGGTCCCATGCTCACTGTTTCGCTCTGTCTTCGCTGCGCTCTGCTGTGGCGGAAATATGGAATCCAGTACGAGGACGTTGACGAGGTTGCAAAGAGGATCGCAAGCAGCGGCAACAAGTCATGGCGACGACGAATTGACGAGGAGATGCTTGCGCAATTGATTGTAGCTACCGAAACCCCATTCGTGATCACCAATGCTACGGCAACGACAGCCACGGCGATGGGTATCCCGCTTGATACGAATCCTCGACTTTTGCTGGAAGGCAAGGTGGAGCCGACGAAGAAGAAGACCAAGGAAACACCTGCGCCTTCAACCGCGACGTCTGTCGAGCCTATGCCGAAAAAGAAGGCCGTTGTTGAGAAGGTAGTGGAGGCTCCACCAATTATTCCCGATCCTCCCAAGGCCAAGACCCTGCCTTGTGCGATTTGCAATCAAGTCGAACCTTCGGGCGAAGAGCATCTTTCTTGTCGAGACTGCCGTCTCACAGTCCATCGCAATTGTTATGGTGTACGAGATTCGCGCGTCACCAGCAAATGGCTGTGCGATATGTGCTCCAACGATCGCAGCCCGTCGATTTCTACAAATTACACATGCGTTCTTTGCCCAGTTTCATGGACCGAGCACGATCTCATGGAAACGCCCAAGAATACCTCCCGCAAGAAGACCGAGCGTGATAAGGAGAAGGAACGTATGGAGAAGGAAATGGTCGCCGAGGCGATCAAGCTCTATCGCCAGCGGCAGGAGGCTGTTGGAAAGCCCGTCGGTCCTCGTGAGCCCCTCAAGCGTACCGCAGGTAACAATTGGGCACACGTGCTTTGCACCATGTGGACCCCAGAATTGAAATACGGCGACGCACGGGAGCTTGAACCTGCTGAAGGATTCGGATCCATTCCTAAGGAGCGCTGGCGCGAGACATGCAAAGTGTGCAAGTCAAGCAAGGGTGCATGTGTGCCCTGCAGCTTTGCTGGGTGCAATGCTCACTTCCACATTGGCTGTGCTTTCCAAGCACACTATCGATTCGGCTTCGATGTTACACCCATCAAAAGTTCACGCCGAGACAGCATGCGATCTATCCGCCTGGGTGAAGACGTTGGAGTGGCGACACCTGCTATTTACTGTCCGAACCACTCTGTGCCGGCTGCTATGCACGAAATCGGCGAACAGACAAGCCAGGGCCATCTCAACGCCCTGCAGTTGTTCGCCCAGACCTATAAGCAGGCTGATCTTACACTCACTGGAACGGTTCGGAAGGCAGCGTATATGCACCAATCCGTTGGGGCCCCGGCAAACCCTTCCACCACTGCACATCGCCGAGCCTCAACGACCACTACGCCAGCTTTGAAAGATACCCACAAAGTTCACCCAGAGGATGGACCCGAAGACCCCATGGATATCGATACAGATAATCAAGTTGCACCGCGACCAACCGCTGCTGGTGTCGAAACCACTCGCAAATGTGTCCGTTGTGCTACTGGCTTTAGTCCTAGGTGGTGGGCCGTTGGGCGACGACCCATCATGGCCAATGGCTCAGGACACCCACATCACCCGCATCAAGGTCCTTTCTCTCATCACAATGGAGATCCTACCGAGCTAGCATATGAGTGTCACAAGTGTCACTTGAAGAACCCAGCGCCCCCACCACCTCCTCCACCGCCTGCGCCAGAGGCTACGCCCGACCAACGGCCCTCGCCATACTCTGCTCAACGTCCTATGATACCCACTTCACGGATGCCTACTCATGCAACTCATACGTTCTTGCCGCACCCACACCCACATCCTCCTCCCCCAAGTGGAGTGCTTGGGCGGCCGATGCCCCCGACTCACGCACCCAGCGGGCTCTCCGGACCAGGATACACTGGACCATACGAGCAACGCCCCGCGCCAGACATGGGTCTTCGTAACGGCATGTCACAATCTCCCTATCCTACAGCACCACCACCTCCTCCCCATCACATGAACAGTTATGCGCCGCCCCATCCCGCAGGCCCACCACCTCAACACTATACCAGCGCTGGACCCCCGGGGCCGCCACCCCCATATCCCACGCATCAAAGCCCATATGGTCCTGTGCCATCCCGCTCGCCCCATCTTTCACAGGCGCCCCCGCGATCATATGCAGCCTCTGCATCCCCTCCAATTGTGCAGGCAACGACGATCAATCGTTCACCTCAGACCTCGCTGTCCGCTCTCAATGGCGGCCCACCTCCTCGAATTTACTCTGTCGACCGTGTGATAGGAGCTCCCTCTCACTCACCCCCAGTGACCCAGGCTCGCATGGATCCGCGGGGGCCCACCCCTCCCAATCGACCTGAAGATACACCATCTACCCACATGGGTGGGCCACCTAGCAGTCGGCACTCAGGCGTCAACGGTGCACCCGGGACCGGAGCGAGCGCAAGCCCATCCCTCAAGAACCTTCTCTCATAACGATATACCTGCACGAATGCTCATAATCGAGTTGTATGATAAGTGACCTGTGTTCTTTCCTATTTTGCTTCTATTGGCCCTGCATATGCATGTGAAGGTATCCCATGGACAAAAGCGTTCCCAGATTTGGGACTTACCTTTCTGGATTGATTTCCTCCCTTGCTTCTTTTCATTTTATTTGCTTTACCTTCTTTTCACTCTTCCAGCCACGAAGATAGCCATCGCAACTGGATATCGATCTGTGGGCTACCACCTTTCACCCTTTATCTTTTTCTTTCTTTTTCTTATGTCCTTGGTATTTCCTGGCGTCTTTGATTATGGCATCTGGGCAAAAGTCCGTGGAGTCTGCTAGCGGAGTGGTTTTGAGGTTGATATGGTTGAAAATCATGGATTGCATGGAGTAGGACTGGGGACCACATTATGATTGATATTACCATTACCCATTGTTCTCAGCTAGATGAATTGATCAGCATTGCTACTGTCTTACTTTTTGTTTCGATTGTATGACTTTCATTCCCTCGGTTACCCTACGGCATAGACTATCAACCCCTCTCTCGAGGCCAGAGTGGAACCTCAGTGCGGAATCAGGTTGGAAGCCGGCGATGCTGACAAATGCCGATCACGATGCACATGAGGTCAGCTCGAGAGAATCGGAACATTCTGGGAATATAAAAGATCGATTTCTGCCCGTAATTGCACAGACAACATTGACTAGTCATAGTACACGTCTCGGTCAAAATGAGTGAAACCATGCGAGCTATCGGTAAGTAACTGCGGGGTCAAGGAGGTGGAGGGGACACCTGATATTTACAAGACATGATAGTAATATATTTGCACCTCGATGCCCTCCTTATATCTATTCATTCCTCTATACCCACGCTCCACAGATAATATCCAATGTCACAATTAGCCACTAACAACTCCCAGGCATCAAAGGCGGCAAAGGCCCTGCAACAAGCCTCTTTGTCGACCAAATCGCCAAACCTACAGCGGCAGAAGGCCAGGCCATTGTCAAGATCCGGGCATTCGGCCTGAATCGCATGGATCTACTCCAGCGACAGGGTCTGTACCCACTTCCACCCCAAGCCCCCTCAACCATGGGCGTAGAGTTCTCCGGCGTGATCGAGAGCTTTGGACCCGACGGACACGAAGATTTCAAGGTCGGGGATGAAGTTCTCGGTCTCGCATACGGCGGCGCATACGCCGAGTACATTGCCGTGTCTACAAAGATGCTCGTGCACAAACCGCACCAGCTATCATGGGAAGAAGCCGCCGGAGTCCCCGAGGTATGCGCTAACGCCAGACCCCGAATCACCCCAATCCCCACACTAATCACGCCTTAGACCTGGATCACCGCATCCCAGGCACTCTTCCTGATCGGCGAATTCCAATCCGGCCAAAGCGTCCTCTGGCACGCGGGCGCATCGTCCGTGTCAATCTCGGGAATCCAACTCGCCAAAGCCGCCGGCGCGAAAGCGATCTACGCGACTGTGGGATCGCAGGAGAAGATCGACTTCCTGGAAAAGGAACTCGGCGTGACCAAAGCCTTTAACTATAAGACGCAAGACTGGGCGGCTGAGGTCCAAGCCGCGACGGGTGGCGCGGGCGTTAACCTGACTGTTGATTTCGTTGGGGGCACTTATTTCCAGGGGAATTTGGATGTTGCGGCGCGGGACAGCCGCATCGTGTTGCTCGGACTTATGGGCGGGGGCAAGTTGCCGGATGGAGTGAATATCGGTCCGTTGCTGTATAAGCGGGTGCGGGTGGAAGGGAGTACACTGCGCAGCCGGGACCTCGAGTACCAGGGTAAGTTGCGGGATACCCTTGTTGAGCATGCATTGCCTCGGTTCTGTGATGGGACGTTTAAGGTGTTTGTGGAGAGGGTGTTTCCGTTTGAGAAGATTGAGGAGGCGCATCAGTTGCTGGAGAGTAATACTACTAAAGGGAAGATTATTTGTGTGTTTGAGTAGGGGATGTACCTAACTACTACGAAGATGTAAAGTCCTCGGTTGGTTTCGCTTCGAATTGAATTTGCTCTCTGAATATGCCTGTGTTGGGTGTGGTTTATTACTTATGATAACTCGAAGGAAATCCCAACTTGCCATCGAATACTCCTAGGACCGAATCGCCGGCAACATAGGTTTTCTGGGTCCACGGGAGTAACGAAGCCCGGTTCGAGCAAAGTATTATATCGCAGGGTTAAAACCACAGGTTGTCAGGATCCTAAAGTTAACATATTTAACATATTCAAACTCGTCGAGAACTGGCTACGGGGTGAGAATAGAGGGAAATGGCTTTTGATCCTTGAGAATGTCGATAATGATTAGCTTGTTTGCTGCTATTCGGGTTCACAATACCTAAGAGATTTTCGAGGGACCGTGAGGCAACCAAGCTTTTAAAAATAGAGGTCACCTGTACCGGGGGAAGTGAAGAACTCGATTATATACAACTAACCCGTCTACAGTAGGATTGCTTTCGCTCAAAAGCTTTTTCGATCGGCAAGGAATAATAGAGGACCTTATTCGGCATCGACCTAAGGCTAACTGTACATCAGGTTTAGAGCGTTGTGTCAGAGTCTACTGAGAGAGACGTCGAGATGCATCATGAAGATGGTTGATTGGGGTAGAACACTAGCTGAGCTATGGAAAGAGGGAGAGATCTGACACGTTGATCTTGTCAGATAAAAATGGGGGCACCCTGTTTCATAGATACGGGCGACCTGATATACGAGGTGCAGGACTATTGAGGTGCTCTAGCAGATCTATAATCAGCTCCGACGCTCAAGGATAGTCTTCAACAATATCGCCAGCATGGCGAAAGGGACCGATTGCACTTCGTTCTCGAGATCCGACAATCTCGACACACCACTCAACGAAAGATGCGAATCCTTGGTCCGTCTTTGTTCATATCGCCGCCAATTACGCCTGATGAACGCCTTCAATGCAGAGAAAAACTCCTCGATAGGGTTCAGATCGGGTGAATAAGGCGGCAGGTAAACCAATTTTACTCCTGCATTAGCCTAGAAAACCCTTCCTGTCGGCCCCTTCCTGATCCAAGCGAAGCCAACGAAGGATCCTAAGCAATGCCACGCTAACTTGGCTATCTAGGTTCTTACTAGTACTTAGCGAGAGGAACCCTGGAAGAGACTGAGTATCGCCTCGCGGGTCTCGGTATGTCTCACGTACTCAGCCACCTGCGCTGGTGTCTTTTTCTTTTTACCGATCCTTCTGCCAACAGACAGGACAGTGGGGTCCGCGCCAGCCTCCAGCAGCATCTTAGCGATTTCCACGTCGCCGAGCCTCGCAGCGAGGTGTAGAGGTGTGCCCCATTCGTCGGAAGTCACATTCGGGTCTGCGCCCCTGTCAAGCAGAAAGCGGGTCATCAGTTTGCGCTGCTGTACACGCGGAGCGACAGAGTAGAAGAGTAGATTTGATTCCAATTTCGCGCCGTATTCGAGATATAGCTCGAGCATGGAGGTATCTGGTTCCTTGATGCTCACGATAGCCCTGCCGAGGGGAGGGACTCCTCTCGGTCCGCAGAGGTTAGGGTCCGCGCCGGCAGAGAGTAATACAGCAGCCGCCGAGGGATTAAAAATCATAGGGAGTAGAGGTTCGCCGCTAGAAGTCCTCGCGTTGGGGTCCAAGCCGTTGTCTAGGAAGAGGCGGACAATCCGAGGGTCCTGGTGGAAGTCTTTTCCGTGGAGACAGCCCGTTGCCCCTTCTGAGACGCGAGCACCTGCGTCAAAAAGGGTAGCCACAGCATCGGCGTGTGACATTAGTGTTGCCTGTTTGAGTCCGGCGTCAAGGTCTTCAACGGTTAAGCGGCCGGTGGCGATTGATTCGTGGACTTTTGGCATGTCGCCAACGGAGCACGCATGGCGAAATTCTCGGTGAAAGGCGTTAGGCTCCATTGTAGTAGGTTGCCGGATATCCGGATCAAAGGATAGATGGAGATGGTTAAGTGAGGTCGTATTGAGATATAGAGAAAAACACATGACCGACCCATTACCCTGGAATCTTGCTGACAGTAATATAATCTGAGTCACTTGCTGTACTAGTAGAGAAATAGTGTTACCGAGATGATGGAGCCTCATTTACGAAGGCAGTCCCTTACTGCTAGCTTGGGGGCCGAAGGGTTCTCCCATTATACGATTGTACGATATCCAACGCTAGTATTCTAGTCATTATTCCGTCGGAGGATTGTACGTTTTTGTACTCAACCCTTATTTGGAGTAAATCGGAGGGATGAGAGGTTACAAAGCACTATCAATCTCCGTGTCACAGCTTCGTTTTATAATATCGAACGATTTCTTCTAAGAAATCCGATATCCATAGGGCGGCATTCACGATATACATTTGGATTTGCGGTCTGATTGCAATCACCACACATATTTAGGAGCATATTCATAGGTATAGGATAGAATGACCTTGATTAGCGGCCATCCTCTCTGATCCTTCTGTTTCAAGAAGCTGGGCGAGCTAAAAGAGGTAAGAATTAACTTATAGAAGTTGCTCCTTCCAAACGTTGCTTGAGATCTGTGGCAACCGATCAGGTGAGATTTTAATGTTATGCTCGGGGGGGAAGGGGGAAACCGGCTGGCGACAAAGTAAGTCCTTAAACTCGATAGCCAAAGCCACTGCTGGGCTAACAGTAATCCATGTGCCGGATTGCAGTTGGCGGGATACGGTAATGGACTGTCGTATGATTGGGACGTAACGGGGTCGTTGGCTTCGTAAAGACCTAACCATATGGTCTAAAAGAACAGTCTCAAGCCTGAGAGCGGGCTTGCTGTGACTGATCGACACAATAATCACAACCTTCACATCGCCCTTGGACTTCGTGAGCCACCATTATGCATCTGTCTTTAATTTTAGATATGATTCTGAGACCCCGACCTCGACCATAACGGTCGGCCATTCTATATTGCGACCCGGAATTGATTGTATACGGTCTCAAGACTCGTTGGCCGTGGAGCCGATGGCTTCAAGCGTGTCATTGGGTAGTGCCTCGAAACACTTGACGTCGGGGGATTCCAAGTGATCGGACATGTCTGAATGTTAGGCTATAGTGAGCAAGATAGGTCTTTCGGAAAAGGTATCAAGGTGAACAGGATGTGTGGATGTTGCTGTCCAAAATCACATGTATATAGGTTCAACCTTGGAAAGGTTTGGAGTCATGAGTCATCCTTACCATATCCTGACATCGGGTGAAGGTTAGAGATGGTAGGCACACAGTGCCAGATGAAGAGGGATGAAAGAATCTTGGAAAATATCGGAGGGGAGAATAGGGAAAGCGAGGTCATATGAGGAAGGAGCAGAGGGGACTCTAGGAGGAGCCGCGTCTAAGAGACGCTACTCGTTAGGTACTGGTGGAATCTGATTCATTCAGCTTCAGGTGATATACGGGCATGACTGTAGGATAAATGTCCACTAACGAAGCGTTTGCCCCGCGGTTGCGTCCTATGACTCCTGACTTTACTTTATTTTTCGAAGATCTCTTCTTCGCCTTGATGCCCCCATTATTTATGCTGATGAGCACTGTTGACTTGTCTTAGGATATTACTACAGCCACAGTTAATACATACTCAGTGGGGAGGCTTGGAGTGACTAGAACTCCGTCTAGTATGCTGAAATTGTTGCTAATGCTTGACTACCTAGCGCGAGGTATCTGGATTTGTCTTGGAGCTCGTTACACTCATTATTGCAATGTATCGAGATACCTCGTTCGAGGAAGTAAGATGAAGAAAGTGATACTATATGGTAAGAGGAGGACATAGGACTATACTATGAGAATGACGGGCACCTTGACTAAACCCCTTTGGGATGTTTCCCGCAACTTTTTCTCGGCCAATTGCACGGAGTCCGCCGTATTTATACTCCGTATTTAACAGGTATTCCCTTAGTATTCCTGACCCTGAATCTTACCTACATAGGCCGCCTTTGAAAACTCTGCACCCCTTTCCCTTACCAAAATTGTAGCTTTCAACCCTACTTTTAACCCCTAAATAGCGATTTCAAATTGATTTCAAAATATGGGCGACACGTCAAATCTCAAGAGCTATTGAACGGTGTCAGTTTGAGAATTTTATGATATTATTTGATGGTGAGGTCATCGATTGCGGGGCTTTTTTGCGAATAGCTTCATCTTGTGCGGCAGCGAGATCAGGTGATATCTTATAGAAAAAGTGGAGATCTGGACTATAACCTTGGGCTGCAAGGTGGGATTAGGTAAGCGCGCACAGCCCACCTGGGTACGTTCCACCGTGGGAATATATCTTCACTCGCTCTCTACGGAGGACTCCGTACAGGTGAGCAACATCTCTCTCGAGCTGAGTATAATATGAGGACCTGCTCCTCTTCACGGTCTTGCCCAGGTCTATCTATCCGAGGCGTCTGCATGGCTGGAACAACCCTGGAAGCCCCCGGTGGAGACGACTAATCAGCGATGAGATCAGCCCTGGAGGGATTGGATATTTCCGAGAGATTTGGCCCCAACCTGGCCCAAACGTCCTCTCCACTTTCTTTTTAAATTAGCATGCTGTACATAGTATCATGGGACGTGCTAGCAACGTTGTCGAAGCATCCACTCACATATAGCTCTGTCTCTGTCTCATTGGGAGATCCTCTGTCTTTATGATATTGTCGACTGCCTCATCTAGGTAGTCTCATCGTGGAGCGCAGGTGTTAAGCCGCTTACCTAATCCTTCTAGAAAAAAAAAATGAAGAGAGGCGTCATGGGGCCCACTGCTTGGGAGGCTCTGCCAGCAAAGACAGAAAAAGCGAAAAAAAGAGAAAAATAGAACAAGCGAACAAGCGAGAAAGCGAGAAAATCCGGTAGCCAAACGAGAGACAGCGGTAGAGACCAGTTCGGACAAGACGCCAGAAGACCTGAGCCGGGTCCTCGAGCCTTCAGAAGGCAAAAGTACCCGTTGACACCCTGTAGCTAAGATTACTTGAGGATCATCCCGTCCCGCCCCAAGGCCTTCTGGAAGGAGGAAAGAAGCCCCTTCCCCGTGTTCGCCCCTCCACTGGTGTTTTGCTTCTCTTGACAACTGCTAGATTGCCTTTCTTTCCCTAGACTCTTCTTTTTCTTTTCTTTGTTGCTCTTATCTCACCTCTGGGCCATGTCGGACTGACGTCCTTTCCCGCCTCTCCCTTCCCGTTTCTTTCACCCAATTGAACCCCCTTCGCCCTCGACATTCCTCACGTGTTGCTGGCTCACTGCTTTCGACTCCGGGGGTGGAAAGTGGGTTGCGCGCTCAAACTGCCTAGTGCGACACCTAATCTAGACTCTGGGAGTGTCTCGGAACAGTCCACAACGCGACTCGGACTGCCTGCAGGAAACAACTCCATTGTTCGAGTGCACTGGGAGCTTGCCGACTCCTGTCATTCCTTTCCCGACTTTCTTTGAGCCGATTCACTCGGATCTCTCCCAATTTCCCATACTATCTTCCCTCACACGCCGCTCATTCTATTTTCTTTTTTTTTTCTCTCATTCGTTTTCCATCTTCTCTGTCAAACCGCCCACGTCACTCATACCTTTCCCTCCTTGCCGACCGAACAACCTCGATCCTCGTCATCTGCGCCATATGCGAGTTAAGACACTCCCCGACCGACTCCTTTCCGTTCCCTCACTCCGATTGAGTCCTTGTGGGCCTCGTGATTCTGGCCACATAGCCTGATCGGAGTTGTCCCTACCTTCTCGAAACACCATGGTGGATCGCGTGGATTGCTCGGGCGTCTATATTGACGACCGAGTGCGGTCGGAGAGATGGGTGCGCAGAAATTCCATTGACGCATCCGCCATATCATCTGCAGGTTCATTCGGGTCCCCCGAAGAACCGGAGGCCCTGCAGGCAGATGTGGAGCAGCTGCTGGAGGTGTGCAAACAAGGTAGGTTGTACACCCTGCGCCGCGTTTGTACATTCACTGATTTCACCTGATTTCTGCAGTCTATCTCTGCCATACTGGATCCACATTTGCCACGAAGCTCGCCGAGCTCAGCGACCGCGCAGGCAGCGAGTGTAACCCGATTTTTGCCTTTTTCGAGGTGGATTTTAGCGGCGAAGAGTCGAATCTGGCTCGTCGGAAAGCCGGTCGCGCCTCATGGACAGACAACGCCCCTCCGTCTCCGGGCTCTATCCACCGCACCTTTACCTTCTCCACCCATTCCGATGAAGCACGCGGCCTGTCACTTCTTTCGGGTGTCTCAAACGATATCCAAGCCCAGGAGGGGCCGAATCTAGTCATCCCTGTTGCCGTTTTACGCCTTCCTACTCCCGAGAATGCTGCTGCGGGTCCCACGAGTCAACCACATTTCCGAGGACCTATCACGGCGGAACATAAGCAGATCGCCCGTTGTCTGGATGCCGGTGCTGTGGATGTCTTGACCACTCCGCTCGATCGGTCACGGATCCAAGGACTTGTGGTCCACGCCTACCGTACCCGCAAAGCGGCCCAGCGAGAGATGACCCGATTCCTTGCCCGGAGAAAGCAGCGAAAGCTTTCGTGGGTTGGTGTCCATGACGAGCAGCCGTATTCGTACCTAAGAGAAGCAATGGTCTCAAAGCTCATGAAAGGCATTTGCAACCCCGAAGAAGTCATTCATGAATTCCAGGAGCGTGATCTCAACCTCGATCCTACCCGCGTGCCTCTTATCAAAGAGCAAATAGGTAGCTGGGACTTTTCGGCTCACGATTTTACCGAGGACGAATTGGTCTTTGGCGCTTGTGAGATGATACAGCATGCTCTCACTATGCCTGGGCTAGATCGTTGGCGGTTGACCCCGGATGAATTGCAGAACTTCCTTCTCGCCTGCCGCGCTGCCTACAACTCCTTTGTCCTTTATCACAATTTCCGCCATGCAATCGATGTGCTACAATCAGTCTTCTTCTTTTTGCTGCAGATCGGTGCCTTGCCTGCATATAAAACCATTGGTCAAGGTCCTGTGGCCGAATCTCCTGTGGCCTCTCTTCTCTCCCCGTTCGACTCCCTTACCCTTCTTATCTCGGCTATTGGTCATGATGTTGGCCACCCGGGTGTTAGCAATTTCTTCCTTGTTAAACTCAATGCCCCTCTTGCTCAACTATATAACGACAATTCCGTCCTGGAAGCGTTCCACTGCGCTGCATTTTCCCAGATCCTGCGGCGGCACTGGCCCGCAGCATTCAAGGATAACCAGCTGCGAAAGCTCCTTATTAGTTCTATTCTAGCCACAGATATGGGTGTGCACCAGAAGTTCATGCAGCGAATGGGCTCATTCCAAGAAAAGTTCCACGAAAACAATCGGTCCGTGGATGGTTGGAAGCCGCAAGATGTCGACATGTACAAGACTCTCGTTTGTGGACTATTGATCAAATGTGCCGACATTAGCAATGTGGCTCGGCCGTGGAAAATTGCAAGGAAGTGGACGCAAATCCTGCAAGAGGAATTTGCCAACCAGGGAGAGATGGAGAGAGAGGTTGGAATGGAAACCACGCTTTTTGGTGGGCCGCCAGAGTTAGAGAACGTGTACAAGCTGGCCGTTGGTCAAATCGGATTCATGTCAATATTCGCCTTACCCCTCTTTGAGGGCATATCCGACCTTCTGCCGCACTTGCAGTTCATTGCGGACGGTATTCGTCGCAATCAAGCACAGTGGCAAGAACTTTCCAATGAGGAACTCAAAAAGCAAGGTCTGCCGATCGAGAAAAGGCCTGAGATCACCGTTTCACCTCGCTCCCATAGTCCTGCACCTCGATCCATCAACACCGAAAAGCCGCTCCTTGGTTCAAGTGATTGCGCAGCGGACCACCTCAAGAGTCCCGTGAGTTCCTACTCTGGTGCGTATAATCAAAACACCATTGAGCCGGTCGTATCGCCAGACACCTCGGGTCCTCAAATCGAGATCACGGGGACTCCCCTTGCCCCACCAGTTGATACATCATCTCGGAAGTCGTCTGGTGCCGTGCCAGATCTTTCATACTTCTCCATCCCAGGCATCCCAGAGTCAGCCCGTGATTCCGTTTCAACGCAGCTCCACAGCCCTCTTGCGGAAGTAAGCCCTGGCACCGAGGACCCGGCTGTTCTAGCCGCTGTTTTATACGCGAACTCGGCGCTCGGTGGAAGTGCCTTATCAGGCGCACTGGGACGTGATACTAGCTCTGAGCCTTCTGATAGACCGACCAGTTCCCGCCAAGGTCTTTCACATGACTCTCAACGCCATCATGCGCATCACAGCTCGTCTGCTCGCACTGGATCCAATCGCAACAGTTGCACACGGACGCAAAGTACCTACAGCAATACTATGACTCCGATCTCTCCCACAACTAATGCCTCGAGCTTCTTGGCTGTGGATAGCGGCGATGAGAAGCGGATCTCTGGTGAAAGCGGCGCCCACAGCGACCTTGGAGGACCAGATGACATTAGCACACGTCCTAGCACAGCTGATGTTTATCCCTCGAATATATCAGAACCTTTAGGTGGCTACAGCCCCGGCCGTGGCTCTATTCTCGGTCGAGGTCGAACTCGATCCGAAGACGGCGCCAGCAAAGACTATTCCAGGCTAAGACCCCATAGAACTCGCAGCCCAAACCACTCGACGACCACTGGCGAGAGTGTCAAGAATGAAGTCCCGCAAGTGGACGATTCGCATGGTCACCGTCGACTCCCCAAACGACGGAGTCGACTTCGGCTCGCTTTCTGGAAGCGTCGCAATCATTCGCACGAGGTCCGTGGAGAGACATGATTCTCTCCATGCTGGTCGGTGCTTTTGGGCTTGTACCCATCACCGGCTGTGTATAATGTTGCCATGGTCTTATGAACATTTCATCCCACAATGAGGTTTGAGACCGCACTTTGGTGTTCCATGAATTCACGACTTGACCAGCTGGAGAGACCGAACGTTGGAACCTTTTCCTTGTTGCATTGGCTTTTCCTGGTCACGACTCTACGAAGTCGATAACGATACCTCCTTTCTTTCTATTGTATGACTGGGTTTATCTCAGATGTGCATTCAAACTCAGAGCTTGTTCGAGCAATCAACCGCAACGGACAAGCTGAGTTGTCTTCTTTGTCTTTGTCATATTCTCCCCTCCATTGGAGGCCGAGAGCCACGCGTCATCACATATCCCGTCGCAACGGATACTGGCATCGGTGGCCGCGTCCCGTTACATCTGTTTCTCTTTTTATTTGCATCGGACTTGCCCACCGATTTCCGTGTGATGACCACGACCATCTGTTTTCTTTTCCTCCATCCTCTCTACCTTCGTTCCCTCCACCTTCCTTGACTTCTCTTTGCTTGTCTTTTCTGCTTCCTCGTGTAATGAGCACAGTTCATTCTTATTGTTTCTATTCTAGAGTTCGGTAATCGGCCGATGGCGTTTTACCTCCCGGATTGGGCTTTCTTTGACTCGATATTCGAGATCTTCATGACCTTGGATAGTCCTTTTCTCTCTCTTTCTCTTCAATCAAATGTTTGATTCTCCAGTGTCCCTTTTTCTCAACTCGCCCTTTTACATGTGCTTTTTTGTAGACTCCGAGGATCTGCGTAATTATGAATGTGACGTGCATAGTGAGACTTTATTAATTGCTCTATACTCCGTAAGCAATTGCATTTGAGTAAAGAGAGATCTTGTATGGGAACAACGCAATCCCGAGTATCCCGAGCGAGGCCCCCGGGGCTGCCCTATACAACCCTGGAAGTTGCGAATGTCTTTTCCTAGGTATTTCTAGAATGATCCTGATCTTGTCACGAACCAAGACCACTGAGGTGTGACACTATTCTTCTAATGCAGTATCATGAAATAAGGTGCAGTGGGAGTTCGTGCTCCTTGAAATAGTTAGGTTTGATGTACACTTGAATCTAGGGTTTGGCACCATGTCGAAACAACTATACAGCATTGGAGGGAAGTACCTAGATTCGAAAAGACATGTCTACGAACGATATGGATAGATAGTCAGGACAAAGTCTTAAGAGAGAGACTTCGGTGTATCAGAAGAAGACATCACTAAATAATACGATGTTCAATTGTTGTGGACATAATGCGATGCTCAGTAGGAGAAAGCTACAAGTACCGAGGTTGGTGCTAAAGATAGGCCTGTTACCCCCATACTCTCCCAGCACCCAGCCAACATCGGCATCTTTTTCGCCTTTAACGACAGCCACAACACACTCACTGCCTTGAGCAGGTATAACAGCACCTTGATCAAGCAACAACTACGCATTACCACTGAAATTGGTCCCACACAGACCGGGGTCCGCACCGAGGACTTTGAACCCTTCCTTCTGCAGACGATTCCAATGAGCACAATCAGCTTGTTCAATGCTGCCTTACATTCGGTGGAGGATGGTGGCTTTGCCTCTTAACATAAGATGCTTCTGATTTATTTTCTTGGTCTATCTTAGAACCGCGTAGAATGGCATGGCACACCATTGCAGCACCAAAGGAGCTTATTAGACAGAGGCAGGGTAGATGATACAAGTTTTGCCTTTGACAATGCTCTTATTTTATGAAGAGCAGGAGTTTTACCCCTGACTTTGCGCGGTGGCAGGTATCACTACTTACAATCCTCACAGGGCTTATCCTTACTCTCCTCTTCCTTCTCGTTCTTCTTCTCCTTCTCTTTCTCCTTCTGCGCCTTCAACGCCCGATCCGTATGTCCCAGATCCCTATCAGGAGCAATAACATTCCGAACCAGAGATTTGAGCGCTTTGACTTCTAGAAACATTGGTCAGATCGAACATCACAAGATAACAGAAAACACAAATAAGAAAAGAAGACTGCCATACCAGGGAACCCTCCGTCCCGCTTCCGATCCCACAGGATAACCTCCTTCGTAGCGTCATCCGTCGCATGCCAGATCGTGACTGTGAACACGCCCCCGGTCATAGGCACGAGGGCCACCTCGCCCAAATCCGTACCGAACGTGGAGAGCAGTTCTTGGGCGAACTGATTGTGTCAGCAAATTCGATAGATTGTATATCAGAACGCTAGTGGGGCAATATATATCTAATATTGGATCTCAGACTATTGGTAATACCGGTACTCCAATAAAACCAATAGTGAGAAAGCCAAAACAAGAGACAGAGGACAGCAAGGTGATAGGTCAGACGAGAGGAACGTACGTATGCGGCACGGAGCATCCACCGGCACTGGGTGCAGAATTTGATGGCGATGCGGGGGAGGTGAACGTGCTCCAGGGCGGTTTTCTTTTCTGGTTTGGACTCGGCCGCCGATGCGGATGTGGACTCGGCCATATTGTGGATGGGCTGGTGGGAATGGGCTTGGAGATGTCTGGGGAGATCGGTGTATCAGGCAATGGGGGCTGTGTCTCCCTGGATATGGGCAGGTTGATGACTTTGGAGATGATGTCAGCGGGGGCGCCTGGTGATATTTTCAGTGTACGGAGTGTACGGAGTACGGAGTATGGGTTTGGCAATGGTCTGTTATTACATTGGATTCAAAGAAGATGTTACGCAAAAGTCAAATGAAATGCAACTATGAGGGCTGAACCTCGACTGCCGGGATCCCCAGCCTCTAGATGCCGGGATCCCGGGATTTGGGGGTACGGATTGTACGCGACATCACCTGGTTACAGGGTACCTAGGTAGTAAAATCAATTAGATCGGTATGGTATTGGTCATGGATGCGAATCTATGATACACGAATAGCAACTGACTCTCACGCCTTGGATAGAACACAGAAAGAGGCTTTTGAAGAGAATCCGTAACAAATGGGTACAAATGGGAAGAAAGAAGAAGAAAAAAAAAATAAAGAAAAGGCCCGATCCCTAACAAACACATTGAGAAGGGGGAATGGTGCAATTCAGAGAAGAAGAAGAGGTCGGGCGCCACAAGGACAACGTCAAGTGCACTACCTGCGAAGACCCGGGGCCGTGATAGAAGGGAACAAAACACAGTGAGACTCGTATGACCCCCGAAGGCGTGGAAGATTTCGTGCAGGACCAGCAGACGATTCTTTCAGGCCGACATCTTTGTCCGCGCGAGCGATCGCAGTGTTTTTTTGGTTTCGGGGTCCAAGGGGGAATTGGTCGTGAATGGGTCCGGAATTAAGTAGAAGAGAAAGAAAAAGGAGAGCGAGATGTCATGGCGAAACAAAAAATATTCCCGTCGTGAATGCATTACATGACGGTGCAGCAACCTCCTTGTTGTTGAGGAGCATAGGGATCCTCGCGCTTGTCGACCTAGAAAGCTATTAGTCCGGATGCGCGCGCGATGCCGTAAGAGACGGTCGCATACCTGTCCCCATACAGATGGAACCATGAAATCGCGAGTGTTATTGCAGTAGCTGATGAGGCTGGTAAGGAGAGGTCAGTTTTTATTGGTTTCAACAAAGAATGAGGCGGACGGACGAGAGAGCAGCCTCGGAAACCTTGACCCGTGGACGGTCCAGATCCTCCTTTAGACGAGCATTGAGCTCGGTCAATCGACGATATTTCAAGTCGGCGACGCTCTGCTTCTTATTTTTGCCATCGCCACCGGGTCGGAGTTCGTAGGCAGGCATCGTGATGGGGTGGGAGCTGTGAAGAACGGAGAAAGGGGGAAGAGGGGGGTTTTAGATCGGCAGGTTCCCAAGGGCGTAAGAATTAGGTTAGGGGGTCGGGTAATCAGGGGCCAAGACGCCGGACAAAGAAAGAGGTCAAAAGGAAGGTGGATGAGTAGGTCGAGTTAAGTTAAAGAGAAAGAAAGAATGGGGATGGACAAAGGAAGGGAAGGCCGTTCAGAGGGATTTTCCTGAGAAAGAGTCAGGTCCGTGGGTTTCCCTTTTTCCTTACACGTTACGTTGAGATAATACTGGGGGGGAACGAGGTACCCGGTACTTCGGACGTGTCGGGGGTACACTATTAATTTATCGGGCGGAAACCTGGCAACCTGGGTACCTGGTACTTGGAACTTCGGACTCTCAATATAACGACAGAGAACATTGTCAGATTCGGAATGAGATGGTTGAAATCAGAATGTGAATCCTTCACGAGGATGTCTGGACTCGACCAACCAGCAATCTCCATCACAAAAAGGGCTTTGACCAAATATGACACCCCCAATCGGGCCACTGCGCATTGTTGATCCAATATCTGCCTCAGGCCTGCACACGTGATCGCCATCGCTTAAACCCGAAGTGGGAACACTGGCGGGTGCTAATTTTTGCTCTGGCCTCACGCACACTGTGAATCTTCCCCTCGTTATCGGGTCTTCGCGTGGCAGCATCTCTAATCGCATTGTCCCTAGCTGCCCGTGTGTGTCGCAGAGTTCAACCTTGAACTTTTGCCATTTTTCCATTTTTTTCAAAAAGCCATCTTTGATCTTTTTCCCCATAGGGGCATCCACCCATTATGCCGCCTCCTCCGCATATCAAGCCTGAGAATGTTCTCAAGGTACGTCGTCATCGTCGCGACTTGAAAGACAAGATGGACCGGTTGCTAATAAACATCCCCCATACAGAGGGCTCAGGAACTCATCGCCGTCGGCCAGGCTCCCGCCGCCTTGACTGTCCTCCACGAACATGTCACCTCCAAGCGCACTCGCAGCAGCCCTATCGCCTCCCTCGAGCCGGTGATGCTCCTGTTTGTTGAACTGTCCGTCGACCTGCGCAAGGGTAAGGCCGCCAAGGATGGTCTCTACCAGTACAAGAACATTGCCCAAAACACCAATGTCGGCACTATCGAGGTTCGTGTGGACAATCGCCCTTGAAAGGGAAAAAAAAAGGCCATCCGGAACTAATTTGAGATTTCATCTATGCAGATCGTTCTCAAGAAGTTTATTGAACTCGCCGAGCAGAAGGTCACCGAGGCCCAGGCCAAGGCCGACGAGATCCAGTCGTCCATCGATGCCGCTCCTTCCTCCAACGTCGAGGACTTGGAGGCCATCGAGACTCCCGAGACCATTCTCCTTGCAACTGTCTCCGGTGAGCAGTCCCGCGACCGTACCGACCGCGCCATCGTCACCCCTTGGCTCAAGTTCCTCTGGGAGACCTACCGCACCGTCCTCGAGATCCTGAAGAACAATGCCCGTCTCGAGATCATGTACCAGTCGACTGCTCTGCAGGCCTTCAAGTTCTGCCAGAAGTACACCCGCAAGACCGAATTCCGCCGTCTGTGTGAACTCCTGCGCAACCACGTCCAGAATGCCGCCAAGTACTCTACCCAGATGCACGCCATTAACCTGAGCGACGCCGATACTCTGCAGCGCCACCTCGACACCCGTTTCCAGCAGCTGAATGTCGCCGTCGAGTTGGAGTTGTGGCAGGAGGCTTTCCGCAGCATTGAGGATATTCACACTCTGTTGAACCTCAGCAAGCGCCCGGCCAAGAACATCATGATGGCCAACTACTACGAGAAGCTTGCCCGTATTTTCCTCGTCAGCGAGAACTACCTCTTCCACGCCGCCGCTTACAACCGCTACTACAACCTCCTCCGTCTTTCCTCCGTCGCTTTGGCCAGCGGCCAGAGCTCCAAGAAGGAGAATCCCTCGGTCACCGAGGCCGAGATGACCAAGGCCGCCTCTTTCGTTCTTCTCTCTGCTCTGTCTATCCCCGTTATCAGCACCTCCCGCTCCCGCGGTGCCCTGGTTGATGTTGATGAGGCTCGCAAGAACAAGAACACTCGCCTTACTAACCTTCTCGGCATGGCCACTTCCCCCACCCGTTCTGTGCTCTTCCGCGATGCGCTGAACAAGGGCCTGCTCCGCCGTGTGCGCCCCGAGATCCGCGAGCTGTACAACATCCTGGAGGTCGACTTCCACCCTCTGTCTATCTGCAAGAAGATCACCCCCATCCTCAAGCAGATCGGTGCCGATCCCGAGATGGAGAAGTACGTTGTGCCTTTGCAGCAGGTTATTCTCACCCGTCTCTTCCAGCAGCTGTCCCAGGTCTACGAGTCCGTTGAGCTCAAGTTCGTCTACGAGCTTGCCCAGTTCCCCGCTCCCTTCCAGATTACTCCCGCCATGATCGAGAAGTTCATCATGAACGGTTGCAAGAAGGGCGACCTCGCCATTCGCGTTGATCACATTTCCGGTGTTCTCACTTTCGACTCCGATGTTTTCTCTTCTTCCAAGGCCATGCACGCCGGCAGCGGCGCTGGCTCCGCCGAGAGCGAGGTTGGCTCTGTGCAGCGTCTGCAGCACACCCCCGCCGAGATCGCCCGCTTCCAGGTCGCTCGTCTCGCCAAGACTCTCCACGTTGCCTGCATGTACGTCGATCCTTCCTACAGCCAGGGTCGCATCCAGGCCAAGCAGACTGCTCAGGCCCGCGCCATTGCTGGCGCCGCCCAGGAGCACGAGGAGACTCTCGCTCGTCGTGTTCTCATCGACAAGAAGAAGGAAGCCGCTACCGATGCTTTGCAGCGTAAGCAGCGCGAGGAGGAGACCCGCAAGCGTGTCCGTGCCCAGCAGCTCCAGGATGCCGAGAAGCAGCGTCTGGCTGATGAGCAGCGCGACCGTGAGCTCAAGCGCATCAAGGATGAGCAGGACCGCATTCGCCAGGAGGAGCTCAAGAAGCAGCTCGAGGAGCTCAAGACTGGTGTTAAGGGTATTGACGTCAGCGAGATCGATCTTGAGGAACTTGACGCCAACCGTCTGCGTGCCATGAAGTTGGCTCAGCTCGAGAAGGAGAAGAACGAGTTGAATGATCGTATCCGCACCACTGCCAAGCGTATTGATCACTTGGAGCGTGCCTTCCGCCGTGAGGAATTGAAGCACATCTCCGCCGATTACGATGCCCAGAAGAAGCTCGACCGGGACCTTTACGAGCAGCAGAACGCCGAGGCCGTGCGCGAATCCAAGGAGAAGCACGCCGAGGCTGTTGCTCTCAAGCACCGTCTGGGCCGTCTGGTTCCCCAATTCAGCAACTTCCGCCGGGAGGTCTCCGAGAAGCGCCACGAGGAGTTCGAGAAGCGTCGCAAGGCTGCCGAGCGCGAGTTCGAGGCCAAGAAGAAGCAGCGTGTCAAGGAAGTCCAGGAGCGCCGCCGCCGCGAGAAGCTGGAGCGCGAGGAAGAGGAGCGTCGTCAGCAGGAGGAGCAAGAGCGCGCCGAGCGCGAGGAGCAGGAACGCGTTGCTCGCGAGGAGGAGCGCCGTCGTGTGCTGCTCGAGGAGAAGACCAAGCGCGAGGAAGAGCGATCGTTAGTTTTCACTTACCCTGTTCTTACACTATGTCTTGATACTAACCACGGCTACAGCAAAATGGACGAGATGGCTATCAAGCAGCAACAGCGCGAGGAAGAAGCCGAAGCCCGTCGTGCAGCTCGCAAGTCTGGATTCGGCGAGCCGGCCGAACGAGTCGCACCACGTCTCAACATCGCCCCACGCACCGCCGCTGCTCCATCCAGTTGGAGAGAACGTCAAGCTGCCAAGGAAGCCGGTGGTGCGGCCCCCGAGCCCGCAGCTCCTACCCCCGCCCCTGCCTCCGCCCCTGCCCCTGCCCCCGCTCGCAAGATTGGTGGTGGATACGTGCCTCCTCACCTGCGCGCCGGAGCCTCCGCTGGCTCTGGATCCGCACCCCCTCCTCCTGCTCCCCGCGAGCCCCGTGAACCCCGCGAGGCTCTTCCCCGCGAGGCCCCCACCGAGCGCTGGGCGCCCCGTCAACCCCGCGAACCCTCCTCCCAGTCTCCTGCTCCCGCCTCGGAATCCAAGCCCGCCGCCGGTGGCAAGTGGGTCCCGAAGTGGAAGCAACAGCAGCAGTAAACGACCGAGCTATGACTTTCTTATTCAAAAAGTGTATCCAGGCTCTTTTCTATATTTGGCGCTCTTCTCATGACCCTTCTGCATCTTTTGTGTATCATTCTCCCCATGTCACATTCCCCGTGACCTGTGGGGCCCCCGGTTCTGTGTTTTAGCTCAGTTAGGAATATGAGATAATTTTCCTCGTCCCTTTCGCTTTCTATGACAGTTTAGTAGCGCTCTGGTGGCATTTCCTATGCCTGGCTAGAGTTGTAGCTTCTGTAGTATCTAGGGTGTTCTATGTTCGAGGTTCAATTGGAGAACGGTTATCCACCTGCTCTCCGAGATCTAGAGGTAAGACTATGTCCTTGGATATAGAGTGAAGCAACTCACCAACGCCTTTCAATGGAACAAATGGTATCACGATGTTGAGCTTTCATGCATATGATCTAAGAAGCTCCTCCAATATGAACTGGGACCAAGAACAGAAAAGAGAAGAAAGACGGCCCAGAGAAAATCAATATGGATATCTGACAAGAAAGAAAAAAGAATAAAAGAAAGCGGTCTAGACTCCCGGCCCAGAGCGAAACGAAATTGTAAGAAGGCAAAAGAGGCTATTCAACAGTCATGAACATCAGATCAATAATCTATGCAGCCGCAACTTCGGCATTAGTGCCGAACAGCTTCTCCCGCCATTCTCCACAGACAGCTTCAAAGCCGCTAACTACATCGCCGCAGACCTTGCCTGCCTCTCTGTCCTTGATCCGACGGTCCCACTCACCGCGCTCGATCCACCGGGATCCCTCTTCGCGGCTCTCTTCTTCTCGCCGAATTTCAGCGACAAGCTCGCGCGCGGACCGCAGCCGGCGGGAAGCTGTCGAGGTTAGTTGTCGCGATTCGTAGAGAGTATCGCTTAAACCGCGAAGGGAATGTGTGATGTCGGATGTCTGCGAGATAAGGGCTTGGAGAGAAGCCAGGGGATTGTGTGCGGAGGACTGAGGGGTAGATGGGCGGGAGTCTTGGCGGGGCTGTTCGGGGAATGGGTATGGGAGATTTGGCAACAGGCCCTCGTCGATGAGGGGCATGAGGGAGTCGATGGCGTCGTCGGAGAGGAGGGGGAATGGAGAGAAGAGGAGAGGGTGGACGAGTGATTGGAGAGCGCGGGTTTGGTGGGTGAGATGTGATGTGATTGAGGAATGGGCGGTGATAAGTCTGCGATTAAAGATTAGCTATCAGGCTTGTTACAATTTCGATAACAATTGGTTGACATACCTCATGGCACTGTTCTCGATGCCACTCTGCCCACCAAGGTCTTTCAGTGACTCGACCGTCCGCTGAATGACAAAGTCATTTTCACTGCCATTATTCTCTAGACCACGCCGGGCAAGGCTTTCAATCTCAGCGATTTGGGTCTCTAGAGCGGGAGAGATATCCGTCTCCTCCAGATCGGAGTCAGGTCCGTAATCTGAACCATCATATTGTGACTCCGGCCGTCGGTGCTGCCAGAGATGTGTTGCGCGGCTCTTATTTTTAGACGGATGGAGCGAACCCCTTTCTGATGAGATGGAAGGTGACCGAGTGCGTATGCCATGTCCTGAATGCATATACACCTCTTCCCCATCACTGTGGCCCATCTGCTGTGACCCCGCACGGCTGGCTTCCTGGCCAGATACATATCCATATCCATCGTCTTCTTCCCATGCATCGGCCAGCTCGTCAGCCAGGTTGCCCAAGCCTCCACCACCCGCATCAATGGCGCCAGAGAAATCTCCGGATCCTCGTTGAGATCCACTCATGGCATTGGAGTTATGCCGGGAGGTGATAGGAGACGGAGGAGCAGATAACCGGGGTGTCCGCGGTGATTGAGGACTTTCAAATGTAAAATGACTCCCGGTTGTTCCGGGGGAAATGAGTGAATCGTCCGTGCCTGATGGGTAGCGGTGTGAGAGTTTCAGGGGAGACGGAGGGAGGGGCATTGGATCGGTTTTGAAGGAACCCCACAGGAGTCCTGATTGAAACAAGCTTTATTGGCGAACGAGGGGATCTAGATTAGAGGAATATAACTAGATGCAAGGAACAAGCAATGGTAGTCCAGCTGCATATGAGGAATAATTGTTGACCGATTCGGATATCCAATTGGATATTGCGGTACGCCAGATCCGAGCCAATGTTGTGGTATAACGCGTTATGAAACCCAGATTCAATCCGGATAGATCGAGAACAAAACAAACGAAAATGACCGACTTCTGAATCAAAGGAGTGACTAAAGAGACTGGAACAGGACGCACGAGGGGTACAGTGTACTTCCAACATGGTCCCTTGACCGCCGACTTACCTTGGTCACCGCCCGGCAAAAAAAGAACCAGGCATCAAACCCCACATTATCAGCATCATGTCGACAATATCAAGATGAGTTCTGTTGAGCGCATGTCCCCATTGGACCTGCTGGACCTCAACCTCACTAACCTTGACCCACTCACTGAGAACTATGACCTCGGCTTCTACTTGAACTACCTGAACAAATGGCCTTCATTGTTCAGCACCGTGAAGGACCGTGATGTGGGCATTGTAGGCTACAGTATGTTTTTATACTTACCCTACTTCGGACCCTATCTCCGGATCCATAGATACATTGCTGACAAATTTTCAAGTCATGGGCAAGCTCGAAGAGCAACACCTCGCAATGCGCCACTCCGAGCATTATACCCCATGGCACGGACACATCACCGCCCTGACCGTGGCACCTGCCTGGCGGCGTCTCGGGTTTGCGCGACGACTGACTGAGCAGCTCGAGCGGGGATCCGATAACAACAATGCGTGGTTCGTGGATCTGTACGTCAGAGCCGGAAACAAAGTTGCGTACGACATGTACAAAGGCATGGGGTAAGTGAAAGAGAATATCAGATGCGCGAATTGCTGAATAGATTGCTGATCTTGTCTGAACTTCAACAGATACTCTGTCTTCCGGCGGGTTGTCAGTTATTACAGCGACGATCCATCAGGCATGTCGGATACAGGAGAAGATGCGTTCGATATGCGCAAGCCGTGCAGTCGAGATAAGAAGCTCGAGCATGTACGGGAAAATGGAGAGGATTTCCCTGTTAATCCGGAAGATGTGATGTAGCATTTTTCCTTTGATTTTTAATGATTGATTTTTTAGAGCGGGCATAAAAGGCCGTCTTCTGGTTGCCCTCAATGCTTTCTCCAAGGCCGGGGTTTTACATCTTCATGTACAAAGCAAAATTTATGATTGTTATATGAGTTCATGTCTACTTTCTGTATCGGAAGTGTAATGCGCCATGTTTTCTGCTGCCTGAAGAAGCAGGATGAGTTTTCAGGCGATGTAATATGCCAAGTGATGACCAGAACCAGACTGGAACAGTCTCCGTGATGGTGGGCTGGTAGTATTTTGTAGAATTTTTCAGCATTCGGCAGTTCTGACTCAAGTCTTGACACGGAATTTGAGACCCGAGCGCAAAATTCTCACACAGGTCATGAGAGCCGCAGAAGTAATGAGACAGCATGCGGTGAAGAGTTGCACTCCGACGTACTGGTGTGTCTTAGACAGGATGGCACCACCGATTGGCGTTCCAATCAGCAGGCCAATAGATGTGATGGCAAAGACCATACCCATCCGGGTGCCCAAAGTGCGCACATCTGAGGTCATACTCGCCATGACCACCGGCGGGAGGGACACAAAGCCACCCGAGAAGAAGCCATAGAAGACGGTCAGGATGATGATGCCAGGCAAGGTGTGGACACTGATCCAGACAAACGCCAGGATTGCAGTGATGGTCACCGCGGGGGTGAGCATGTTCAAAGGTCCAACATGGTCGGCAAGGAAGTTAGGAGCGATACGACCGAAGCTCGAGGCGGCGTTTAGCATCGAGAGCAGGTAGAACCCTAAGTTGGAGTCTACTATACCTGTGTCAATTGCATATGACTGCACGTAGAAAAGGAAGTTATAGAAGCCCAAGAAGCCTATGAACATGGCAATGGCGAATATGGTAAAGGCGGGCTCCTTCAGAGCAGATAACTGGTAGAGCTTGCGCTTCTCCTTCGGCTTGAAGCGCGACCGCATGATGCTAACGGAGATACAAATAGTGCTGAAGCATACGAAGCCAAGTGCACGAGTAGCCCAAGCCAAGCCGACCTTTTTCTGCAGCTGATCGAGCATGATTGGGTAGACCACACCCCCAATACTGCTACCACTGGCAGCTAGACCGTTGGCTAGGCCTCTCTTGCGTTGGAAATACTGTGGGAGGATAGCAACGGAGGGCACAAAGAGGCAGCCTGCTGCCAGTCCGACGCAAATACCCTGAGAAAGAATCAAATGCCAGTATTTAGTGGCAAGACTAGTCATCATCAAGCCAAAGGGCAGTAGAAATGCGGCGAAGATGACCAGGGGTCGAAAATAGCCCGCATCAAACATTGGGCCAGTGATGACTCCGATCATCATCAACAGGAAAGACTGAAGTGATCCTATCCAAGCAATGGTTGATGATGAAGTACCAACGAGCAACTCTCGCTCATAATAGGTCTGATATGCACCCCATGTATTGATAACGCCCCTGTTCCAAGTGATCAGCAATATATTTTTGACATCAACTATTGCTCGTGGTCATACCATGAATTGAAAAAGAGGAAGAATGAGCCTAGCGCTTGAAGCCATGTGTGTAGCCCCGTATCGAAAGTCAACTCAGACTCATTCTCTGGAGCATTTGGTGGATGAGATGAGCTATCATTTTTCTCCTCAGAAGACACCGAAGAGTCAGCGAGGACCGTCTGCTCTAAATCTAGGTTAGTCGATCCCATATTGGATTCCCTGCGTTGTAAATACCACTGAGGTCGAAGCCTCTCACGGGCAGCACAATATAAGATGATAGTTAAGCCCGAGTGAGTAGTGCAAGAATGCAAGGATTATCAGTCCAAGAGCATACTAATAGATGCAGAAATTGGAGCAATTTACTTAGCTCGCCATTGTTCTCCAAGACTTTGGGGTTTGGGGTTTGCTTATAAAACCCCCAGGTCCGTGGGGGGACAAGCGGGGCCGCGGGACCTCGGCCGATTCCGAAACAATAACTACTTCTCGGGGTTGTTTTCTTTTTGGACATTCTTTATTTGGTATCCTGGAGGTATGTTGAATCTAAAGATCTACTCTGAGCCGCCGAAAGAATGTGAGGAACTGCGTTGCTAGCGAGGTAGATCTGAACAGGCGTGAGGTATCTCATTGTCAACATGTACTTGGAATCTATCAAAGTAATCTATGTAATATTCTGCAGACATTAGTCTCCTTTTTCAACCTCTTATAAGTAATCAGACACGCCACTTGACGCAACTGGCCATAAACCTGCCTCTGGAAATCCTAGAGGACTCTTAGGTACGCCTGCCCAGCTATAAGCCGCACCGTCTTTTGAGCGAATGCGCGCATATGGATATTTTTTTCTGATTTATAATTTTTGATTCACCCAATATCTACATCAAGTTGGTCCATCTCATGTCTATAGGAAGAGGAATTTAGAGAGGGACAATGGCTACAGATCGATATTATGTTATGCTAGATGCTGCCCTTCCCTCTCGAAGTACCTACCTATGGGCAGTTCATTAATAAGGCTGGGCTTAGATCTGCCTGCTATCTATTGAAGCCATTGTCTATATCCCGTACGAAGATTTAGAATACGAGGAAGAAAAAGAAAAGGACAATAAGCCAAGCTTACGTGGATCACGTATCTGTAGATCTTTGTTAAAAATGTGAATGCTTTTTGTAAGTTGATAGGAAGATTGAACGAACAGGCTACTCTCTTATTTCATTTATGATTTCTTTTCAGTGCAACCTTCAACCATGCGGTAGCTTCTAAGGCTGTATAGATATTTGCCTCCATTCTACTAAGATCTGCCTAGGTATTCCTTGAGTCAGTGAGTAGCGAATCACAACCACAGAGCCAAGCTCGGATGTTGTGTGAAGCATTATCCCGAGGTCCCTCAACCAGTATAGCTTTTTGGGGCGAGGATGACGCTGGTATACGACCGCGTTGATAGTTGTATCTTTTCATTAGCATAAGCCATGCAGATGTCGTGAGACAAGAGTAGCAACACGACGAAAGAAGCATTTGATTGCGTATGAAGAGTAAGCAGCCGCCATTTCTTTGTCATAGAATTCGAACCATAACTAGGAAGGGATCTAGATCCCTTCCTAGGGAATATGGTTTACCCAGAGCGATTGGATATCCCTGCGATTCTAGGGCTACCTATGCACGTGGCTTACATGCGATATAGATGCTTCCACGGTTCTTCTATGATGTCAAGGGATGAGAATATTGGAATAAACAGGGCATCATATTATTTTTTTTGGATATGTTTTTTGCCGTTCTAGATTCATGTACAAAGCCTCGTTGGTGTCCATGTTTCATCCAGGACATCCAAGTCTCAATTTTTTTGACGGTTTCTTCGAATCCCAGGAACTCCAAACGCTATGCTGAAACTCAAAAAAAGCAAAAGCTGGTAACCAGCATCAGTAGGGGGAAGGTTGATATTGTCTTGACTTTTTGGCCTCTACAGCAACTCCTCGCAGGTCCAGTCCTCGTACCTAAGGTCAAACATCGTTAGCTCTGTCGCGCAATCCATGTGGGACGGAAAGTCTCTTACCATCCATCAGGCAGGTATCGGCGAATGATGAGGGGGATTTTCTTCTGGTTCAACTCCTTCATCGCGATCTGGAGAGGATCGGTCTCACCCTCGAGATCGACAAGAACGGGGGCGTTCATACTATGCCATATGTCAGCAAGCCCCAACTAGAAAACCATATCTGCAATTGTCTGTCGCAAGCAACGTACCTGATTTGCAGGGCACGGGTACCGAGAACACGCGCGCGCTCGTACTTGGTCAAGTACGGGGTAGTGGTGCGCTGATCATTGGGGACCTTCTTTTCGCGCGATTGTTCCATCACTTTTCCTGCGTATCCAGCATTGGGATCGCCAGAGACAACAACGTTTTCGCCATTGGTGTTGGGGTTGTATGCATCTCCCTCAACGCCGTCCTCGCCTTCAAGGGCCTCTTGTTCCTCCGGCTCCTCGTCAAACACATCCTCGCCGGGCTCGTAGTCGAAGCTGCGCAAACCACAGAATTAGCGAATGTGTTTATATTGACAAATGCGAACCCATTTAGAAGCTGTTCAGAAGCAAGATAGGAGCAAAGCTCCTTTGCGCCTGGTCTCCGAGCAACCTTGGGGTGGAGGGAGGTAGCTTACGTCTCTTCGACGTCGTCGTCGTTGCCGTAGTCAGACATTGTGATTAGTGAGAGGTTTCAAGGGACGAAATATCCGTAAACCAAAGCGAGGAATGAAAGACCCGGAGGTATGAGAGACAAGTCGGGGGATCGAAGTGGGATTTGATGCTAAAAATCCTTGGGAGCGGAAAAACTTCCTCTCGCCGTTGACCGTCACCGCCTTTCCGGCAAATTAAAATTATTGTTTCGACACTCAAGTTTAGACTTCCTCGTGTTTTGAGATAGTTTTCTCTCTCCTAAACGTCCTCTTTGGGGTGTCTCACGATGGCCCTCAAACGAAAGGTCTCAGCAGAGGAGGTCACAACCCCCAAACGACGCCAGAGGCAGAATGTCTTGGACAATTCCGGTATGTTCACCTATTGAGATAACAACTGATAAAGCGATTGAATTGTTGACGATTCCACAGATTTGATTTATGAAGAGGCTCACTCCGATGCCGAGTACTCACCTCCGAACACTCCTAGTGAAATGAGTGTGGACTTGAACGAGACTCCTGCGACCCCATTCTCGACCACGTCCTCTCGACAACGATACCCATCCGAGTTCAAAACCCTACGTTGCCCAATTGAAGGGTGCGATAAAGCCTTCAATCGTCCATGTCGACTGCAAGAGCATATTCGATCACACAACAACGAAAGGATCTACAAGTGTGACCATGATGGCTGCGACAAGACATTCTTACGACCTTCCCATCTCCAACACCATGTCAAGAGTGCTCATACCGCCGTTCGAGACTATCTGTGCGAGCATCCAGGTTGTGGGAAGAGCTTTGTGAACGGGTCTCGGCTTCGTCGGCACTTGGCTACGCATGAAGGAAAGGGCGGTTACCACTGCACAGATTACCCACCTTGCAACGAGACGTTCCGAAAGCACTCGACTCTACAGAAACATGTCATGGTTGCTCATTTGAACCAGAAGCCATATCCATGTGATCACGTAGATCCAATCACCAAAGAGAAATGCGAGATGGCTTTTGAAACTGCTGGTAATCTACGGAATCACCAGGGCAGGGTCCACGTCGAAAAACGTTTCACTTGTTCGGAGTGTGCTGGAAACCAACAAGAGCAATCATCTGAGCAGGAAGTGACATTCCCTACATATGCCAGTCTACAAGAACACATTCGGATTGTTCACCCTCCACAATGCCCTGAATGTCCACTTGTCTGTTCCACAGCACGAGAACTACGACGTCATCTTGAAATAGCTCATGGCGATGTCAGTCTTGAGGAACGAAAGATCCACGCGTGCACATTCCCCGGATGCGGCCGTAGCTTCACCAAACCCGGCAACCTGAATGTTCATGTTCGCACGGTACACGAAGGCGAAAGACGCTTTGTATGCGGCGAAACAGACCTTTCGGCCAACAAAAAGGTGGAAGGATGGGATGGCATCGGTTGCGGCAAGCGCTATGGCAACAAGCTGACACTGGAAGAGCACGTTCGCGTTTCGCACTTGGGCCTCCCGAATACCAGGAAGCGACGTCAACGAACAACGGCCAGCAAAAAACCGGCGCCGAACCCCGTCTCTACTCTGTCCGCTCTTACAGGCCAAGGCTACGGCGAGGAGACAGGACGACAGATCACTTGCTTCTACGCAGAGTCTTGTCCACATCGTTTCCACCGCAACTACGATCTATGGGTTCACATGACCACCAAGCATGACTGCACCGAAGATGAAGTCCAGGCCTTTTTCATGCAGCGTGCATTGCTTTCCGATGAATCTGGCTCTGGAGGCAACTCACTGGGCATCTATGGTCTTGGATTTGATCAGGATGGTCAGTCCTACTACCAACAATCATACAGCGCAGCAGACCACTCGGACGTTGCCTTTGGCTCACAGTCGAACGACTCAACTTATCTTCCCAGCCAGCCGGCCTTGGATTCCGATTATTTGATGCAAGATGATTTTCCTGCGCATGCAGCTCGTCACATTGATCCTATGATACCCAGCCATAATAACATGGCGTTGGTTGACCCCGTTCTCGGTGATCATCTGATGGAACATTGAAGGGCACATTTTCACGATGTTATGATTATTGAGCGTTATTGAGGCGTTGCTCACGGGAAATTGTCTCGAAATTCATGTCCACAAAGGATCTATTTTAGAATCAAGTCTATTTCGGTTCTTTCCAGCTTTTGCGGATACTAGAGTATTAGACCTGTAAATAAGGGCTCGTTCGTTTTCGACCATTCCATTGACCGTCCCTTGGTAAAGATCCGATTTGATTTCTGCCTGTAATCGCCCTCTCCTTGCCACATTGGGTATCAGAATATCGATATGCATAGGTACTCAGCAAGCCAAGTAGACCCAAGGGATGTGTCGAGCTACGTCTTGAAAGAACACATTTTCAAGGCTATAAAGTAGACGCAGAACTCGACTTCAAGCATTTCGCACGCCTGAAGTTTATGCCGTAGATGGTGAAGAACCGGACGATATTGCAGAACAGATGGACTGTGGTGAGCAATCCCTCGCAACCAGAATATAAAATACCGAGTCGGACTCGAAGGACACCAAGTCATGACGGTGCAGGCGTGTATAAGCTAATGGCTAGCCCTAGCATAGAGTCCTAAAGCTTTTCCTCAAAATTATTCAAGCAGCGAGCAAACCGATAGGCGAAAGATCCGAGGAGTGTACACATGTATGTCAGCCAACTGCATGTAATAAGATAGAGACAATCATATCCGGCAACGTCCTCAGATTGGTGTCTATAATTGCTAGCTCTATATCCCCCGTCTTGATTGATGCAATGATAGAAGTTTTTGGATAGTTTTTGTGGCTATATCCAAAGATCGGTGTACATAGATAAAAAAAAGTGCGTTAATACCTGAGGATTTGATAGATATAAGTGTAATCAATACTAAATCCCCCGTGACCTGAACACTGCTCTAGTCCAGAGTATTGGGGTATATGGGTGTCAAGAAAGAGAAATTGGAAGCCAGATCTAGCGGGCAAAAATGCACAGACTGACAAGCAGCACACTGGGGGTCCATGGAGGGCCTGATATGCTGTGTCCGAATAAAGTTGGCCAAAAAAGGGAAAGAGCAGTAACTTTATTTCCCCAATAGGCATAGACGGCGATATCAACCATGGAAGCCCTGGGATGTATACGTACATACCTTATGTACCTAGTAACTACAGCATATGTACTCCGTATTCTGTATGTACTCCGTACTGTCCATTGTGAGGTGTATGGCGGGGGAATGGGGCAATGGGGCACCGGGGAAACAATTTAAAAATAACTATAAGGTACTTTGAAGAATGTTCGTTGTACATCTCCATGTACGATGTATGGCGGAGACACCCCTGCCACATGGCAGATCTACATTTGCTAAAGCACACTTATGACACGATGGGTCGGATCTCGATGGGGCCATGCTGATCCCCAGCTGCAGGCCAGGATAGCACAGGTCGATCCGTTACTATTTGATCTCTGCCAAGACCGTGAACAGCTGGATTCCGAACACTGGGGACGGGGTACGAAGTCCTTTTCCATCTTATCGATAATTTACCAGGTAAACGGCCATGTGTGCGAAGTGAGTTAGGTTATCATTCCGAGCCATTCTTGTGGCTGAATTGGGGATGCCCTAATGCAGGAGAGAAACAAGGTCCGTGAGAGCTTTAATATGAACAGGCTAATTTATCTTGGGCCTCTACTCCGTAGTCAGGGTCAAATCGGGAGATAGAACGATCATAAGAAGAGCAGAAGACTAAAACAATGGAATATTCCCCGATCGTAGCTACTGCAGACCCGAATTCCAAGGGTTCCTTGGCGGTGAGGACTACGCGGCCTGTTAACGCGGACCATCGGACCATCTCAGGGTGGACCCGCAGAAAAGGCAACGTGTGAGAATCAGAGGCAATCGCAGCAGTTTGGGACTTGCAGAGTGCCAAGCGAATCGGGCTTCCTGGTGGCCAAGTTGGTTCAAGCGCCCATTTTTAGAACCCAGTGGCGGAGTTAGAGCGCCATGGCAATGGGGGTTGATGAACGAAATAGGGGAACTGGGAAATCTAAAAGGAGATATCTAAGAACCACCTATATTAGGTAGCTAGGTAACCCTCTAACTCAGGGGACTCCAAATCCCCGAGGTCCTTCAAACCGCTATATTTACCGAGTGTATCATGCATACTAGTCTACTTATAGTCCCGTTGTCTCTCCACCGACGATCCTAGAGGGTCCCAGATGACGCCAACCCAGAGCAGAAAAATCAAAATCCGGATCTTTGTTCAGGTCTCACACTCTGTGTATTGGCAAAAAGCAAATTAGTAAAATTGGCTTGGCCTTTTATTATTTATTTTTACCTGAGTCACACGAGAGGAAGAAGACAATGTGGACAAATGTGTAGCGTGGATTGCCCCGAAGACCGTGGAAAGTGGAATGGAGTACGGAGTAGTTCCTCTCGCCTCTCCGGACTAGACCCACGCAACCCATCTTCCTCTTTCTTCATACCTCTCCTATTCCAATCCTATCCTACTTCTCTCGTTTGTTTCTTTTGTGAAAAAAAAAGTTCGCTGATCCCGGTGATTAGCGAGCCATATCCAGCTTGTAACGTCATCTTCCTTGGCGAAGCTCAGTTTCCCTACCCTCCGGCCTAACCGCTCGTTCTCTTCTTCTTCTTTCAGGGTCTACCTTGTGTACCTTAATGGAGTGATTCTTCTGTCTGAATCCGGCCCAGGCGCAATCGCTATTTGACAGTCCCTCGTTCAGCGCAACTGGATCAGACAGTTTCTTTTGGAATCCCACCACACCCCCAATATCTCCTTGCTTTCTCGACGTTTCACAGTCGGACTCGGTGAGGGGTAGTTTTTTTTTTTTTTTTTTTCTCTCTCAAAGCCTACTGAGTTTCTTGTCCGGTGCCGCATCACATTCCGACGTCATGGGTCGTTCGTTTGGTAAGTTGATCGCTGATCATCCTCGGGTATTCCGGGGGCTACACTAGAGCCCGTTATTGACTCTTTCTTGCATTGTCCCAGTCCGCTCGTTTATATCCAGTTTTGGAGGGAGGAACAATGGTTCGAGTAAAGAAAGCAGAAAGTCGTCGAGCGACGTTACGCCCGTGACCGACGTAACTCCAACCGATTCACCACCTCGATGGCAAACACCCCCCGAAACCCCATCCCCTCCGGCCGAATCATCGCCTATGAGCTCTGGACCAAGAGTTGGAGCTAGCTCTCGACCGGCATCTATGATCTTTTCGTGCAACCCACCTTTCATGCAGCATGCAGAGGATACCCCGCCGGAACTGTCGCCAATCTTTTCATTTCTCAATATCCACACGAGCAAGGTCTACCAGGAAGGATACTTCCTGAAACTTAATGATTTGGATACTTGTAAGTGAACTAGACTCGGGCCTTTTGCGGGAAACTTGGGCTAACATGTTCAGACGGACGGCCTTCTGGCGATCGACAGTGGGTCGAATGCTACGCACAACTAGTAGGAACCGTTCTTTCACTATGGGATGGCGCTGCGCTGGACGCAGCAGGGGGAGAAGAGATCCCGGCGACATTTATCAATTTGGCCGATGCATCACTCAAGATGGTGAGATATTCTTTCGCCCAAGATTTACCAGACATGCGCTGATCATCTACTTGCAGCTTGAAGTCCTTCCTATCCGAGATGGCAATAATCCGCCATTGAAGAACGTACTCAGCGTTTCCTCGGCAGGCAAAAATCGATACCTCTTGCATTTCAACTCATTCCACTCCCTGACCCAATGGACTGCGGCGATTCGTCTCTCGATGTATGAACACACATCTTTATACGAAGCCTACACTGGCTCTTTGATTGCAGCGAAGGGAAGGACTCTCAATGGAATCAACTCAATCTTGGTACCTACCAAATTCAAGTATCAAGACTGGGCGCGCGTCCGATTTGGCGCAGGAACTCCTTGGAGACGGTGCTGGTTTGTGATCAGTCCGCCAGATGAAAAAGAGCTCCAGAAGGCGCGGAAGATGATGAAGAAATCGGCATATGACCGTTTGTCTATCCCTGTCACCGGAAATATCAAATTTTATGAGACGAAGAAGACGAAGAAGGCGGTTCCCATTGCAACGGTTACGCATGTTTACTCGGCATATGCCGTTTATCCGCAATCTAAGGCTTTGATTGATGCATCCACCCTGGTGAAGTTGGAAGGACGGATCACCACCCATAAGCCTGAGTCTTCCTCGGAAGGACTTGTCTTCGTCATGCCCGAGCCGCATGCCGCTGTTTCTGGATTCGAGATGATGCTCCGCTTCCTTTTCCCGACATTTGACACCTTCAATCTTTATGGCCGCCCTACTCGTCTAGTGGCAGATACTAATCACATCAAAAGCATCATGTTTGCATTCCCCAAGGAGCGGCGTTATGGCTATCTGGACGTATTGGATATTTCCAGTCTCCTTCAAACCCCGGGAAGCCAAGAGTGGAGCGAAGCTCAGTGGAGAAAACAGCTCAAAGAAGCAACACAGCGCCGAATTTCATCTGGCAGAAGCAGGACTAATAGTATCAACAGCACGAGACCTCGCTATCGCTCTGCATCTGCACGCCACAGTGATATTCCTATGGACTCTGCTCGCCGCCAGTTTGCTGCTCTTGAGAGCAAACCCGAATTCAACCACTCTACTGAAGCTATCATCCATGAAGTCCCTACGGGCGATAGCTCGCCTATTGTGTATCACAACCGCGGACTGTCTGACAGCCCGGGCTTTGCCGGTTCTAGGCCGAGGCATGGATCTTTGGTTGAGAGCTCACCTGATTCATCTTATCAAGATCTGGCATACCGTGGTTTACCAGCAGTGGCACCCATCTCCGAGAGTGTCAGTTCTGAAAGCGACCCAAATCTCGACCGTTACCATGGTCCGCCAGTTGGAGAGCAGCTTCCCCCACACACCCCTCCTGCTCCCGTTGCAAACCCACCCGCATTTTCGCACGGACCCAAAGAGATGCCCACTAATCGGCCAGAGGCGTCTTCGGAGCAAAGGCTAGCAAACAACCGGATGTCTCACGCGACCCTTTCTCAACTCACATCGGTTGGGACGATGGGGCTGAGCGTGGCAGCCGCCGGTGCCGCCTGGAAAGGCCATCAGGCACAGACCACGAATGACCAACAACCCCAGGGCAACCGCATCAATCCCGGCCCTACTGTGTTTGCAAACTCTCTTGCAAATTCATCAAGTGATGAGGATATCGCTCTTGCATTCCCAGTTCGACCTCCCCCAGTTCTGGAGCATCGTCCGAACACACCTAGTACCACTGGCAGCCCGTCGCCTCAGCGAGGTTCTCCTCTGCGAAACTCTCAACGGGCGCCAATCGATTCCACCAGGTCTGTGCGACGCAAGCCGCTTCCCCAGCAAGTCCTTTTTGGAACAGAGTCACAGTCAGTAGGCGAACCGAGCTATGATGATCTTCGTCATACCCTTGACGAAGATGTGCTGAATCAAATCGCCCCCCATCTGCCATCCCCAATTTCGTCTACTGGAAACAGAAACGGAACTGAGGAAGAGAGTGTTTATGATGATGCATCAACAGTTTCACCTGACTATGCTAGCACCCATGGCTCCGTGTACAGCAAGAAATCTACCAAGTCTACCAAGCCCAGAATGGGTGTCATGAAGACTGTTGGAGTTCCAGTACCCAAAGACTTCGTCATTGGCGATACTCGTTATGCTACAGAGAAGGCCCCGACTTCGAACCCCGATATTCCTACAGTTGATTTCGGCCCAACTATGACCTACATGCCTACTACCGGACGCCCAACCACATCAGACACTCTGAAGAAGCACCAACGGAACGAGTCATCTGGAACTAAGTTCACAGTTGATCAAGCTAATGCCCGGCCGTCCAGCCGGGAGGAATATCGACGGAGCATGCTGTGGCAACCTGGAATGGCTTTCGGTCGCCCTGTCACTCCCGGTGGAGGTCTCACTCCGGAGCAGTATGTGCAGCAACGAGCCGCACCCAGCCCACCAGCACAGTTCCACAACCGCACTCCTTCCAATCCCATGTCGGTGCACCGTCCTGTATCTGGCGACTGGACGCAATATGCCCGTCCCAATTCCCCAATGAACGCTCAGCAAAGTCCCAATCACCGACCTTCGTCTCGGGGTGCCCAGAGTATGCTCAATCACAACGATGCTTCGACCCAGCTCTCCGCTCGTGAGCAGGAGCATGTTGCCCGCATGACTGGTTCTTCGTTCTTCAACATGTCAACTGACAACCGGAAACAGCAGGCGCCTGTGAATCCTATGGGTCTGGTCTCGCACATTGACGCCCGGGAGCGCGAGAAGCAACTAATGAGGGAAGGGATGTCTAATCATGCGGTTCAACAGGCCATCGCCCATCGTCAGCAACATATGATGCAGCAACCTATGTCATCCCAGTACACAATGCAGCAGTTCGCCCCTCAACAAATGCATCATCAACAGGCTGGATCTGTCTATCCATCTCAACATGGCCATCACGCGTCCATGTATAACATTCCGGGAGCTAGTCACACATGGGATGCCCTCAACCAGGTGAACCCAGTGGATGAGCCCCGCCGATCTTCCTGGTACGGACAGCTTGCTGCCCAAGCCCCTCAAACTCCGCCCTATCAGCCAAGCCAGCCCTATACCCAAGAACCCAGGTACTACAGCTATGCTCAGTAAATTAGTTTGCCTGCCTGTCGGTGACCCACCATTCTTCTTCCCGCTACCTCGACCTTCCTTTCTGTCTAATCACCCATTCCCTTCCCTACACATCACTAACAGTATCAATTACTGTTTTCTTCACCCCTTTGTTCCTGTATACCAAGTGATGTTTTGAACTTGGCTTCCAAACCTGGCCCACAATCCTTTTGTTTTCTCCACCCTCCAGCCGCACTCATTATCTTTTTCTTATCTTTCATTGCTATGTTGCATCGCGCATCCGACCGGAGTTCCAAATTGGCGTGGTGTTCTCTTCACTGATTTCTCATGCGAGTCGTTTGTCTATCATTACACCGGGATTGCCTCGCTTTCCCCTACTACCTTGTCTTTCTCTCTCTACGACGTATTCACAGGTTTGCTTTGACATGTAAATCCGAATCAGGAAATATGCGCCTTTATGTATGCGGTATAGATTGACTATGGATATACAACCAGGCGATTACCTCTTCACCTCTCTATATGATCTTTTGTTCTATTGGCCTCAGATGATGATTTCGTAGTGGTAGTGGTAGTAGCAGTAGTAGTAGTAGTAAGTGGTTATATATGAGATTGTATTGAGATGCATGATGCGCCTCCTCGGACCCAAATATGCAGGTCCAAAGAAGGTGGAAAAGACTTCGAAACAGTCCCTTTGAGGCCGAAAGTCCAAAAAGCTCAACCAAGGACTGGAACTTGGGAACAACTTAAGTCAAGCCCAAAGTAAAGATCGAGCATCAGGTACTCGAGCCCTCAGTATTCTAGATACCTAGATTGTAGTAATCTGTGCCTGCACGGTACAGATCTACCGGGGCTTGCTTGGTTGATCGAATCTCTTCCAGGCATCCGGTCCTGCTGAATTTGCGCTCAGGCCTTCTGATTTTGTATGACGTACTCCTATATGTTGTATATGCATTGATTGCGTTCTTAATTTCCTAGCTGCAGATCATGTTTGTCCAAGGATTTCGTACCAAGGCCCTCAGGTATTATACTACAATGGATAACTTTGTGCAATCGCCCACTTGCTCATTCTGGGGCCCACGGGACCCAGAAACTCTCGATCATGATTAATAACATCGATGATCATGCTACACGAATCATAGGTTCATGCCGTCAACAATGAAGATTTAAACATACCATCGATGTATACACCCAGAACTATGACAACATGTCCTGCACCTCTCCCTCCGATGTACCCACTCATCAATCTATTTCCTCGGTCTATGTTGCGTGATTTGAAGTTAGAGCAGCATCTGATTGACCATGGAAGACCCGTGGAGGAGAGAAGCAACATTTGACGTAGTCTGGGGCAGGCGTGACGTAGTGGGGCTCCGGCTCGTGGGGCGAACAGGTTTCCGGCAGGCGCTCTGATTGGCTCGTCGGGATGTCCTTCTTGGGTAAAGCTTATTCTGTTTGTATAAGAGAGGTATAAGAGAGGCTGATAACCAGTTTGATATCGTCTGCTGTGTACTGAGATGCCATTGCATAGCATATCCTTTTGTTTTCTTCTCTTTTTTCCTATCTTATGGGTCTCTATACGTATACAATTGTGAGCTCGATACATAGGCAATAGAACCTTTATACAAACCACCTGATGGCTCCTCCGATCCACTCCACAATACCCGAGAAGCCCCAGTCATCAAGCTTCAAAGACGAGGCCGACCCACAGGCAAACAAGATTGAAACAGAGCGGGGTGTCGACACTCAAGCCGAACATGCTTCCAACTCCGACGCAACAAGTCACGAATACAAACCCAGGCTTGACATGGGCGGCAAGCCTGAGCTAACAGAAGATGACTGCTACGAGAAGCTTGGCTTCTGTTTTCCAACATGGAAGAAATGGACAATTCTCAGCGTCATCTTCGTGGTTCAGATGTCTATGAACTTCAACACAGGCGTCTACGCCAATGCCGTAGCCGGTCTGACCGAGGAATTTCACATCAGCGAACAAGCCGCGCGAGTCGGACAGTGTGTGTTCCTAGTCGCATACGCATTCGGATGTGAGCTCTGGGCACCGTGGAGCGAGGAGTTTGGTCGCTGGCCCATCATGCAGCTTTCTTTATTTCTTGTGAACATCTGGCAGATTCCCTGCGCACTTGCACCCAACTACGGGACGATCGTCGTATGCCGCGTCCTCGGCGGACTCAGTTCCGCCGGTGGCTCCGTCACACTCGGCATGACAGCCGATATGTGGGAAGCCGATGACCAAGGCTATGCCGTAGCCTACGTGGTCCTCTCATCCGTGGGCGGGTCAACCATAGGGCCCTTCTTCGGCGGAATGATCGGCCAATGGCTAAATTGGCACTGGGTATTCTGGATGCAATTGATCGTGGGGGTAGTAACGCAAATCATGCACTTCTTCATTGTACCAGAGACCCGTGCAACAATTCTGATCGACCGCGAAGCCAAACGCCGACGCAAGAACGGCGAAGACATCTGGGGTCCGAACGAACTGAAAACCCCCCGTCTAGACATCCATGACGTACTGCGAATCTGGATCCGGCCATTTGAAATGTTCCTTCGCGAACCAATCGTGCTCTTCCTCTCCCTCCTCTCTGGTTTCTCCGACGCGCTGATCTTCGTCTTTACCGAGTCCTTCGCCCTAGTCTTCGAACAATGGTCATTCAGCACGCTCGCAGTCGGACTAACCTTCGGCTCGATTCTCATTGGATATATCCTCGCATACACAATCTTCCTTCCAGATATCTACCGCCAAATCCAAGTCCGGCGCAAATCCGGCGCAGCAAGTCGTCCCGCCGAACGACGTCTCCTCCTTCTCCTCTTCATCGCCCCACTAGAACCAGTCGGGCTCCTAGGCTTCGCGTGGACAAGCATGGGTCCACCAATCCCATGGATCGCACCGTGTATATTCGCATGCATGATCGCGATGGCAAACTACGCAATCTACATGGCGACGATCGACTACATGGTCGCCGCATACGGGCCGTATTCTGCATCTGCGACAGGTGGCAATGGATTCGCGAGAGATTTCCTTGCTGGTATTGCAACAATGTACTCCACACCGATGTATCAGAATATGGGGAGCAAGTACCATCTCCAGTGGGCGAGTACGCTGCTTGGATGTGTCGGGTTCTTGGTTCTGATTCCGATTTATGTCTTCTACTGGAAGGGCCCGGAAATTAGGGCTAAGAGTAAATTTGCGCAGCAGTTGGCTGCGGATCGGGGTACGCATTCTGAGAGCAGAAGGGCTAGTCGGGTTAGGGCTTCGATTGGTGCTTAGGCGGATAGGGTGAGACTCCTTGATATTCATCTCTTGTTTGCGATGGTCGTCGGATAACAACACAGTGTATATGTATATATAATATATGATAATCAATTTTCAGAGCATAGTTTGTATACTGTGATCAGATGGCTTTGAAACTTACGCACATATCTTGGTCATTACAGCAAGCGTGTCGATGGGACTTTCATGTTGTCAATTCCTACTGGAACTCAGCTCCATGATATAAACGCAACCGTAACTTTCCCAATACGATGATTTGATGCTATTGATAGATGAATAGTTACATCCTAGCTTAAAACAGCACAGTCGCAAAAAACTTATAGAGGTATCCCAAAAACGCCACAAGTGCCAGCTTCCCTCGCTTGCGCGATGCCCTAATTCACCTGTCCGTCCCGAACAGGCAGATCTGAAGCCTAGCCCATGCCAAAAAAGGCCATCCACGCAAGATGTCCTGTGAATCCTATCCCATGTCCTATCTCTGACTAGATAAAAATACCTAGCTTGAATGCAGCTTCTTCACGCGCATGGCGCCTTCATACAAACCGCGGTCCAACGCAGCGGCGACAGTCAAAGTACCACCGATGATAGCACAGACACCAGTCAGGAAGTTAGTGAAAGACTTCGGGCGAGCCTCACGGTTGATGACCTTCATGGGGGAAATGTCGTAGTTGAAGAAGACACCTGGGATGCCACCACTGGCGTGCACGCGCTCCTTGTGGCCCTCTGCAGCATCATTGCCACCAGAGAGGGGACGCTTGTGTGAGGTGACCGAGTACTGGTGGGCCTCAATACTGCCCTGATCACCGTAGGCGAGGCCGTGGGAGCCAAGAGGCGCCTTGTCGTAGGCAGTGTGGATAGACGACGAGAAGGCAGGATCCCAGCCTAGAGGCAGGTAGGACGTCGAGACAACCTTGACAAAGTACATGAAATTGTAGCCGGGTTCATCGGTCTCCTGCTTGGTATCGTCGAGTGGGTTAGTGTGGTGGTGATCGGTCCATCCCCAGCGGCCTGCTAGCTCTGTAGGAAGCTGGGGCCCGAAGCGAAGCTCGTGGACTATGTGGGACATGGTGTGCTGGTCAGCCGGTGCCGCATTGGGCACAACGTAGGCGTCCAGATCGTGGACGTGCATGTTGCCGGAGGTGAAGCTATGGCCTGGTGCAATGTGGAAATTGCCCACCACCTTATTTACCTTTAGCACACCCTCAATCCGACATCCCTCGCGGCGCTGCTCTGCAAGCTTCTCGGCGTATCCCTCGCGTTTGCACTGCTCGATGTTGCTACCGTCACCGAAGGCCCATTGCTTCTCGGCGTAAGCCTCGCGCACTTCCTCACAAGTAGTACAGCATCCTGGCTTTATGACGTTTGGTGGAGGCGATGCTCCACCACATTCACCACAGTAATCCGGAGCCAGATGCTTTGCGATCTCAGATGGCGAGTGTCTGCGAAAGGATGATAATGAGATTATGATCATGATGTGAGAGATTCAAGTTATAGGGCTGGCACGTACAAATCCAAGGACTGAACATTAATCACCTTGCCTCCTTCGGAGTGAGGGCTCAGGCGGACTTTGTTCACGCCATGAGCAACGCCAACCTGCTGCTCACCAGAGACATCCATGACGTCCAAGGTCAACAGCTCACATGGCAGCCGAGGGAATGTCATGTTCAAGTGAATCTCCATTCGCTCTCCTGCGCAACGAAATTAAGTTGTTAGCGACTTTGCGCTGGGCACTTTATTGTAATTTTCAAAGATGTATGTCCATCGTGGGTCCGAGCGAGGCCGGACTCTATCCATACCTCGAGATTTGTCGACAACAAGCTCTGGCAGCACCACAACTCGTCGGTAGTCGGCCCATTCGCCCCATACCAGCCATAGAACAATTAGGAGCGAAGCGATTGTAATGACACCTCCGGAGTTCGTGCGAATACGGGCATCTTCGACGGTCTTGGCGAAGGCGTCTAGCTTCGTGAACCGCGACTTTGCAGGCATATCGCCGGTCAATTGATGACCATAGGGTGAAGCGCAAAGACCAGACGAAGATTGATATGGATAGCAGCAGTACTTTCAGTATCTGTATGACAAAGAATACACGAACAAGTTAGCTAGGTGGTCTTGAGACGCGCAAGCTCCTTTGAAGGAGAGGACCCATGCCAACAAACAGAGCAAATAAACACAACCAAGTAGAAGCAATAGGGAGATGAGCCATACCAGTAGCAGGATCTATGTGCGGCAATCCAAAGTGACTCGCTTCCAGGCACCTAAACAGTAGAGACAGCAACAAGACCGATTCGAAGCCTCCAAGTGGCCAGGCATACTTGCAGGGTCAATGTATGGGGACTATTCGTGAGGACAGACGACAGCCTGTGATTGGTCGGGGCGGAACAAAGGGATGAGTCATCTCCCAATTAGGCTTAGTTCTAGATAGTGCCGCCCTATCACGTGCCAATCGTCACTTTTTCTTTAGCCTCACTTTACTATTCACGGCTTTATGGTTCTTTGGCCATTCACGGTCAACTTCCTATTGTCTTCCGACTGTGCTACTTAATCGGCAAACACCCCTCTTTTTCACTCTTCCCTGTTTGCCTCTTCCCAACCTTTCCATCTCCTCGAATCACCATTTCTACTGCGACCTCCTCACATGCGAACTACTTTTTTCTGCCTGATCTGAGGCGCATCGCGCGCTGCTTGCTTCGTTTTAGCTGTTTCAACTTTCTTTTATCTCTATTCTTTTTAAAATACATCCCGATACCCCACCGACCTCTCAACCATCTCCCCCATCACTATGAAGACCATGAAGTCTCGCCGCGGCGGCAACGACCGCGGGGGTATCCGCAAGCGCGGTCCAACTCGCACCGATCGGGATGGCGATATGGACATGGATGCTGGTGGCGCTCGTTCGAAGAGAAACCGCGCTGAAAAATCCGGTCTTGGTGGCCGTGCTGCAGGTGCAGGTGTAGGCGGCCGAGCCGCAGGAACTGGCAACCGGGTCCAGGCTCGCGACAAGCACCTTGATGCAATTCAACGGGCAATTTCCAGTGTCGACCCCCAAGCGAACATCCGACAGGGCAACAGAAAGGCTGCCAGCAATCTTGAGCAGTTCAGTGTTCGTGGATGGAAATCCAGCAAGGCAGCAAGCAACCGTGACGGTGGCCTCGAGAGCCTCATCGCATTCCTCGAACGACGCATGAATTCCTTTACCAAATCTGGACCCCGCGCAAAGATTACCAAGGTAAGTCCCTCACTTGCAACGGCGGTCACCACCAATATCGGACTTCGACATCCCCCGCTCTCGTGTCTCGTTTTCGAGGACGGCCCTCCAACAAAACGACGATCGACACTTTTTGGGCTTTTTGGCTTTTACCCTTTGGGGTGACCGTGGTTTTCAAGGTCCTTTAGCACCTTTCTAACTTTCAAATTAGTCGCGCGTTGAAGGTGACACTCTCGTGGTATTCGTTCGACCTGATCTGGCGGCTCACATGCTTCGAATCAATAACAATGTCTTCGCCGGTGCTCATATCAACGTTGAAACATACACTGCTGCCACCGCACTCGATCAGGAACTGGCCGCAGCGGACAACACTCCTGGATCGACTGCTGATACCAAAACCAAAATGAACACCATCCTTGGCAAACGCTTCTACCCGGATACCAAGCTCCTTGACTTGTCAAAGCTCACAGAAGACCCTGGTCTGCAGGCCATGGGCATCTTCAACACAACCTCTACCGAGTCCAAGTTCTTCCCTGCTCTCATGAAGGTCTGGGAGATGGGCTTCAAGAGTGCAGCTGAGCGACGTGAGGCAGTAACAAGTGTCAGCCTGGCGGACAACAAGCTTCAAAACATCAACTCTGTGACAACTCTCGCTCAGAGTTTCCCCGATATCAAATTCCTGGATCTTTCTAAGAATAATATCAAGGATGCGCAGGGAATGCTTGGATGGCGCTGGAAATTCCGCAACCTCATCTTCTTGGACATGATTGGCAACGACTTCTGTTCCGATCCCAGTTTCAAAGACACCATGCTCAAATGGTACCCCAAGCTGCAAACTCTGAACAACATTCAAGTCCGAACTCCAGAAGAGGTTGCAGCTCAGAGGAAGACCCCCATCCCCGTTTTGCCTCCTCACTTTGTCGACGAATCGCAAATTGGCGAGAACTTCGTTCGTGCTTTCTTCCCTGGCTATGACAACGACCGCAACAGTCTGGTCACCAGTGTCTACGATGATCAATCTACTTTCTCGCTCAACGTCAACACCACTGCCCCCCGGGCCGGTCAAACCGAGACCGCAGGCTGGGGTGAATACATCAGAAAGAGCCGGAACCTTGACAAAATCAACCACCTTTCCGCTCGCATGTCGCGCTCTTTCAAGGGCCCCGAGCAGATCCGTGAAGTTTTTAATGCGCTCCCGCCTACTCGTCACCCCGACCTTATTACAAAAGCAGATCAATGGCTCATTGAATGCCACCCAGTTCCCAATCTCCCTGACCCCACTGGACAGAGCCCTACTGGAGTTGGTGGTCTCTCGCTCATGGTGCATGGTCAACTTGAGGAGAGCATTGGTGGCAAGGTTGAGACCCGCAGCTTCGATCGCACCTTCATCCTTGGTCCCGGAAACACTCCCGGTGGAATTCGAGTTATCAGCGAGATTTTCTGCCTGCGCGCATACGGTGGACACGAATCATGGAGTCCCGAGATCCAAGCAATTTCCCAGGACGCCCCCCAAACTGCCGCTGCACCTCCTATTGCTATTCCTATTACTGCCGTGGCTCCTGCCGTTACTGCCATCCCCCCAGTTGCCCCGGGTAGCAATGTTGCCGAAGGATATGGTTTGCCCCGACCTGGAAAGCCTGATGCCCAGCTCCAGCAGGAGCAGTTGGTTGCTCAGATGAGTGCCAAGTCTGGCATGACTATTCAGTTCTCCGAGATGGCCCTCTCCGGCAATGGTTGGAATGCTGAGCTTGCATGGAAGAACTTCGAACAACTGAAGGTAAGCAATTCTGTATTTCTACATTCGTCCATGGAACAAGACTAATCACACACTTTCACAGGCGTCTGGCTCACTTCCTCCCACTGCTTTCCTTACTCCGGCGTGAGCTCTTTGCTCTTTACTGAACCCTTTCACGTCCGCCCCCGGCTCTGTTAGCTAGTCAATTTCATCCAGGAGGTGGCTTAGTGGAAGCATGACGCATCCGATGTGACAATATCTTTTTTTTTTGCTCTTTTACTCTTGCATTGTTTGGGCGATTACCCGGTTTGACAATTTCGATCTCTGGACATGGGCCACTGGGCCAGGAACTTTATGAAACTTAAAAAAACTTAAAATATCACACAGTTCCTATTTCAATATTTGACGCAGCATCCTAGAAACAAATTATAGACGTAAAATCTCCCGGGATGATTGTAGGCGCGTAATCATACTCCTGGAGCATTGCGGCACAGGGAAGATGCCAAGCTGGCGCGCTAGAGCCATGCGGGCCGCAATCAACTCCCCCCATTCCAACTCTCCATCCCACGAATTCCGCATTGACCTCACTTATAGCAAGTTGGGACCAAGAGCAGGATGATTCTGGCGAGCTGATGGAATGACTATCACTGCCACAACCACCGGCCACATGTCGCCAAACGAGGAACCAAGCCTCGACGCCTTGGATGCGGGTGCGGAACACTTGACCTTTCGTGCGCACCACTGCATATGCTAATATAGGGGGAAATCTAGTGGACTACGATCCGATTGAACACTTGAATGCCGTTTTCTCCCACCCATCAACCCTCTCCTCGGTTTCTCAGATCTCCGACGCCCTGAACGAATGCCAAGATGAGCTGGATGATGACATCGGCATGCTAGTGGAGGAGCAGGTCACCTCCAATGCCGAGAGTGTGGAACGAATCCAGGCAGCCAAGGCTGACCTGTCGGAATTATTCAAGAAGATCGATGACGTGCGGGAGCGCGCATTGAAGACGGAGCAAGCCATCACCGACATGACAGCCGACATTAAACAACTAGACAACGCAAAAAAGAACCTCACACTATCTATGACGGCCCTCAAACGGTTGCAAATGCTCACCACGGCATACGATCAGCTTCAAGCTCTCAGTCGGACGCGGCAATATGGCGATTGTGCACAGTTGCTTCAGGCTGTCATTCAGCTTATGGCCCACTTTAAGTCATACCGATCGATTGATCAGATTGCAATGCTCAGTCGGAATGTCGCAGACATACAACGAGACCTGCAAGAGCAGGTCTGTGAGGACTTTGAGATGGCCTTCGCCAAGGGTGAGGTGGGGCCGAAGCGTGCGATGCTCGCGGAGGCATGTCTGGTCGCAGATGCTCTGGGTGAGCACGCACGATCCCGCCTGGTGACTTGGTATTGTAACACGCAGCTTCGCGAGTACCGGCAAGTCTTCCGAAACAATGAGGAGGCTGGGTCTTTAGACAACATTTCCCGCCGATACTCCTGGTTCCGGCGCATATTGAAGATATACGACGAGGAAAATGCAGCCATCTTCCCGGCTTCATGGCGGGTAAATGAAGTCTTAGCCAATGTTTTCTGCGAGGGTACACGTGATGATTTCAAAGGCATTTTGTCCCGATCTGTACGCAGTGGACAGGCGCTTGATGTCAATTTGCTACTCTCATGTTTGCAAGAAACGCTTGACTTTGAGCATTCTCTTGATCGGCGCTTCGCCCCTTCGTCGCGTACCTCTGTTGACACATTTGCCTCTGCCGAACCGCCCGTATTCAGCCAGTCGATTTCTGAGGCCTTTGAACCGTACCTCAGTGTCTGGGTTGAAGCCCAGGACAAGCAACTAGCAGCTTTAATGCCGAAGTACCGCCAACAGCCTCTCAAAGTACCAGACGAAGAGTTCGACTCGCATAGTGTGGTTTCGTCTTCGACGGAGCTTTTCACTTTCTACCGACTTGCTTTGCAGCAATGCGCTAAACTCTCAACCGGGGGCAGTCTGGCGGAGCTGGCCAAGGTATTTGCCAAATATCTGGACCAATATGCCCAGCAAGTTCTTCTCAATTATATAAGTGAACGGCCCACGGGTCACACACCGTCCCGGATGCCCTCTGTGGAAGATTACATCTCAGTCTTGAACACTGCCGACTACTGCTATACTACCTGCACTCAATTGGAAGAGAAGATTAGAAGTAGGCTGGATGAGAATCTAAAGCAATCTGTGGATTTGCAAAGTCAAGCAGACTCCTTTATGGGCATCGCATCCGCTGCTGTACGAGGCCTTGTGCGCCAGGTTGAAGTCGGCCTTGAGCCCTCCTGGCGCGAGATGCGCAACACGCCCTGGGCTAAGATGGAGGCAGTTAGTGATCAGAGCTCGTACATGGCCGAGATGCTTTCCCAGACGAAGGAGAAGGCGTCTGAAATTTTACAATATCTGCATAAGCACCAATATGCTCGTGCCTTCTCGGATCACCTGGTGGAGCTCATGTCGAGCCAGTTCATCAACAACGTCTTCCAATGCAGACCTCTTTCAGAGACTGGCGCAGAACAGGTATCGTGCTCTCCCTATCATGACATTGTGTAGTTTGCTAATTCCCTTTCTAGATGCTTCTCGATTCCAATGTTCTCAAGGGCGGTCTTTCGTCACTGCTACCTGCTCCAGCGCCCGCCGGCTTTGTCAAGCGCGTGAATAGCAGCTTCTTCAAAATCGAAACCCTCCTCAAAACCCTCCAGGTCCGGCCGTCACCACCGGAAGCTCTTGTACAAGCTTACCTCATCCATATTGCCGACCGCAACAATAATAACTTCCGCAAAATCCTCGAGCTGAAGGGCATCCGCGGGCGCCAGGAGCAAAACCACCTTGTGGAACTGTTCCAGCTTCACCGTGCATCAGACCGCTATGCATCCAGTCTCCAGTCGAGCAACCCCATTCTTGCCTCTCTGCAAGGGCCATCCGCCACCGCCACCGGGTCCGTATCCCAGGGCCTAGGCCTAAGCAGTGCCGCCGCGGCCATGCCCTCTCGTTTTGAAGCCTCTCTGCTCGGGTCTGCCATCATGTCGGCTGCCAAAGACGGCGTCGATCGCTTCGGCAACCCCAGCTTAAGCACACTGGGAGCTGGGACGACCGGAACATCTCTTTCCACATCTGGCCTGACCAGCCCATCAGGCACCTTATCTCCAGCCCTCGGCGGGTCTTCCCTACAACCTAATCACATGTCAAGTCCATCCGAGAGCGCTACCGGAAACCTCAACGAGAACCTGAAGAACATTGGCAAATTCTTCCGTCGTGATCTTGGTGGTTTCGGAGGCCGATTCGGGCGGAGTACCGAGGATGGGGCGTAGATCTGCATCTGATTTTCATTCTTGTTTTCTTTCTGCTTGCATTTTGACATGGGCGTGGATACCATTGTAGATTGCTTGTCATTTCGGCAAATTTGTCTGGAGCATTGCATACTCTTGAGGCATGGGTTTCCTATGCTCAGAGACATGCTGTCTAGATCATTTCTTCTTTTTTTTTGCAGCTGTATACCACTTGGATTAAATGACATATTTCCTCTTATCTTGGACCTAATTTGTTCTTATTTTCTGTTTCATCTTCACCATCCAATTCCATCTCCCAAGTGGGTCAATTGCCCGCAATCGTCTTTCCACGCCCTTCCAATAACAAGCCCCGTTAAAAAGGAGCCGTATAAACAAACAAATCCATATTGACAACTTCCTTCCAATCCATCGAGAGTCCAATTCCTACCGCATCCCAACCCAAGTTCTCCTCTCAAAAATATCACAATGAACCCCACTATCCCCAGCCCCTCATCCCCATACACCCTCCGCACACACCGACCAGGGGACATAGGCTGGATAATCCACCGCCACGCCACACTATACGAAGCCGAACAAGGCTGGGGTACAAAAATGGAATCCCTCGTCTCCAAAGTCGGACACGAATTTCTCGACAACTACGACGCATCCTGTGAGCGGTGCTGGATCGCCGAGCGCAACGACGAGTTCCTGGGCTGTATAGTTCTGATGCGAGACCGGGATGCAGCCCAGACAGCCAAGCTGCGGCTGTTACTGGTTGAGCCGAGTGCACGGGGCCTCGGGCTGGGGAAGGCTTTGATTGAGCAGTGTACGCGGTTTGCGAGGGAGACGGGATATGTGCGGATTCGGCTTTGGACGCAGAGTGTGCTTGTTTCGGCGCGGAGGTTGTATGCTAAGGAGGGGTATCGGCTTATTGGTTCGGAGACGCATGGGGCTTTTGGGGCGGACCTTGTTGGGGAGTGTTGGGAGTTGGTTTTGTAGATGGGTGGGAGTGCTTGCTATTTAGATTTGTGTGGTAATTTGGTTTGTGGAAGCGGTGCTTGTTGCATTTGTTTATAGAGAAGAAGGGACAAAGTTAAAACGTGGGAAGCTGTAATTTGGTCATGGAATGGATAGGAACATATGAAATGCTAAACGACAGACCGGTCCTTCAATTACTCAGACAACTAGGTAGCCCTCGAGATTAAAATGTGCTTTCTATGCCATTTAGCGGATCCTTTACTATAGTTACAGATATATACACCGGAGAGCTTGTTGCTAACAGCGAGGGGCTTTTCTGATATGTATGGGAGCTGGAGGACTATATGCTTCCCAAAATGGCAAGTGGTAGCATTGATATCACGTGCCAGGAGGGATGTATCGAGTTGATGCCTGAATCTGAGTTGATGCCTGTAGATCATGACATCTACTATGAGTAGGAGACGGCAATGCTCAGAGAACAAGCCATTGGCCGAAGAAGACAGGTGGCAAGACAGGCAATTGAAACATGAATACATCATCAAGACATCTATTCGATTTCTGGCTTCCGAGGCGACATATCTATTACGAACAAGAACAAAAGAGGCGTTGAGAACGAGTTTTCATTGAGCAACCATCTATTACGGCAGCTGCACAGATAGGGATAGCGAACAGGTTTTCCGACATTCAACTACATAATTGCCTACGGCGACAACATATCGGCGCTACTATCGCAGGTCGTATGAATAGCATCTGTAAGTCTTTTCACGAGTTAGCAATTGTATGCAATTGGTGAGTCAAAAGGTCAAAGGCAGAACAAGTGAGGGGGTTGAGGCATGGCGTCAGCAAAAAATTAGAGTGTTGTTGTTGCATTATTTTAATCTTCAGAGCGCCCCGGAGGGGGGCGTAATGCTCGGGGTTAAAAATTTATAATCATCCGCCAGGGTGATTGAGGAGGGGTGGGTGTGAAAAGGGAAGAAGAAAAGAGAAGAACTGAAAACTCACCAATTCTGTAGAATCGAACAATGGGCGTAGCTACGTCCATTATACGAGTCCTAGGTTTCCGAGGGAAATCCATTGCCAAGACATGTTTTTTTATTCCCAGACGCTATTCCAAGCGCTGGTTCAAGTAAATCTAATACATGGCATTCGTATCCCATGAAAGAGGGGGCGCTTAGTCGAAGAGACCGAAGCCCATGTCCTCATCGGACTCCTCCTCGTCCTCAACGGGAGCTGCGGCAGCGGGAGCGGCACCGCCGGAAGAAGCGGCGGCGGCAGCAGGAGCAGCAGAGGCGTACGCATCGGGGTTAGCGATGCGGTCCTTGAGCTCATCAATCTCGGGCCAGCTGTAGTCGGTCTGGACGGCAACAGCGAGGACCTTCTTGTAACCGTTGATGAGGGAGTGCATGGTAGCAGGAAGGGTGGGGTAGTTGGCAGCCAGGGAGACAGCGGTGATGGTAGCAATAGCCTGGGAGAAGGCAGACAGGAGCTGATCATCGGTGATGTCGAGAATATCGGCGCCGAAGCACTGACCGTTCTCGTAGACCTGGGAGATGGTCATACCGTAGGTGAAGGGAGAGATGTTCAGCAAGTTAAGGAGGGTAGCCTCGGAGGCACCGACCTTGTTACCAGCCTCAACGAGCTTGAGGTCGGAGACAATCTCAATGGTACCACGAGCAATCTTGGTGGGGACACCAAGGGCCTGGAAGAAGGCGGTCTTACCGGGCTCCATACCAGTGTTACCAGCGGGAACCCAGACATCATCGGGGGCGACGGCACCGGCACGAGCGGGGGCAGCGACACGGTTAGCAAGGATCTTCTCCTTGATGCTCTTGAGGTCGCCGTTGGTGAAGATGAAACCAACGTTGCCACGGACGTGGGGCATGAGACGCTCCCACTCGGGGTTCTCAGTGATGAAACCCTTAAGAGCACGACGAACCTGAAATCAAGCTTGTTAGTCAAAGCACAGCTGTGTTCGAGCGATTGCCAACATACCATGGTGTTCTTACCCATCAGGACGACGGCCTCTCCACGGAGGGAGATACGGATCTCGTGCATCTGCTGGGAGCTGACATTGTCAACGCCGACGATGAAGATGGTGCTGTACGACTCGAGACTGCAAGATAAATTGTTAGGAATTTTCGATTCAATTGCTCGAAGGCATTGAGGAAAACGTACAGCGAGCGAAGCTTCTCGAAGTAAGCGGCCTTGGTTGCGGACTTGCCCCCCATTTCTTCTTGATTTTAGTGAAGATAGGTTGTTTAAGGGAAAGTCTAGTGTTGTTGTGGTTAATGAAGAAAAGAAAAGAAGAGCTCTCCGAATTCGGGAAAATCAATTTTGGTGGTGCGCTCGCTAGTGGGTCACGTGACGTAAAAAGTAGACCCGCCCGACCAGAATGGATGGGCATGGCTCAGGTTCGATGAAAAGGATCTCTGAAGGTCTAAGTACGATTTGGGTCCTCTCAGACTGCAGTTGAATGCACAGTCGATCCAATTGAGACCTCCTTTGTCTTTCCATCCTGTGAATCAACGCTCTTCATCATGGCCGGTCTCCAACATCCATTCCAGTGTCTGCGATATGTCAACCGTCAGTCAGCAGGCCAATCAGATGTCCTTGTTGCTACTGCTGGTCGTAATCTCTACACCTATGATGTCTCCAGTGGCCAGCGCCTGGATGTGTGGCCTCAACCCGTAGATGCAAATGTGGAGGATAAAAGCTCTGACCCAGCTCCCGCATCTGAAGGTGAAGACCAAGGCCCCCCAGAGAAAAGAAGGAAGTTATCCTCGCCGTCTGAGGACCAAAAGGATGTGGAGTCAGAGTCCAAACCCGAGTCCAAGACTAAGGATTCAAAGAAAGATGCTTCCAACTCGTGGACCAACATTCCCCTCTTGACTATCGCCCACGGCAAATATGTAGTGATCTTGACTGCTGAGGACAAGTGTGTTCGAGTCTTCGGCTTGGACAATGATGGCAAATTGGAGCAATTGAGTGCTCGGTAAGTAACCATCGATCTATCTACAAGTTTATCAAACTCATTATGTATAGCACAATGCCCAAGAAGCTCTGTGCGCTTACTCTAACACCCGATGAGGACAACATCTTGTGTGGTGACAAGTTTGGAGATGTGTACACTTTCCCTGTGATTCCCAGTGGAACCTATGTGAAGGTTCAACCCCAAGCAAAAGCTTATGAGCCATCTGCCACAAATCTCACTGTGCACACGAGACGTAACCTTGAATCGCTGGAGCAACAAATGCGACAGGCTGCACTCTCGAAGACCAACCAAGAAGAACGGGTTGTGCTGAACTTCGAGCATCAACTCATTATCGGTCACGTTTCGTTGATGACAGATTTGGTTTCTGTTGCCCGGCCTGCGGACTCTACTGTTGGCAAGAGAAACTACATCCTTACTGCGGATCGTGACGAACACATTCGTGTATCTCGCGGTATCCCCCAAGCGCATGTAATCGAGCAATTCTGCTTTGGCCACACTTCATTTGTCGGTAGCCTTTGCATCCCTTCGTGGGAACCCAAGGTCCTCGTCTCAGGTGGCGGCGACAACTATCTGCTTGTGTGGGACTGGCTCAAGAACGAGATACTGCAAAAGGTGTCCCTGCCCGAGTCGGAAGGAGAGCCCACCGTGTGCGGCATTTGGGATGTTTCCATTGAGCCTACCACAGACAATGCGGAACTCGTCAAGGCTATTCTCGTTGCACTTGAAGGGTACGTTCCAACAACTATTGGTGGCTGTTATAATCATGCTAACAATGAGCACAGGTCTTCAAAACTTCTTTGCTACACTTTTGAAAACAACAACACGATAACTATCCAAGAAACCCTCCAATTGTCAGGAAATGTCCTCGACTTGGTTCGCAACGATTCAAGGGGATCCATCGTTGTGTCTGTGGATACTTTGCGTGAATCCGACTCGACAACTGCTTGGAGATCGACCTCCAATGCCGCTCTTGAGAGTTTCCGGTTCACTTCTGGAAAGTGGACCCCTATAGAGGAGGACCCCATGGTTCTCAAAATCAACTCGGAGGGTACTTCAAGTGTCCCTGCAACATTGGAGCAGAAACAGCAGAAAGAGCTCAATGATTACATTTACAATGTGGCCGTTCTGCGCAAAAGAGCAGGGGATGACGAATGAAGTGAGCATGCGTTTAATGAATGTACAGCCAATGATTAATTAGAGTTTCAACTACATATGTACGTACAATGTACCAGCCTGCCATTGCAATCCTTCTACAAGAACCGAAGCGTATGTACCTAGGTATAAAATGTGCATCATCCCTACCGGGCATATCGTAAGCTTAACAATCAACTTGACTTGTAGGGCAAACACCTGGTTCCGCGCTCAAGTATATCCCCCATACCAGTTCTTGTCGTGATTGAACGAATAGTAGCTCACAAGGGCGTCATCTGCGTTCATTTCAGCGGCATAATCTTCAACTGCGGCAAGTCCTATTTCTTTTCCCGATGTACATCGCGTTTCACTCCGTATTACTTACCTCTTACACGTATCCATTGAAAGATTATCCATCTATCCCCATGCTGTCCCGAGTTAATTACGCCACGGGAGGTAATGTTGACATTGATCTGGCTAGAGAGGGTGGTGTTGATATCTCCCGTCGAATACTCCTTTGTCATATCCTTCCAGGTGTAGCAATCGTCTCTAGCTGCATTCTCTCTAGCACAGTTTAAATCGACAAACTGGTACGCGAGAATGTCGTACAGTATATTGCAGAGCGTCGTCATTGTCTAAATGTATATGTGTAATCGGATATCTAGTATATATATGTTCCTCAACTTGTGCCAACGGAATCACATTTCGCCACCAATATACATTTAGAAAGACCAAGTCTGTATGTCCCAAGAGGCCCAAATTTCAGATGGAATGGCGTTTTCCAAAAATATATCGTGAAGAGGGATTGCTTTCATATCTGATATCCAACTACGAAAGGCCAGTCAGAGTGCGCCGTGGAGGCATTATGTAGAGCCATCCCGAGGTAGCAGGCTAGATCTGCAGCAGATATCCCACGAATGGCTCTATCCAACCAAATCCCAGTCGTCACTCCCAGCTTAGCAAATTAGGGTAGGTATCGTACAGCTCTTGAAGCCCTCCGCGGCTATTGAGTTGCAAGACCAACTAGCTAGCACGTGTCGAGATGCCCTGAGTACCGACAGCAGGAGTTGAAGTTGATGGGAAAAGGACATAAAAAAATCTACATTTAGTTCTGACTAGATAGCTGGGATCAATCACAACTGAGCTACGAAGAGTTGATGATGCGGAGATGTTCGGAGGCGACGTAGCGAAACCGCAAATCAAAGGCGCACATTGGCTGTAATCAATTCGATAATTTGAATTCTAGCTATAGCCAGTATAGATTAACCTATATTGTCTTTAATTGAACCCAATGATCGAGAACAAAAGCTCAAAAGCGCATAGGAAAGCGCGTATAGAATTTGTAACCCAATTTTCCGATCGATCGCGGGCCGCGGTAGCCGGAGAACGTCCAAGGAATCCCACTGCCCCTCCTCCATCCCACTTTCATATTCCACCGACACAATGCAGGAACAATTTGAGCCTTTGAAGAACGATTTGCTGCTGAGGGCTGCTCGCGGTATGCTGACCTGAGGCCCCTCGTCTGGATTGGAGCTGACAGTCGCAGGTGAGAAGGTGGAGCGTCCTCCGATATGGGTTATGCGACAGGGTAAGACCTCTTTCTATATCTCGTGTTGCAAGGTAATCATTTGACATTTTCTTTTCATCCTACAGCTGGTCGATACCTCCCTGAATACCACGAGGCGAAGGCTGGTCGTGACTTCTTCGAATGCTGCCGCACACCTGAAATCGCATCAACCCTGACCCTCCAGCCCATTGAGCGTTATGAAGGCCTTATCGATGCCGCGATTATTTTCTCCGATATCCTAGTTATTCCCCAAGCCATGGGTATGGTTGTTGAGATGTTGGACAAGAAGGGACCTCACTTCCCCGAGCCGCTCGACTCGCCGACAGATGGACAGTACGAGAAGGTGATGGCGAAGAATGTGGATGTCAAGGCAGAGCTGGACTACGTCTTCAAGGCAATTACCCTCACACGGTTCAAGCTGAAGGGCCGGGTGCCCCTGATCGGCTTCTGTGGTGCACCATGGACTCTGTTGTGTTACATGGTCGAAGGCGGTGGCAGCAAGCTCTTCGTGCAGTCCAAGAAATGGGTCTACAAGTACCCTACCGAGGCTCAGGCTCTTCTGCAGAAGATCGCCGAGATCTGTGTGGAGTACCTCGCTCTCCAGGTCGCTGCTGGAGCACAGCTTGTGCAGGTCTTTGACTCGTGGGCTGGCGAGCTGTCTCCCGTCTCGTTCAAGGCCTTCTCGCTTCCTTACCTCCGTCACATCTCCGCTAATCTGCCCAAGCGCCTGCGGGAGATGGGCTTGGAGCCTGTGCCCATGACCGTCTTCGCCAAGGGTGCCTGGTACGCTCTGGACGACCTTTGCGATTCGGGCTACAACGTCGTTGGCTTGGATTGGCTCCACGATGCCGGCGAGGCCATGCGTATTGCCAATGGCCGTGTGACTATCCAGGGTAATGCGGATCCTGGTATGCTCTACGGTGGCCCTCCGGCTATCACTGCCACTCTCGAGCCTATGGTTGAGGGATTCAAGAAGGGCAAGCAGGGATGGATCTGCAACCTGGGCCATGGTACGTTCAACTTGATATTTGGGTCTGCAAACCACAAAGCTAATTTTTCAACAGGTGTTACGCCATTCGTCGACCCTGAGAACCTCAAGTTCTTCTTCGAGGAAATCCACCGCTTGACCGTATAATTGGGTGTTCCTTTTTGAGACTTACGATATTGGTTGACTCTACCCCGACTCAACTCAGATTTACAGAAGACTACATTGGACGTAAAAAAAAGAATAACGATTTTCGGTGTGAATGGCTTTTTTTAATTCTCGGTCTATAATGTATACACGCTTTATAAAATTAGACAGCGATATCCTCGTTCCTGTGTAGCAGACACTGTAGTTAGTATTGATGATCAAGTAGATGCCAAGAAACCTTGATGCAAATGCATATAGATCGATATTCGTCTTATGCATTGCAATAGAGCAACCCCCAATGACAACGTACCAGAGCTCAGGCTTCTCCTTAATGAACTTGGCCATGATATCCTTGCACTCGGCATCATCCAAGACAACAACCTCCTTGCCACGGTTGAGGAGCAGCTCCTCACCACCAAGGAAGTTCTTGTTCTCGCCAATGACGACGCGCTTCACCTTGTAGAGGATGCAAGCACCGGTGCACATATCACAGGGCGAGAGAGTGGTGTACATAGTAGCACCCTCGTAAGCAGAAGCAGGAAGACGGCCAGAGTTTTCGAGAGCGGACATCTCGGCCTGGGGAAATGTTAGTTATCGGTTAAGCAGGATTCCAATTCCATAGCAATTGATATAGACATTGATCGACAATGCCAATCCGAGTATATATCTCAAGGTGTGTATGGTGTACTGACATGCAGGACGGCGCTGCCATTCTGCACACGCATGTTGTGTCCACGGCCCAGGATCTTGCCATCCTTGGAGACCAGGGCGGCACCGATGGGGACACCACCCTCAGCGAGGCCGAGCTTGGCCTCCTCAACGGCGGCAATGAATCCGGGATCCTGTTCCATTTTGTGAAAAAAATAAAAAAAAAATAAAAAGACAAGGTGAGTATGTATGGAGAGGGGCAAGATAAGGCTACGGAAATCTACTCCAGGCTTATAGTCGGGAACTACCGAACCCCTCCAATCGTGACCTGTTTATCGATAAGAGATCTGTGGCGGTGTGTGGCTGGATCGAGTGGCGAGGGTTCGAAATTTGTGCGTTGCAAGTTACCGGTACCATTACAGTTACTCATACGGAGAACGATACCAGACAGAGATGGATGTATGTACCTAGGTAGGCATCTCATAACTTCTAGGTACTTTTGATGTGCATATACATGTTCAATCAAGATGTACCTATGTACCTCCTCCTACATCGGTTCTCTCTTTCCCAGTGACCTCATTCACGCGTTAGTCAGCCCTGGGGACACATGGAAGCGCGGAGAACACCAGCGAAGGCCACCGAAAGCCGCAGAATCCCGTGGAATCAGCGCTCGGGCCATTCATGATATACAGCAGAAGCCACCAGAAGCATTGAAAATGAAGAATAGTCGGTATTAGGAGACCAAAGGGGGAGATTTAAGCTGGAAAATTGTAGATCTGTTGAAAGCGCCAACAAAGAAAACTAGTGTGCAAATCCCCGACCTCAGTGGCCCTGGTAATTTATCCGGTCATTTTACGAGTCCCGTACAGGTGCCTGGGCAAAAAAGTTACTCAGCCTTTTTTGGCTTCGATTATTATTGTTCAGATAGCCTCTTCTCTTTTTCCCCCTCTCTTCTCATCCCCTCGACAGCCTGGACCTCTGACATTCGCAATCGTTGTCCATTTGGCATCGTTTTCAAATAATACCTGCCTGAACTTTTTGGCCCCTTCGTCCTCCCCTCCATTCTCCGTCACTCCCCAAGAATACCTAATAATCAACCTTCTCTTTTTACGCTTTTGATTCCCCGCATATTTCACAATGGTCAAGGAAACCAAGTTCTACGATATCCTCGGGGTATGTTGAGTCACAGTGCCTGGCCTTTGCAAGCCAGCTACATCCATCGTGGACATCCGATCTGACAGAGTGTTTCTTTGATCTAGGTTGCCCCCACTGCTACCGAGGCTCAGCTCAAGACTGCCTACAAGAAGGGTGCCCTCAAGTACCACCCAGGTATGTGATAACCCCAGAGACCCCGAAGGGCATGTTTGGGGCTTTGTGAAACTGACCCTTTGTCGCATTCAGACAAGAACTCCGACAACCCAGATGCCGCAGAGAAGTTCAAGGAACTTTCGCACGCTTACGAATGTCTTTCCGATCCCGAGCAGCGTCAGCTGTATGATCAGCTCGGTGAGGAGGGCCTGGAGCGCGGCGGCGGTGGCGGCGGCATGAACGCCGAGGATCTGTTCTCTCAATTCTTCGGCGGCGGCGGCGGTGGTGGTCCCTTCGGCGGAATGTTCGGCGGCGGCATGCGTGACCAAGGCCCCAAGAAGGCCCGCACAATCCACCACGTGCACAAGGTTAACCTCGAGGATATCTACAAGGGCAAGGTGTCCAAGTTGGCGCTCCAGAAGTCCGTTATCTGCGGTGGCTGTGATGGTCGCGGCGGTAAGGAGGGTGCTGTCAAGGAGTGCACAGGCTGCAACGGTAGCGGTATGAAGACCATGATGCGCCAGATGGGTCCCATGATCCAGCGCTTCCAGACCGTCTGCCCCGACTGTAACGGTGAGGGCGAGATTGTCCGTGACAAGGATCGCTGCAAGAAGTGTAACGGCAAGAAGACCGTTGTTGAGCGCAAGGTGCTCCACGTTCACGTCGACAAAGGTGTGCGCGATGGCCACAAGATCGAGTTCCGCGGCGAGGGTGACCAAATGCCCGGTGTCATGCCCGGTGATGTCGTGTTCGAGATCGAGCAGAAGCCCCACGCCCGCTTCCAGCGCAAGGGTGATGATCTGTTCTACCAGGCTGAGATCGATCTGCTTACCGCTCTTGCCGGCGGTGCTGTCCACATTGAGCACCTCGATGAGCGGTGGATGACCGTGAACATCGCCCCTGGCGAGGTTATCGTTCCTGGTATGTTACCTGTTTTTGATCCGCAAAACAATGAGTGTGTGGCTAATATTTTCCTTTCTAGATGCCATCAAGGTCATCCACGGCCAGGGTATGCCCTCTTTCCGCCACCACGACCACGGCAACCTGTACATCAAGTTCGATGTCAAGTTCCCCCAGAAGGACCAGCTCCAGAACCTGGACCTCCTGGAGAAGGTTCTGCCTCCCCGCTCGGAACAGAACGTTCCCCCCACCGACGCCATGGTTGAGGACTTCGAGCTCGAGAACCCCGAGAGCGAGCACGAGCAGGCCCGCGCTCACGGTGCCGCTGGTAGCATGGACGAGGATGACGAAGATGTGCCCGCGGGTGCCGAGCGGGTGCAGTGCGCTTCGCAGTAAAAGGATTATGGAGACAATTCCAAGCCGTTGAGGGTTGACGCTAGGCCAGTGATGAAAACCTCGCTTATGATACCATGTGAAGGTGGGCCAGTTTAACCCCGATTGACGCGGGGAAGTTTTATTGTTTTCTTCTGCTTTGCAATGGCGTTTCCTTTGAAGACCTGGAAGATATCATTTTCTCTTTTCTCCTGTCTTCTCGGTTTCCATTTCCTCTATCTTTTTTCTCCTGTAATCCTCTTTTCAAATCCTTCGTCTTGTCAAACCCTTTTTTTCTTCTTTTCCTCTTTTGCATACTATTTCCGGGTCCTTGATCCTTGCCTTTTCCTTGCTGTTTGTCGCCCATTTATGTTTTCCATGGGAACTGGGGTTTGGTGTGGCGGACTGGAGTTGCGCTGACGATGGGAAAGAGTCATGAACTGAAGACGGATAAGATGAGATCACGATTGCAGGCCTGCCTCTTGTGAACGGACCTCAAAAGGATCTGTGTTCCCGTTGCTTACTTCGTCTTTAGGGGCGAAGCCCTGGGACGTGGATTTTGCTGTGATCATGATGGATTCGTGTTTTCTTTCTTTTTTTTGTTAGCCTGCACTTTGATGATGACCTTTGAATAGACATGGTGTGTTTTCGTTCCAATGCATTTGCTCATCCGTAAGGATGGTCTTATTTCATCTGAGCTGTATCTCTGTAGTCGTAAGAGTTGAGAGTTCAGAAATAGGAGGCGGGAGTGCAAATTCGCTCTGAAGTCCTCAAGGTCCTCGTGGTTGAGCTTTTGTGGGACTAGCTCCGAGGCCATCTCCATGTACTCAATACTCGGGGTGTCCAAAATGAGACACGACAGAAAGCATCATGAGCAGAGTGATAGTTTGGACGAAGTCTATCCAGGACCAGACCAAAGTGACGCGGCGTTTGCTTTTCGCCTTCCAGAGCTGTCTATGACCGAAGCGGAAGAAAATGAAGTTATCGAATGATACCCAGCAAGGAAGAAGCACCGAATCTCTCCGCTTGGAAGTAACACGAAGACAAAGAGCCCATCTCAGACAAGAGACCTCCTGACAGTCTATCGCCTCTTTGGGGACAGGTTCCCAGCATAGATGTACGCATTACCTCTGAAAGACACACTACACCTAGCAAACCACAGCACTCATTAAAGTGCTTATAGCTGTGCCTGTCACACCATAGTGGGCAGCGTCTAGCAGCCTCACAGTGCATGATGGCTTGACTGATACGGCATTGTGTGGATTGCATGATCTCAATCTGATGCCATGGCGTTCAGCCCATCTCTGCTGGCATCTATCTAGCGGGATCACACGAAGACCCGTATGTTCTCAATGATATCCCATCTTCACGAAACCCAACCAAACTCCAACTCTCTATACATCGTCTGCAGTAACTACTAATGCCATCGAAAACACTGCCAAAGAATCATTTCACTTAGCAGTGTCATCCAAAGATTTCCAAACTTGCCTTCGAAGCTTCCACTACACGGAGAATCACCGAACAAGATATAAAAGCCCTGAAATCCATGGGAGGTCTGGGAACCTCCTCGAAGCCTGCAACTATCTTTGTGTGGTTATATCCACCAGGTTGCACGCTTAGATTCTGAATGTTTTAAATAGAAAACCTGAATATCAAGGAGGGAATACCGAGCGTGTCCATGTCCTCGATGGTTTCTCAGAGGAAGAATACTTACTGTGATCTCCCAGCAATGCACCAAAGTTCTGTCAGACTATGGAAACATCCACTTTAGATGTTCTCTAATATCTCACTTCATGTTTATCGTGATGGATCATTCTGACAGCAACCTAGACCAAATCTGAACCCAGCAACTAATTCTGGCTAATCGACACTACCGGATGCACAGACGATCGAAGATCAGCTAGACTACTAATTGATTAGCGGCGGATATTGATTTCCGAACCGGAGCTTTCCATCATGTGTGTTGTGTGAAGATTCAATGGAATCAGTTCAACTGAGATCGATGTCGGGGCTGCAGACCTATTCATTAGCAGGCCAGGATAGTAAAGAATGCTCATGCAATGCCACGGGGGTGCAACTATTGTCTAGTCATGTGAATGCGAGTTCAGTGGCCATAGGAGATGATTCCTTCTATTCGGGTGTAATATAGTGTACTTTTGAGATCATGAAGAAGCTTCTTTCGAAGTGAGTAGATACCGGAAACGGGACGATTGAATATGATATCCTTTTTACACGTTGCTGCTGTAGTGTAAGGGAATGGGATTGTTCGTCTAGAATTGTATGCTTCGATTGGCTTCATGGATGCTTTTCTCGATGAAATACCTCTAGACAAGGTGACGCGAAGTCTGAAAAAAGGAGTACGTGAGCTTCTTTGCTCCTGTGCTGCTGGTATAGAGCAAAGAACATCAACCGAACTATCTGGTTATGATAGAATATGACGGTATGTAGATCAATGGAGGGTTCGGCACCATGAAGCATGCTGACTTTCTACTTGATGGTTGACATTTGATAATGACTACGAATGCAAAGGGCTAGTAGGGTGAATGAGTAATTAGGAGGGATCTGCAGTATTGAAGCTGTCGAACCATAGACACTGTCTGTAGGACTATGGCGCTGGTCGATAAACCCCGCTTCTATTGATCGCCTTCTTCCATCTCTTCCATCTCGTTTGAATGCACGGTCGTCTTACTCTCCCGTGCAAGATCAGACCTCGATTGTGGTTGATGAGCGTAGAACAGCTCATACAACTGGAGAAAGTAGATAAATGTCTCTTTCTTTTCTTGCCATTCTTCTGTAGCCCCAAGATATATCAATGTTGGTTGGTTCGTCGGGGAAGGCTCCATGCACCGTGGTCACAAGTTCGGATAGAGTTATTGAGAAGAATGATACGTGCGTAATTTGCTTTCTCACAGGTTTCTTTGAATGGACGGTGAAAGACGACCCTCCTAAGTAGGGTATACGCTTCCTTACGGTGGTTTCTTTTCGATGAGTTCTTGTTGGAAGGCTGACGTACCGTATGGGAGACGGTATAAGATGAAAGCCGTGGAAGAGATAAGCGCATGCATAATAGCAAGGAGAAGATCAGAAGGTGTCAGTGAGCTCGATACTGAGATAGACCGATATAATCATACCGCGGAGTGATCCGAGGACTGGAGGTCTCAATGACACCGATGTACGCTGTAGATGAAGGGAGATATTCGAAAGGGCATTTCTGGGGACTTATTAGGTCTAGGTAACCAAGACACGAAAGCCCAACTATTGGGTAAATGGGATATGACTTGCTACTCCGGAGGTACAGCCGCGGTATCCTTGTCGGCTGTGAGATGAATCCCGACTTTATTCTGGATGACGGCATAAAGCACATGATCACGTCGCGATGCAATTTGCAAAGATCCAACTCGACCCGTCTACTCCAAACAAGCCAATCAGAACCCCAAGGATTATGCTCGACAGTCCTGTACCCGGCCCAGCTGACCTCAAGCTTTGAGACCACATCCGAGGATAGCCTAGGTACCTAGGCAGTGCGCACCGAAAACGCGGACCATCAGCTCCAAGCCGTGTAACAGCGCATCCATTTCCTCGGGTTTTCCCCGCAAAAGGCGACCCAAGCCCTGCATATGCATACACCCGAACCAGACCTGTGACATCAGCGAGAAAAAAATGGTCTTATATGGCGTGCTGGGAAATCTCCCAGTGTGATAGAAAGGGGATATCGGGGATCAAAAAAATTCAGAATCCCGAGCGCTAATAACGACACCTATTTTATATTAGCGGCAGGAGGTGTAGCGAGACGGCATTCCGTGTTCGGTCCTTCGCAGGGGTCTATGACTAGGGGTTGCTCGTATCGACGCCATCCGCCATGGGCAAATCGAGGCTGAAATCCAAACTCCGAGGAGAAGATGCACTTGAACTCTGGCGATGCTTGTTCCCCGTGTGCAGGTGAGCGGACGCGAAAGGAGGCGTCTGCAGATCCGGTCATATCAGCTGGAGCTGCATAGTGCGACGCCACATATTTGAGTTTTTTATTTTTTGTGCTTCGGGTGTTTTTGCTCTTTTGTGTGTAGAGTATGTGGTGTGATATAGGAGACGGGAGATGAGAGATGGAATGTCGTGATTGGGAAAGCACGAAGGATTGTGACATCAAGAGAGACTCACAGCGGCTAAAGCCACATGTGCATAGCTGAGCTAACAGCTCGGGATGACAGCCTCGTGGCACCATGTTTTAAGTTAAACGGACGCCGGGAGCCATTCCTTTCAAGTACTTTAGTTCGTTTAATCTCATGTATGTACAATTGAGTGTTAGGCCTACGATGCAGCTCGATGACGCGATTGAGATCGGGATTGCGTCTTGACGGAGAGGAGCCTCGGAATGCAAGGGACAGGGGGAGACTACCCTGGGTATGCATATCGTCAGATATCAGATCGCGACAATGACTTGTCACTGTCTAGTTCATGAATATTCCACTTGGACCCGGATATCAATGGCAAGTACGGAGTACGTTGTAAGATAATATACGTAGGACGGAACGGCCGTCGATCACAAAGGATGTACTCCGTAGTATGGTTAATTTTGGAAAGGAATTGAGATCAGTGCCGGTGCCTAACGGGGCAGATGTTCTGCTAGCCGTGCTATGCACCTAACAGATAGAGTAGGGAGGGCCGAGCTCACGGACCGCTGCCAAGGGAGGCTTTCATTTAAGAATTTTAACAGATGGACGGGGACCACGCGGCAGATGATCATTTCTAGATTACGGTGTGGAGCTCCCTAAGCAGGTTGAGTGTTGATGGATATACGGAGTACCTGTCGAGGTACCACTTACCCATAGTATTTGTTGCACTTTATACGAGTATAGCCTCCGTACTCCGTAGCCCATCCATGGATCCATGGATATCGAGAAGGTGGAGTCACAAAGTAAGTCTTTTTTTTTTTTGGAAAAAGAAATCCGAAAAAGAAATGTGGAAAAAAAAAACCAAAACGTGGATCTGGGTGCTTTCACCATCTCAACTTCCGATTGCGTGTTCTGCACGGTCCGTGATTGGTCTCGTGGTCCCCACTTAGGGATCGGCTTGGGGCAAATCTCTCGAAAAACCTCATTCGTCATATCGCTTCTTGGCTGTCTTTGTTGCTTTGGAGGTGCGAATAGGTAGCACAGAAACGGTTGACGAACAGTCAGGAGGACATGGTCACAACGATGGTCGTGTGCCAGGCAGGACTGCGAAAAAAAAAATGTATAAAGCTCAAGCATCCGCACGTCTGGAGTACCGTGGAGAAGTGTGCTCCACGACACCGTCACTCTTCCACAGTGGGACTGGGAACTCTTTGATCGGCTTGAGATCACTGGGCCGGATGAAATTCTTCGACGCTCGCTTGGAGAAGCCGGTTTTACTGCGACACATTCCTCACGGGCATATCCTGGAAAGCCTAGCCCTGAATTCTGAAGTCTGAAGTCTGAAGTGTGAGATCTGAGTGCTGGATTCGGAATTCAAAAGTCCCAAATCCCTTCAAGCGAGTTAAGCGGGCAAATCTTAATTGGAATCTGGGGAGCTTAGATATTGCGCCATCTGGGTCTGAATCACGCACAGCTCGGCCCTGTACTGTTCTATTCTTTTTTCTTTTTTTGTCGCGCCATGCGTGATTGTCTGATTTGACATAAACTGGGAATCTCTTTATATTCCTGATCGTCCGCACATTCTGAAAACTCACCAAAGCTACTATCACAACGTGGTTGTGGTTCCCTAGCTTCGTCCAATCCGGGCTTTTGATATTGTCAACTCCGGTCTGTACAAGCAACCATGAGTAGTGAGACCAGGTCCAAACTGGGCCATGCCCTGGCCAAGGGTCTCGGCATCAAGCTCGCTTACAGAGATCCTCTGGGTGCGACCACCGACCCCGTCACGAGAGGCGAATCGACATTTTCTATGGGCACCGTCGACACATATTCATACAACGAGCCCGAACCGACAAGCATCGATTGGATTCGCGAAATTATTCCCACCGGACCAGAATTCGGCAGATATTTGATCAATCTCTTCCCTTTTGTCACATGGATCGGAAACTACAACCTGCAATGGCTGTGGGGTGACTTGATTGCCGGTATCACCGTGGGAGCCGTCGTCGTGCCGCAAGGTATGGCCTATGCCGCTCTGGCTGGCCTGGAAGTGCAATATGGACTGTACTCCTCATTCATGGGAGTCTTGATTTATTGGTTCTTTGCCACGTCAAAGGATATTACTATCGGAGTGAGTGATTTCCACGAACGGATTGAAAGAGAACCTCAACTGACCTCATTCTGTAGCCCGTGGCGGTCATGTCAACCCTAACTGGAACGATCGTGGCGAAGGTCCTAGATGAATACCCCGACTATCCGGCCCATTTGGTTGCATCTTCTCTTGCAGTCCTCTGCGGTGGTATTGTTTTTGTACTGGGAATTTTACGACTGGGTTTCATCGTCGATTTCATTCCCCTGCCTGCTATCTCAGCCTTCATGACTGGCTCTGCTCTGAGCATTTGCTCGGGACAGGTGCCCACCATGCTGGGTGAGACTGCCAAGTTCGATACCCGTGGTGCCACTTACATGATTATCATCAATACCCTCAAACATCTTCCGAGTTCGACATTGGATGCTGCTATGGGTGTTACTGCCTGCGCAATGCTGTATATCATCCGTTCTGCATGCACCTACGCCGCTAAGAAGCAACCTGCCAAGGCCAAGATTTGGTTCTTTGTCTCGACCCTTCGCACCGTGTTTGTGATGTTGTTCTACACTATGATCAGTGCCGCCGTCAACTTGCACCGCAAGGACGACCCAGCGTTCAAGCTTCTTGGCAAAGTTCCTCGGGGTTTCCAACAGGCCGCCGTGCCTACTATGGACCCGAAGATCATTTCGGTGTACGTTGGCGAGTTACCAGCTGCGGTGATCGTTCTCTTGATTGAGCATATTGCTATTTCCAAGTCTTTCGGTCGTGTCAACAATTACACCATCGATCCCTCCCAGGAATTCGTCGCTATCGGTGTTAGTAACCTCCTTGGACCTTTCCTTGGTGGCTACCCCGCTACTGGATCTTTCTCTCGGACTGCCATCAAGTCCAAAGCCGGAGTCCGAACACCTCTGGCCGGTTGTATCACCGCCGTCGTGGTCCTTTTGGCTATCTACGCTCTCCCTGCTCTTTTCTTCTACATCCCCAAAGCGTCCCTGGCCGGTGTCATTATTCACGCCGTCGGTGATCTGATCACTCCCCCTAACGTGGTGTACCAGTTCTGGCGTGTCTCCCCGCTTGATGCCATCATTTTCTTCATTGGTGTCTTTGTGACTGTTTTCACTTCAATTGAGAATGGTATCTACTGCACAGTCTGTGTGTCGATTGCAGTCTTACTGTTCCGTGTGGCCAAGGCCCGCGGTCAGTTCTTGGGCCGTGTCACGATTCACTCCGTTGTTGGAGACCACCTTTTGGATGGCGAAGGAAAGTATGGATCGTTGGGCAACAACAACAAGACTCCCTCCGCTGATGAGGAGCGCCACCACCGGACCATCTTCCTTCCCATCAACCACACCGATGGCTCCAATCCTGACATCGAAGTGGAGCAGCCTCTCCCCGGTATCTTCATCTACCGCTTCTCCGAAGGCTTCAACTACCCCAATGCAAACCACTACACCGATACCTTGGTTCAAACCATCTTCAAAAGCACCCGCCGAACGAACCCGCACGCCTACCGCAACCGGGGTGAACGTCCCTGGAACGATTCCGGTCCCCGCCGCGGCAAGGAGGGCAGTGACGATGATTCGCACCTACCTCTTCTCCAAGCCGTCATTCTGGACTTCTCATCCGTTAACAATGTCGATGTCACCTCCATTCAAAACCTTATCGATGTGCGTAACCAGCTGGATAAATACGCCTCCCCCCGCTCCGTGCAATGGCACTTCGCACACATCAACAACCGCTGGACGAAGCGTGGCCTGGCTGCCGCAGGCTTTGGCTACCCAACACCAGTCAACAGTAGCGATGGCTTCCACCGATGGAAACCCATCTTCAGCGTGGCAGAAATTGAAGGCAGTGCCTCAGCCGCTGCTCACGCCGAGATCATTGCCAACCAGCGCGAGCACGCCTACCACCAGAGCGAGGATATCGAATCTGGCCTCAAGGCCAAATCCGACACCACCGAGGTCGAACCCCATGGCATCGAGACTTCCTCCTCCGAGACCTCCGAGGTCATCCGGGATGACAAGTTCCAGCGCGATATCACGGACAGCAAGGCATACCAGGGTCGTCCCAAGGTTGCGCTCGTGCAGGGCATGAACCGGCCTTTCTTCCACATCGATCTCACCAGCGCTCTTCAAAGCGCCGTTGCCAACTCCTCGGACGAGATCCCTCACATTGGTTGATTCGTTTCTCTCTACATTCTACTCTTCGGTTTGCATTGCATCTCATGCTTGCTGTACCGCTGCATCGATCGATTGTTCCTCCCTGGCTTGGAGTTCGATCTGATATGCCCCTGCTTATGACCTGTTAATATCCCTTTCTACACCTCATGTTTTGCACATTCACATACTCTTTATTGTTGTCACTTAGCCTGTCTATATTGGATGCATTCCATGAACTTGACCATGGACATCTTGTTGTGAACTGTTTGTTTCGGCTCTATTCCCCTTGGTTTTGCGCTGGTTGGTTTATTTGAACCGGATATGATTTTTTTTGGCCCTGTTGGTTTGGGAAGCAAATGATTCTTTTAGAAAGAATTTCTCTTCTGCATGACTAGGGTGATACCCATTTGGATTAAATAGTCATTTTTGATAGACAGCTTGGTGAATTGATTCCATCTGAGCGGTTGAACATGTGGCCAGTGCATAGTGTAGGTGTCTCATCTAGCTTAACCCTCCAATCAACAGCAACCAGGCTTCAGATCTAAGCTGCAGATGCAAATGTCTTGCATATATCTAATCGATAAACAATCGCCCACGCCCTGTCTTCTATCATCTCCACTTCTTCCGATTCTAAGCGCTCAAACCCAATCCACCCGATCCACACATCGTGGAGGATACAGATTTTTACTCAAACTCTACATTGGTTTTTAGTATTTTACACCATCTATATAACCATACAGAGCTAGTTAAAGCACCATCAAGCAACAACAGCCTCAATGGCAGTAGAATACTATATAAACCTGCATTGTAGGTAACAATAAAGCCTGCAGCTAAAGACAAATCCCGAAGCTTAAAACTCAAAGGAGGCAAGGTCCCTTCCTAATCCGCACTAGCGCGAACCATCCCGCTCACATCTATATAATTTTTTTTCTTCGGCTAAGTCTCTTCAGCATATCTGGCCGGGGCCCCATAGTTTAATTTTAAAAGCACTAGAATCTCAATATTAAGAGTCTACGGACATTCCAATTCCCTTTTCCCGCTTCTCCAATACATCCCAAAATGGCCACCGAATCAAAAAGCACAGGAATCTCCGTCCAAGAACTCGACGCTTCAAATCTAGAAGCAAGACCAAGAATAACCAACCATGATCCCGCCACAATCCCCTCTGAAGACGATATCATGCAACAATCCCTCATAGAAGACGCCCAGGTCCCCGATGGCGGCGAAGCCTGGATCGTTATCTCCGGCTGCGCGGTGCTGACCTGGTGGTGTATCGGGACTCCGTACTGCTGGGGAATTCTGCAGGCAGCGCTGGTGAAAGAGGGGGTGTCGACATCGTCGACGCTGGCATTTGTCGGGTCCCTCGCGACAGCGTGTGTTGCGTTCCTGGGACTTCTGAATGCGCAGATTGTTCGGAAGCTTGGGACGCGGAAGTCGGCTTTTGTCGGGGTGTTCTTTTTGGGGCTTGGGGAGGTGCTGAGCGGGTTCTCGGCTATGAATATTGGGGGATTGTTTGCTACTGCGGGTGTTGTTATGGGCTTTGGGATTAGGTGAGGGCTTTCTTTTTGGATTTTATTGTTTCCATTGGGGATTTGACCTCATGTTGGGAGTGTTATGTTATGACTATGGAATTGGATTGTACTGACGATGTCTGTTTTAGTCTTTGCTTTATGGTTGTCTCTGTTACGCCGGCGCAGTATTTCCGTGCTAAGCGCGGTATCGCCAATGGCATCGTTTACGGGGTTGGTGGACTTGGCGGCGCGGTGATTAGTTTTGTGATGGATGCGCTGCTCGATCGTGTGGGTGTGCAATGGACGTTTCGAATCATCGGCTTCGCGATCTGGGCTACTGGTTTACCGGCTGCGTATTTGATTAAGCAGCGGGTTCCGATTGCGCGGTCTGCCGTTGTCGATTGGTGAGTTGTTATCTTTTTTTTCACTGTCAACGCAGCCCTTTAACATTTCCCACAGGCGTTTGTTCCGCAATATTCGCTTCTGTCTCTTGTTTGCAGTCGGCGCAATTGCTACATTCCCGCTTCTAGTCCCGCCGTTCTTTTTGCCTCTCTTTACGGCTTCGCTGGGGATGTCGTCTAGTACGGGAGCGGGTATTGTTGCGGCGTTCAACTTTGCTTCTGCGCTGGGGAGACTATTGTGTGGAGTTTGCAGTGATTTCTTCGGACCGCTGAATACGCTGTTCATGTCTCTTCTGCTGAGCGCGCTTAGCATGATGATTATTTGGCCTATCTCGACTTCGATTGGGCCTTTGATTGTTTTTGTTATTGTCAATGGTATGGCGAATGGTGGATTCTTCTCGACTATGCCTACCGTTGTGGGGAATACCTTTGGTTCAGCCAGAGTGTCTGTTGTTATGGGCATGGTTGTGACGGGCTGGGCTGGAGGTTATTTGCTTGTAAGTTTGACGGTTGTTTTCGGCTGTGCTTTTCTTGTACTACAGGCTTGCGTTGCTAACTATATATGTAGGGCGCCCCGATTGCCGGGTATATCCTTGATGCTGCAGGTGGAGAAAGCAAAGGCATGACAGCATATCGAGCAGCGATTTTCTATGCTGGTGGAATGGCCATTCTTGCGACGCTCATCGGGCTGGCTATTCGGCTGAAGACCGATAAACATCTGCTGAAGAAGCTATGAGACCGCGGTTAGGGGGGAGTTATGGGGGCCCAACAGAATATCCCAAGTTGTACTTTATCATTTGTAACACAATTTATAGACCAAAATATCATCAAAATCGAGAATATCTAGGCCAGTTTACTAGACTTTCTCTGCCGGGGGTTTCCTCTCTTAGCTGCCGTATGAGGGAGCCTGAGGAAACTCAAGGGTTGTCACTCTACATGCCAGCAGCCAGCTTAGATCTAAGCGCGTCTTTTAGGGTACTTTTTATTTCTCTTCTGGGTCAATAAGTTGGAGTTCTTATCTAGTTACTCGGGGTAGCCAATGCTTGGACTCCCACATTGACTTTGATATAAAGCTTTCCCCATTTGGCTTAGTGCATGTCTCTTACTTCTCTATGAGGTCTACACTTTGTGTTTCGGCTTTCACAGAGCACTTTTCCCAACTCTCGCCTTATTCTCTTCCAAACGCCCAGCTTTACTAAGCTTTCATTCGCCAATACCATCTTCATCCATCATTGAAAAACCGATGAAGCCAGTATGAACAACCCTGAAACTGCTGAGTTCCTGTGCAGCCTCGAAGGCACGGATGTCACCCTCGATCCATCATCCGAGCCACCTCTCCACCTGCCCCGCCAAACCTGGGTGATCGATAAGAAGCTCTCTGAACGATCTCAGCCGATGACCCAGCAGGACGTTACTGATGGCCTTGGACTCCCGTTCGCAGCTGCCAAGTTTCTCTGCCATCGCAAGGAAGATCCCAGCAAGAAGACTTTTATGCGTATTTATCTACAAATTCCTGTCATTGGCACTCGATATCAGAGCCCTCAGATCCGACGAAAGCAGGCTGCTCAGCCACAGCCACACGTCGAGTTGACAACTTTGAAAGCGCTCAAGGAACTGGGATGCGATGTTGTCCCTGACCTCCTTGCTTATCAAGAGGGACAGCAAGGCGAAGATGGTATCGTTCCGGGAGGATATACCACTTATATAGTCTGGGATAAAGTCCCCGGGGAGCCTCTAAGCGCAGAATTCTGGGAGCTAGACCTTCAGTCACGCCAAGCGATCCGCGATAAATTTCGTGAAGCCTTTCCGTAAGTTGATAGAACTCTCTCTTACTTGGCGTGCTCTTAATTGATATGGAAACCAGAAAGCTGAAGAAGCATGGCTACCTACCGCGTATGTCAACCATGTCGAAGATCATCTATGACAACGCCACCGGGAATATGTACCGCTCTATTCGTTATTGAGTATCGAACACTACAGGCTGACAACAATTAGGCATTTCTCGGGGTTTTCACGCGCAGGCCGTACTGATACCAACGAAGAGTGGGATGACAAGTACTATGTTCTGTTTCGTTTGGCCAGACCATCTCCGAAGACGAAAGATTGGGCCAAGGATAGCACAGGGTGGACTTGGTGAACAGTGTAGATACTTTGCTATAGATACTGTGCTGTAGATCCTACATTAGTGGCAATCAGACAAGCCGCAATGCCACAGAGCCAGGACTATGAGGGTCTACAAGAGTCAATTTCATCAGTAGTAGATTCAGCTTACTCTAGAGACCAGGAATAAGGGCATGTCTCCGTTCTCTTTCATCTTCGAGTGTACTTGTCTTGTTTATCAGTTCCGCTGACCTTCCTTTTCCAACCTTCGTCAAAGTAGTATACCCTTCTTATGGTCACCCACTTGGATTGCACATAGTACCTGAAGGATTCATAGCGAAGGCGATACAGATCCCACCGCTTAGATCCTACTGCTTAAATCAGGGTCATCGGACTGCTCAGCTGAGGATTAGGGAGCTTGTGTACTCCGTAACGCCCACTGATCAGATCGGAGAGGGGTGTGCTCAATTCAACTCAGGGATCAAAAAGCAGCGGGGAGGTGAGCACTACAAATGAAAAGAGCAGGCCAAGAAATGGCATAAGTCTGGTACTCCGTCCATAGGCAACAAGCCCGCACTCCGTAGCGAGGCATCGCAACGGCCGAGGTTAAGCGGGAAACCCAAGGACTGCGAAGTACGCCGCATCCACCAGAACGTCAAATCAACAACTCGCCCTTAACAGGTCCTATTTAGTTCTCATTCCCAGTTCCCCAGTTCCAGAGTCACAGCTACATGAAAAATGTTTTCAAATTCTCCCATGAGTTTAAAAGCAGCCCGTCTGGCACGGCCAGCATTACACAATCTAGCCCGGGCACGCCAATCACCAATCAGAGCATGCATCGCGCAGTATAGCTCGCACTCACCAATGGGGTCGACGGGCGGTTCACGCAAGAAAGTGACCATTCAAACCATCCAGAACCTCTACAAAAAGAATGAGCCCATCACTGTCCTGACCGCATCCGATTTCCCGAGCGGACATATCGCCGACACGGCCGGGATGGAGATCGTGCTTGTGGGCGATAGTCTGGCGATGGTCGCAATGGGCATGGAAGACACGAATGAAGTAACAATGGATGAGATGCTGCTGCACTGTCGCAGTGTAAACCGCGCCGTGAAAAGTGCTTTCACGGTAAGTGTGTGGCTTAGACCCGGCAAGGATAGGGTATCTTTCTAACAGCAACCAGATCGCAGACCTGCCGATGGGCTCATACGAAACCACGCCCGAAAAGGCCCTCACATCCGCTATCCGGATGGTAAAAGAGGGCGGGATGAAAGGCGTGAAACTCGAAGGCGGCGCGGAGATGGCCGCGACCATTCGCAAGATCTCGCAAGCGGGTATCCCCGTCATGGCGCATATCGGACTAACGCCTCAGCGCCAGCACTCGCTGGGCGGGTTCCGGGTGCAGGGTAAGTCGGCTGCTGGTGCGGTGAAGCTGCTCCGGGATGCGCTGGCGGTGCAGGAGGCTGGGGCTTGCATGGTGCTGATTGAGGCTGTGCCGCCGGAGATTGCGGCGATTGTGACGCAGCGGCTGAGGGTGCCGACTATTGGGATTGGGTCTGGGAATGGGTGCTCGGGACAGGTTCTTGTGCAGGTTGATATGTTGGGGAATTTCCCCGAGGGTCGGTTTTTGCCGAAGTTTGTTAAGAAGTATGCGGATGTTTGGGGGGAGGCGAGGAGGGGGGTAGAGGCTTATCGGGAGGAGGTTAAGAGTAGGGCTTTCCCTTCGGAGGAGTATACTTATGCTATTTCGAAGGAGGTTTTGGAGGAGTTTGAGAAGGTTGTTGATGAGGTTTCGTGTGAGAAGGCTTAGTCCAATTTAAGTGGAAATGTGTTTTGAATGGCTTTTTCTAAACCTTTGGAGTAGATTCCAAGAGTATGCGTTAGGCGTAGGATTTTGATATTTGTACATCAACGAGGCGAATCCAAGATGTCAAGAAGCTTATAGCCCGCGGGAATCTAGGCAATGAACACGAAAACGAGAGAGAAAGAGCCGAGTATCAAAATGCATGTAACATTCCAATTCGTACAAAACATATACAACCCCCCTCTAACTATCGATACCCAAAATCCACGACCCCATTTTAGGAAACATCCCAACAGCTAAGGCTTACCGCAAAACACCACCGACACCAGCCCACCCAAGAACGAATCCGCTAAGTGCCTCACTCATAACACCACCACCAAACCAAACGTCCCTCCAAGCACCCTTGCGCAGAATCTTCCTGGAACCAGGCTTTCCCCCAAGCTGCATGCGCACAGTCTGGTTCTTATCCATCTCGAGAACACCCTCGATCTCACCGGTGTTGCTTCCGGGGAAGTACGAGCCGGCGCCTGCACCGCCGGAGCGGTGGATCAGCACGGCGTGGAAGAGTCCTGATACTAGGATTGTGCCAAGGAAGTAGAAGGCGAAGCCGTAGGTTGATTGCAGGGCTAGAATTCCGGCGGAGAGGCCGAGGAGGAAGGAGGTTAAGCTGTGGAGGGAGGAGAGGACCTATTTTCCAAGAGTTGGGTTAGTTGATGTGATATTCAGAATCGAGGATCTGGGTCTAATATAGCTTTGGGGGATCTTGGTGTTGGACAAGATGATAGGGGCGGGGAGGGGTTGGATGGAGGAAACCGTACGCGATTGTTGTGCTGGACAGCCTCAGGCACAAGAGGATTGATGAGCAGGGAGAGCTCCTGCTTGGTAGGTGCCATTGTGACTGCTTTGTCTTTTGGGTTGCGATTTGATGTAGTTGGTGCTTGGTTCGAGGTTGCGCTGCGTGGCTCGTAGGTGATGACCCCGTCTTGAGTGGAGCTGTTCTAAGACTGACTGGAAACCCAAGGCTCTTCCTGATAAAAATGTCGTAGCTAGAGATATTCTCGTGGACGGCTCGCAGTGGCTCTTGGCTTGAACAGATGGAAGTCGGAGGTGGCAGCGCGAGTTTCTAGAAGCGCACGGACCACAATCGCCAGATAGCCGCAACCCTGCCTGGAGACCAAACGGTGCACTACATTCGAGGAACTGTCTCTCCAAGCATTCAACGTAAATCCAATAAATCATGTTCATATCTACTATTAACCCGAATCCGATGTTCAATAATCCCCGAGCCCTTCTCATGAATCCGTTCACATCACAGCGTTTGATACATTCCAGATTCCCATGTCCCCGATTATGCTGCAAAGATCGCAGAGAAAGAAAATACCAGTTTCATGAAGTCGCTGACTTTAAATTCAAAATATGACGTGAATTAGACCAGATTTTCAAATTTGCCATCGACACGGGCCTCCTTGACCTGCTCAAAGACCTGGCGGAGATGTTAGTGATAATCAGAGACGGATAACTACATCAAGCAACGCTTACCTTCAGCATTTTGTTACGGGCGCCCAGAGCATTGACACCGCGCTCCTCCAGGGCCTTGTCATCCAGATCAACCAGATCAGTCCACTGCAGGTCCTTCAGGTTATCGGTATACTTGTGCAGCCTGAGGGATCGCAGCCAGCTGGGGATATCCTTCAGAAGAGCAGGGTCGGTGGGATCCTCGGGCGGCTTCGAGCTGCCACGGCGACCCCGCGGAGAGCGGCCGCGAGTAACCTCCGAGTGGTCTGACAGATAGCCTTCGCTACCCAGACCGAATTGCCCCATGTTCAACGAACCCAGTCCGTTGCCCATGAGAGGGTTGTTCGGGTCATATGCCGCCAGGAATCCGTTGTTTTGCGGCGAAGTGAAACCCATTGGGGTCAAGCCACCACCGTGCATAGCAATGCCCGGCGATGTTGGGCGCGACCGTCTACCAGCCATGGCCGCCTGTTGCTGGGCCTGCAAAGCTGCCAGCTGTTGAGTGTTGAGAAGCTGACCGGCCACCAAGTGCTGTCCACCCAGGCCTGGGCTTGCCAGTCCCTGGGAGATAGTTGGGTTTCCGTGAGAGTTCTTGCCCTGGCCATCATTAGAGCGAGCACGGCGGTACTTGCGCGCATCGTCCAGAGCAATGCGGTTGTTCACCGTCGACAGAGCTGCCAGCTTCATTGCGGTGGCATTGGCCACCATGTCAGCGTGGGTGTTGGAGTTCTGGTGCGATTGCTGACCGAAAGTCGCAGTCATCGGAGTGTTGGTCATCGACGCCCAGCTGTGGTTTCCAACGTTGTAAGGCGAGAGCAAGGGAGGCTCGATATCAGGAGGAGGGATATTAGCAGTCTGGGGCATTGGTGAGCGCATACCCGAAGGCTGGCTGCTGAACTGGCCCATGGGCTGGTGTCCGGAAGACGACTTGGGGCGAGCGATCGGAGGCTGCGTGTCTGAAACGCCACGCTGGGCCCACGGAGAGGCAGGCGGTTGACCCAAGCTGTCGGAATTGTTGTCAGGCGCCGAGATGGTGGGGGCCACGAAAGAGCCGCGATCGAAGACTGCGCTATTGCGGTTCGACGGAGGCGCGTTACCAGTTTGCTGAGTAAATTCGGCCTTCTTCTTTGCGATAGCAGCAGCAGCGTCCGGGAACATCGCATTGATGGTAGACGGGTCCAGAACGGAGTTACGCTTCGCGCCAGGGGATGGCGGAGGGCGTCCGAGGGAGTTACGGGAGGGCTCCATATTAAGCTTCGACATAGCATCACTCAGACGACTGGACATGGCATCTACATGACGAAAGCGAGTTAGTAATATCTCAAAGATGGTGCTTGCAACGGAACATACCCTTTTCGCCGAAATTAGCAGGAGAGAGCAGGCCGGACATCGGGTGGCCCTGAGACATTTGCTGCAGGACTTGGATAAAGAAGCGAATCTGCACCTGAGTGGTCTGCTGCAGCAAAGCATACAGAGCCGCGGTTCTCTCAGCCTCACTCAGCACACGGAACCATTGCTCGATGGCACTGAGTTCATCCTTGAAGTCCTGGTCAAGCGTAGCAGCTGCCATCTCCTCCAATGTAGTTTCGTACTGATCAATGTCCGCAAGCCATTGTTGAGCGGCACGATCTAAAGCATCCTCCGTCGCATTTTGACCTTGAGTTTGTTGATTGAAAAAGACCTCCGACGATGGACGGATGCTTCGGGCTGACAGCGGCGAAGGAAACCCGGACATGTCTGCCGACGCCCGCAGCTGGTGGGATCCGAGGTTCCGCGATGAAGATGGAGGACGGAGAGTTGAATTCGAGGCTTCGGGGGTGCTGTTGCGGTTGCCAATGATATGACTCGCCATGGTTTAAGGCGACGTGTTGGAAGGATGACTAGTAAATACAGTGGGGGGAAAATGGATTACTGCAAAACACCTGCAGCACCTGCTGAGTTTGCGTAACAAATAGAATCAAAAATCCCTAAACCAGGATCCAGGCCGAGATCCCAAGGTATCGAATGACGCTGAAAAGATCCAGATCTCGTCAAGATGGTGTGGCACAGACCAGTCCAGTGGGCTGCACCTGAGAAAAATTAAGGCCTGGAACGAAAGGAAATTGAGACTTGAAGCAATAGTGTGTCAAACACAGACAAGCCACAGAGTCCCAAAGAAAGGGGCAAAAGGAAGGAAAAGGGCCAGAGAGAGGAGGTGAGGTGGAAAGAGGAGAGGAGGAGAGATGGGGATGAAGAAGTTTGGTGAAGAGGCTTTTCTGTTTCAGGCCGCGATCACGGGTTCCCGCGAACTCTCAACATTCCTTTCTTTTCTTTTTTTTTACTTGAGCTCCAGCTGCTTTTTGAAGATCAGATCTTCTTTCGATTTTGCTTCTGCCTTGGTCTTTCTTGGGAATTCAGTTTCTTTCCTTCCAGCTGAATAATTCCTTCAGCCTGGTGGGGATGTTACTATGAATATCTGCCGAGCCCAGACCTAAACCGTTTCTGCTCCAACTAGGTATATTGGATTGATAATGAGCCCCGATTTGGCTAGCAGACTACATTTTTGATGATTGGCCCTCATCTGCAGCTTTGATCTGGTCCAGTGAAGACGTCTGATTGGATTTTCAATTCCCAGCCGCGGACAACAATTGTGGCCATGGACTCCAAGTATTACCCGGATGGGATTCCTCTGGATGAGGAAATGCAGGAGGAACAGTCGGCATATCCGGATATTGATGGACCTGCGCACTCTCAATGGCAAAGAGACCAAAACAACCAAAACAACCAATCTTTTGACATCGGGAATATGCTTGCCTCGGTGATTGATCCTCGTTTGTTTGGCGAGCAAGTCCCACAAGCCCACCTACAAAGCATCAATCAGTACCCTCAGCCTCCCCATGAAGACGGGCACGACGTCGAAGATGAAAAGGATGAGGCTGAAGCCAATGGCCTTTACCCGGATGAATACGACCATCAGCAGTATCCTCCTTTGCCAGGCGAGGGAGCTGCGTCAGACGACGAGGACTTTGTATTATCCGAGGACGAAAGCGAGAGGTACGTATGCGGACACAGTACAGCTCTAGCTTGCGCTAACAAGATACTAGTGAGGACGAGGAGGATGAACCTGCAGAGGATGATGACGATGATCATTCAGCCGCCAGCAGACGTCGCCGGCGCGGAGGTGGACGCTTTTCTGGGAGATGGGGTGCTAGGGGTGGTAAGGGCATCAAAAGAGGACCTCGCAAACCAATAGAGCCTAGTCCAGAATTCAAGCTTCTTCATTCGGAGGCTACCTCTGCCTTCATTGATGGGGACTACGAACGAGCCATTGACCTGGTGATGCAGGCTATTCAGATCAACCCTGAGATGTTTGCCGCCCATTCCCTGCTCTCAGAAATCTTCCTCGCACAAGGAGAAAACGACAAAGCCCTGGCAGCTCTATTCAACGGAGCTCATACTAGGCCGAAGGATCCTGGCGTTTGGATTAAAGTTGCCCGACTCATCTTAGATCGCGCTGGAGACAACCGGCAGTCTGCTTTGCACGATGTTGCTTATTGTTACAGCCGCATTCTCGAAGTTGATTCTAGCAACCACAATATTCGATTCCAGAGAGCGGCGATCTATCGGGAGCTTGGTCAAAACAACCGAGCCGCAACAGAGTATGAGAGATTGCTCAAAGAGTGCCCACACAGTGTCAGGGCCTTACGCCATCTTGCAGAGACCTACATTGATCTTGACAACGTACAAAAGGCGGTGGATCATTATGCGAACAGTATTGATCACTACCTATCGCTAGACCCTGAAGATTCCGAGTTCACCTGGTCTGATCTTAACATCTATGTTGAGCTTTTTGGGTACTTGAAACAACCGGAAGAAGGACTCATATCTTTGAATATACTTGCACGCTGGCTTCTTGGTCGTGTAGAAGATATAGTATGGGACGGTTGCGACGATGATGACAGAGAATGGGACGCGGATGATTCGCCTCGACGCATCAAGACTGATAAATTTCAGCCTGGCCAGTGGCCTCGGGAATCGTATGGCCTTGGTCTTCCATTGGAGCTTCGGATAAAAATGGGTATTTTCCGTCTGAGAATGGGTGACAAACATCATAGCGAGGCATTGGTGAGTTTGGTCTTGATTAAAATAGAATGACTGAATAAGCATGCTGACGGAATGCGGCCAGCATCACTTTGAATGGCTTAATCCAGAGGACGATTCCGAAGGTGCTCGGGTTTTCGACTATGGTGATCTTTTCAGAGAAGTGGCAGATTCTCTAAAACAAGCCGGTCTGTTAGAGGAAGCACTCCGATACTACTCGCCCATCCAGCAGACCTCTGAACATGCCGACATCAGCTTTTTCATGGCTATGGCTGATTGTTGCATGAAGTTGGGCAAGATGGAAGATGCGGAGAGCTGTTATCTACTCGTCGCTGAGCATGATGCTAGTCATATGGAATCTCGAGTTCTACTGGCGAAGCTATACGAGAGCCTTGGTATGAGCGAACAGGCCATGAAATATGTCAGCGAAGCAGTCTTGATTGGCAGGCAAGAGAATCGCAACAAACGAAGAAGAAAGGACACCAGACTTGAACAGCTTGCCATTGAGTTTAAAATGGCCGAAACAGAAACTCTCCGCCCACTCGCACCTAGACCAGCACCGGTAGCAGCACTGATGAATGCGCTTCCCTCGGCACCTGGCAGAGGGCGCCCACAACCTGGTGAAGGTACTCGTACTGAGGATATCCAATTCTTGTACTCAAAGTTATTGGAACTACACCCCCAACTCAAAGATGGCAACGCTGCCGCCACTGAAGACTGGCTTGACATTGCCGATGCTTTGTTGCGAGACTTCCGGAATAATCGAATTTTCTATCCAGAAGATCGTAGTATCACCTTCATGGGATATTCGACTGGTCCAAGACCCAAGGGAGCCCGAACCAAAAGTGGCGCAATGATGGATGAAATGCAGGAAATGGCAGGCCGTCTCCAGGAGACCATGGGTATGTCACTTCTGTAGAATATAGTAGCGCTAAACTAATGTTGCAATCAGGAGATGTCTCGGAAGAGCCTCTGCATGGCGCTATTCCCACAGACTACCATGGGATACCATTTGATGAATGGCTTGATATCTTCTTACAGTATGCTCTACTTGTGACAGAACAAGGCGAGGCAGAAGAAGCCTACGAGACACTTGATTCTGCGGCACTTGCAAGCGTCTGGTTGCACTCCAAGCCCAAGTCGCGAATGATTCATGTTTGCTGGTTCAGTGAGTCCCTTCACTCCACTGCCAGATGACTATCTACTGACTCGTTTATTAGCATGCGCTCTCCGTGCACGAGATGAAGAGACTCTGGCGCATATTGCTCGCTGGTTTATCAAAGAATACCAGTTCGTCACCGACACCTACCGACTTTTCTCTATGCTGAGCCACCTATGCGGCGATCCACACCGATCTCTCTTCCATTCGTCTGGAAACATGAAATTCATGCTTCGCCAAATTAAGGCGATGGACTTTACGATGCCACATGATACTCCTCGACCTATCCGACACTCTGTCTGGAAAGAGCGCGCCACTCTCTCTACACGAGATGAAGCTGGCGAGCCAATCACCGCGAAAGCTTTGGACATTGCTCTTCTTGTACTCTATGGCCACATGCTGTACTCCGGAAACAGTTTCTACCCGGCTCTCAACTATTTCTTCCGAGCGTATGCTCTGGACGACCAAAATCCGGCTGTTCTTCTATCCATCGCACTCTCATTCATCCACCACTCTCTCAAACGACAGTCCGACAATCGGCACTATCTCATCATGCAAGGGTTGTCGTTTATGCACGAATACCGCTTAGTACGTGAGAGGCCGGGCACTCTTCTAGTCGAAAAACAAGAAATGGAATTCAATTCCGCTCGCGTCTGGCACTCTCTCGGTTTGGCCCACCTGGCAGTCGAGGGCTATGACCGGGTTTTACAACTGGGCGAGCAGATCCAGGAAGAGGCAAAGCAAAAGGCCCTTCACAAAGAATCATCTGCGGAAAACGATAGTGATGTGGCTATGGGCGATGATGGTCAACAACAGGAGACTTCGTCACCCGGTAGCCAGTCTTTTGTTGAGGATTTCACTCGCGAGGCAGCTTATGCACTTCAATGTATTCATGTTCTCAGCGGCGATGTCAAAACTGCAAAGGCTCTTACTGATAAGTGGCTTGTTATTTGATATATTTTCTTCGCAGTCCATTGCTTGATTATTTGTACAATATTTGATGAGTAGCTCAGTGCCAAGATGATAGATTCATTTGAGAAGCCAATTCAAACCCAGCCCTATCAAAAACATCCTTTGCATCTTTGATTGTTATGAAATAGGAGACAAATGACCGCGGAGCTGTCCGCATCATCGACCACAGCGCGTGTGGGGGCCGAAGCCGAGTGCGGAAATAGGGAAATGGGTGAGATTCTTGATAATCAGCAGCTTCACTGCGTCTTCTAGCGGTTTCTTAGTGCCTAGAACGCGGCTATCCTAGTCTACACATCCAATCGGTGGTTTATTTTTTTTCCGTCGGAGCATTTTTACGCAATCCTGCACAGTCTCCCCCTATACCAGATGTTCATATCATTCTGCTTCGTTGATGTCATTGGAATAGCGAAGAACATACGACTAGATAATATCCCACGCCTTAGCAAATGACTGCAGAAAGTAATCCAGTGGAAAATGATTCCAATTCCCAAGTCGAAAGTCTTGAACAGTCGCGCGGGAACTCTCCGATCACCTCGGCACATTCCAATGCCCCGATCTCGCAGGGGCTAGACGACGAAAAAAGTCACACAAGCAACGTTCAGAACGCCACAGAAGAGACAGAAGCCAAGAGCACGCATTGGAGAAGGTTTATTGATATCATTTCGTGGACTCCGCCACGATGTCGATGGGATACAGAGAACCCGACCAAATTCGGCTTGCCTTTGAATATCCTGTTCGCATTCTCGGGAACATTTACGGTGTGATATTGATGATAGCTGCAGACGATTGTATCTCTTGCTAATATAGTCTCATAGGTTGCCAATCTATACTATTCACATCCTATTCTTGATGTTCTCGCCCAGTTCTTCCATGTCTCGCATGAGCGAGTCTCGTTGATTCCAACCTGCAGTCAGGCAGGATATGCGACGGGACTGATCCTTCTTTGTCCTCTTGGAGACTTGGTTCGGAGAAGGCACTTTGTGCTGCTGTTAACGCTTCTTACGGCGGCATTATGGATTGGTCTCTGTGTCACCAAGTCATTCGAAGTATTCCTAGTCCTGAGTTACTTGACTTCAGTCACGACAGTCACGCCAGTAGGTCTTTTCCAGCATAAGATCCGAGAATACGGTAGATACAAGAGACTCATCATCTATATAGCAAATCATGCTCCCTCTCGTCGGAGATCTCGTCCCTCCAGCACGCCGTGCCACAGCGCTATCAATCGTGTCTTCGGGCCTGGTCCTAGGCCTCCTTTTCGCCCGCCTGCTCTCAGGTCTAATTGCAGAATACTCATACTGGCGAAACATCTACTGGCTATCCCTTGCTCTTCAATTCCTCATTTTCGGCCTATTATGGCTGTTCATGCCAGACTATCCATCGACGAACACCAACATCTCCTACTTCAAAATCCTGTATTCCATCATCGGATACTACTGGACATCCCCAATACTTGTGCAAGCAACACTAATGGGGTTCTTCCTCTCGGCAACGTTTACCAGTTTCTGGACAACCCTCACCTTCCTCCTATCCGGAGATCCTTACAACTACGCAACCTTGACAATAGGACTTTTCTCTCTCGCAGGCCTCACACCCATGTTCCTCGGACCACTCTACTCACGCTACATGATCGATAAGTTCGTGCCACAGCTGTCCATCCTCGTCAGTCTCAGCATCCTGATCATTGGCGTCAGCATCGGCACCTATATAGGCACGTACAGTGTCGCGGGCCCGATTATCCAAGCAGCATTGCAGGATTTCGGTCTGCAGATGACGCAGATTGCCAACCGTACTTCGATCTACAGTGTTGCACCCAACGCACGGAATCGGATTAACACAGGCTACATGATGGGTGTGTTCTGTGGCCAGCTCATGGGTACTTCTGTTGGGAATCGCATCTACAGTCAAGGGGGGTGGATTCTGACGGGGAGTGTTAGTCTGGCATTCATTGGGGCTGCGCTGATTCTTTCTCTTCTTCGTGGCCCGTGTGAAAAGGGGTGGATTGGGTGGCATGGTGGTATCAAGATCCGACGAACAGAGTGAGACACTGCGATGTTTGGACTTTTGGTTTGTTTATACAAAGATATCCTTGGAAATTGTTCTCGACATTATAGATTATATAGAGGTTCTCGATCGGCGTATATATTCTTCGGCAGCAACTATACAAGCTAATTTAGGGTCAATGATAACCAGAACTTGGTGACTCGCAGAGTTATACAGTAGGCATTTGAGTGCGATCTTTGTATCGTAGAGCATCTCCCACGGGTTTTGTGGCAGGCGCTTTATCACCTTGAGGAAGAACATCGAATTGTTGGCCCCGAGCTGCTTCACAATGCCTGCCCTGATAGCATTCCGAACATGAGTATAACTTGACAAGCTAACGGAATTATATCTCAAAATTTGCCTGACTGTTTCTTATTCTAACGAAGGTGCTTCTAAGCCTAGAGCCCTAATCTCTAAGGGGGGGGTTTAGTTTGATGTGCAATCTATACTTCATTTTTGTACACGATGAGATATATCACATTCAACACTTCTATACTCACAAAACCACCTTCAACACCTACTATAGGTACATAGCAAAGAAAGTTGCCTGATAGACAATGCATCTCCTACTCAAAATTCGCCATATCATGTACAATGACGTTCACCAGTCCAGTTCTCAATCCGGGGCATACAGACTAATCGAACGACACCGATACAGCTAAACCAAAAACACCAAATACACCCATGTCCGCATGAGTCACAGACCAAATGACGGCAATTGCGGAACAGAATTCACCTGTAACCATTCGCATATCATCCCGGTTATTACCGCTCCGTTCCCAAACACATGGCCTTTGGCCCAACGCTAGAAATCACCAGAACAAGACCCCCACCATGGGGTGGCAAGGTGAGGGAATAGCCTAAGCAGACCTAAACAGTGATTAGTTCCAAACTTACTTTCCAGAATCCTTTCATGCATTGTGGTTGAGCTTGACTCCACTGAGGCGTATAACGTACGATACCTCAAAGCGGGACTATGATGTCAGCCCAGATTCGAGTCTCTATGTTTAATTTCGGATCGGTCGGTGGTATTGATGATTTAAGGTGTTTCTATGTGCTCCGTAATCGCACAGACGTCTCCAGTGTGTTGGTCCGATGCAGGTGGAAAGGGTGGCTTTAATATATCCGATCTACAATATGACATGGAGATGACAGAGACATCTCGAGAAAGGCACTAATAGCACCAATAGTTATTTTGATTAATTAGCGGGAATAAGTCGCGACAAGGCTTACAGAGATCCACGCAGAAGTATTTCCAGCTCAAAGAAGCTAAATTCCCAAGCTCATCTGATGTCTCTGAGAGTAGAGCTGATGTCACGTCCGATGCACCCCCGCTCAGCCAAGCCCAAGTCAAGCAGATGATTTGAATCGGGTTGCTTAACACTTAGCAGGGAATATTGACAGACTCTCGAAGGATGCGGATCGGGGATTATTACAAAACCATAGTATTAGTACATAGTATATTCGAGGCCAGTTATGTATCTTGTACCATCGCGGTGACAAGAAAAGAAGACAAAATCGCCACCTGATCATCGGAAGCAAGCGAATGCACCAAGACCAAAATGATGACATGTAGAATCGAAAAAGACAGACACCTTGCTATGCTGAAGGGAAACACAAAAATACAAAACGAAGATACGAACAATCGGGTGTCATGTCCGAAAAGGTTCCCAGATCCCGACCAGAGCCGCCTGTCATCCAGAACCTCCAAAGAAGCGGGTGGAATGATGAAAGGTAGGGCTGCAGGTGCCCCAAAGCAGAAATCCCCGAGTATCAGCCATGAACTTTGATGCTACCGCCGGAGCCGCTTGTTCTCCCTCAGATGACCACAGCGTCCTCGTCTCGGAAATAATCCACATCGTCAAAGAAAACCGCAGATTGCCGTCTCACTTCCTCGATCACGCTTCCTCGCCGGCTACTCGGGGTCTGAGGGCGTGATGAACCGGTTGATTGGGACATACTATCCGACAAGTCGAAGTGCGACTCATCCTTGTAGTTAGATCCATCCCGTTCGGGGAGATTATCATCTAGACGCTCAATCATAGCATCCGCATGTTCATGTTCTTGACTGCGGAGCCGACGAGACAGGATTGGAGAGAGCGCACGTCCACCCGTTCGGGATTCTTGGAGTCCTTTCATGATCGCATTTTCAATCTTGAGCCGGTTCTGAACGAATTGGATTTTAGAAAACGCGCTTTGCTGCCCAACATGTATCATGCGGGCGAGTCTTTCAGGGCTGGGATCGGAGAGAATGTGGATGAAATCGGAGGGAATGCTTTTGGGCCAGATCGTGACAGTGCCACTAAACTTTTGCAACCAGATCTCGCTCCAGTCTTGGCCTAGCGGTCGTGGGAGGAGCTCTAAATGCCGAAGAACTCGAAGCCATTTGTTGAGGTCCAATTTGATGTACTGTTCAATTGCAGTGCCGAGGAAGCCACCGCGCCAACCACGGCCCTTTCGGTGTGTGACCGGTCGTCCTACGGTTCCTCTAGAGCTAAAGAAGAACAAGTTGATGTGGGGATTGACCTGAAGTAGCGTTAGTGATGGAGAAGCGAGATGATTGGGAGTAATATTACCTGGGATACAATCGTAAAATTGACGTTGAAATGCAGATTCAACGCTTTGATGGGTATGTCAGTTCGCAGGCTACCATCCTTCCATTTGTGTCCAAATGAATAAGGCGCGAGAGTTCCATCCCGCTTTTTGGTCATCAATACGACAGGGTTCAAAATTCCTGGAACAGCCGCCGAAGCAAGCACGGCACTCCAGATGACGCAGTCGGGACATGTCAGATAATTTGCTAGGATAGTCGGTGAGTGAGGATCTGAGGGTACGCAGCTGACGTTCAAGATGCGCCCGGTCCGCTCGTAAGCTTCCCGAAACGTCGTTGAGCCTCTGCAAAACCAGGCGCACTGCCGAGCCCAATCCAGGGTATCGAAACGAGCCCCAGTTCGCCACCAGCGTTGCATCCAGGTCGCCAGCCCTTCATGGCATGCACGAATCCGATGTGCCAGAGCTGGAACAAGCAGCTGCTTCAACTCATCATCTGTCCGAGTCGCAACCAGTCCTGCTACTAGTGCACCGCCTGATGTGCCAGTGATGATTTCTGGAAGGACATCATTATCTAGCAGCGCCTTGACAACCCCAAAGTGGTAGTAAGCGAAGGTAGCTCCACCTGAGAGACAAAGGGCGGTACGTCCGAAGTTCGTATCAAGGTGTTTGAAGAGTTGATATTTGGAATCATTGTCGATCTGCTTATTCTCCAGAACGATTTGTATGCATGCGTGCACCTCATCAATGTATTCCTGGACCAGCTCCTTAGTCCCCGAGTAGGTCTCACTGTATATCCGAGGATTTTCCACCCCGGCAAAGTTGTTTTTGACGCAAGCCTCCAATAGTGCGCGAAGATCCTCAATAGCGGGGACTTCGCTGGAGCCGACTCGGCCATTTTCCAATTCCCACTCTGCGTCCTTTCTCACTTTCCTCAGCTGTGATACCACTTTATTGATGGTGAGATGATCGTAGTAAGCGTATTCATCGGTCTTTTTCCATTTTTCGGTTCCGAGGTGGACGTCCAATGCCTGAGCCGCTTTCAGCCAGTCCGGGTAATTTTTCTGTGCAGATAGTTCTCGGCGCAGTCGTTCTCTCTTTCCCCGCCATGTGACACACTGCTCATAGACAATTATATAGACGCGCACCAGCACATAGCAGATGCTCAGTACCAGGATCCACGCGAATACGATGAAGAGGAAGGGCCATTTCAAGACAGAATATAGCACTCCTTCTCTCGTCTCATCCTTGCTCCGCTTGGGTGTTTTGCGACGGCCACGGGTCTTGCGGACTTTCTGATTGATTGGGCGCCAATCATTGATGGCCACCAGTGGGGATGCTTCGGGGGCATTTAGCGCCCTTTCGAATCGTTCGAGTTCATCGGCTTGAATGAAATCGCGGTCGTTGTCAGGGAGACCGGCCGGATCGTAGGGATCGTATACTGCAGGTTTCTTCTCAGAGTTCATATTCAGTACATGCTGAATACACAAAAAGGAGACGGTTGTCAGGAGTCACAGTCAGTGTACCTGGAGATCCGGTTGGGGGGAAGCTACGTTGTATGACTATGACGTTGATGTCACGTGTAGCTTATCTCCACATTGCGGCTAGTGGATTTCTAGAAATGGCTAGCGGTTTTCTATTTGCTGAGTCATCCAGATCTTGCCCCGCCCGATAAGAACCTAGGGAACCTTGGGACCTTGAAAACAAAAAACAGCCCGAAACCATGGATGTCTCGGTAGCTTACCAGCGTTTGGCAGCGTTTGGCTCTAACTCAAAACTTGATTGTTCGCTCGGAGAAAGAGAGCCATTGTGTGGATCTACCTCGGACAAGATCTAAATTTTGGCTTTTTCTTATGGGCAGATGCTTTCCGACATCGCTCAACGTTCTTTGTATCAAGAGTGAACACCCTAGCGAGACTACATTGCACAATACAGCAAGCATCATCCCACCTCGGCATTGCGGCATTTGAGTACGACCATGCCGCCGGCAGTGCGACGGCATTGAGAAGTCGTTGAAATCTGCACCTCTCCATGCACCCCCCGCGAGCAATTGACATTCTTCAATGCAAATTGCGGTTCAATAGATTCAATGGGTTCAATGCGCAAATTAGCGGGGTCCCTGCGCTCGCCTCCCGAAGCCATCTATGAGATTTCTTTTATTCCGACTCAAAGAGATGCACTATAACTCACCGCTAGATGGTGGGCGGCGCAAATAGTAAGAAAGATTTGGGTGCCATTCCCTGATTGGTAGGGGCTCCGGGAGAGTTTGTTTGTCATGACCGAATTGGAGGCCTGGGAAAGGATCCCATGGGTTGGTAGCGAGGGGTCACTATCACTCCAGCCACATGCATCAAGGACCGAGAATGGCTGTGTGCTCGTAACATGGGACGGAAAGTACTAGATCAGATATGAAACAACTTTTTATATCATACCATTAAGGAGGGCCGTTCCAATCATCTGATGTCCGAAACGGCCCCTTATTCACATGGCGAGGATGATTTGCAGCAACTAATCACTATTAGCGTGGATACATGATGCAGGGTTAGTCTATGATTAGACTCGTTTAGGAGACGATGCTCCGGACGCTTTTTCCACTCGGTGATGTTCGTCGTCCACGCTGATCATGTTGATCAACCCGTTAGATTCCTAAACGATAGAAATATGGAGTATGATGTATGCAGATACAACTTAAAAAAGGAAACATAGTGCAGTACCAGCATCACTCTCTATTTCCATCTGTGATTCCATAACATACACTCGCATACAGCATGTCACAAACCCCAGCTTCAAGACGCTACTTCCCGCTTATCTCGTAGCGAGCACCACGGAAAGAGTATTTATTGTCCGCGTTGCGCGGCAGCCGCATCGTTCATTAGTTGCGTTAGCCTTTTGCGGTATCCCTGAACATGCCGGGGGTGCCGAATTCAGGTGCGGACTTTGGATGTCTTGGAAGGTAACCATGTCCTTTTTGAATGCCCCGCTCTCTGGAATTAGGTAATCCTTGGCGCTTTTCCGTTATCTTCAACAGCGAATCCAAATCCGAATTCCCCATTTGGTTCTATGCAGATCATGGATCTTCGCTTTCGAAGTTGTGCTGTGGCGTTGCTAGAGCCGGTGAGAAACCGTCCCCCCGCTTACGAAGTAAAACCCCTAGTACTCCCCGAACGTGGGTGGCCAAAGCAAAAAGAACATGCTCAGCGAGGCACAATCAAGTCTTGGCAAAGGAATGCATCTGCAAATGACTGTGCCGTGTTTCAACCAATGAGGAGGCCGAACACCCTCCATATTGCACTGCAAACTTGAAAGGGATCAACCAAAGGTGGGGAAAATTGTCCTCGGATCCCCGAGCCCGGGCAACCCAAGGGATTTCCTCGGGGCCAATTTTACTTAGCTTTTTTTAATCTACGAAGTACTTTGTATGCAGTCTCCAAGGTACGGTGTTCCGTCCATACAAAGTACCAACGTTGTGGTAGGGGGTTGGGAGGGGCAACGCAGATCGAGATGATCTCACATCATGTGCTCCCCTCCCCCTTGGCTATGTCAACAGGTGTGAGTTCCATGTGCTAAGCATTCTTGGGGTTCTGGGGGCATTCAATCCCAATTTCTTGGACAAGGTGACATTTTTTGGGGGTTTTTGTTCACTCCTAGACAGAGCAGGGTATACCCATATGGTAAGTCCCCATGCGCCCCATAGCACCTCAATAACGGCAGGGATTCTGTTCACTCCTCACATGAAAAGGGCAGTGTTGTATGCAGCGGCGAGGCCGGGGTCTGAAGTTGAACCGAGCGTCTGCGGCGCATTTAAATCCCCTGGAATGTTAGCTCGCATTTCTTTTGTGATCTAACCACAATTATACCCCGCGCTCTAGGATCTGTCGCAGGGATGAAAGCGAAATTCTCGCAAATTAGATCCTCGCACAAAGTACTCCGTACTACACCGTACAAGGTTTGGAGGTGCATTTGTCCTTGCCCAAATATGAACCATTACCGCGCGAGATATCTCCAAAAGAAAGAAAAAAATACACCCAAGTAAACAGGAGGATCCCACGGGGCAACCAGGAGATAAAAATACCCAATCAATTAGAGCCCTGACGGATAACAGTGAACCATGGGTCAACGGCCCTGATCCGCTTTCCCATCGAAGCGGTGTAGCGGAGTTTCAACCGAATGTGTATCACGTTTTGTGAAACTGATGTCCTTCATACGGAAATAAACTGATGTCATCGATAGAAGCTCGTATATATTTGGAGTCAAAAATTATCATTTTCCACAGTCTCCACCCCAGAGGAATGTCAGACGTCAGTGCGAGCTGGCTGACTCGGCGATCCCAAATAGCGTAATGGCGAATTCGGGTTGGAGGTATCTGATTCGTTGACTTGGGGGGAATTTTGCAAAGCATAACACCAACCAGATCCCCGATGAATCCTCATTCTCGTTGATATTCCCGAATGACTACATCCACAATTTCCCTTTTCAGAAGAAAGGCATCCTGAGAGTATGCAGATATCCTCCCATGCATGCGTGCCCCACCAATCGTGTGCCTCGTGCGATCTCTCGCTTGCCTCTAAATCCTGATTTGATCGCCTGCACCCCCTTCAGCGCCTACAGATGACCAACGACATCTTCGGCAAGGGCACACCGTGTGAGTTGTACTCTCAGACTTTTGCGCTCCGGAGTCAGAGATAACAAACGAGATATGATACATTACCCGATAGGAAAGCCAAAAAGCGGGCTAGCAGCACAGGGCAACTAGTCCAGCTCTCGGCATTCCCACCCGGTCTGCATCGTGGGCTGAAGTTGCCTGCGTGTGGCTGCGTCGGAGATTGATCCCCATGCCGCCACCAAGATGGGATTCATGACAAGTTTCAACAGTTCTCAGGAGAGGTGGGTTTCGAGATGCATGAATGGGAAGATGTTAAAAGTTTTTTTTTTTTTACTGTCGATCAAAGAGAGCCCCTCGGTACAGGACCCACCGATCACATATGGTCTGAGTTTCCTTGCTCACGATCGGCTTAGAATGTCAACGGTGTGTCCGAATTCTATGGACAAATCCTGCAAGAGAGATCAAACCAACATGCACTCATTGTGGCTAATGACCTGTTGCACATCACTTTGTGATAGTATTTGATAGTACGGCGTAATAAAAGGGGGTCAACTGGGTAAAAGTCGACTCCAATCGTTTTGATAGACGCGGGAGAGAAGTCAACTAAAATCCTAGGCGCTTTCTCCATAGGCTCGCCACTCCCACCCGGGTATAGTAGCTGCAGCATTAGTAGGAAAATATTTATTTATATTAGTGATGGTTATACGGTATCCGACTAATCTGGTCATTACTTGGACAGGTCAAATTTGGGAAGGCCACGTACGAAGAAAGCGAAGGGCCGGACAATTGCAAAGATAAAGCATAACGCCGAAGAGAAGAGGAAGAATATAATCCAATAGCAAACGTATCAGGCGACTATCACGAAATACCGACGGAGTATGCTCTCAGCTGATAAACGGGAAATAGGAAAAGGTGTAATGGTGTATTGTAGGTATAGTGGTACTGCGTACTGCGTACTCCGTACTCCGTACTCCGTATTGTGTTATCTGGATAAGCCGTATTATTGAGCTAAATAATTGGTTACCCCGTGCCACCTTTTCCCTCTTCACCTTTTGCCATTCTTCTCTAATCTCTTCCTGTTCGAGGTCAAGGAGATCGAGTCCTCCCTTGAACCTATTACTTCCTTCAGGTACTATCCCTCATCGTTCACCTCACCCCGGAGCCTCTTTCCCCCTCCCCCCGAACTCCCCGAATGCCCCGATGAGACTGTTCAATCCACCGTTGCTAACCCTCACCCTCCAGAGCGTCGATTGCTCGATCTTTTCTTTGGGTCTCAGTCAGGTGGCACAAGCAAGATGTCGACTACGTCTAGTACCATCTGTTGAGCTATCCATCTTCAGACTTCTCCCGGTCAACCCCCGGAACCCCCGTTGGCGCCATGGAGAAATTAAACACTGGAGATGGTCAACTTTTCATAAAGGTGTGTTTCCTTCTACCGTAGTGATCTCACTAGGGATGCGATAGGCATCATCGGAATGTTTGTGTTCACACGGATGGCTGACACGCATCGTTGCCATAGAATGTCGCTAGCTACGTTCGCACCCACGAGAAGGCGCTCGCCAATGCACTACAGCTCCGCCGCCAACCTACCAAAAATACCATCCCCCAATCACCCAGTGGTCCTTTGACCCCTGGAAGCTCCTTTGCCTCGACTTCATCAACCCTGGCTGCGGCCTTCTCATCCGCAGCATTAAAATTCATGTCGCAGAATGTCAAAACCGCTAAATTGACCCTAACCCCCCACCACCTTTTCTATCTTCTCTCCCGGTTTGAAGAATTGAGCATTGCCGTGGGCCCGATGAACATCCGACTGGAGAATATCCACACCGAGGTTTCGCAGTCCTACGTCTCATTCCTGAACAAACCCCAACGGGCTCGGGGTGATGGGGCTTCCATTCATTCGGTTTCCAGTGTTCGTAGTGTCATGTCTGGTATGACCGACCTCTGGTCATCCTTCCGCCTTGGATCCAAGGAGACCCCGACAAAATCGGAAAGGGCCAAGGCCGCCTTGGAAACGGACCTGAAGTACTTGTACTCTGCCTTTACCAAGATCCCTTGTCTACGACTTGCCCCGGACCACCGCGCCCCCCTAATCTCTGGATATGAAGAATTTCCTTTCGATACGGCTGTGCCGCTGCATTCCTTTAAGAATTTGAGCGCTTTAGAGATTATTGATTTAGACTACCGTTCTTTCTATGGCTGGGACAGATTGTCCGAGCAACTGCGCACCTTGACCCTGAAGAGAGCCCATCTGGATGATCCGGCTGATTTGTTGACGAGGATCGTGTTGGATGACATTGATAAACGACGCCGGCGGTCGGCCAAATCCCAACAATCGCCTTCATTAGGGTGTGCCTCTTCCAGCAGTCAGCCAGTCCACACTCCCGACCAGGCCAGCTCCATCTCGGCCCCCGGGTCTCCTATTGTGGACACAGCATTCGGAACCAGCACCAGTCCCAAGTCCATTCCGATGATGCGAGGTGGCTCCGAGGGCGCCAGAATTCGCACCAGAGCGGGGAGCATTTCTCCAACCCGACCGACCACGAAGCACAGCCACCGTCGAGGCCAGTCAAAACAAATTCGACGCACCGGCTCCGCAAGTTCTGAATCCAGCGAGGCTTCCAATAGCTATCGCAATGGAAGCTCTACGAACCTTCTTGCAGACGTCCTCTCGCCTTCCAAATGGCGGTTCCTACGACACCTAGGTCTTCCAGAGAACTCCCTAACATCCGTCTCTGCTGCTAGTCTTGCGCCTGTGGCCAACAGTCTCAACTCGCTTGATCTGTCCTCTAATCTTTTGACGGAAATTCCCGACGGTCTGGCATCACTGGTGGCATTGAGAGCGCTCAACCTGTCGCATTGTATGATTGACTCTCTGCACTCACTTACCCGGAACCCTCTCCCCGCCATCACGGTTCTCACCCTTCGCGGAAATCGCCTTCGTTCACTCGCAGGCATTGAGCGGTTGCTCTCCTTGGAAAGATTGGATCTTCGTGACAACAACCTCACGGACCCGACAGAGATTGCGCGGTTGACCAGTCTTCCTGAAATACGGGAGATCTGGGTGGCTGGCAATCCATTTGTTAAGACCCACTCTGGATATCGAGTTACGATCATGAATCTTTTCCGCCGGACACCTGGTTATTCCGAGGATATTATCATCGATGGCAGAGGACCTGGCTATACTGAGAGGAAGCAACTTGTTGAACGAGTTGCAGAGCCTCAGGCTGCACCCGTCGTGCGTTCCAGTGCGGCGGACGAATCAACAGTTGTACAGAAGTCTACTCTCTCGAAAGTCCCTCACGATCTCGCGATTTTCAAACCCGAAGAAGACGAGGGAGACTTGCAGATGAATGGTGCGCACTTGAAGGAGCTTGACGGGGGAACCAATCGTCGCAAAAAGCTCCAACGCCGCAGGATAGTTGACATCTCGGCGGATAACCCATTTACCACCGATGGTTTGGGTAATCCAGGAAGCACTGCTCTTCCCGTTCTTCCCGTGCAGCAAATCCAACCATCCCCTGAGCGTCCGCTTGTCGTTCCCGTTGACCAGCCGTGGAGGCTTGACAGCGCCGCACAGTCCGGATCATCAAGCATCCAAAGCCCCGCTAAGACATTATGTACGCCTAGTTCTCCTCTTGTACAAGCTTCGCAAAACAAAGAGAGGACTATGGACGAAGAGTTCTGCCACCAACAGCTGGAAGTGCTTCGCCAGGACTTGCGGCACAATTGGCTTACCGTCCTTGGAGAGAGTGACTGGGATAACTCCCACAAAGACTATGCGCATAGCTCTGGGGCAGGGTTGGATCATTCAGCTCATATTTCCACGCCATCACTCACCCGCTCTACAACGCAAGCGATCCTGAGCGGACATGCCTTTAGCGGATAAAAAGTCCGTTTCTCCATTCCCATGACATTTCCACCCCAGAACTACGAGAGTCTCTGTCGTGACTGTGACGGAAATCCGTCCCAGCAAATTCCTTTATTTCTTTTTTCTTCACGGGGACAAAGCTCCCCTCATGCGGTCCCCTGGGACTCATTTGAGCAACATATCTCCAGGATGTCACAAGCAGCTGATCATTCCATGCATTATTTTCGGCGTTCGATGACTTACGAAACATGGTGGGTTTGGATGTATGAACTATTTACGGCCTTCTTCTTTTCTTTCCCCCCTTTTACTGCTTCCATGTCTCCATTTCTCTTCTCCCAAAACGCATCTTGCGATGGCCCTTCTGAGGTCCCCATCTTGATTCATGGAAAGCACCGTGAAAGTTCTGTTTTCGGTTAGAGCGTGTACTGTATGACTCTGGATTTCGGGCATGTTGGCGTTGGCGGATCTTTTTTTGTTTAATTCCCCTCTTGTTCTTTGGTTTTTCCCTCTCTGGTGTTGTTTTCAAGCGATTCCTTTCTCTGCGTTTCCTTGAATGATACCTGGATGAGCAGCAGATATGAGACCCGAGCTCATTTGAGAAGAATGCCAATTGTTTTGTTGAAGATTGAATCCATTGCCGTATGGTAGAGACCGGTAGACTGTTCTAGTCCTTTGGCTACTGCTGTTTTCGGGGCAACATCCAATGGGATGCACGGGTCTGTAGAAGGAGACAAAGACATTCTCCATTCCGATATGCGAGATATGCGAGATATCGGTCTAAAGACATTATCTCTCCATTCGTAGGTCAGCCTTGTCTTCATTCGTGCTTGGGCCCCATTTGGCGTCGAGGCGTGGAAGTCTCGACCTCGAACGCCAGAACCCCTCTATGCAGATTTTTTGCATCAGTCCAAGCGGGCCAGGTCGCACAGATGGAAGAAAAGGAAGAGAAGAGTCGAAGTAGATAGTCCCTTAAGCGCCATCTCTATATATACAACACTTCCCCCCCTTGATACGGGAGACCAAACACGCGCAAACACAAATTGGGACCTTTCCCGCTTTCTTCCTCAAAAAAAGATTCTCTCTCTTCAACCCATCTCACCCCGTTGATGTTGTTTTGAATTCGAGGTTCGATACATTTATTGCAAACTCTTTGACTCTCTCCGAGAAAATTTTCTTCCTGGATTGAGATTTCTTCCCCTCCCCCCAAAACCTGCTCTCCATCACGACTCACCCCTCCGGCTTCTTTCATCACCGAATCGCTCAGAGTCCGGTATTCTTTTGCTCAGCCTCATCTAATTTCCGAGGCGTCTACGAGCCATTCTCTGTTCTCTGCACCGTGCGCGTATAAAACAAGTCGGATAGGCACCCTCCATACTTCATCTGGCATCTCTGCCCGATCTGTTCTTTCGCGGCCGTTGGGGCCCTTCCCTGGATCTATTTGGTCTTGAAACCTTCTGTTTGGTAGGGCATCCATCCCTTGTGTTTTCCTGTCACCTTGCTCCCAACCACTCCCACCGCTTAGGGGGAAGAAAACTCAGCGAAAAATTTCGAGCGCGTTCGTCGGTTTCGCCTCACCGGGGGATTTGAAAGGCAGACTGGACTTCATCTCAATCTGGAACGCTTTATTAACTTGTTTTCCTCAACAGTAACAGGACATAGCCGCCGTGTCATCAAATCTCTGTTATCCTCACCCGATCGCTCCGGAAGTCTCTCTTCCCGCGTTTCTTCGTTCCTCCTTTCTTTTCACCCATCTTTCGCTTTCTTTCGTGTGCGTTAGATTTTATTCGCCATGGCCGACCAGGAAGTGGATTTGGACTCAATCATTGATCGCCTCTTGGAGGTGAGGGGTAGCCGCCCTGGAAAACAGGTTCAGCTGCTCGAGTCGGAGATCCGTTTCCTCTGCACTAAGGCCCGTGAGATCTTCATCTCTCAGCCCATTCTTCTCGAGTTGGAAGCGCCCATCAAGGTAGGTCTTTTTTTCATGCCCGAACGATATTTCAACTCGGACCGGGTTTTGTCTAACACGCCGCGTGTCTCTTTAGATCTGCGGTGATATCCACGGCCAATACTACGATCTTCTGCGTCTGTTCGAATATGGTGGTTTCCCCCGGAGGCCAACTACCTTTTCCTCGGTGATTACGTCGATCGTGGCAAGCAGTCGCTCGAGACTATCTGCCTTCTCCTTGCGTACAAGATCAAGTACCCCGAGAACTTCTTCATTCTGCGTGGAAACCACGAGTGTGCCTCGATCAACCGTATCTATGGTTTCTACGACGAGTGCAAGCGCCGATACAACATCAAGCTCTGGAAGACTTTCACCGATTGCTTCAACTGCCTCCCTATTGCCGCTATCATTGATGAGAAGATCTTCACCATGCACGGTGGTTTGAGCCCCGATCTCAACTCGATGGAGCAGATCCGCCGTGTCATGCGCCCTACTGATGTAAGTCTTCTTTCAATACCCCAAACTGTGTGCTGCATTTGGTATTATTGGCAGCGAAAAGAAACGTGGCAATGTGGAGCTAGTTTTGCGGCTGAAGGCCAACATGGCTGACTGAAATAGATTCCCGACTGCGGCCTCCTTTGCGATCTCCTGTGGTCCGACCCCGATAAGGATATCACCGGCTGGAGCGAAAACGACCGTGGTGTTTCATTCACATTCGGCCCCGATGTGGTTTCGCGCTTCCTTCAAAAACACGATATGGATCTGATCTGCCGTGCACACCAAGTTGTTGAGGATGGATACGAATTCTTCTCCAAGCGCCAATTGGTCACGCTATTCAGTGCGCCCAACTACTGTGGCGAATTCGATAATGCCGGTGCAATGATGAGCGTGGACGAGAGTCTGCTCTGCTCCTTCCAGGTAAGTTATGCGCCTTTTTTCCGCCGCATCCCCGAAACATTTCCACAAATCAGTCCCTAACCAAGTCTTTCCTCCGCCTTTTATAGATCTTGAAACCAGCCGAGAAAAAGCAAAAGTACGTTTACGGTGGCATGAGCGCCGGCGGTCCCGTCACTCCTCCGCGAAAGCAAAAGAAGAAATAAAAGAATCAATACGAGCTTCCCCATGTGCAGCAGGTTCGGGCGGAGATAAGCCTTTCACAAATCTCTTTAACAGCGCCCTCATGACATCCTCCCTACAACCCCCCGCCGCGAGTCCCCCCCGGATCCACGAAAACGATGAACGACCGAGGAACCCCTCATCCGCACCCAGGGCAGCCCGATTATATCCTTCACCTCCGCAAATAATACCACAGTTTCCAATCTCAACCTCTCCCCCTCCCTGCCAACGGGCTCCCCAGTGCGACATGCGAACAAAAAACAACAGTCACTCATCATTTCCTGGCCGATCCACGCGACCCTCTGTACTACCGGAGCGGAGTTCAAATGCTTATTTCTTCGTCTTTCTCAACTTCTCTTCTCTGTTTCTGTTAACCATCTGGATTGGAATCTCTTCTTCCTTTCGGCATCCTGGAACGGGGAAGGGAACTGGTCTTATCTTTCTTTTCCCTTTCCCCCCTTTTATTGTCCTGTTTGCATTGTGTTCCTTGTTTTCTCTTATCGAATCCCATTCGTCTTTCTCATCATTTTATTATTTCTAGTCCTGATCACGTACGAGCGGGTACCGGTAGTTTCCCCTCCCCCTTTTGGTACCCTCTCTGGCTTTTTCTTCCTCGTATACCGGCATGGAAAACGGAGAGATTCCGCGAAAGGGAAGGGTGCTGCAGTTTCTCAATGGTATCCCTGTAACGGAATTGAATATCGGGTCTAGATTGTTTGTATGGAAATACGAATCACAATCCTGTTTTGTTATGTAGGCTAAGAACATCTTCATTTTCTCCGTTGCGTACCTACATGTAGCTTGATATCACTTAATACCGGGATTCATAGCGACTACCCTGTTCTTGCACTCACAATGTGTACAACAATACTTGCCTAGCGTATACAGTCTAAGCCAATAGCAAACCCCATTTTACACCAGGAATAGAGCTAAATTCAAGTCTTTAGACTATAGTAATCCAAGAAAAAACCGGCTAACTAGAGGAAAAAGCAGAAAAGCAAGAATTTAACATGACATGGTAAGGAGGTACAGCGTTGTCAAGGGACACATTCAAGACGTAGACGTCGGGGGAGATGGAAGTTGGGAAACTTGGACATTGGGGATGTTGGAGAGATAGCATAGCTAGGATTACGGATGGGAATTCGGGGGGAGGAGGGGGGGAATTGGAAGAAAGCCGACTCCAGAGCCATGTTCATTGAACTTGGAAAAATTTTGGGTCGAGTGGAACGAATATGGCAATGGATTCGGGGGGGTTGGAGGGGGTGGAGGGGACCGAGGAGAGTTTAGGACTCTTGATTAAACGTACTGGGACAACCATCTGATGCCCTCGCCGTATCCTGCAGGAAAATTAGTTTTGTTCGAATTTGTATTCGGAGTTGTATTTTTGATGTCTCGGATGTCATAGAACTTACCCTGTCTCATAACAACACTGCACATGAAGACCTCGATAGGCCGGATACCCTCGAGAGGAACCTTGCCCTTGCCGGTGGTCTGGTAGAGACCAAGCTGGTGGCGGAGCTCATCCTCGCTGACGGCATCGGGGTGGTCGATCTTGTTTCCGAGAACGAGGAAGGGGACCTTAGCGAGCTCCTCCATGGCGAGCAGAGCGTCGAGCTCGGCCTTGGATTCGGGGAAGCGCTCGTAATCCTTGGCGTCAACCAGGAAGACAATGCCGCTAACTTCGGGGAAGTAGTCCTTCCAGAGACGACGAGCTGGATGGGGATAATCGTTAGCTACGTTCGATTCACGAATTGCGGGTTGTGATATTGATACTCCGCGCAAGTTGGCGATGCAGTATCACAACTCCGTCAGGAGCTTCACTCACCCTGCTGGTGACCACCGAGATCGAAGGTCGTGAAGCGGTTGTTACCGATAGCCAGCTCCTCGGAGGTAGGGTGTGCGGTGGGTTGGAGGACGGCGACACGATCGTTCTAACAGATTCCCCTTGATCAGCGAAGCTCATAACAATACCCAATAACCATGTCCCTCTGTGCAGTTTCCAACCCCCAAGCCTCTGTGCAGCTGCGCCACCGAATCCCAGACTCTTGCAAATGGCAGAAATGGAAAAAAAAAGGGGATCCGAGGTTCTCCCAGATTCAACAACAGCTCCTAACTCACCTTCAACATGTGCAGCAGTGTCGTCTTGCCGGCATTATCGAGACCGAGGAAAAGAAGCTTGGCATGCTTATTGAGGAGACCCAGCGAGGCCAAAACATCGTAGACTATAGAGCAGAGAAACAAGATCAGCAAATTGAACCTCAACCTTCGAACCGCACATCGATCACAAGCACCCGGAGCCGCGGCACAATCGTCGCATGATGCGGTGAACGATACGAAACAGATCCCGCACCAGCGCAGTCTACCAGCAAGGACAGATATACAGAGAAACATCTCCCTCGCTGTATGCTCAAGACCAGCTCCAGACCGTAGCCGCAGGTACTCGGTAGTTGGTATCGGGATGGTACTTACACCAGTTGACGATCCACATGGTGAAGGGCCGGCGTCAGGAATTAATGGATAGTAGAGAGGTGGCAGAACAAAGATCACAGAAAAGAATCAGTGACAAGCTGATTGGGGAAAGGTGGATGGTCGGGGGTGGAGGAAATAGAAGCAAAGAAGACAGGTTTGATGTTGTTTTCGGGGATCGGGTGAGTCGGTGCCTTAGGCATGAAGACGGAATCGTCGCGCGGTGATCAGGTACGATTGATTGTGTGATTTGGGCTGGCTTGGGTATGTACACGGTGTCAACGTGGACTTTGGCTTATATCGGTGTAGAATCCATGAAATTGGTTGGGAGGATTCATCAGAATTGCATCTTGCTCTCTCCTGTGGGTTCTCCGTGGCAAAGACCTATGCTGTACTCGCCACTAAAATTGCTCAATGTTTACTGTCGGTGGAAAAAGGTATCTAGAATATTTCATATTCACTCTCATCAAACTGATGGATCTCTTTATTCACAATGCAGAAAAGCCAGATAGGGGGTATATGCACCGCAACCATGCAACGAAAACGAAGCGACCTCCAGCAAGTCCATACAGGACCGCAGTATAGGAAAGAGGGAAAAGAAAGAATATAGATATACTTCCAACAGAAAATGCAAAGAAAGAGCCACCTCCGTGTAGGATTATAAGAAAAGGGTTGAAGAAGGGATAAGGGTAGAAAGGGAAAAAAAACCATTCATGTGAAGAACACAAGGTCGGCTAAGTATGTGTAAGAAAGCGAAAGGCACTCGGATCGCTAACCGAGCAGGGTAAGACAGGAAACCCCCAGGCCAAATAAAAAAAAGGTAACAAGAAAAGTATGTACAGGTCAAAAACGGGAGGGGTGGAACTTCTTCCATTATACAAGTTCCATAGGGATGCTCAAACGGATAGGACGAGCTGGGCGTCTTGACCGACGCCGTAAGCTCTGCACCTCTCAGCAACTTCGAGGCCAAGCTCCTTCATCCGTTCGGCTCCATGGCCAGGAATAGGCCGTTTGCCCATCTGCTCTTTGGCAGCTTTGCGGCAGTGTTGGCGCCAGAACTTCTCTTTGCGTTTCTGGCGTTTCTTCTCGAGCCCCTCGACAATGTCGACGGGGCCACGAGTGTGTAGTTCACGGGTACGTGAGTGTTCGCGCTCTGGCGACTCGGAGATACCTTGCCATCTGTGGTCCTTATCAAGACCAGTAAAGAAAGGGTTGGGTACGCGAGGAAGCGACTTGGTACGGACGAGGGGTCGGCGCTGTACCAGGTGGCTGATGTTGAGACCTTCAGGGGATTCGACAAGGGGCATATCCTCAGTGAATTCCCATTTAGGGGGAATCGGTGACTTGGCTCTCATGCGTGGGGGTGGGGACTTGAGACGCTTGGGAGAGATGCGGCCAGCGCGACGGGGTGGTGGAGACATCAGACGTTTAGGGGAGTGGCGGGGAGAGTGCTTGCGGGCCTCGCCCTCTTGCCGTCCTCGAGAGTATTCATCGTGCTGACCTACGCCAGGGGACATATCGGAAAGCTCTTGCTCGGATGGTTCAAGGTCTTCGTCGTCCTCCGGATCGCTGGTGGGGAAACTGGGGTCGATGTCCTGAGGAATGAGAATCTCCTTTGCGCGGCGCCGCTCTTCGAGACACGATTTGTAGGCAACTTCGAGTGGTCGATCCTCGTCGAGAGTTCCACACACAAAATCGGTGCTATCAGGAAGGTTCGGAGTCCGCGGGCGGATCTTGATACTTTTAGAATTCTTGGAAGGGCGACGACCGCTGAGCCTTTGTACGGGGGCGGGAAGCCAGCACAAGTGATCATCCGTCATGGAGTCAAAGGATGTGTTTGAGGCGCGGCGTTCCATTACGGAGGGACGTGTATCGATAGTCTGACTGGTAGATTCTGAAACAGCGTTTGACGAACCCCAAAATTCGTAATCGGAACCATCCTCATCACTCTCATCTGACTCTGCAAAGCCAGCCTCGTTGTCTGATTCATTGCCGTCGTCTGAAGAGAAGTCATGCACGGTCGAGTCGTCATCAGCGAGATCTTCCATATCTTCTTCCTCCTCCAAGGCCTCTTCTTCCGCCTGTTCACCAAGCCGGCGAATGGCCATCTCCTTCTTCATACAGTCGTTCAAGGTGATCTTCTCCGTGTAGTCAGTCTCCTTAGTCACCCACTCATCGTCTTCATCCATAGAACTAGCAAATTCATGGAACCGAGTAGCTTCGGATTCCTCGAACTTGCCCAGTCCGCTAGTCGGGACGCCCTTGCGGTCTGTAGAAACGGAGCTAGCCACTTCCTTCGCCATCTGCTTGGAAGATTCCTTCAAAGGGGGAGAGGGTCTGCGAGCAACAGGTGCAGGGGAACCACGGCATCGCGGCCGAATTGGAGATTTGCGTGTGGGGGATCGCTGTCTCTCGCAAGCGGTGTCTCGTCCAGGACACACAAATGTGAGAGTGCTTTGGCGCTTAATTGGTTGGATCGGGGCTTCTTCCGCAGGAGGCATTACCAGTGCGTGGACTTTGGGCTTTGGGAGCTCTTGTGATTCCGAGGGTGATACGGGAGATCTGATCTCATTCTTATCATCGGTCTTACGACCACAAGCGAAGCTGATGCATCGCTTGCGGCCAAGGCCAACCTCCACACTAGTCTCGCTGGGGTCGGCCGTTTGCACTTTAGGGGCCACAGTCTTCTTCGCCATCGATGCGTTATTCATCATTTGTGAGGGTAAAGGCGGGCTGGCGGTGTCTGACAATGACGGACTTGTAAGACCACCGTCACTGGTGAGCTCGGCAGTCGAGATGCCACTGAGGTTGCTGTGAGGGTAGGATCGGTACATGTAGGATTCATAGTGGGAGGAGTGAGGTTCGGTGGGGGACATCTCCGGGCTGCTCTTCAACGCGCGAGTCAGCAGGGATTCCTTGCGGTCCACTGCCGGCCTCGGAAGGACGATCTGATCGGAATTCATCGTGGTGGCGTGCATGAGGTGTTCGGGAAGTTCATCAGAGTCCTCGGCCAAAGCAGCGTCGTCTTGAATATGCTTCGTAGACGAGTTGGGCGATAAGAGCATCCTTAGCAGGTTATGTAACGAAAACGTTCTTTCCATGCCACGAGACTGGGCCATGGTTCAAAGGGAAAATGAATTTTGAGGTAAAGGTCCAGAGCGGAGAAAGGAGGATGAGGGTTGAGGCAAGTGGCGTGGGGTCGATTCGAAGGCGAGAAGAGGATAGGATGTTGCGTGAAAGACAGAACGAGGTCCTTCATTCAACAGGTGCTTTCTTGATATCGAAGCAAAATTGATCGACCGTGGTGGTAGAACAAGATGTCCCAGGCGAGGACTATTGTCATGATATGTAACGCATGGCTAGTGTAGGGGGCTTATCGAGACGAATGAGGTGCAATTCGCCAAGATCGATAATTGTTCCTAAGAATGGCAACTCAATGTTGAGGAGCTGGCGGACTAGATCTCTGGAATACCTCCGGTATTGAAGGCCCGTGCTTGTGAAGGTATCGAGGTCAGAAGAGAGGAATGTCAAGAATGTTCAAGAAATGAAAAATGGAAGAGTGGAGTGAGTGAAAAGAGAAGGGGAAGGGTTGGGAGGATGACAATAATAAGAGAGAATCGAAAGATTCATAGAAAGGTGCAGGGGTTTCCGATGGTCTTGGAGGGGGCAGAGTGGGAGTGACGATACGGCAGTCCGGCACTGTCGTTTTGGGTTTAGTTCTTTTTCTTTTTTTTTTTGACTTTTTTTTTCACTTTTTTTTCACTTTTTTCACTTTCTTTTTTGCTTCTTTGGGTTCTTTGGGTTTTTCCGTGTTTGTGACCGCCGTCCTGTAATTTTGCTCATTTCATGTAATTTTTGGAGATCAGTGCTGACCACCTTGCACCTTGCCACTGCCACGCTGGTTCTCCACTGGGCATGGTTCCTGCGCTACTGTGCCATGCTAGTCCGAAGTACGGAGGACGGAGGACGGAGTATACGAAGTATGTGTTCGAGTGCTTTTGGAGGTAATATGACTAAATTGAATCCTTTTTCCAAGGTTGAATGATTCAATTTCAGCCATACGTGACTAATAGACGCTTTGTGTCCTCAATGCACAAAGCCAAGGTTCCCTGCTCTCAATCCAAGTGGACCGTGATGACCATTGTCTGTTGAGCAGGTCGCGGGTTGGCTATGAGGCATTTTGTGATGGAACTAAACCCCTTCAGGGACCAATGTTGGATCCTCAAATTCAACCCTAACCCACTCGCTTTCGCCAACGCGGCGGTGAATCTCAACTCTGCCTGAACGTGAACAGAGCCCTCGTTCACCGTACAATTTGGATGTCCAACATGATGTACATAGCAGGTTGCAACAGGCTGTGCTCTGACACCTCGAAACCTTGGAAAGGGTATGTATGGAGTATTGGTATGGTCATGTCCCCCGTGCGAGCACCAGTTATAGTGCAACCCGACGGTATGGGAAATACCCTTCCCCGATTGGAGTGCCTGAACGCGAATGACCCGTCTTGGCCGAACTTGCCCTAAAGCTCCCTGGGTAACGAGGACGGGTAAATTGGAGGATGAAACTGTAAACGCGCCGTACGCGCTCGGTCTCTGCTTTCTGGCTTGCACTGTCCTCTGTATCCCAATAGGGCTCTGGGTTGGCGCCGAGAGAGTCATACCTGAATGCTTGGTATCGATGTCGCTGCCCTCTTGATGCGGCAAGTCCTCGCTTCTCTGACGTAAAGTTACATTATGTAGACTACCACTATAGGTATCCTATTCACTGGGCACCGAATCTGAACACTGAAACCTCCCATGACTCGTCCGGAGCTTTTCGGATAGGGGTCATATACCACATAACTTGTGCACTTATACCCTGTCCAGCACGCCTAGTATACATACCACACCAAGTACTCCATACAGGGTACAAAGTGGTATCCACCGGCATCCGAGCTGCACCTCGAAAGGGAGTCTTGGCTCTGCTTCTTCCCGGCAGATCACTCTTGGTATACAGTGATGTACTCCGTACATAAAGATAGTACATGGTACATGCTGGACACGATTGAATTGGTCAATAGAATGGAATAACCTCATTGGCTCCGATGAGAATGCCAAGCCCCCCCAAAGGCAGTCATATTATCCAGGGATGCCAAGCTCATCCTTTGCCCAGCACGGTCTTAAATTTCTCCAAATTTAGCCAACTGCCTCTCGTCATGGAGAGGCGGAGCGATCAGGATCGTCAAGTTGGGCATACAATCGATCTACCCATGTACAACAGCACTCCGAACAATGATTTGTTTCAGGCATCTTTGGTGCGCTCCACTAATTCACCGAATCCAAGATGCATAACCCCAAGACATACTCCATAACATCCCTCAGATCCCTCATCCATTGACCCGATGACCCCAAAAAGCACACAACGTGCAGCAGAGCTTACGAAGACACAAAGAACAGCGGTCAGCCGCGATCGGGATCAGCCCTAGTGTGCAGGCTGCTGACTGGTTCGCAAAAACCGGATAATAAAAAGCAAAACCCGGGAATTTCAGCCAAAAGATCCACGAGGTCACTCGTATGGCTTCCGGAAATATGCACAACTGCAGCCACCCCCCTCTTCTGGAGAAGGTGTAGCCTTGAAATCCCCGTTCAGATCGCGACAAGCTTCGCGAATCCGAGGGCGATCCTCCCCCCACACTCCATCCAACAGGCATACCCCCCTGTAGACAGAACACAAGCTCAGTGGATTACTGTGCTCTCGAGCCGGTGACACCAAGCATGGTGAGAGCGGTCGAGTTTGGAATTGTGGAAGAAGCTTGTTGGCAACGCGACTGGCTTGTGCAGCCATTGAGCTCATCTCGGGCTTTGAATGCATTCCCGTTGTGCTGTTTACGTTTCCTCAGATTAGGGATTACGTTTTACCTAGAGATAGGCTTACGTAGAACAATGGCTATGACGAAAATCGTAGTCGAGGGGGGCGATTCGCTCGTGTTTTGGTTTATCCAAATGAGGATGCAGGCGTAAAGTCCACCATTGGAATTCAAGATCGCACCCGAAGTACAGCTCACTCGATACCCAGTATACAGGGGATACGGGGAGTGACCCCCCTCAAAAGTCCTTTCATTCCGACAAAAGTTCCCGCGTTGACAGGATCGAGATCGCAGACGGCCCAAAAAGGAACCGCTGGTTTCCTTGGCCACCCCTCACTTGGGGAGGACTCGTTTTCGCCAAAAGAGCAACATGGGAGACAAGCCGCGAAATGCTGGGCGGCAATTGTCGACCACCTGGTTGGGACTTGCGGAATGAGCCAAGAAAAACACCCCCTCCCGATCTCTCCCAAAAAAAAAAAATACTTCTCGTCGAAACAGACTCAATTGTGCGACTGGCCCTAAACGTTGTATAGTGGCTCCATGGCTGAATGTGGGAACGGTAGCAATGCGTGTACGGAGTCCTCCAGGGAACAACAAAGTGCGCACTAATGGGTAGCGCTGTGTTCGTGGCATGATGGACGCAATATTCTCCGCTCAAGCATCGTGGCAGTCATTCAATTGACGATTCGGAACCGATCTGACCCGCTCGATGGCAATTACCCCGAGCGCCTCCAAGTGGACATTCCCGGATAGGAAATGCTGTATACATACAACATACACAGTGCAATAAGGTGTGAACTGTGCATGTGGGGGTCCGGACTCCGGACGCAGGTTGGCACGAGCGGGATCTCTCGAGTGTTGTACGGAGTAGATTTCCTCAATCTAGGTACTAAAAGGTGAAGCGCGATTGACTACTGTATAATAATACACCCCATATACCACCAGGATCGTTGACCGGGAACACAACCGGAAGTGGAGAGAAGCGATGAAAGAGATTGGGCCGCTGCAAGCTGCAATGCATCATGCGAGCGCGATAAGCAGGCTGGGAAGAAAAGGGACGGCTGGTTAAATGAGAAGACCCGATACCTGTACGAAATACGGAATACTTGCCATACGGAATACAGTGCTATGTATGAGGCATTTTCAACCGTTCCTCCACTGGGACTACTGCAATGCGCCAGATGCAGTTACAACGGTTTGTACTATTGTAAGAGCCAAGACAATTGGTGACAGCGGCTGTCCTCGGGATTCGTGTTGTTTCCATGGCTTCGTACTTTGACTTTGCATATTCCTATAGGGTATGCTCGAAAATATATTGTCGATCTTGGCTGTTGTTCATTTGAGTCTGTTGCCGGTCCGGGAAGAGAGCCACTTGCCCAGCTGTCTTGGTCCTGGTGCAGACATCTACCCGTGAACACGTCGAGATATTTTGTTTTTTTTCCTTTTCGAGGACAAAGGAGATCCCCCGAGACGTTTCACGCATTAAGGACCATGCACAGCAACTAACGTGTAGATCATCATCTCAATGGTTGGTCTGTGCAGGATACTCCGATCCTCCCATCGAGTGTATTAGGGTCCCCCGATACCCCAGCTATTCAGCATCACATCAAAGAATCGACTGCCCAAGTTGGGGTCCGATCAATGGTCGACAAATGCCAAGTCCACCCCAATACCTCCCTGGAATGACGCGACACAATCAAATCCATGAAGCAGATCTCCCCGAACCGGAACGTGACAGCCTGAAGCGCCATCCCATGACCCTCTCGCCAAGATAAATCTGGGGATTCACCAAGTTCTCTTCGGAAGGACTGGGAGATCAGCCAGATCAATGATCTACCAGGCAGTGCACAGTGTAAGGAGACGGTGATACCCTGGACTGGGCCTCACCGTCGGAATGCTTGGCGACAGCGCGTGGTGAAGTCAACCGCCAAGATCTAGGCATTGGAGTCTTGAGAATGCGCCCGGCACGGAGTACGGAGTACAGGCTGGAGCTCGGTAGTATCCTGGGCAGTGATGAGTACGGAGTAACAGGTACTCCGTACTCTGTACCTCAGGGGCGAGAATACTCCATACGGGGGAGAGCAAGGGAGGGAGCAGGTCTCCACAAAGGGGGCTCAATGAGTTCTATTTCCAACAACTCCTTTTGAAGAAATCTTGGCACCAGACAATATTGACGATATTGATAACCATTTGGCCCATGATAGGGTTTCCTCTCGATGCCAAGCTCTGTCATACCTTTAGTGATCTCAAAAACGAATGTCTGACGCCTTCTCTAGGCAATAGAATGGGGTTATCGAGGACTCTGTATGGGGGAATGACTTCGCCAAGGGCGATCATGAGATGATCATGCTCACGAGCAGGACTCGAGTCTTGGCGAACACTACTCCGTACTATCTGTGTGCTATTGTATTTGCCAAGCAGTTTCACGGATAGTATGCGTTGAGCCAGGGGGTTGCAGTGTTATTCGGGATTGACGGGGAGTCGGTTCGGTCCGGGGGGTTGAGATGTGTAAGTTGGCTGTTGTAAACCTGCATTGGAAACGGAGTACGCCGTACTCCGTCCTTGGATGCCTCTCGAGTTGCCCTGTATCTTGTACGGAGTGCCTCGTTACACTTCACCGTTAGACACAGGACACAATCAACGCTGTGGCGTCCTGATTCATTTTCAGCACTCAACCATGACCAATATCTGCCTTGGCACACGCCACCTACCAACGCGGCTCTGGTCATTTCCTGCGCTCATCCCTGTCCACGTCAGATGCGAAAATAGATTCTTCACAAGTCCGAGGCACCGGAATACCTGCCCCGACATTCTGACATTTCAAATTCGACGTCCAACGTAAAGGAATACGGAGTACGGAGTACACGCAACACCAAACGTGACAACCCTGGAGGATTTCACATCTTCTGGAAGCGCTTGATACGCGGTGATCGTCAACCCCCTCTCCGCAGATCGAACCGGGCCTAACCATCGACTCCGTACGGAGTGTGCGAACTAGACTTGTGATGGCACGGCCTCAACTATGGGAATCCCGTGCGCAGTTCCTAGCACAGCATCGGATGCGGATAATGATTCCTGGATGAGTTTTGAATTTACGGTCGCAACTAGCAGTCAATGACGACCATTTGATAGTCTCTGTGGCATTCCCAGTTTCAAGTCCACGGTCGCAGTCAGGTTCTCTAAGAAACCCATTGTCGCCCAAACATTGAAATCTCCTATTTCGCAATATTAGGTCCATAGAAACATGTTACCATTTCCAAGATTTACCAAGATTTACCAGGATTTACCAGGATTTACCAGGATTTACCAAGACCTACCTAATTAGTTTACACTCTTACAGCTGAAACTGTGTTCCAGCGACCTTCCAATCTCGTCAACCAAATCTGCCTCGCCCAAGGAAACAGAGCGGCAAAAACGCCGTTTCAGGCAAAATCCCCCAAATCTTTGCTGATCACGGGCTATCGACAACTCCCGATCTACGTAATCAACACAACAAACCTCATTCGCTCTTCTCCAATATGACCAATATGACCAATATGATCGCCCGAGTTAAGCTGGGGCCTTCCGAAGGGGGACCTCCAATAGGCAAGCACAATACGACATTCCAATACCGTGGTCTGTGAACATGAAGGTTGATATCATATTACCCATGCGCTGTGTTTCTATATATCAAATGACGCAGGGACTCGGGCTTCTACGTTAGGCACGTTTCAGAAGCTCATTTGACTCTGGTGGATTGTGACATCATGGAGATGTGCATGTTGATCGCACGTGTGGGCTGGTTGCTATGGTTTCTATTATGACTTTACGCTAGCGGCGCGGTGTTTTCCGAATAGTTCTACATCAAATTAGGTGGTTGGATCTATATTTCTACGTCAATGTTGGTCCTGTACAACGCAGGATCGTTAATATATTAGAGATGTGGATGGCATGGACATGCGGGGATCGGAATTGTCTATTGGTAGCGCGATGTGGGTTTCCATTTGCAGTGGATCTTCATGCGATTAGATGTTTGGGGTGCAGTGGGATGATGTGATATCTGCGTTTGCGGGGATTGTTTAATATGAGATATTGCGTTGATGGGATCATGGGGCAGGATGGTGACGCTTTGGATGTGCGAAAGGAGATCAAAGCATGGGGATTGCTCTCTTCTGATTCGAGGGTTCAGAATGGATGGAATCATTGTTGTAGCCGATATCTTACTTCCTAAACGGGCATTCCGAATTTGGAAATACATGGCCTGGTATGGATCATGAAACTGTTTCGTGTATTTCGTAGACCTAGTTGTATTTCGTTCTGCGGTTCTCAAATGTAAAACAACTCGACGTGTTGTAAAGCATATAGTGGTCTTCGAGACGCCATTCATGTGCCGCCGACTTAACCCTGTCCCAAGGCATGGGACTGTGCAACACGGGTCCATCCCCCTCACAGCCCGGGGGCAAATTCTCCGGAGATGTTCCTATGTCTAAATGGGGTTTTCGTTGAAGTTCGCATCTGTCCTAGATCAACTTGCTTCACTATGGCATATAGTATCAATCACATAAGATATTAATACTGACCATCATGCCTTCGTGGCTAAGGGAGCTATTGTAATAATAGTGGGTTCCCTCTATGAGGCGTATCGCCTTGAACAAGCAGTCTGAGAACGCCATATAGGCATTTTATATGAGCCGACGATATGATTATATTGATAGATAATACAACGAACGAGAGCGTGGGGAATGACTGGATCCTGAAGCTTTGGATGGGTTAGCTATTGTTCAAGCTCTGAGATATAGACTAGACATATGACTACAGCTCAAGATTTCCTGTCCTTGGTGAACATATAATGAAGCGTACATGAGTAAGGCGCTGGGTGATCGGGCCAGTGGTCTAGCTGGCGACAGGGCGCTACAACAGCGACATGGCGCCGCTTGACTTATGTCTGGCCCTCCCCGTGTATGAGTATTGCATCTTTTTTTTTTGGTTGTGCGTTCGTTTCCAGCTGCATGTTGGTTTTTATTTTTCTATCGTCACCACAAGAGGATGTTGGCAATGTTTGCCCTCATGGAGGCCTACCGTATATGGCTATCACTATCCGCAGCAGTGGAAGAAATCATCACCACTGATAATCCAGAGCATGATGTGTAGAATAGAGTCGAGATAGACTAAGCCCCAGCATGACGTGAGGCTGAATACAAGCCTGGCGATGCACAAAGATGAATTTTGGCCCCCAGGATCATCTCGACATTCCGTCGACTCAATTTGACCAGAGTGAGCCACCCATAGAGACAATAACTGCTCCAGCACATCGGCTTATTTGGACATATTGAGCATGAATACTCCGTACGGAGTACAAGGTTGGAAGTCGTTGAGAGTCATCAACCTGAGGCCGCCACATATCCACGCTTACTCCTTGACAGATGCCTGCTGCACCCCCTCCTCTCTCAGCCTCATTCGAGCACCCCAATTCCGATACATCTTCCTTTCCCGCATGAGAAGCTATGAAGTACAGCCCAAGTTCTCCCCAGTCATTCGCCCTCTCTTATGTTTCCAATTCCCGCTTCCACCGCTCCTTCACATTTGACTCCCCTACAGCTCATGGCCCCCTGAACGTGACCTACGGCGAGTATGGTCGCAAGCCCATTGAGCACGGCCATACCCCGACTCTTCTCTTAATGCCGGGCATGTTTTCATCCCGGTACATTGGAGTATGTCTTCACGCAATGGCCGAGAAATGGGGTGTGCACCTTGTGGTTGTTGACCGGTAAATGCAACCTAGCTACAATTCATAACCCACGAACTAATCCCAGCAGTCCCGGAATGGGCAATTCCACCGACGTGCCGCTGGCGCAGCGGGTGTCCGTCTGGGTTGAAACAGTCCCACGACTTTTGGCACACCTAGGCATCCAGCACGTAGCGTTGGCATCGCATAGTGCTGGGACTATCTATCTGCTGAATACCTTGTATTGTTGTCGGGATATCTTGCATCCTGAAAAACCAATGGTCTCGCTTCTAGGTAAGTTGCACTTCCTACATAATATCCTGACATCTCTCCATCTGTGGTTGCATTGGGGCCATGCGTAAGCTTGAATCTGACAATATGCCAGCGCCGTGGGTCGATCCCGCCATATCGGGGATTACATCCATGAAAATGGCGCAATACATCCCCACCCCAGCCTTCAAGTTATGGCACCACATCCCGCGCCTTTTCCTTGTGCAGGATGGGTCTGTCACAGCGTCCAGCGGAGCAATGATTACCAAGCTTTCTGCTATGGTTTCGACCAAGAGCAGTGAATACCAGACTCAGAACCGGGGGTATATAGCACAGAACTACGGATTGAGCCCGGAGCAGCAGAAGGAGATAGACTCTTCGATGATGCAGTTCATGTTCCAGGAGAATACTGTCGGGTCTAACAGTGAGGCGCTGCAGTGTCTACGGAAAGAACCTAACACGTGGGGCAAATGTGAGGATTATGAGGTCTTTGTGAAAGAGTTGGCAGAGCGCGAAGGAGGACGAGCAGGTGTGCCGTTGAAAGTACGGGTCTTCTTTGCTGAGTCTGATAGCATGATTGGCGTGAAGGGACAGGCTTATATTGAGAAGTGTTGGCATCAGAGAGGCGATGGGGATTCGAGAAGTGTGATCGAATTCGATTCAAGAGTAGTGTCTAGCACTGATCATGATAGTTTGATGCAGTCCGCAGAGGCATGGGAGAGTATCTTCAAAGAAATCCCAGGTGCAGAGGATAACACGTTAAGTTAGGGATAGAGTTGGCTTTATGGCCGCCTGACAGAGCAGCATTCTCTTGATGGAAATCGAATAGTCAATATGAGAACTTTATGTATATATTGACTAGATCTTGGACACCGCAAGACATGCCAGTAGATATAGCACAGTATAGATCATGATTTCAGAGATATTACAAACGGCCCAAAACTTATCAAGTCAACAAACACGATGGTATTCGGGAGCTAGATACAATGTATACACTGATGTACAGGGAAGGACAATACCAATTCAAAAATCACAACCTAGCCCTTCATCTCCATTGACCAGCATCCTCCACTCCCTTCGCTACCCTCTTTGTACCATCCTCCAGTCCCGTACTCGCACTCCCAAGCGCATTCCCAATCGACTCGCCCGCACTTCCCGTAGCGCCAGTGATGGTATCACCAATACCTCGCCCAGCAGTTCCCGTCACTCCACCGACCGTGCGAGTAACACCGCCGACAGTGTTGCCCAGTGTGGAAGTAACGAATTTGGCAGCTCCAGTAGCGCCTTTATCTTGGTTGCTTTCAAACGGCATTGTGGATGTGTGAATGTGTGTAGAATATTCAAGTGGACTGAAAGAGATCCTTGCGAGTTTCGCGCTCAATATAGTGAGAGGAAGATATAGTAAATGATAATGTGTTCAATAACGAAAAAGGGTGAAGCAGGACGGTTGATATATGGGGGCGTGCGCCGCTATGACATCATTGTTTGTGTGCGTCGGTGGCACTGGGGTATAGAGTGGTTAATATGAAATCAGCCAATTAAGCAATGGATGAGGCGAGACATGCGAGTCGAGACTTGAGGCAGTTGGCCACTTCTTCTGAATGGAATTTCTAGAATGGTTAGGAATTCGCCATTTGCTGAATTCCAGACACCTGCTCGGCCATGCAACATTGGGTGGGAAACGCCACGATGTATGCTTTTTGCTTCTCCTTTCTGGCCTTGCAAGCTTAGAAGAAAAAGTGAAAAGCTCGAGGGTAGTCTCTTAGTTATTTGCGCAATAGTTGGGAGGCGATGCTATATTGAGCGGTTTGGAACGTAGAATATTGAGATGAATATAGTGCCAATTTCTCGCCTATCTGTATTGAACTAGTCCATATTCTGGGCGTTTGCGATGCGCCTAATAATAGTAGGAGAGTTGACGCGATTCGTGTTGGATTTAGAAGCGACCTTCCTGTTTTTGTCCTGGGAGGCAGGGGGTCCCCGTTAATCCTGAGATAGTCACGCGCTAGATCAAGATCATTGGAGAATCTTGCACGAGGTTCGGGCTTTGGGGACTTTCCGGGGCTGTGAGAGAGAAATGCGTCAGATAGCACCGTACATTTCTACGCTGGTAGGAATGCTCAGCCGCTCGATCAAGCAGCTACACGTCCGTACAACAATCTCGGAGTGGCGCAGTCAGAGCGATGAGAAAGTTGATGCCTTGGACGTGATGAAGGCCTGGTCCAATATGGAGTATTCTCCAAGCAGCAATGTCGGCGGGCGAGGGCATGGGGCCAAAACTTTGAGCCACATGTTCGACTGAAGATGATGGTGCTCGAGCTACTTTAGCGCTGGCCCCCAATTTCAGTGACGTGACACCCTATATCAAGGGTTTTAGGGATGGATCTTGGCCACACTGCATGCCTTTCAAGCTCTGTGGGCTTTTGCCGTGAGCAGAATCAGAAGCCCTTGAGGCTCCATAGCGGACTCTTGGTATAAGAATACATCAGTTGAGGCCGTGGAGGAAATCAGTCCACAGGAGTTGTGATAGAGTGGAAGCATCTCGCTCGCAGGCCGGGATGCTAGACATCCGTTGCGGCTAATCACACTTTGAGGAGTGCAACAAGTAACTGACCGGGACAGAATCAATTCATCTTAGTGTCTGCGCTTTAGACACCATGGTGCGATAGTTACATTGACTGGAATCGATATCCCACATTGGAGAGGCCATACGAAGTAGATCGAACCTGATGACGTGGATATTCGGATATCGTCGCAAAATCACCGGCGACACGAATGGCAATTGATTGTGCCAAATCGGCTTTGATATTGGTGGCTTGCTTGGCTTGAAGCCCAGAGATCTGCATGGTTCTCTTGGTACAAACGCCATGGAGTTTTCCACAGGTTCATTGTTCTGAATGGAGTCAGGGCTTTAGATAGGCCTCTGGGGTATCTCAAGTGGAGAGGAACATATCCCAGACCCAAACCCGTCACTCGATACTGTTCAACACATTCTGCTTCTTGACAGTTTCGTCTCTTGCCCGACAGTCTCCAGGTTGTCCCCGCAAACCCCGCAGTCTGCTGTAACGTCTTCATGTTGCACTCGCGTGCTTGCCGAGCCGAATGCCGTGGGGATTTAATATCGACCGATCGACAACGTGGTACCTGAGCAGGGTCGTTATCCCTGTCTTCGCCATCACATTCAGCAGTCGACACCAGACCATGGTAGCCAAGCATCGCTTCCAGCGGTGGGCATTATGTCGCGAGAGAACAAGTGGAAGGGAGAGTGATGAACTGCCAAGATCCCTTCCTATCTTGGCTCTGCAGTGTTGATATACCGACCCTTGCCGTTCGAACTGATCGTCACTGCGCACTTGCTCTCGCGAACAATACCACCTGAAAGCACTACCATCCGAGCAAGCTGTCATCCGATATGTAGATATGCTGTGAGACTTGTCCTCTCGTACGGAGTATATCCTATTTGGGATCTTATCTGGTCCAAATGACTGCTGTCCACATATGCAGTTGTATACATGCATGAAACATCTGAATCAAAATGCTGCATATGGCCCCATTCTGTGAAGCAGGAATGAATCAAATCCAATTAAACCATTGGAGATGATCTTCCATCTACCATCATGATGTAACCGCTCAGAACACATCTGTCAACAAACGCGTCTGAGGTTGCAAGCCCCCACCTACCTTCAGTAGAGGTGTATATAAGTGCCATGTCCCTTGAAGAAATTGAATCCTCGTCCTATGCTCAATCCCCCTCGCAACATGTACATTCGGGCTTTTGTTGCTGCTCTTTGCCTTCTTGGGCCAGCCAATGCGGCGCCCACTGCCTACACTGGTCTTGCTGCCCGTGATGACCAGACCCCTACAGTGTGGCCCCCTCCCCAAGAGATCTCGCTAGCAGGCAATAAGGTCTCACTCGATGGCGATGTCACCATCGTAACCGGCAAGGCCAAGGACGAGGCCACGATTAACGCAGTCAAAGCGGTCGTGACTGCCGCCGGTGGCAATGCCGCCGTCTCGTCTGAGTCCACCGGCAGCGGCACGCAGATCTTCATCGGAACCATAGGGGAAAATGCCGCCGGAGCTGCCGCTGCCAAAGCTCTCACTGGAAAGTCTGCAGATGGTCTCGATCCCGATGGCTACGTCCTCGCGGCTGGTAACTATGAAGACAAGCCGAGCATTGTCCTCAATGGCGTGGACGATCGTGGCACGTTCTACGCGGTACAGACTCTTCGCCAACTTCTCGATGGCAGCCAAGTTCCAGGTATCAAAGTGCGCGACTGGCCGCTCATGTCTATCCGCGGGTCGATCGAGGGCTTCTACGGCGTCCCCTGGTCTCACCAGGCACGTCTCGACCAGTATGCCTTCTACGCAAAGCACAAGATGAACACCTACATCTACACGCCTAAGGATGACCCGCTTCTCCGCTCCAAGTGGCGCACTGAATACACCGGCGAGGCGCTTTCCGAACTCCAGGAGCTCGTTGACACTGCAAATGCCAACCATGTCGACTTCACCTTTGCTCTTTCGCCCGGCCTGGACCTTTGCTACTCGTCCGATGACGATTTCACCGCTACCACAGCCAAGCTTGATCAGATTCGCGACCTTGGTGTCCACAGCTTCTATATTGCTCTCGATGATATTGGTCTCGAGTTCCACTGCGACTCAGACAAGAATAAGTGGGCTGACACTGGCGATTCGAGCAACATCGCCGAGGCCCAGACCTACTACCTGAACCGTGTTCAAAGCGAGTGGATTGAAGCGAACAACCTCGACAATCTCGAGACCGTCCCAACCAACTACGCCGGCAGCTCCTCAGACCCCTACAAGAAGAAATTCGGCACCACCCTGAACAAGAACATCCGCGTCCAGTGGACCGGCGAAGGAATCTTCAGCGACGAAATCACCGTCGAAAGCGTCCAAACCGCCGACACCACCTACAACACCGACAACCTATTCATTTGGGACAACTTCCCCGTCAACGATGCCGATCGTGATCGCCTGTTCCTCAACCCACTAACCGGCCGCGCCGCCGAGCTCTACAAAGACATTCTCGGCTTCACCACGAACCCAATGCAACAATCCTACGCATCCATGCTCTCCCTCGCCAACTACGCCGACTACACCTGGAACGGACCAGCCTACAACGCGGACGACTCAACCGCCGCAATCCTGAAAGAGCTCGCCGGCAACGACAAGAAAGTGCAAGACGCGCTCGACGCCTTCGTCGACCTCCACCAGAACTGGCCCTACCGCAACCCAGCAGTCAACTCCCCCAAGATCGACGCCGACATCAAAGCCTTCTGGGCCGCGCGCAAAGACTCCAGCGACGGCGCCCAGCCACTCAGCGACCGTCTCAAGCTCCTCGCCACCGTACCGGACGTACTCCCCGGTATGGCTATGAAGGGCTTCGCCAATGATGTTGCTCCCTGGGCGGATGTCGTGATGCAGTGGGCTACTGCGTGCCAGCATTTGATCACCATGTTGGAGGCGATTGATGGTGGGGATACAGCGAAGGCGGATAGCGAGTATAAGAGTGCGGAGGAGTGGATTGAGAAGACGAAGGCGAAGACTGTTGATGATCGGGATAGTTCGGGTACGGATATTCCTGACTCGATTGTTCCGGCTGTTGGCGGTGATGCGTTTACCAAGTTCCTTTCTGATGCTAAGGCTGTGAAGGATGGGCAGTAGATGGGGATTGGTGGCGCGATTGTTAATAAGGAGATGGACGCGTAATAGTGTATAGAGAGTATAACATACACGATTAACAAGGATTTGATTGGTACAAACCTGTTGTAGGAATTGTAGCTTGGGATATATTCAGCACTACAGGTATCTGCACCGCATGGGTCTGCTTGATGATGCCTAAAATAGGAGATATCTAGAGCCATCCTTGATTCACAGGACCATGATAAATCAGTGAAATAAAAGCATTAGATAGGAAAGAATGACATGGTATGAAACAATCTTTTGTCTGTCATTTCAAAAACTCTGCTAAGGAACTATGTAAACTCAACAATGCCTTGCAGGTGAATCAAAGCGCCGATTATCATTAGCATAAACAAAAGGACAGAATGGGGGTCGAACTTGGAAAATTAGCCTTGAATGCGTTTCAGGCAAGGTCGTTTGTGAGAAGAATCATGGCGAGAACGCTGTGGGGGGTATCATTAAACATAAGAAAAACGGGGGTCAAAAGAATGGATCCTTCAAAGGCGCCGAATCCCTCGGCGGCCACAACTCTTGCGAACAGGGGTTCGCTGAGCAGCAGATTGGCATCGGGGCTTCTGTTTTGTGTGTTTCACCTGTTCAATCTGCTGCGGCTGTTCCATCTGCTCCATCTGCTCGGCCTCCTGTCGCAGCTTGCGGACCTTGACCATACGCCACCATCGAGTAATCACCTCACATGCCCATTCTGTCTTGACTTTGGCAATGGCGGAGGCACGCACATGATCATTCCGTCGTTGCGCATATGATCGCCAAGCACGCTGAATGACGACAGCAGACAAAGTCCGCTTCGCGCGAGAGATCCGAGAATCGCGAGCGGGTGTATCTCTCACTTGCTTTTGAGGAACCCTGACGATATTGCCCCTCGTTTCACCCAGAGCCACTCGACCCGGCACTTTGCAAGTCTCCTTGGTCTTGCTCGTCGCCGGCTTTCTGGGAGTAGCATTTTGCACGACTCGACGCGTCATTCCGGGCACCAGCGGGGGATCATCGGATTTGTTCTTTCCCTTGGCCTCGGTGGGTCTGCCGGGAGGAATGTTCTCTTTACCTCCCCCTCTACCAGGGACATCGATTGTTGTGACACCCGGTTGGGGAGGATTCAATGTTTGTTGGAGCGGAGCTCGTCGGGGAGACCCTGTCAACGGCATTCGTAGCTGGCGTCTAGTAGACTGTGCCTTTGGGCTCGTGAACTCGGTAGGTTGAGAGATCTGTGACATGACGTCTGTTTGTTGATTGGATGGACTGAAGAGACGCACGAAAACAGTGGCAGTGGATGCGTGGGAAGAACTGAATCCGGTACCACGTTTTGTAGCCGCCTGTCTCGTCGAGCAGGGTGTCCGGGCTCCTTCTAGAAACACAGGCATTGGGTCGAGGCTTCCCAACAAGAACGGGGATTTCATCTTGGTGGCTCTGGGGAAAGAACGACGGGGATGTCGCCACTGGAAGTTGTGCCAACAAGCGGTGAAGTCAATCAAGGGATCAGCTCTGGTGCGGGGAAGATGGGCGAGACTCGATCTTATGTGTCAACTGTTGAAGAATCACGATATATATGTCACACATGTAGATCTACGATCGCGTCTGCAACAGCGGGCTTGAGACGGTGTTTACGGCTATCGCCATAGCGACCATCGGGGGAATCGCGTCTGATTGGCGGAAGGGGGGATGTGCAGCTTGCCTCTCCGCCTTTTAAGTGATGCATATATAGTACGGAGTATACTACATCGAGATATTCATCTACTAGGAAGAGACTCTGTAGCAAAAGAGATCAATGGTTGATGATTTGATGATTGAAAGCAAGAACTTCGTACAATGATTCATCTCTATAAAATGTTGGATCTGATCTTGTCGACTTTGCTATATTGTGTAGCAGCTAGCTTTCTGCATTTTCACACCTTTCCAATCAACTTTGCAATGCAACGCATATATCTGCAGAAAGATGATGAGGAGCCTTGTTTCTCGCGTCGAAGGAGATTTCCCAGGAAACCAGCAGACATCTTCCCGCACAAGGGAAATAGCTCATTCAGATATCAATATGACAGAAGTCTAAGCTGGACATGAAGGACATGAGTCATGACCTCACCCATTATGTTGATGCCTGATATCACAAGTGCCGGAGAACCTGGAGCCAGCGACATGATCGGTGGGTTGATGACCTCTGTCGGAATTGGAGGCGGGTTCGGTGCTAGAAGCACCAGGGTAACGACCGCAGTGATGAAAGCTGCCACGGCCTCCATCATGACCCTGGTGAGTCCAATTCTCCAGAGATTTGGTATCTCAGACGAGATATCCCGTGGTATCATCACAAGGAAAATTTGCCAGCAAGTGGGGGACAGGAACATGTTATCTGAACGTGGTCTCTCCAACTCCTAAATATGGAGAGCGCCGTGTCTTTTGGTTTCCCCTGTAATTCCTGTTAGCTTATGTTAATGGTAAACTTGTCGATTATGAATACCAAGTCAACGATGATAACTTAGAGGTCTTTATCAATCACGTTGCTCATACTTGACTCTATCATCAGTGTCGGTAGGGGTTGAGGATCAGTCCAAATTGGGAAGTTAAATACCTAAAAGATAAGGTCTTTGACACTGGCCACTATGTCCCTTCGCAGGGATGATGCCTCCAAGCCACGCGATATTGAAAAATGAACTTCGTGAAAGGGCATGAAAGAACGGAGAACAGGACAGAACAGATGTAGGGATGTCATATAAGACAACCGAAATAGTGACCAAACCGAGGGACAAATATCATCAGAGACATATTTCGGTCCTTTTGCTTCAACCTCCGTCATTCCTCTTATAGAGACAGTGATATGGTCAACCCTCCGACCCTAAGATACATCATTTGATGTACTGTGCCAGATGAACATCTCAGGCTTGAAGATGAAACTTGTGTATAAAGCCGGGAGGTAGAGATGTATGGCGCATGGTTCTCAATTCACAGCGGTTCCAACAACAGTGGTGTCACCAAGACTTGTCGCACGCTGCTAACTTCGCGCAGATAGAAACCCTCGCATGTCTCTCTTGAAACTGAAGAACAACCACCAGGGCGACGATGGCAAATACGAAGCAGGCACCGACGAACAGGATGCAGGAGGTGGATCGAGTACAAAGGTAACTGCAAGAAATGTGAGGCAGCGTGAACGACTCACGACTCATGTGGAGTCGGAAGTTCTGGTACATCGCTATTGGAACAAAGGTCGATGAGAAAAGCCGCAATGAAGGGGGGCGAGAGACTACTGTTGCAGATTGCGCAAGAAATTCGGCGGCTTGTCGAGCAACAGTCAGTCTTTATCTTTTGCAGTCATTAAATCTCACACCTCTACTGCTTGGAAGTCCTAGAGCCCGATCTGGTCTCGTAAGGCCAGAACACGACTTGCAATAGAAGGCATCCAAGAGGCATATCAAATAGAGACTAGGCTGAAACGAATGAAATAACTCACCTGGGCATAATTGACAACAGTATACAAGATATAATGAGATATGAGGAGAAGGAATCAGGAAGACTGTTTGAGTCCCTTTGATAGCTGAAGCACAGCAGAACAAGAAGGAGTTTAGGATCCACAATGCAGTTAACTAACGATGGATATATAAATAAAGAAAGCCGAACATGTCTTGAAGATTGGAATGATAAATTTATATATAGAATGATTGGGCCCCATATAGGATGGCAAAGTCATCAGGCAAGGCAAAACTAAGCTTTGTTCCCCAAACAACCAAGAAAAGAAGAAGAAGAAGAAGAAGAAGAAGAAGAAATCCATATTCGCTATTGCTGGAAAGGACAGCAACTTTATATCCCTCAAAAGAGCAAACAATGTTTGGTCTACAAATATGGAGCCCTGAACAACCAGGCAGGAACTGAGGCATCTCAAGGTTGCACGGTTACTTACTTTTCTAGTATCTTCTACAGATCACCGGCGTATGGTATCTAGAAAGAATCCAGGAACTAATTACTCATATTGTATCTCGAAAGCGGAAGGTCTGGCAGTGATGATGGCTGAAAGAAAGAGACAGAGGGGCTTACGGGGTCTATCTATGAATGAGGAGACCAAACTCATATCATCATTAATAAAACGACATCGGGTGACTGTTCTAGTTGAGAAGTAGCGGAAAGAGGAGACAGTATGAGCAGCCAGAGCTGTGGCAAGCTCCTGTGAAGGGGTTTCATCGGACAGACATCGAACTCAACTCGCCCGCGGCCAAAGTAGGGCAATCGGAGAGAATTGAAGTACCATATTCGCATTCCACGTTCAATGCCCAAAGCCCAGGAGGGCAGATAACAAGTGCTGTATTCTAAAGTACAAACCACTTTTTCTCTTGTCCTATTTCAGCAGATCCAATCTTTCCCTCCTCGGCCAGTTTTAACAAGACCTGCGCTACGAATGGCCCGGCCATTGCATCCATCGCAGCACCATAGAGGCGTGCAGTAGTCTCCTGGGTCGTCAAAAATACTTTAGCCTTCGGGTTTATCCCAACAAACGCCGATAAAATCCTCCTTTCCCGCGTCTCCCAATGTCTACTGTAGACTGTAATCTTGGCAGGCAGGTCTTTGATCATGGCACCGTGCCCGGGATATCCGATTGCAATGTCCTCAACTTCGGCAGCTTGCTTCATTGTTTGTAGACTTTTCATGTATTTTCTCAGGTCTTCGACAACCACGCTGGTTCCATGCCCAAGCACATTATCGCCTGTGAACATGGCGCCGCAGTCTTCCAAGAGAAAGCACATGTGATCGTGACTATGTCCAGGTGTAAACAAGGCTCGGAGTGTAGCACCTGGAACAGTGAAGGTCTGCCCATCGCGAATGGACTGTTGACCCCGCTCTGGATCGGCTTTGTAAACTGCCGCGCTCAGAGATGGATACTTGGCCAACAGCGCCGAGAGACCACCGGTATGGTCGGGATGCCAGTGAGTTACCAGGACATGAGAGATGCTCAATTGGTGCTGATTGAGGAAGTTGGATAGTGTTGTGAGCCAGATGGGAAATCCCTGTCAACGCGATTCCCTCTTAATATGGAATTATCCAGTTGTCAGAGCCAATACCACTAACCTGTCCCGTGTCTATTAAAATTCTTGTTTGACCACTTCCAACTAGATAAGTATTGGTTCCTTGTAGTTGCATGTCACCAGGGTTTCCCCCGAGGATTCGAACCACCGTATTACTGAGTTTCGTGACCGCGGGGAGGGATGGTAGTTGAGCGTTTCGGGCAGCTAAATAGTCATGCCATCCTGACTGATCCCGTACTTTTTGGGGTGGCATCGTACTTGCTGTGTAACTGGAGAATACACAGTGAAAAAGGTCATAAGAAAGGAAGAAGATGAGAGTGAGATTCCAAGGTCAAAAGTACGATGGGCTCCACTGACATACAGTGAGTCTTACGAACGATCGGCGTGTACGGAAAATAGATCAGAGGTCCGCGAGCTATGTGTCCTTCTAGTTCATTCCTTTGAATTTTCTCCTGAGAACTTACGCCAGGCTGTTTCCAAGCCAATCTGGTACCTGAATCGTTTGGACTGAATATCCCCCACCCAAACATACATGTGGTTGATGCCTTAGGTATATCTATTGACGTCTTTTCTGCAACGACTCTGGACCTGCCTTGCCCATCGACTGAAAAGAACTCATGCAATACTACAGCATGAATTCCAAAGACAGTGGCGGTTTTGATCGTAATCTGATTAAAGATGGGACCGCCCGTCAGCAGCGATGCTCGTTCTAGTCCGCATTTCGATATCTCATATGTTGGGATATTCAGTGAATTTAGGCAAAGCAAAAACTACCTTGGGATTCATTTTGATTTGAAATAGAGCCATAAGGCAGCGACTGGAGGGTTTCCGACCGGAAGAAGATAAGAATACTTGCATGTAGTTTATATTCCTTGCAAACGACTTCAAACTCACGGAGGAAGGCTATAAACCAAGTCTGGACTTCTTTAGGGAAAATCATAGATTTGCCATTGAGCAGAAGGAAAACCACAAACCGTTGATTTGACTCAGTTTTGGTATCTAGTTTCTGTTGGAAACAGCGAGGTTATGTCCAAGATGTAGTTCCCATTAAGCTCTGCTTTAGTTCCTATGTACGATGTTTAGGGAGGCGAGGAAGAACAAATTGTTAGCTGTCAAAGTTACATGTAGATGTTGGGACGTGAGAGAACAGAAAACATCAATTCATAGGTATGGAATAAAGAGAGGAGGTATATTCAGCAAGCATTTTTCCAGGAGCAACGAGGCTTCCTTGCGTTGGCGAGCTAAGAACTAGGGCTTGATGAAGTGTTGACTATGACACAGTGTCAGCTATAGTGAGATGTTGGCTATGCTGAAGTGTCGAAAATCTTTCTCACCAACAACAGGAGGTAGGAAGGGTCTGCTCGTGAAGGAACCATCTCAAAGATAGACGAGTTGACTGGAAAGGAAGAGAATCTTGGGATTCAAGAAAAGAAAGATGTTGCGACATTGGTCGGAAACGATCAACAGACCAAAAGGCCCCTGGCATTAGGCTAACGTGTTTAGCCTAACGCCAAAGGGCTGACAGTTTTACATTCGATATTGTATTTGAGGGACCAAAGCATAGTACCTAGTTCACATTCACACCCAAGGGCACATAATCTTCCACACATCGCAGCTTCCAATCAAACCTCTGCATATCATCATTGCCCCCAACAAGCTTTGTTTCTCAGGCCTTGATACGATATCTACTCAATCAGGTCAACTAATGTGATGACAACTAACTCAGCCGGTATCATAGGAACATGATTTCATAAGACATGACTGCAGGGTATTCAATAAATTTCCTCGTTCCATCTCTATAACATCAACAAAGCCCAACTTCCGCACATCTAGGTGAACCTGTTGAGACATCCATATATGAGAGGGCTTATGTGATAGTGAGCTCCTTCTTCAATGGTCTGACCAACTCACTCTTGATTCTGATCAGTCTTCAATTAACCCCCAAAAAGCCGGAAGATTGTCAACCTTGAAACTGGGGTATGACTCTGAAGATCCACAACCCGTCAAATATCAGAGGGGAAACAGCAAAGATGATCAAAATTGACACTTGAGATGGAAATAGGCTGCAATTCGGTGTTTTACCCTACCAGATACCGCCGGAATGCTCGGAGAGAAGTGACGACTGGCACCACACCGAAGGACAGTGCACCTGGTATAGGTATGCGAACATAGCGCTGGGGATTACACCCAAGCCAGGCAAGCTCCACCCTTCTGCGGTACTTCCAGCAGTCGAAATAAATCTCTGGACAGGGAATCTTGGTAAAAGTCATCCTATTCGTCGCAACTGCGGCCGCACTGGAGAGACGGACGGGATGTGGTGTTCGCTTTAGGGGGCGATCTTGATACCTATTTAGGTACCTACTCAAGTGTAAAGACTGTACAGTTATTGAATAAGCATCCTGGTCCTAGGCACCTTCGGATGCATCAGGACCATCCGGAAGGAGGCTGGGAGATTGTGATCGTTTAGAGTGCCACTAAGAACTGCGGGTAGAGATCCACTGTATCACTGCATGCATGTATGTACCTTAAAAAAAAAGGAACCGATGCGCAACGAAGAAGTTTATTCCCTTACATGCTGCAGATCTATATCTACCAATGACTTGAGGAGCGAAAGAACTTCTCCCTACCACCGCTGGACCATTGTGAGGACTGGGAGAACAACAAGGCAACTGGTATCTTTGAGAAATATCCATTGAATATGGCCATATCGGAAGACTCGGATATCTTGATCACCAGCCTAGGCCTTCCAGACACTGGAAGGAGTACGGAGTACAGAGTACTTCTATCGACATGCAGTGTGCGTTATGCACGGAGGCATGTAGATAAGAGTGGATCAGCGGCATTCACATTTGGACCTGCTGAGATCCGAGAATACTGCGATGGTCAATTTGATCTTCATGGCTAATTCAGAGGGCCAATCACTGTTTGCAAGTACAACCGATGGAGAAGACCGTATAATGTTCTAGAAGCATGCTGATCTATTGCCCAACTTGAGCAGTCGATGGCTCTAGATGTTCACGGGGCCGGATGAAGAGGTGTTTATGCCCGCTGACTAATCATTATGCGCATAAAGGCCTCCTACAGATTGAACCTCGCTAGCATGGCGCAGCTCACAGCCAAGCCCTCTCTGATGTCCACTACTTCCCCCCTATGGATTAAGCGGCTTATCCTTGGATGCTCCAACTGTAGCCTAATGTACCTTGTAATCTCCTTTTAGATTAACAGATTCTCCTTGCCTGTATGTTAGATGTTGTAAAATCACCAGGAATAGGTAGGTGGGTCAGGCCTAAATTAGACTCTCGTGACTGAGCGACCTCCTTTCCCCGGACGTGCCTCAACGTGGCCCCAGGCATTCTCAACTCTTAACATTTACATTCCTTACTTTCTTTAACTGCCTGGAGATTGTCACTCTGCGACATGGACCCGATATAACCGCTTGTATCATCACTTGTTTTGCGTCACCATCCCACGACCCTCCTTCTCCGCTCTCCTGCTACCGCGGCATGATCCCGCAACATGGAATCGCTCGTGTTTGAGAATTCACCTTTGGCCGACTACTTGGAAGGTTTGTCAAGTCCCAAATGCCCGAGGAATTCAAACTGATATCCGTACTAGGAGAGGGTGGAAACGCGGAGAGTTGGCCCGTGGAGGAGAACCAAAGCGACGATGATCATACCCATTCTTTCAACTTTGCCCCCCGAGGGGCTTCAAGATTCCAGGATCGCGTTCGAAACAGGCTCCCGAAACCACTCGACCTTCAAGGCACACCGCAGGGCCAGGTTATCACCAAACTCTACGACGCATGCTCAGTATGACCCCTCATCCAGGAGACTACAGGATCATACTCATGCTCTTTCTCCTCTAGTCAGCCTTGAATGTCCGATTAGCACGAAGTGACAATAAACGATTCTTGGAACAATTTGGTTACGTCATTGTCGCGTCACAACTCTTGAACGAACATAGCGCCCCTTCCTACACTTCCGCCGCCGACGTCCTTTCCGCAAAACAACCCTCAGCTCTACCATCCCTATCCACAACTTTTGGAATACAAGGTGCCATTGTCACAGCCTTGACCTCATTTTCGATTGCTTGGTTGTTACATTGGAGCAGGCCGAGGACAGGGTCAGGAGTCAGCCCTAAGAAAGCTGGCGTGCTCTTGGTCCTTGTGCCGGCCGTTGGCGTCGTGTTTTATGCTTTTGCGAAACGACAATGGTTGAAATACCTCCGACACCAGGCTGTTGAGGCAGCCGGCACTTTCATTGGGAACGCACAAGGCTTTGATTCCGCTGCGTCAGCATCCGTGGTCTTCATTCAGGAGGTTGAACTGGTTTCACGAGGCTATCGGATGTGAGATATTTGCCGTTTTCTCTTGTCATAACTGGGCTAACGAACTCTCGCAGAAGCACCCCTTTACCACCTATCAGCCGGTTAGAGGATATAGTACAAACACGAAGATGCTTGAGGTTGCGTCGCACGGTCTCAGAGTGTTTTCACTCCATGCTTGAGCGATATGTTCAATCCCAGAACATCTTACGTCCCCTTACGGATGACAGCGACCTTGCAAAATATTACGACATTTATGACATTGGACTAGAAGAACTCGAGGTAATCGAGGCGTCCCTGTCGCAGCGCACCAATGAGGACCAGTACTCATTGCGCGCCCTGCGGGATCTTTTCGGCAAATTGTACAGTGTGAGAAAAAGTGTTCTGTGCTGCCTGTTGGCTCTTAGCGCCGACGGTGGCGGCTCCGATATTGGTAGATGGAGTTCTGCTGTCGAGGAAATGCGTGAGCTTGCTGCAGTGACTGGCACCAGCATGCTTAAGATGACAGCAATCTTGAATGAAGAGGATCGTGAGTGTCGATCTGTTTCATCTAATACAATAATGTTGGCTAATTGATGTTTCCAGATGATAATATTCCTCCATCCCCATTGCCTTCTGCCTCACCAAGCAAGGATCACCTACGGGCTCAATTTCGGCGACTTACCTCTTTATCACAAGGAGTCCGTGCCTTGCATGCGAAAATGCATATTGTCAGCGAGGAGTCACATGCAAATCTGGAACGTGCAGACCCGGACGAATTCGAAGCTACTCTCCTTACACAATATGACTCTGTAGGCAATGACCTCAGGGGTCTTCTCCAGGAGTGGGAAACCGGTAAAGCTGCATTAGCCAGTCAACAAGATCGCCTCAGTGTTGGGGATCGCTCGCGACCGCCAAGCTCTTTCTTGCTGCCCATGTCTCCTACCCCTAGCTTGGGAGGCTCCACTGCAGTCGAGGGCAGCCCCACTGACGCACTCATGGCCTTGAATGGTGAGGGTCGACCGGATCTGACCCATATTTACGACGACGAGGAAATCTTCGAAGCAGTCGTGCTCCCGGCATCAAGAAACAAGAGAATGTCCTTGACAAGGGATGAGCGTCTTGCACGGGTGCGTGAAGACCGTGCCAGACAGGCGACTGCCCGCGAAAAGGCAGATGCCAGCACAAACATGCTTAAGGAGCTGGAAATGGTCATCAAACAGCGACCAGGAAATAACTCCGCAAAACGAGTTACCAGCATCTAATATCAAACTTGGATTCCTGTCTCGTGCTTGATGCACTCCACAGGATCTCTTTAATTTCTTCTGCGCCACTCGGCACAGCTTTGACTTGAATCAGCGCTAGCAGCTGGAAGTCACAAATTGATACCCACCAACATGTATAGACGGGGCGCGGCGACAGCGGTGTTTTATTCGGCTAATATTGCTTCTTCTTCTTCTCCTTCTTCTTCTTCTTCTTCTTCTTTCTCCTTCTTGCTTCTTGCTTCTTGCTTCTTGCTTTCTGCTCATTACTCATTTCTTTTGTATCATTATTATCTGTTCGTCTGTCCTTACTATGATCCAGGTCCTGGAGCTCCTTTTGGCATTCAACTTTGTTGCGTGTGAGGATCAAGACCGATTTCCCATTTGTATATTACAGCAGGTCCTTCTGTAAACAAATTATTATCTCATTTTCTACGTCTATGTTCGCTTGTAACTGATAATTATCGTACAAAGTACATAGGAAACGCTAGACATAGATGTATACGAAGAAGCCTTGTCGCCTTACTGCCTGAGGTATCCAACTTAACCGGAAAGGGACATATCGCCAAACGCGACCGCGTCTTCCCCACCCTCCAACGCGATCCGTATATTAGGCTGCTGTCTCTTTCACCTTCGCCCACATACATACCCAATTCACTACTTTCATCTCCTTTGACATCTTGACTCTATCAGGAAATCCACGCCTCTCTCTTCCTCTTACGACCTAATTTCAAACCACACACACACAAACCACCAAGAGTGAGTCGGCCAACTACCAATTTGAAAGAGATTGTTGTGTGCGAAGGACAGATCAATTAACCCACTCACCAGTGTTGGAAGCACGATTGGAACAGGCCAGCCTTCTGAAGCGCGTATGTGATCCACGCCACTCAACCAATTCCGCAATGGAAGCAGTACTGACACAATTGTGTGTAGGTCGTCGACGCCATCAAGGATCTCGTCCAAGATTGCAACTTTGACTGCAATGACTCCGGAATCGCTCTCCAGGCCATGGACAACTCACACGTTGCCCTGGTCTCCATGCTTCTGCGCGCTGAGGGTTTCTCTCCCTACCGTTGCGACCGTAACATCGCTCTCGGCATCAACCTGCTCTCCCTGACCAAGGTGCTCCGCGCCGCCCAGAATGAAGACATCCTGACCCTCAAGGCTGAGGACTCACCCGATGCCGTCAACCTGATGTTCGAGAGTGCCGAGACAGACCGACTGAGTGAGTATGATATCAAGCTCATGGATATTGACCAGGAGCACCTGGCCATCCCCGAGACTGAGTACGCTGCCACCGTGGAGATGCCTTCGGCCGAGTTCCAGCGCATCTGCAGAGATCTCAACCAGTTGTCCGAATCTGGCAAGTGATTTCCCCAGAGCTAGATCCGACTAGCAGAACACAAGTCTCATGGTGCTAATACCTTTTTGCAGTCGTGATTGAGGCCAGCAAGGAGGGTGTCAAGTTCTCCTGCCAGGGTGATATCGGTAACGGCTCCGTCACTATCCGCCAGCACACCAACGTCGACAAGCCCGACCAGAACGTCTCTATCAGCCTCTCCGAACCCGTCGCCCTGACCTTCTCCCTCAAGTACCTCGTCAACTTCTGCAAGGCCTCCAACCTGTCCTCATCTGTCGTGTTGCACCTGTCCCAAGAGGTGCCGCTGCTTGTTGAGTACGGTCTGGGAAGCGGCCACCTGCGGTTCTACCTGGCTCCTAAGGTGAGTGATCTTTTGTCTCGGCATTGGCATCGTCGGAAACCAAGCTAACATGGGATTGTGCACACAGATCGGCGATGAAGAGTAAACGAATTATTTGGGAGATTTGAGGGAGCATGGGCAATGCTAAAAAAATGAAGCTCAATGATAATGGAGAGAACCGGAGGAAATGTTCTTTCACTGCATCCCTGATAACAGGGATTTTACAAGATGTTCACGATAATTTACACATTCAGCGGTCGAGGTTTCGACATCGCAAATTTTTCAAAAATCCGCAAGCTTCGTCTAGTCTTTTTTTTTTAATCCGCAGATCGCAAGTAAAAGATTGCTACAGGAGAAAGAAAGTTCTTAGAATACACCAGCCATTGAGCTAGCATAGAGATATGATTCAAGAGTATCTAATGTTGCACTCCAACACGTATGTTGTAGAAAAAGCCCACACAAAACCAATCCCCAACCTCCGCGACTGAAACCCCACAAGCCCAAAGGCAAACCGACCCTAAGGACCTCACAAGGATGGTCCACAACCCCACTAATCAGCAAGGTCGCCAAAAAAAATTCTTCCCAGTCCCTCCCAAGCCACAAACAAGGGGGAGGGTAAAAGAAAACTGACCTGGAAAAAAAGTGTGAAGCGCCAACCCCACCAGAATGATCGGAATCGAATGATACCATCCACCGATCTCCAAGGAGAACAGCAGAGCAAGGTATGCTGCGTATTGCACTAAAGTGTCATCACACACAATCTCCGCACCGACTCTCCCAAGGGGTTCCGGAAACCCGCGAACGGGTCCCCGGCCCCGATGTTTCTGATGCCAAGTGCAGGTGTGGGTAGAAGTGAATCTAGGATTCACACCAGGCCCTCACGGGCAGGACCGGCGCCGACGCGCGAGAACGAACGACGGCGCGGGTTGGGGGTTGAAGATTCCTCCGAATTTCTCATTTGCAAGGGGTATCGCGCGCCCTGGGCGGGACCCAGGGTTTGCGAGGACGGGCTGTGAGGCTCGCCGTGTGTAGCAAAGAAACGCAGCATTGGTGGGGGTGGCGCTTGAAGAAGGGAAATTGCCGTGCCGCGGATTTGGGTATTTATATGGGTGTCACGTGTGATGACTCATCTGTGCGCTTGTCCCGATTTGGTTGCATGTATGGACGGATGGTCCCTTTGGATTCTGTTTGTAAATAACTTCTGTATAAACTTGGGTGGAGGATTTTGTTTGTATGATCTGGTTGGTAAGTGACTATGGAATTTCTGAGGTTCTAGTATAGCTCTCTCAACACACTCTGCTCATCGTCCCTAGCCAAATCCTGGCGGAAGGTACGGATTGGAGCAGAGGAATTGCATAGGGACAACCCGATACCATTGACAGCTTCAATGATAGACCACGCAAAGAAATCCTCGCGCTCAATCTTGGTCTCGAATCCAGTTTTCTCAAAATATCCAATGAACTTATACCCACCCAACTCCTCTTGCGAAGCATATACTCTCCATCCACGCACCTCGGTAGCCCCATTCCAAGAGACAAACCACGTCGTAGGTCCCGAGATATGATCCGACACAGCATAGACATCTGGACTAGTAGTCGGTGTGGTGGTGAAATTCGCCTTCCACCCACGATACCAGTATCCAGTGGGGTCTGCTAATCGCGCCTCGAAAACAACACGCGAGCCATCCAATGTATGCTCACTCAGGAATGGGGTGCCTCCCCAATAGATAAAGACATTTCCATTTTTCAACGACTGTACACTTCCTGTTTTGTTGGTGAGGATTCTTCTAGGCGAGAGATAGCGGTGGACTAGAGAAACGTGCATGGTTTGCATATCCACGCGCAGTACGAGGCCAGATGACGAAAGCGCAGTTTGGTGCCACTCGTCAAATCCGTTGTCAAACAGCGAAATTTCGATACTGTTGCTTTCTTCTTCTTGTACTCGGGCGTGGTGTTGGGAACTGAAGTTCAATCCAGCTTCGAATGTGAAGTCGGGTCGTTTGCCTCCGAGTCTCCAGAGGACAGTGCCATTCTGCCCGGAGATCATGTAGATGGTACTTGTATGGCGTGCAGAGATCAAGTAATCCCCATTTTTGGTTTTGTCCACGGAATTAATGTGACTATGTAGGTGGTTGAAAGTCAGAAGAGACGCCCAGTTTTGACAGATAACAGAGAGAGGACCTACAAAAAGTCCCAGTCAGTTTCGGGGCTGATACCATTACCCCATCGTCTATGTGTAAGCTCCATATGCGACTCTTCTATTTCAATGTGATCTGCAGCGTCCCACATGAAGTTGACAGTTTGGGTTTGAATATCAATTTCCTGGAACCCAGAACTCCTCAGGTATCCGTTCACCGGGCCTCCAACTGGAGAAAGATCCCAGGGCCGATTCATTAGCCATGTTGTCAAAACGGCAGTTCCATTATCGACAACATTCAACTCATGTAGGTCTGGTTCTTTGCCACCGAGGATTTCAGTGAAGTCTCTTTCCCCTCCGCGTGTGTATAGGCCTGGATCTAAGGCAACGACGGGGCCAGATGCTTGGACTCCAACTCCATGCTGCATTGACAACATGCATATCTTTTCATGGCCTTCGATATGACAGGGGTGAAGATTGTGCACGAATTCGTTGCCTACTGCGCCAGCCCAGGCTAGTTCCTGTTGAGATTGTCAGTACTTCTGTGATGAGAGAGGCCGTTGTACGCTGGGGAGATTTTGACCTACCCCGGTATGGCTGTATATGTAAGGGCCATCGTCAAAAGTCGCTACCTCATAAGGGGCGATGAAGATATAGCCTGGGGTAACATAGCCATGCTCATAGTGGGTGACATTCAAGACGGGGACGCAAATATCTGGTCGCTATTGACATACGTTAGCTACCGAAAGTGTTCATTCAACGATAGGAATGGTGCCATACTGATTGAAAGCATTGATTTGAGCTCGCGATGACTCTCCAAATATAGTGCGGGGAGAGGATTATCCCGAGCATGATAGGCAGCCCGAAATCTACCAACACAGCCATCGTCTGGCTGTAGTGGCCAGATAATAAAAGCTGGCTGATTGACGTCCTCTTGTGCCTCGGTAGACTCACCAGCTTGATACTCAACAAGCCAAATGGAGAAGAGAGGTTGTGTCCGGGAGATAGCGCAACGATCTGTTCATGGGATTACTCTGTGACACAGTCATGTCGCTTCCCTCATGCAGCACATACAGCTCGGGACCGCGAGGGAGATCATGCTGTGTACCACTTGGAAATAGAATATCCGATTGCAATTGCCGGACCTTTTGAAATCTTGCGGTATCACAATGCAATTGTTTCCATCTCAATGTATGGGATCCATGTTGATATGCAAAGCACCGATAGCTGCATGAGAGCCACTCTGCAGACACAAGATCCTACTCAATCTGCTCAAAGGCTCGAACAGTATAAGTCTTCCCTTGCACTTGGACTTTCTCGCCCGGTATCCTCCAAGATCCAAATCCCTCTCCATCAAAGCCAACCATCATCGAAGGCAAGGTATCCGCCCCTTCGCCAACCACATATTTCGCACTCCAGCCCGAGCCCCATTCTTCCCTTCTAGCACTAACATCAGCGCCTGATTTTCTAACAACCAAGCCACCATTCGGAGTCCTCTGACGCGTATGAATTTGAGTTTGCCGCAGTGCCAAATACGTTCCCCAGATGCGACCGATGAAAGTCTTGGTGACCGTCACTTCTCCTTCTTCACTGCTGGAATCCCCATCAACTGACTCCAACACCCACGAAAGTCCCTTCTTGGGACCATCGGGGCCGTCTCTGAACGGCAACTCCCGCCACACTTCCTCATATTCCGTTTCAGGTGCACCGGGAAGATCCGGACGAGGCATAATGCCCGTTTCGAGATCATCTCCATTGGGCAACGAGGTGAAAGTCCCACAATCCACGCTCTCAAAGGCATTGTGAGAATCAAGTTCATGGGAGAAGGAGACCCGTACTGGTGAATCAGTCAGAGATTCAAATTCGTATGAATGCAATGGTAGTAGGTGGAGATAGGCAACATACAGGGCTCCTGGCTCTCAACAATTCTCTGCCCAGCAATCGCCCAATCAATCTCCCCTGTCGTCTTCTCGATCCGCATATCAAGATACCAGTCTTTCACGGACATCACAATTGTATCGGTCGTTTCCTGAGCGGGCTCTGGGAGCCATCGGATTGAGATGCGAGTGGAGAAGCGGCAGGTGGATTGGTCGGAGGTGACAGTGGCCATATTGCCGGGCGTGATTGCGGTTCGGATTCAAGTTTGGAAATCACTGAGTGATGATGTTTGATTGGTGTATACAGGCACGGACTAGTGATGTAGTTGGTTTGTGAGACCAGGTTGGGTATGCCAATATCGAGGGCTCAGATCATTAGGCAAATCCGTGTGGTCAATGGTCTATGTTTATAAAAAGATGTAGCATGTCAGAATATCAAAATCAGGGATGTTCAAGGGAATGATGGTCAAGAGGCAGGGAGAGCAAGAAGAAAGTCAGTCTATTTCCCCCTCACACCCCCGCATCGACCTCTTGTCCTCTTGTATTCTCCCCACAAACCGGATATGCAAGATATGGACCTCTCTACCAAGCACAGATCTAAACAATGGGATGATAAGTGTGAGCTTCGATTAATTGAGAGCGATTGTGGACAAACCGACCGAGATATGGGGCAAAGCTGGATGCTCTTGCCTGTGAGCTGGTGTCATTTTGTCACTCATAATAAGAGTGAATATAAGACTGTCAGCCCTTTGCTGTTAAGGCTAATGTGTTTAGAAAGCCCAGGAATTAAAGAAACAGAGAAACTCACTTCTTACCCGTACACCCCCTCCCAGCTATACCAAAAGAGAAGAAAAGCCTGTTCCGCTCAGCAGCTCCATCTTCGACAAGCCACCGATCAGTATTCAAACGATCATGCTCGGGAGACACGTTCTCGTCCATCCGGTGCACCGAATATGGCTGACAGCTCACGACAGTATGCTTTGGAACAAAGAACCCGTCGATGATCCTTCCACCGGTGAGTATATAGCGAGGCAGTGACATCGGAATGGGCGGCGCATACCGCAGCGCCTCTCCAATGACAACATCAAGATATATAGTTATCCAAGGGTGCAGCTTCCGGTGCAGTAGTTAGTTCCTCGTGAAGGCGACGTGGAAACTCAGGGGCTGTGGTGGTGACAGCTCCCACATCAAGAAGCACAGACTATAACTTGTCGTTTCGATACCGGCGGCCGTCTAGGACGTAATGGTTTGGTTTTGGGGCGCTGCGGGCGTGAAGGCAACTCGGGATGTAAGGTGCCAACGAAGGGAGATACTACTCCAGGAAGTTTTCTGTCTTTTCTTCAGTGATGTTGGTCATAGCGTATCTCTCGGCAAAAATACGTTTCCTCTTGCTATGCTGATGGAGGTTAGCACCCAAGTGCCAGCATTTGTTCAAAAAGGATTACCTCGCCTTTCAACAAAGTTGAAAACATCGTTCTAAACTTTGCATTAGCGATTAGCATATCTCTGCAGGGCAGACTTACCTGATCTTGAACCGCCCGAAAAGATCATAGTACTCAGTCTTGTCGTACCCACCGGCACACATCATTTTGATAGCCTCGAGGCTGGTGAAGAATACTTCATTAGGACTAAGTCGGACGATAGAGTCATAGATCTTGTGCAAGCGGTGGATGGGTTCTCGCTGATTTGCTGTGAACCCCTGATACTTGAGCCACAAAACTTGTGAATCCAGTGTACCGCGGGCCTGGTATTGTAGACAAAGGCGATGAGCTTCCACGAACAAGTATACATCTGCAATAGAAGATGACTCCGGCCCATAGAGACATCATTTCGTGTAAGCCTTAGGTGACAGGTTGCACCTTAAAAATAAAGAGCATAAAATGGGATTGTCTATCCCATATACATGATGTTGGAGACGTGGTAGTAAGTACGGGGAAAGGACAAGGAGGAGGAGATAACGCTCGAGACCCTAATCCAAAAAGGGAAATATGAGATAATAGCAGCCTGTGGGGATCAAACATACAGGTAGTTCTTGGGAGTTGTAAAACTTATGGATTACAGGCGCTGTGTTGGGTTAGAGCTTGTCTCAAGGGCCAAACCTAAGATGGCTTAGGCTTTATAGTGATGACATGGAGGGGAGATTCAGATGGGCTCAGAGTATATCTAGGTCTACATACAATTCGTATTTGACTACATGTATCTACTTATATGCCGGTGTAACGAGAAGATCTATTGTTTACTGGGTGCATTTCAAGAGGCAGGTTCCAAGATTCGAGAAGGGGATGAGTAAACATCCATGAAGTGCTCAGGGCGTGAGTGAGCACCCATCGATACATGTGAATGGGGTGAATAAATCCTAACGTGGTAAGCATGGCAGAAAGGGGAAGAAGTGAGGATAAATACAAGAATCCGGAGTGAAATCAGTAATTCTGGGAAGTTAGCCTAGTGTGTTTAGGTCCGGACGAATGTCTGTGCAATGAAGACCATAAACCGAATGACTTCAAATGCGACGATTGCCTGTGAGACGCGGCCATAAGGAGCATCCCAGTCAGGGGTGCGATTCCCCGACACCTCTTTTTTTTTCTTTTTCTAGTTTTCCTTTTTCCCTGTTTTCCTATTTTTGTCTCTCTCTTCTCTTCCTCAGGGGCATTATCCATCATGATCATCATCATGATCATGCTACCTTGTACTCCGTACTGATCTTGTGATGATCTTTGTTGACTTTCAAGGTTGTGTTGCGAGACTTATATTACGGTTCCCCGCCACTCTCTTCCTTTCATTTGACAACATGTGGTGTGCACTCACTCTTTCCAAGATAGACTGTAGAGCCTGGTTGAATCCCCAATCTCTTGCACCGGAGACTTCCCAACGTTTGCAGCCTCAGAGCCTCAGGTTGTCCAAATCTTTAATTTGATATACGACCCTAAGACTCCATCCCCCCAATGTTGAAGGTTATCTTTCAACAAACAATAATTACGCCACTGAGCTCTACGGAATTATCGCTGCCAATGTTATGATACAGATATTCGTATGACTATACGTATATACAGAGGAAGAGAGATCTCTGGAAACTGGTCTATCAGCCTTCCCTTGGTTGTCTGGGTCTCAGAATTAGCCTACTATTTTACTAGTGACTAGCAGTTCCTCTAGGGTATCCTGCTGTGGATCACCGGCTATCGAAGTATTGAGAACTGCACCTGAATGGCATCAAATCAGGTATAATTACGTATGTATTGAGATACAACGTCTGAGAAGCCGATTATACCCGCTCGCATCTTACCGTCTCTTCAAGTTCTCAACTCCTGCGCATCACTCATAAGGCTAAAGCTCACCATAGGGCTTACCAGTGATGTTAGCATACGTGGTCGTTCGACTCAGCCGCGCCTTGGCAGGCTTCTAAGGTTCAAGATTCGACCTGTTGTTTGAGCCTCATTGAAGAGGTGTACGAAGTACTCCGTCTTGATATTCACCACAACTTTCAGTCTAGTCGGATCTGCAAAGATTGGGGTGATTGCTTCAGCTCTGGTGGGTTGATTGACCGCCGGAGCTGACCTCCAGGGCTGAGTTTCCAAAATCTTACGAGCATGTCAACATCAGGCGCCCAGTATGACGAGTAGGTCATCCAAAAAATCCCCATTATAGTGATGTATAAATTCTTGTCTATACCCTCCTCAGTGAGCAACAGAATCTAGCACATGAAATCGTATGTGCCCATAAGATGCCGTCTTATCTTATCACCGGGGCCTCTAGGGGCATTGGAGTGAGTCTCATGTCTACATTTTACCCACTGTTCAACCGAAGAAAGACTGAGCGCCTTGAATGAGATAGTGGGAGTTCCTTCGCCAGCTCTCCAGTGATACGAACAATCTCGTGGTCGGGCTCGTTCGCAACAAGACAGCAACCAAGGAGAAAGTGAAGCAAGAATTGTCCGAGCGTACAAATATCCATATCATAGAGGCCGACATAACTGACTATGCTGCTTTGAAGGTGGTAAATCTCAAACCCACAGCAAACATGTTCCATTGACACATCTATCTAGGCCGCAGCTGCGGAGACAGCATCAATCACCGGTGGAGGGCTGGATTATCTGATTGCGAACGCGGGTCTCGTGTCCCATTGGGATATTTATGAGCCGATAGGAACTTTGTAAGTCTGCCTCGCTTTTGAGGCATTGGATTCTGGAATTCATGGCAGTCACTAACTGGGTTATTTTGATCGAAATAGGGGACAACAACAGCCCGAGGCCCTTGAGGAAGAGCTGAACAAATTGTTTAAAATCAATGTTGTCAGCCAGATCCACTTGTTTAACCTGTTCCTACCCCTGATTCTCAAGGGAGACACTAAGAAGATTATCGCCATCTCTAGTGGATACGCTGATCTAGAGACTGTCACTAAGTGGGACATCGAGATCGCTTCCCTCTATGCTATCAGCAAGGCAGGCCTCAACACCGCTGTGGCTAAGTTCAGCACACAGTATGCCAAAGATGGCGTCCTCTTCATGAGCATTTGTCCCGGGATGGTTGATACGGGCCACTTTGTTGACGGTATGTTCTGGCCTAATAAAATCGGCTTCTTCAATTAGTGATCTGACTCTATTTTAGCAACGGAAGAGCAAATGCAAGGGTTGGGAGGACTTCTGGGTTCCCTGGCCCAATTTGCTCCCGGTTTCGCGGGTCCCAGCCCCCCCGAGCCTGCGGTAAAAGCTGTGATCTCTGTGATGGAAAATGCAAGCGTTGAGAAGGGCGACGGCGGCTCTTTCTTATCGCACTTCGGCAACAAGCAGTGGCTGTAGGAATGTCTCACAGGAGCCATGGTTGAGTTTTATACTTTTAATGATATCGGATATGTCTTAGATCTGCGGATCCTAGAGCACGAGTAAAATCGGATATGACCGTGATTATAACATTTCGCCAAGACCCTAGCTTCAATGTTGCTAAAAAAGAAAATTGGTATGCTTCCACGTTGTGTTGTATTTCAATCTCTGCAACCCCCCACAGTTGGACATGTAGGGACTTAACCAACATGGAAGTTGTCTTGCCTAGCGTATTACCAGAGTGAAATATCTTGGTAAAGCTTGTGAGATGAAACGTACAGATGCAAGGGGCATCCAGGTATTTCATCGGCCCCACCGGCGGCCTCGGGCTCACCGAATTATTCTGCTCTGGATGACGCAGTGGCTATAGCCTTGGTAGTTGTACGGAGTATAGAGTAGGACCTTCCGAAACAAGTCCCAGCACTCGTGAATCGCGCCCGTCTCTGTCTTGCATCCGGTAGTCGTAGGTTCGACGGGCGCTTCGCTTTTGGTCAGAGTTGAGGCTGAACAACTGGCTCAGTGGGCCTCATTCTTTGCGAGCTAGGGTTCTTCGGATCGGAGTCCGCTCAGATACCGCCATGCCAGAGCCTAGGTTCTAGCGGGTATCGTCGGCAGATCTGAAGTATGCAATGATCGATCGTGTCTCGTGTTGTGGTTATGGAGACGAATGTTATGTCTCAGTTGGGATGTGTAGGTAATTGTTCGTGTTCGGTCTCTAGGTCAAGTGTTTGAGCCTGTATCCATGTACTCCGTACGGAGTAGGGAGTAGGGAGTAGGGAGTACTCCGTACTTTGAGCAATTATTGATCTTGGCCGACTGGGATCTTTTTGGCCTGAGGCTGCATGCCTTGGCCGACTCGTATTAGCATTTGATTTGAGGTCAAGTTTTTAGAGCAGTCTTTAGATGGTGCAGATGATAAGATTATGGAATCCAAGATCCGATGGAATACATTATGTATGGTTGATGCAGCTCGCCGTTCGTACCAGGGTTCGGTGCTGAGTGGTAGAGATACGAAGCTCAGAACCACGGATGACGAGTTCAGGGGCCATGGGCCAACAACGTTTAAATCGCTCCAGCCACAGGACTCTGCCACTTTACCAGGGTTACTCCGTAGGCATTCCAACTTCCCCAGCCTTTACTCCATATTATTAGAGCAGATGCGAACCCCCCATTAAGGCAGGCCATGTTCCACAGCCTCACCTCCACATTCCCATTCGAGGGGAAATGGTGTGGCTTGGGCTAGGAAATGACAGGCCATTGTCACAAGTTGAGCTCCTGTTCCGAGGTCGAGGCATTTAATAGCTGCAATGAAGCCATCACCTCCCTTGTTGAAACGATAATAGAGTTATGTCGGCAAATAGTCATAACCAATCGCCAAAAGGAGTCCGATACACAAGGTACATCACGCACATTACACACATCGAGCACACATCGAGCACACATCAAGCATACAAAGCGCACAAAACACACAAAACACACTAACCACTCATAATAAAACGGATGGAGATGATCTGGACTCGACAAGGTTTGGTGTGCTCCGTACCTGTCGCAAGTGGATGGGGCTACTCCACTGCCACGGCCCGGTTCAGGAGAAAAAGGCGTTGCGATGCACAAATAGTGTAGGTTGTGGTGGCTTCGTTTGGGTCGCTGGAGAGACGGTTTGCTCGACGACGCGTCTAGAATCATTGTAGTAAGCAGGGCTGAGTAGGAGAGTCCTGCATGTTACTGCGTACTATTGTACGGAGTAAGTAATGTGTGACCCGCCCCATGGTATGTGGACAACTCTGGTTGAACCCCAGATGTGGCCCTTACTCTTTCTCTCTTCTCTTCTGCCGTCTTGGACTTTTTTCTTCTTTGCTAACTTTGTTCATCTTCATTCACTTCTTCTCTGTCACTCGTTCCTCTACCTTCAACCAATCCCCCTTTTTTTTTAATACCGTCTTTTGTTTTTACCTGGGTTCCTACATATTCCGCCCTTACTGGACGGTCGCTGTCATCTGAGAACAATTCACAATTCACAATTCCCTCGAAACTCGGGACTCCACGGGATAAAGAGCAACCGCATCGAGAGAAGAAACCATCACTTGAAATTGTCTCGACCCGGTCGAGCTGTCTACCTGGCAGCCGGATGCCCCTGTTGAGGTTTACCTGCACTTAACTTGCTCCGGCGAATCCCCGTCGTGGGCTAATTAATTTGCCAAGCCACCCGGAGCACACGAGCCTCCGGTCGTCCAATCTGCCCTTCCCCCCCCGTGTCGGGCCTGTGTCTCCCACCTGACTTATAAAGCGAAAGCCACCGTCAGGTGGTCACACCGTCACCGTGTCTTTCCCTCACCAACCTGTCGACCCGAGCTCCATCACGGAGCCTCTCGGCAAGATTCCTTCACACGGGTCGCGCGCTTCTCTCTTAGGGGGGTCCTTTGATCCCGCCTTCCGACGAGGTCCAGGGGGTTTCCGCGCACGAGAAGGATATTCGAACGTCGCACCCCCGGGTCATACCTCCAGAATGTATCTTCCAAACACCCACTGGACGTGGTCCTTTGCAATCATTACACTCGTTCAAACAATCGTAACACTCGGTCTAGAATGGTATGCTACGCCTCTAACGCTAACCTCGGAAGTCATCATTAACTCCTGTATCTTATCAGTTACATCTTCGCAAATTTCCAAATCCAAGAACTCCCTAACGACAGTCCCGCCTCGAAAACTATCCCCACTTTCCTCGCTCTCTATGGTTTCGGTTTCCTCTACGAACTCGTGCTGGTATACGATGCGCTACGCATGAAGAACACGATTCAAGTCATTGGACTGTGTATTTGCAATGTCGGTCTCCTAATCTACGGCGCTGTCCAAGTCAAGCAAATTCAAGATGCGGTCTCCACGTTGGCCTTCATGAAGAAGATCAGTCCGGTTGTCTGGGCTCAATCCGAACCGTTCTTGATCATCATTCCTTGCATTGTGGCGCTGGGAACATTTTTGATGACATTTGTCGCCTATAAACTCTACGATGAGTTCGCATGGACGATCTACAAACACATTAGTGCTGATTTGCGAATGAAGCGTCGCTATCTCACTTACCAGGTTTGTGTTTCACTCGGACCCCTCTCCAGTAACCATGGCTGACCGGTCGCAAACCAGATTTATATCGCATTATTGAAATTTGATTTCTTCTTCTTCTTGGGTTTCACTGTCCAGTTCCTTGTCTTGGTCTCTTCTGCCAAGATGGATACTGAATTTGCACTCACTGTGGCTGCCATCCCAGTGACCATTATCATTCTGATCTGTGGGGCTTGGTTTGTGCGACGAGAGACCACAATGGGCATGATCATCATTATTGTAAGTGAATAAGATCAGCATGATTGGGTCTAGGTTCTAACTGGCCCGGTAGCTCCTGTTCTTCGCAGCCATGGGATACTTCATTTTCAAGCTGTTCCGAATGTACGCCCCCGCGACATTCCCACAATATCTTCCCGCTCGACCATCGATGACCTTCTTTGCTATTATCACTATCATCCTGATTGTGATCACAATCATTAACGCCTGCCTGTGCGCCAACAACTTCAACCGCGGTTTGAAGCCCCACATCAACAAGAAGAAGAACAAGGAGGCAGAAAAGACAACCGAGCTCACTTCCAACCTCACCCAAATACCATCCCGGATGATGATCGACTGATCCCCGGGTAAAGAAGGGTGGTGTTTCCTATAATTTCCATGGGCGTTGAATCTCGGAGCGTCATTTTCTCCCCTAATCTGTGAACTTCGTGTCCATGTTGGGACACTTTGAAATTTAGCCTGATCTCTTTGTGCATTTTTTTCGCTTTCTTGCTTCTGGGCTTTGGGCTCGATATGATACCTCATCCGCGCCGAATCTGTTGTCCTCCATCTCCCACTTTTTCCTTTTCGGCTCTGAGCTGCCAAAATTCCTGTGATTTTACTTCTATTGGCTTCCTTTACCTGTTCATATCCATACCCATACCCCCCATACCCCCTTGCACGAGTGCGCCGACGGCGTTATCTGGACGATTTTCTTTCCGGAGGTGTTCTCCACGTCTTACGACAGTCATCAATGCTTTTTCCGATGAATGTGAGCTAGTATCTTTTATTAATTCAATGGACTAGACCCCTGAATGGTACTTTGATAGCTCTTATAATAGAACTGATTCTCACAAAGTTCACCCTCCATCTCAATACTTCACAGAAGGTCGGTGATGTTTCCAAGTTTAGTAAATCGCTATGTCATAGTTCTGGCTACGAATTGGACCCTCTAGTCAATTTCTCGGGCTAAACTGTCCACGTTAAATAAAATTAGTTGCGTCCCTGCATGTACATGATGTACATTACATGTACGGAGTACGGAGTAGTTAGTCGTAGAAAAAACGCAAGTTGAACTGTTGTGATCTTGTACTCCGTAGCGGGCGCCAAGTCGGTTTGATTGGTGGGCCGGTTGGTAATGTCAATACCGGTAATCATCGCCAGTTTTGCCCCCACCTGCCGGGGATTACAAGTCAAATACAGTATCGCCCAAAGAAACCGTGATCGTGGCCTCAACTCCGCAAAACCTCCCTTTCAGGTCCCCTCTCAAGCTCCTTTCCTTTCCTTTCATTTCTTCTTGAACTGCAATTCCATCTTTCTTATAATACCTTGTCTTCTTGTCTACATTATTTCCCCCCAATTAATCACAATGGTAAGTCCCCCTGCAACCCCGGATTTAAAACCCATCAACCCCATCCGACGATCAAGCCAGCTTGCCTCCATCGACCATCGATGCAACACAGCATTACAATCTGTCCACACGATTCTTCAATTGCACAACTAACACAATGCATCACCAGGCTTCCCCCCGCCCAGCATCTCCTCTCACCTCAGGCGCTGAGTCCGGCCCTGACTCAAAGTCCGGCGCCGCCGCTGCCACTGGCTCATCCGTTGGCCGTCCTTCCTCGCCTTCTACCCCCGGCGGTCCTCGCGCTGCCATGCGCCGCCGTGCTGCTGCTGATCACAAGGAGACTTTGCGCAATGCCCGCCCCAGCTCCACCCGCTCTGCCGGCGCCGGTGGTTCCTCCGGCACTATGCTCAAGCTGTACACCGATGAGAGCCCTGGTCTCCGTGTTGATCCCGTCGTTGTCCTGGTCCTGAGCTTGGGCTTCATCTTCTCTGTTGTTGGTCTGCACGGTAAGAATCACTCCGAGACACTGTGCCTTTGAGATGGAGTTGGAATCGTCGCTAATTGTCTTCTCTCCAGTCATCGCCAAGATCACCCGCAAGTTCTCTGCTTAAGAATCTGATAAGCATCCTCAATTGCGCAGTCGACGTGATAATGTCGGATATCATGTGATATGATATTTGCTCCGGGCGTTGACTGCGCAAACCCGACCTCGAATCTCCTCCCCTCCTACCGTCTCACCTACCACCTCCTCCTTCTCCTATACCCCTTGACCTTTGGGCCATATCGTTGGTGGCGCTGGAATCAACTATTCCGAAACAACTGGCGTGATTCCGTTTCCATTTTCATTTTCATGTGTGGTGTTTCAATTTGCGTTGCAAAAGAGAGTAACTCAACGACCTATCCGCTGTATAGGTCAGTCTGGATAGAAATATCTGTTCGTGTCCCCACGCCGACTTGTCTGGTCTGTGTGTCCGCTTGCTCGTTCCCTGGCGATATCATGCGCTGGAATGTGCTATCGCAGTGGACTGGGATGTGGCGGTCTTTGTTTTATCCGGACGATTGTCTGTACAATATCAAGACTTGATTGAATCTGTTTCTGGCATAGGGTTGCCTTCTCTAGTAGACTTGTAGAATGGTATGCCTCCGGCTGAGCCTGGTCTCAACATTGAACGTTCCCAGCTTTTTATATACAGGGAACAGCGTTAGGGAAGCTACCTCCGAACTCACCCAAGCCAGCCACCAACCGAGAGGCATATTGAGCTGGAAATCATTGATGCCAAATGCCCAGAGAACAAACATGGAGACTGATTCGGCGGGCCGTGCAAGTGAAAAGTTCCATGAGCTCACAATTCCCATAGCCTACTCTACCGAAAACTCGCCGATTGTCTCTCCACTGTTTTCACCTCTTTCCAGCCGTTCCCCTCTTCTCTTTGCCTTTTCTTCTATTGAGAAGTTTTGGAACCTACAGTCAGACTCTCCATCAGCGGCTTGCCACAACCTCTCGACATTGCCTCTCATATCCACCCAATAGATGACTTTGCCCGTTACCTCGCTTCCCCATGAACGATTACAACACTAAGTCCTAGTATCGAGGCAGAACGCTCATCCCAGGGATTGGAGGACATCTGGGTCCAAGATATCTGCGAGTCCTGGGGTGTTATCTTTCATCAAGATCGGCAAAATTATGAGATAGCGACGAAGCCAGTCCTCCCTCTCATTCAACAAAGCGAGGATGGAAGAAGGAATAGTCTCGCCGCGTGTTGAGGGAGATAATCTATCAGGTAGTTGCACAAGCTTGAAGCTAACAGATCCGGAGCGCGGTATTGCTTCGAATGGGGCTGTTCGATCGGGGCCATCTTCATCTGGGTAGGACGTTTGATCCGATTGTCTCATGAGTGCCTCTACATTGAGCTTGACGTTTTGGTTCTCGAGATACTCAAGGTACCCTTGCATGTCGTCTTCGGTTTGGGACTTGACAGATCCTTCCTTCACACTTACCAGCTGGGTTATATTTTTCTCTTGCTCATACTCGGTGACATGATTGCGGGTAGTTGATCGGTCCGTTCCTGGTGGAGGAAGTGGTGTGGCTGGTTGGTCTGTTCTTCTCGTTTCTTCTCCATGGCTGATAAAGTCCAGCGTATTTAGATATTTAGAGATGCGATGGAATCCTATGAGCTAATATTGCCGTTTGATGGGGTCAGGCAGGTTGAAGCAGCATTCTTGAGCTTTTTGTTTGGCTCCTGGTGTGTCGTGTTATTCGATGGGATAGTGGGACTTAGAATTCCACTTGGAAGCCAAGCTTTTGCGATCCGAAGTTTGATAACTAAAGCTATTGTCTAGTGATGATTCGAAAGAATATTTCTAATCTAAAGGGAAACAGCGGCGAAGAGATTGAATTAAAAAGCAGTGTACTGTTCGTAATATGAATGCAATATGCGAGACTAATACGAACCTGACGTGGCCATGATATCCCGGGTGGGTTAGGCGCTAAGCTCGCAGCACTCGGTACAGCTGGTGCTCACCTGCATGATGTACATCTCGGTATATAGTTGATTTCATTCCAATCATAGGCTTAGCGTTTCTATGTATGTATTCATGGACATCCTCCGAGGTTGTGTAGATGAGAGATCAGAAGAAAATACGGTCCTTCTTTCTGCAGTTGGCATAAAGGCCTAGCAGGAAATAATGTACTGTCCAAATTGCCCCCTTCCTTTAGATAGAGATACATTAGTAAAGACGTCGGAAGGCAAAGAACCACTTTATACGGTGTTGGAAATTAGGGCTAGGGTACCCAATGGCAAGAGGCAACAAACACAGCAGTGAATTAGATTTTGGGCAGTAAATTTCTTACAGCGATAGGACATCTAGCTATACTATCATGCTTCAGGAGCCTAGCCTGAAGGAATACAATTTGACGTTGTTAAAAGTAAGTCGTTGCAGGGTGTATTCTATAGTACAATATGCGCTTTCTTTGTCCAAATCTGCGCAGCGAAGAGAAATATCATGCGCAGTGGCTTCGATTTTGATTTGTATTTCCTTCTATTGGTCAGCAACAGATGACAACGGATACCTCATCTGCGAACGTGTATAGCACTCGGGAGTCAGTTTCAATTAAAATTGGATTTGCTGCTTAAGACCTTGTATCCGCGGTACGAGAGGGTCATGTTGAGGTCAGCATAATCACTTTTAGTGGTAGAGATCCCCTACAGGGTATGTGTAGTTTGTTGAACGAGGCACAAAGTCGCTGGTAGAAAGCTACGTGTGAGAGTTCTAAGAACATTCTTAGTCACATTGGATAACTACCAGCCTTCATAAATGGTATCTCATTCAAGTATTTCTTTACTATGATGGATATAAATTTGCTAACAACGGATACAGCGGTAACAAATGCACGCAGCATCCATACCCAAATTGACTTGCGCAGAGTTATTTCATTGGTTCGACCAATGATTTACCTACCTCAGTGAAAATAGTCATCTTTGGATCCCCGGCGTAATAATATACTCGATAGAACAAGATCAAGTAAACGCGGGGAGATAGTGGACCCTGGGAAATAATAAGATGGAGTAAGCCCGCTAAGCATGTTTGGATCCTGCAGCCGGAGCCCTCCGATATCTCCAGGCCAGACCTCTTAGAAGAATCAAGCTTATTGGCGAATATCAGAGTGTTTAACAGCGCGGGTGCATCGTCTCAACCCGAAGTCCTTATCATACATCTCCCCCAGCCAATCACAACCAGGCACCGCAGCCCTAAAGGGGGAACTGATAACAACCACCAATGACCGACTTCATCAATGCCCCTAGTCCAGATCCTCCTGTTCACACCATCTCTGCAAATTGGCTCATCGGAATGACAATTCCTTTCCCCAGTGACAGTGGCCTAGCGGCACAGAGTACCGTCCAGGATCCCTGTATTGCGCGCCATGGCATTACGAGAACGTCCTGCTCTTATCTGACAATCACATCGCAGTATCTCTACTTCGTATCTAAGCTCAGAATCGTGATACTCTGTCCCAGATGTGCGAACTCGGAGCTGGGGTCCGTGACAACATGATTCTGATATTGCGCGCCGGGGCTTATATGAGGTCGCTATTTTCCGGGTCTGGCAAGCTTGACACTTCTATAATCCGAGTCGATATTTGGCAGTCATACTATTCTCAAATTGTTTGATACCACTAGTCGACAAGTTGACGTTTCTTCTGAGGCACATTGCCGTCGTCTACTACTACTTATATACCCCGGTTTCCCCAGGTCTGCCCTGTCACCCCACATATAAGCCATGTCGTCGGACGGGGTAGCATTTACGGCGCCGTTGTCCCAGAGCTTTGGATATGGAATTATTCTGGGACTAGGCTTTGCCTTTGCTTTGATAATGATCTTTATCACCTGGGCTTTGAGACGGTTCGTCTCTATACTTCAATTGATCTACGTGACTCGCAGAAAGCTGACAACGTACCCGCATATAGCTACCAGAATGAAGTGCAAACATCAGAAATGTTCTCAACCGCTGGCCGATCTGTCAAATCGGGACTGGTAGCCGCCGCGGTAGTCAGCAGTTGGACATGGGCTGCAACCCTTCTCCAGTCATCTGCCGTCGCATACCAATACGGCGTATCGGGCCCATTTTTCTATGCATCAGGTTTGTTAGCGCTGTATATAGGATGGTTTATAAGGCTTCATGGCTGACGTATGTAAAAATAGGCGCTTGTGTCCAGATCATCCTATTCGCAACACTCGCCATCGAATTGAAGCGCCGCGCACCCAACGCACACACTTTCTTGGAAGTCATCAGCGCTCGCTATGGAACTACTGTTCATATTGTGTTCATTGTCTTCTGTCTGATGACCAACATCCTCGTTACTGCTATGTTGCTCACTGGTGGATCGGCTGTTATGACCTCCTTAACTGGTGTGCCCACTGCGGCGGCCTGTTTCCTGCTTCCTATCGGCGTGGTGCTATACACTCTCTTTGGGGGTATCAAGGCTACTTTTATCACGGATTACATGCACACTGTGGTGATTCTCGTTGTCATTCTCCTCTTCGCTTTTTCTGCCTACGCTACCAACGCTGAGCTGGGATCTCCATCAAAGGTGTATGATGCGCTGGTTTCTGCCTCTCAACGCCACCCCGTTGAGGGCAATGCGGAAGGTAGCTATCTTACCATGCGCTCCAAAGAGGGTGGAATCTTTTGGGTGATCAACTTAGTTGGAAACTTCGGCACTGTCTTTTTGGACAACGGTTACTACAACAAAGCCATCGCCGCCAGCCCGGTCCATGCATTCCCCGGATACGTGATTGGCGGTATTTGCTGGTTCGCAATTCCTTGGCTATGCGCCAGCACAATGGGTCTTTCCGCGCTTGCACTAGAGGGCACACAGCGCATGAGTTCTGACGATGTCACCGCCGGACTTGTGCTTCCATTCGCTGCCGTCAAGCTACTCGGCTATAGCGGTGCTGTCGCTACAACACTGATGATCTTTATGGCTGTGACATCCGCATTCTCCGCGCAGCTCATCGCCGTCTCTTCGATCTTTACTTACGACATCTACGCGGCCTACATCGATCCCAATGCCAAGGGCAAGAGACTCGTCTGGATCTCGCACATGTCCTGCATCGTCTATTCAATCATTATGGCAGCCTTCGCAACGGGTCTATACTACGCCGGCATCGGAATGGGATATCTCTACCTATTGATGGGCGTGATTATCTCTTCAGCCGTCTTCCCAGGCGCCATGACACTCCTCTGGAAGGGCCAGAATCACATTGCAGCAGCCGTGTCACCACCTCTCGGCTTAGCAGTATCCCTCATCGCCTGGCTAGTCACCGCAAAGAAAGAATCTGGAATCCTGACAGTTGAGAGCACCGGTGCCAAGTAAGTACTCACCTTCCATCCACACAAATCCAACGCTAACGAACCCCTTCAGCTACCCCATGCTTGCCGGTAATGTCGCCGCTCTACTCAGCCCATTAATCTTCGTCCCAGTCCTTACCTACATTTTCGGCCCCCAAAACTACGACTACGAATCAATGCGCGCAATCCGCAAAGTCGACGACACAGAAGTCGCCGCGGCCGCTCACGTCGACCTCGAACTTATTCCTGGTGAGGCGGGTCCCACGCAAGATGAAAGCGAAGAAGAGACGCGCAAGCTCAACCGCGCAGCACTGTACGCGCGTACTTTGACGCTCTTCATGGCGTTCGCGTTCTTGATTCTCTGGCCGATCCCGATGTATGGGTCGTCGTATGTGTTCAGTAAGAAGTTCTTCACGGGCTGGGTGGTTGTCGGGATTATTTGGTTGTTTGGTACGATATTTGGTGTTGTGGTTTTCCCGTTGTATGAAGGACGGGCGAGTATTGTTCGTGTTGTGCGGATGATGTCACTTGATCTTATGGGAAGGAAGCCGAAGATCTATCGGGGGACAAAAGCTGGTGCGGATGATGTTGCTACGCCTTCTGGGGTGGCGACGCCGACGGAGGTGATTGGGGAGAAGGATAAGACGGGGTTTGAGAAGGAGGTTTGAGTTGGTGGGCAGTACATCGTTTTCTTGGCGGTTCTGTCTATTTTTGGTTTTCGTTTATGTCTTGCTTAGCTATATTTATACCCCTAATGCTAGCATATTCAATTTTGAGGTTAATTCAATTGATTATTAGATTCAGGCATGGTAGATTTCTGGGTTGTCATAGGTAACAAGCCATATTCTTCAGACCATGGACATTCACCGTGAAAAGGCAAAACGTGCGAGGATGATCAATTGGATAAATTGAGATTCGATAGAAAAAACAAAAGGAAATACCCAACGCCAAAGGGTAAGACTGTGATATCAAGCTGGAACGCAGATCTCCTGGTTGACCCCCTATCTGCCCCACATCCCCATAATCGATGCTGCATCTTCATACCAATGATAGTAACACCTTTGGATACTCATTTGTATCCAAGACCACCCTGTGCTTGAGGGGGAGGTTGCTGACCAGGCTGTTGCTGCCAGCCTCCATGGGCCTGAGGAGGCGGCTGGATGCCATATTGCATACCTGCTGGAGGTCTTGTCTCAGGCGTAATATCAGGTCGATCACTGATGTAACAGTTATCAGTATAAACTGCGTTCATGGATTGCTATAGGTCAATTTGATAGGGCCTACCGTAGGTCTTGGGTGTATCGACATGTGCCACATTGAACTTCCTATATGATACATTAATAACGAGTCAAGACGGTGGATCACACCTAGAGAGAAACGTTACCTTATACTTGTGCATAGCAAGCGGGATCACAGGCTATAGCGAGGTCAACATTATACATCTTGCGACATGCAAGCATGCACTTACAATGAAACAGACAGTGAAGAATGGCCTGCAAGAGATATTAGTCAGACCCAAACTGTGCAAAGAATATTCTGAAGCAAAAAAGCATACCATCTAGTAATGCAGTGACCGTTCCAATGTTGGCCTAAAAGGGGAGCGTTAGTGGATCTCAGGCAACATATGCAGGACCGATAGGACATGTGACGTCAGAACTCACAGTTGTAACAGTATGCGCGGACCTGCTCATAGCCCTCAAGCTGAGAAGAGAACTCTGGATTGAGTGTTAGAATCTCATTCCAATATGGGCTCATCCCCAAAGTCGATAGCACGCCCGCATCCGATAGAACTCCAGGGACAGGGTCCACTTTCGGTTCTGGATCGCGGGTCAAAACATGAGCACTTACCATGTGTTCCGAACGTGATACAGAACGCCATGATTGAATGAGGATTTCGAGGAGCTCGCAAGCTAATACCAGAGAGAAAGAACCGAGGACTGACAGCTATTTGAGGAATTGAGGGTCGATCAAAGCGAAGGCAGCGAGCGGCATGGGGGTGTGGCGCTGTGGCTTGGCGATCTTGGCAGGATGCACGTGATGTCATACATGGTGGTGCCTGATTGGTCAAGTCCCTGTATATCCCCGGGGGTCGGTATAGAAGCACATGCAATCATGTACTTTGAGCCCGAGATGAAATATCGCTGGGATGGTGGTGGTATATGTCTCTCATACAATATTCAAGACTTCCACCGAGTGCCCAATTCAAACTATGAATTTTTTTTGGCTTGTGTTATATATTTTGGGCAAATACGCTTAAGTCACGGAGGGCTATTTCTCATAGATTGACAGCCCAGAAACCAAATTACTGAAGACAAAAGAGTCGCTTGAAAACGCATTCTCCGGATATCACATATCACCTCCCATCAGTGCAGCACGACCAGGCCAGATCTATCGATCGAACATCACTGGGTCTTGAAAAGGAGAATTGCGCAGTGGCCGATGTAGAAGTAGATGAAGTGTTTGGTCTCTATTGAACATTATTAGTATCATTTATCAACCAAAAGCTTTTTTGCCATCAACGAACCGTGGGTCACAAAGCTTCCAAAGTTACGACCGACCACGCAATGCCAGGTAGCGCCCTTGCGTGAATCGAACTGGAGTATGGTGTTAGCAAGGCGATGGTGGCGGGGTAGGATTTGTAGGATTTGCGGACCTCTTTCTTGATGTATTGCGCGATATCCTACAGACGGTCAGTTTTCAAGTTATGTCGAGTATTTGAGGGATGCACATACCTTCTCAACTCTGAACTTCTCCGTGGCTTCAATGGCTGAGGGGTAGATTAGCCTTGTTCAACGAGGAAGTTCTCAATGATTCATACCCAGTGCAATGGCCTCCTGCTGCATTTCCTCGGTCTTTGAAAAAAGTTAGAGATCATAGATCATGTTTTTCCTGCCTCAGCGATCCTTACCATATCAACAGACTTGATTTGCGCTGCACGAGATATTTAGTAATTAGCCACAGGATTCGGCAACGTACTTACCCTCCATAGGCTCCTTCTTCTCGGCGGGGGGAGAGCCATTGTTGCAAATTGATGGGTTAAGGATTATTAGAAAGATTCTGCGATGTAATGAAAGTTGAAAAGGCTGGGTTGTAGATTAGGAGGAAGGAGGTTGGCCGGCGTCAATCTTGCGATAACGCGAAACGTAACTTTATTGCCGATGAAGAATGCTCACCGCCCCACTGACCGCCTGGGGCACTATGAAAGAAGAAAAAAAGTTTTTTTTACTATAGATCTTCGAGTTTTCACACTCTTCTCCACAAACCACCACAATGGAGAGCACCAGAGTGTTTGTGGGTGGTCTTCCACCTACATGCTCCAATGATCAGCTAAAGAAGCACTTTGAAACCCGCTTCCAAGTCACAGACGCTCATGTCCTACCCAAACGTAGGATGGGGTTTGTCGGCTTCAAGAGCCATGAAGCTGCCCAACAGGCTGTCAAGCACTTCAACAGGACATATATGAAGATGTCAAAGATCACTGTAGACATCGCTCGACCGGTATGTCAATTCTCAACTCTCTTGCTTCAGCCATCCTCCTTTCGCCCGTGCACGCTGACCAATGAAGGTGGTCTTGAGACTGACCCGTATTATTGCAGGTCGATTCAAATGCCGCTGAGGATGCCCATCCAACGCGAAGACGTGGTACCACGAATGATAATGATGCATCGTTGGATAATAACCTCAAGCGCAAGAGGGATGGCGAGAACAAATCACAGGACCCCAAGTTGCAGGAGTACCTCTCCCTTATGGGGCAATCGTCAAAAACTCGGACATGGGCCAATGATGATGATATGATCAAACCGTCCGCGGACACAGTTCCCGTTATTAACCAACCTCCCCAGGGAGAAACACAGACTGAGGAGTTACCTTCACATCCGAAAAAGGCCAAGACAGAAAAGCCTGTCACGGTACCAGAACCTGAACAACCTGAGCCCATGGTCATTGACAAGATTGGGGAAGAGGAAGTTCAAGAAACCACCGAACAGGACAACTCTGCGGAGCCTGAAGCCGAGATTGCACCCATGTCTGATGCTGATTGGCTGCGGTCAAAGACGAGTCGTTTGTTGGGCCTTCTGGATGACGAAGAACAGGATGAATTCGATCAACACAAGGCTGAGGCGCCAGCTCGAGCGCCAGCTAAAGTTGCTTCACGATCTTCCTCGCCCGAGGATGAGTCTCCGCAGCGTGAAGAGGAATCCCGCACTGCGGCCATTGAGAACATTACGTCCAACACGACTGACGTTGACAGCATTACTGAGGCAGCGCCAGAGCCAGAAGATCCAAATGTTGACCTCATCCGGAACTCCGCTCGTCTGTTCCTCAGGAATCTTGCATACGACACAACAGAATCCGATCTCCAGCCAATATTCGAACGTTTCGGAAAGATTGAAGAGGTTAGTACTTTTTTTTTTCGCGTTGTTCGTTTCTTTTTTCTTTCCCATTTGGTTTGCTGGCTTTTGGCCTGCTTTCCATGAGTGCTCGTATGATGATTTTCCCGATAGGGACATCCGATGCAAATTGCAGATGATGTGAACTGGACAAGAGATTTTAGTAGATGCTTCTTGACTTTCTGAAGAGCCCACTCAACCCACCTTTCGTGCATTTTACGCAATATATTCAATGACCCTGAGTACTAATTGGATATAGATTCATGTTGCTTTTGACACCCGCTCTACTACCAGCAAAGGCTTTGCTTATGTGCAATATGCCGATGCCGATGCTGCCATCGAGGCTTACCAGACCCTCGATGGAAAACATTTCCAGGGACGTCTGCTCCACATCTTGCCAGCTTCTGCAAAGAAGACCTACAAGATTGACGAGTATGAATTGTCAAAGCTTCCTCTCAAAAAGCAAAAGGAGATCAAGCGGAAACAAAATGCCTCTTCTTCTTCATTTAGCTGGAACTCCTTGTACATGAACGTGAGTTTGACTGGTGGGAATGAAGAGGAACATTGAGACTAATTTGATTACAGGCCGATGCTGTCATGTCATCAGTGGCTGGAAGGCTCGGAGTCTCCAAATCCGAATTGCTTGATCCTACATCTTCAGACGCTGCTGTTAAGCAAGCACATGCTGAAACGCATGTCATCCAAGAAACAAAAGCCTACTTTGCCTCCAACGGGGTAAATATTGATGCCTTCAAGCAGCGTGAGCGTGGAAATACGGCTATTCTAGTCAAGAACTTCTCATATGGAGTCAAGTCAGCAGATCTCAGGAGTCTGTTTGACCCGTATGGCAAGATCGTCCGACTGCTGATGCCACCCAGTGGTACAATTGCTATCGTGGAGTTCGCGCGACCGGATGAGGCCCAAAAGGCTTTCAGGGGGATGGCTTACAAGAAGATGGGTGATTCCATTCTGTTCCTTGAGAAAGCCCCGAAGAACTTGTTTGAGGGTTCAGCTGCTCCACGCGCACTTGCTCCGGAGATTCGGGGCAAGGACCAAGGATTCTCGACTGCGGACACTTTTGCCGCAGATGAGGCCGATGAAAGCGTAGCAACCACAACACTCTTTGTAAAGAACTTGAACTTCACAACCACGAATGATCGATTCCTGGAGGTGTTCCGACCATTGGACGGCTTTGTCACCGGTCGCGTCAAAACCAAACCTGATCCCAAGCGACCTGGCCAGACTCTCAGCATGGGTTTCGCTTTCGCGGAGTTCAAAACCAAAGCTCAGGCCCAGGCTGCTCTTGCGGCTATGAATGGTTACAAGTTGGATCAACACGAGCTTCTCATCCGTGCAGCTCACAAGGGCAAGGACGCCGCCGAGGAGCGGAGGCGCGAAGACACCGCGAAGAAGGTCGCAGCGCGGAGAACAAAAATCATTATCAAGAACTTGCCTTTCCAGGCCACCAAGAAGGACATTCGATCTCTATTCGGTGCTTACGGACAACTTCGGTCTGTTCGTGTTCCTCAGAAGTTCGATCGCACAGCTCGTGGTTTCGGTTTCGCAGACTTTGTAAGCGCTCGCGAAGCGGAAAATGCCATGGACGCGTTGAAAAACACGCATCTTCTGGGCAGAAGATTGGTTTTGGAGTTCGTGAACGAGGAGGCCGTCGATCCCGAGGAGGAGCTCGCGCGCCTGGAGAAGAAGGTAGGAGAACAAATGGACAGGGTCAAGCTCCAACAGCTTACTTCTGGCGCCGGGCGCAAGAAATTCACTGTAGGAGGGCAGGAGGAAGAGGCATGAGGCCCTCGTCCCTTCGCCCTTGGACAAGGACACCGCCATGGATTGGCTGGTTGACATCCCTTGCAGGGGAAGGTGGATTAATGTACCATAGACGATTACTTGCATACTACCATAGCTGTAAAGCAAATGGGAAAAAAGATACCCCGAACACTCCGGCACATGTTCCTGCGGGTGTCAATTGCCCTGCAGTTCCGTCCTCGTGCATCTCATCTCCGCCTGTTGATCCAGGCGTAGTTGTAACCCTACCTTACCTTACAGTGTACCACTTCCTTGTCCCCCACAACTTCCCACTAGACTTGACCTTGGATTGCAGGGTCAATTCAACCTAGCTTAACTTGTTCTGCTAAAGGGACACAGGATCATTATCACGAAAGATCATCCACGCCTGCATTCCGGTGGTGTTGTCTGTCGATGGTCGAGCATTCCTCGTCCCGCGCGATGAGACGATGTCGTTGGGCCATCAACATTCCTGCGACGCGATGATTGCCACTGATTATTGTCGTTTTTTGTTGATGCTGGTCCGAGCCATAGATACTCGAGGCCACTTCGCGCTGCATGAAATCTCCGACCCGCTCATCAGTGGTCCATGCAACTGAGCATCCCTTGCATCTGGTTCAACTTCCTTCATATCGAGCCCTGTCTTGACTCCTGATTTGCTGCGGCAGGGACGGCCCACTGCTGTCCTTTGGTCCTTTTGCTCCCCACACCGCGCCTGGATGCGCGCAGGCCAGCCCCGGGACCTGCCCAGGAGCATGGACAAGGCGTTCGAGGGACGCAGGCTAGGCAAAGCAGACCTGGCGGAACAATGTTCCTACTGCGGCTCCAGTGCCCCTCTCCGAGGGAGTTATGGTTTCCTATAAACACCATCCTGCTCGCTCTCACATTCTCTTTCCCAGGTTCTTACATTCTCTTGACATCTCGCGTTCTTCGGTTCGTTGTTTGTGACTGAGCTGCGTTCTTTGCCAGGCAGTAAGCATTTGACGGTGCCTCTCAGTCCCCTCCTCGTTGGAATCTGTCATTCTTTTCGAGAAGCCCGTCCTTGGTCCCCTCCCATGGCTCCTGACTGGCAAGACGAGTGCCATGCCACTCAGAACCAGCCTTCACTGGATCCTGTAGGCGTTCATTATGATCGGGCTCTGCAAAGTACCTCTGGGAATATCCAGTCCTATTCAGACCATATGGCTCATGGGAATATCGCTGGCCGTGAGGAGCAATTCCAGCATCTTGGCTTCAAGTATTCCCATGCCCCTCAGCCTCAAACCTTGTCGAGTTCTACCTCGCACCAAAGCCAACTAGCAGCCCGCATTCAGGCACGCAGAATTCGTCGGCTTCATTCTGTTGGACCCAACTCTCAATCTCGACGTGCACGAAGCAACTACCTCAAATCTCAGAAGTACTTGGATTATCGGTCTCGCCCTCGACGTGATACTGGGAAGGATGGGGAGGCAGTTTGGTCTGATGAGCTGGAAGATGCTTTCCAGCAAGGTCAGTTGACGCAACTACAGTGATACGTGGACCAAAGGCTAACAATTAATCGCAGCCCTTGAAGCAAACCCTCCTATGGGTCGGAGAAAGTGGTCCGAACGGGGCAAGTCGTATGGTCGCAACGAGCTGATTGCCGAGTACATCTTCAAGTTGACTGGCAAGCGGAGAACTCGCAAACAGGTCTCAAGCCATTTGCAGGTCCTTGACTCTTTCCTCAAGGGAGATCCCGATTGTGAGTTGTCAGAGGCGCAGCATATCCAATTTTTCGTTTTTATTAACATACTTTACTAGGGGAACGCCTTGTCCGAGAGACATCACCAGAACGATCATCCAGCGTTCATAGCTCAGCACCTGCTCCTAAATGGAGAACATCAATGGATCAACCTTCCTCGTCCATGCACTACAGCAGCCATATTCACCCCACCTATCATGACCACATGAGATCCATGCAACCCTACGCTGGAGATCTTCCACCTCCACCCTATACTCTTAGCTCCAACATGCCGGAGGCTGCTGCTAGAACCGTTCACGGCCTCAACTTCGACATGTGGGTCAGCGCTCCTCAGCAGGCGAACCATGTCGAGAAGGCGCTGCATGCATACACTCGTCTCCAAGGTGATCTACACCATCCTGCTGCACCACCCATGCCCCTCGAGCATGTAACGGGATGGGAATCATCCTTCCCCAAACTGGCCTCCATGGTGGATGACATCCATAATCCTATCGACTGTGACATAATCCTGTTGGAAGTCAACCTTGACCTGATGACCGATTTCCCCCCCTCAAGATCACAATTGGGAATCCAACTCGACCTTGACTTCGGTCACCCTACTGCCGGTGATGTCTTGGGAGTCAGACAGATGGACAACTGGGCCTGCAGCACCCATATCTATCAAGACGGCCAGGAGATGATTGAGTCCTACAACGAGCTTCCCCCACCCACTCGACCAAGGTCAAGCCTCTATTTGAATCATCTTGGTGGGCCAGGTTGTTCATTAAGGCGACTCAAGATAAGCGTATCGCCGAGGATTCGGGACGGCCCCAAGATATCCAAGACACCGATGACCGTACTCGCCAGATGTTCCGCTCCTTGTCCGCCGAACAGGTGCTCCGTGCCACTCCAAGCTCTCGCCGGCTTTCATCCCACTATCAAAGCCACCACGGAGATGAGAGCAAGCGTATGGCTGTTCTGGTTTGGAAGTTCCGTCAGACTCGCCCCGGCGAAGTTGGCACAACTACTTGGAAACGCCTAATCCCGGCGCCGGATCGGACTACAACCAATAGTCCTCGGGCTCCTGCCAACGTTGATCTTCCTCCCCTCTCGCTTGATTCCATTCTTCTCAGCAAACCATCTCACCAGGGTGTGTATCAGGCCCCTCAGCCGCATGACCTCCTTCACCACCAGAGCCAGCCTCAATCGCAATGGCCCATATATCCCTCCTCCCACGATAATGTGGCCCACCTCTTCAATCCGTCCAACCACCTCGACTTCATGACATCCATCACCAAAGGCGAAGACGGACTCAATGACAAAATCGCTGTCACCTCCGTGCTGGACTCATTCTCCAGCAGCCTCGCACCTGAGTCCATTCCATCCACCAGTCTTCACGGCTCCAGCAGTGCACCAGTCATGCTGAACGTGCATGATCTGCCCCTCTCCCACCCAAGCATGGGCTACTCGATGGGCCACGATAACTCGCACTACGTGGCATCTCAACCACACAGTTTGAACATGCACGACCATAACGTCCTCAACGGGTTCTTCGGCTCCAGTGCGCAGCCTCTTGATGACCTCAGCCCCGGTCACCACCCATGGGGTGCGCACCCCACCTCCATTCCTGGAGATGTCGGTGCCGGCAGCTACCACCTCCCCTACCAGCAGGGCCCTGTTTCGCGTGAATCGCAGCAAACACATCACTTCGATGGCGTTCTGCCATCAGAGGACCTCATGGATAAGATCGTCGGGCGCATGTCCAGTGGCCCCAGTATGCATGGGACGGGTCCCGATGCCAACGGACGCTACGATAACGCCTCGAGGGACGCAGTATAACGACACATTTTACCCCACAAAAGCTTCGTAATAATAATCATTCTGGCAGTGGTCTTTGTTCTTTTCTTTACCTGTGAATTACTTTTACTTTTTTTTAACCCTTTCTTACTTTTTTTCTTCCCTTTTTTTGGTCTACTTGGTTTTTTTGCGGTGGAATATCAGGGGCGTTGGAATGGGGGCGTTTGGGAATCATTGGAATACACTTGGAATATGAACAATTACTCTCTATTACTTACTTTCTGATCAATTGATCTCTCTTTTGTCAATTACTTCATTTCTCCTGAAGTCTCGGCTAAATAGCCCCCATCAGCCACTTTAGCCGCCAAGCAGCTTTGCCGGTGGGGCAATTCTGGAGATTCCCATGGCCACCGGAGGCGAAAGGAAGACCAATCGACCTCAATTGGGCTACTTTAGCCTGGATTCGTTCAATTTACGAGCGCTACAGATCGTCTTTATAAATAAGACCCCTTCCGCGGGGTTCCTGTCCACATCCATACCCCTCTATGTCAGTTTGCTCTCCAACTTCTTGTCGGGCCTTCTCTAACATTGATCAGATTTGCATAATTCACAATGTCTATCCCTAACGTTAAGCTCAACAGCGGCTTTGAGATGCCCCTTGTGGGCTTTGGCCTCTGGAAGGTCAACAACGACACTTGTGCTGACCAGATCTACAACGCCATCAAGGCCGGTTACCGTCTCTTCGATGGTGCCTGCGGTACATCACCCTCCCAAACCAAAGGCTTAACTCGACACTAACGTAATCAATCCCAGACTACGGCAATGAGGTCGAAGCCGGTCAGGGTGTTGCCCGCGCCATCAAGGACGGTCTCGTCAAGCGCGAGGAGCTCTTCATCGTCTCCAAGCTCTGGAACAGCTTCCACGAAGCCGACAAGGTCGAGCCCATCGCCCGCAAGCAGCTCGCCGACTGGGGTGTCGACTACTTCGATTTGTACATTGTGCACTTCCCCATTGCCCTGAAGTACCTTGATCCCTCCGTGCGCTACCCTCCCAGCTGGACCACCGCCGAGGGTAAGATCGAGCTCGCCAACGCTCCCATCCACGAGACCTGGGGCGCCATGGAGACCCTCGTTGACAAGAAGCTGGCCCGCAGCATCGGTGTCAGCAACTTCAGCGCCCAGCTGCTGATGGATCTGCTGCGCTACGCTCGCATCCGCCCCGCCACCCTCCAGATCGAGCACCACCCCTACCTCACCCAGACCCGTCTGGTCGACTACGCCCAGGAGCAGGGTATTGCCGTCACTGCTTACTCCTCCTTCGGTCCTCTGAGCTTCATCGAGCTCGACCTGAAGCACGCTAAGGATACCCCTCTGCTCTTCGAGCACGCTACCATCACCGCCATTGCTGAGAAGCACGGCCGCACCCCTGCCCAGGTTCTCCTGCGCTGGTCCACCCAGCGCAAGATCGCTGTTATCCCTAAGAGCAACAACCCTACTCGTCTTGCACAGAACTTGCAGGTCACCGACTTTGACCTCGAGACCGCTGATATCGAGGCCATCAGTGCCTTGGACAAGGGTCTTCGCTTCAACGACCCCATTGCTGTAAGTTTGTTCCCGTGAAGCAAAGATTTCTAGTGCTGACCTTCTCCCCTTTTTAGTACGGCCTTGGAATCCCCATTTTCTAAGCGCATCCAGACTAAAATAAATTAAAAATAACAAAGCCTGGTCCATTGGGAGACGGGAGAGACGCCGTGTCCGGAGGGGACATCCTCCGCGATATTACGATTTTGATGCCCATGTGGAATAAATGAAATAAAACAATACAATTCCAATATCTTCAAATTATCCAGACATTAGCCAGCAGTAATATCCAGTATCCTCCATTCGTTATTGTAGATGCAAAAGGTGCGCCAAGAGGTGCCGATCTCAACGGACATTTTTCCCCAACCTCCGACTTCTCCGTGGCACATACTCCGTCCATACACTCACATCCCAATACAACAATCCACCTCTCCAATGGCATTCCCTGCTATCCGAGCGCGCATGGCCGCGCAGGTACACATAACCGGAATCCCCATGCCAAAGAATCTCGCCGAAAGCAAGCTACTGCTATCCGCGCTCCAGAAATTCGGAGAAGTAATAACATACCGCAATCTCAAAGTACAGTCTCCAACCCCCTGGAACAAGCACAAATCTAACAATTCCCACTCAGTACGACACAACCAATAACTCACCAAGCACCAACCGACCGATCGTGGCGATCTTCGAGACAGCGGACGCAGCAGAGCGCGCGATAGCAGCTTCGCCAATCACCATCCCTCTACCGACACCCTCCAAGTCCCAGACCACCTCGACCTCCTCTTCCGATACGCCGCGCTCACTGATGTTCGAAATCCAGAGCTCGCGACATAACCACGCCTCGGCGCTGAAACGGAGTCCGTTCTACTCTACCTACAACCTCTTCAAGAACAACCCCGTCTACGAAGATCTGATTAGCGAAGGGACGGGTATTCCATTGAAGGAGCTTGCTGATACGCTTGCGAGCAAGAAATATCGTATCGGCGCTGGCGTTAAGGAGAATATCCAGGAGGAGAATCGGCAGATGGGAGCGATGAGTTTGGTGAACATGTGGAAGGAGGGGATGGGGATTGAGATTGAGGAGGAGGAAGAGTTTGATCATGGATATACGGCAGCTGAGATTTTCGGGATCAGCGAGCCCGGGGACGTGAAGCAGAATGATGATGTCTGAATTGGAGACTGGGATTTGACGCTTTTCTAATTGTCTAGATGGCACTTGGGAGAGTGGAGAAAACTTTTCTTCGGGCCTGCTTCTTTTGAGGCTGAAGTCTGGGCTGCCAGTCCCAACTTACACACTTTGTTCTGTCCAATTCGCGCTGGCCAAGAGCCGAAAGAGCGGATGAGATTCTCCGGCATCAATCCGCATTACGGTCGGTTGGTTTGCATGGCAAGCTGTTCATTTTTTGAAGAGTTTGCTCCTCAGTCTGTTCGTTGCGGACACACAAACCTCGACTATGGACTTATTCCCGTCTGCTACTCGTCGTGATTTCTGCATGGCTTGCATTTATCATCCTGCGGGGTTGGATCGGGCTACGAAATATGTCCAGTCGGGAAATGAGGGAAGCTGCTGGATTACTAGGCTGGTTCCTAGTAATAGTGTATCTTATACTAAGCATATGAAAAGAGACGAAGGACAAAAGCCGCAAGATGGTCGAGATCCTGAACTTATACTTGGCCAATGCCTGTTCTCAGGCTAGAATGATTCTGTTTTTCGTTCTTTTTCTTAAAAGTACATAATTCATGGATATTTGAATCAGTCTCAAATCTACAAGTACTTTTTGCAGATCTAAATTTGTCTTTGGTGACTGGGGATGCCATTGAGACACCCCAGGGCTGATCACAGAGGAAGGGGCATGGATAGTGGACATTCAGATAATCCCTTGGAAGATGCACCTCACAAGGATGTTAAGAGACACTATTCCGTACTTGAAGGCCAGTCCAACAGCCCCTTGTGATATTTGTCTTTAACCCTCACACATGTCCTCCAGTGCATTGTGAACCAAATACATACCCTAACTCGACCCATTTAAAAGACCCGTAATCACAGCAGCAGCCTCTATAAGCACCGCTCTAGTTTCCTCCAAAATCCCCTCCTTCGTACTTAAACCCCCAAACCTCTCCTTCCACAACCCCCACAGCTCCAGCATCAGGCCATCCTCTCGCGGCCACAATTCCGTAGTATCATGCAATGCCGCCCAACCCTACAACTCCCCACGATCCACCTCCCCCAACGCCCGATCCCCATTCCGCACCCAAGTCGACCCTCACATCCAACGCCCACATCTGCTCTGACGAGATCCTATGCGCACTTACCTCGCGGCGCCGGGGTCTCTCGCATTCCAACAAGTCACGACATGCATAGAAAACCCATACAGGATGTACCCCGACTTTACCATTAGTCACCTTCAGCGACGCAGCCGAGAAAATACAGAAGCGGAGAAAGTACTCTGCACTGCTATCCAGCGCACTGGCCGGGGAGTCACGCACACCGTCCCAGTCGCGCCGGGCTTCGAGGATATCGTGTACATCGCGTCATTGCGCGCTAAACCCCGGTAGGGTCTGCCGGTGTAGTTTTCTATCGGCTCCGCAGTAGGTATGGAGCGAGGTGGGTATGTATTTGGGCTCTGTTAGTGGCTGGGTGCGGAGGGTGTTAAGGAGGGGCTGGTGGGATGTTGAAGAGCTGGCGATGGCTGCGAAGAAGGCGTCCTAGAGTTGCTGAGTGCGTCGCGGGGGACTGGAGGATATAGTGACGATGGTGACTAGCTGGGCGGCTGTTTCGTCTACCGAGGGAGGGTTGGAGAGGAGGGCTTGGATGGGTTTGGAGAATGGGTTTGGGGGGTTGATACCCGGGAGATCGAGTAAAGTGGTCGTTTTTGAAGTTGAAGTTGAATGTTGGAATGAAGGCGCTGATCTTGGATGTAGAGACTATGCCTAGAAAGGATTAGTCCTATATGCTCGTCTATAGCAGGATGGGGGATGGTATTGCCGCCATCAGTCTGCGAAGTACTCTATCTTGGTACATCGGAGGAGAAATGATGTTTTATCAAATGCTTGTGTGTCCAGCACAGAGAGGAGATCGGAACGACCGGGGATAGTGGATGGAATAGTACTCGATTATAGTAGGACTGGATATTGAAAAACTCCTACGAAACCGGATAGACTGAGACGCATCATGAAATACCGAGAGAGGCCTTTCAGCGACTAGTAGTTCTGAACATCCCAGTTGGATGCTCTAATCGCCACTGCTCCAATTTGGCCGCCTCTCGTCGCTTCGATCGTCGGACCGTGATACAACAACAAATGCCACCTGCAAGAGCTGCGACGCAAATGAGCGGAAGGCCTATGTAGTAGAATTTTCCCAAGCCCACAAGGACCGAGTCATTCTGAGACTTTGGCTGTGGGAAGGACGTAACACTCTGCCCCGGCACCCAGGTCGCAATATCATGCACCGAGTCAAGCGCCGGTAGTGCTGGAGACATGCCCGCCGTGTTCTCGGCCGCCCATGAGATAGCCCATGCTTCATGGGCCATATACCCTTTTTTAAAGACCCGTGTCGTCCCAGTACCGGATGACTCTATTGGTATTGTGATTCTGGTTGCGCCGGCCTCAATGTATTGGTAACAGGGCCTTGCGAGGCTGGTTATAGGGAAGTCTAGCCAGGTATCCCAGAGATCGTAGCCACTAAAGTTATGAGATCGAATCAGTGATCCGGTTTGGAAATGCAGCCGTGGGTGCTCATGCACAAACCTAGCACAACAGTAGGCCGTGGAATGGTCCTTTTGACTTGCAGCTGTGGGGAATATGCGTCTCACGCTATAATATGTCCAGTCACTGGGGCATACGGCTGGACTGAAATGGAATTGGCGTGCGGGATCCTCGTCATTCCAGCTGTCGGGTTGGCAAGCGGAGAATTGGGGATTGGCAGCATCAGAGACCAAGAAAGCAACAGGGGAGGTTGTTGAAGACCCAGGCTCAAGCATAGGCATAGTTACCAGGTCGTAGATTGATGAACAGCTGCTTGGTTGCACAAAAGGAGTTGTCACTGCTGGAAAGACAGTTTTTGTGGCAGTCGACTGAGCTGAAAAGGGGGAAGACATAGTCTGGAAACAATATTATTAGTCTTGAGTAGGTACACCCTCCTGCTAATACGATCCCTTGTGTCGAAAAGAAAGATCTCTATGCGTTTGTGAATAATCAATCTGATCGAGGTGATATGAGTGGATCCGAGAGGGATGTATAAGATTGTATAAACGCTCCAGGGCTAAAAGGATTGCGGGGAATCCCATACCAACACCAAGAAGCTTAAGGATGTTATAGCCGAACGTAAATTGAGACATGGCTGGAAAAACAGGTTAATAATAAACGCGAAGATGTGGCTTAGAAGAAGCGTAATGAACCTCCATGCGCACATGCCTCTATCTACCTCGGTGGCCTGGAGGGACTGTGTACCTGCCTACAAGCCCTGCAGTAGGTTACAATGCCTAGCTTCTGGTGAGGCTAAAGTTGACTAGCGGATGTATCCTAATGTCTCGCGATCCAATGAGGAAACAGGCTAGTACTTACTAGGTGCTACAGGAAATTTGATAAACCGAAGGTCTCACTACTCCAATGGTCCCCGTGACGATTTTAGACTCTTGTCGTAGGACTTATGCTGGCGACGTATATGTGAGAGGCTAGAAGATTATCCCTATTTTCTTGTCGTCAACAAGAGATCTATTTGCAGTGAGTTAGGATAGGAGGGATTTGCACATGCCATCTTATCGAGGCGTCGCTTTTGATTGACTTTCGATATCAGGTCGCAGCTTTAGATACCTATGTTGGCATATATTAGGGAGTCCCATTCAGGGCAATACTAGGATGAAGCACTACTATCGGATTCCCAACTAGCGTCTTCATTTAGTCTAATGATAGCTCTCGAGCCTGTTGCCAAGACAATCGTGTGCTTTTGTTTAACCAGCATCTGTCTTAGCGAGAGTATTGATCAATTCAGACCCCACGGAACTAAACAATCCGTGCACTGCAAGAAACAAGCAAATCAAATATAGTCTCGCTTCTGGTGGCGTGGGATAATGAGTGTTTGTTCCATCTAAACCCCCTTTCGGGTGGTAATAGGCGCACTACCAGGACTCGGGGCATTAATATCTATGAGAAAGACTCCAGTTTTCTTAAGCTCGAATGCCTCTTGATTTAGTTAGGTTCCGCAATATCAAGGAAACTGCTACGATGATGAGTCATATGTATGCTCATTTACATCCAAGCAATAATGTAGATTGGATGGTTGGGAAAATAGAATCCCTCGAGCTTCAGGTACGTTTGGTTTGGTTATCAAAGGTGCAGGGTCTCATATTCTAGTGAAATGACGCCGAAAGCCTTCAAGTACATGCGGTGAAACATTGCTAGGATCACTAACAAGCTGACTTTAAGATGATTGGAAAGTATCCATCACTCGATGAATCCTCAAGCAGTGCTAAGATGTGGAGATAGCATGTCAATGACGAGACTAGTGTCTCCTTCATTTCACTCTCTTCGCATATACTTCAATAGAAGACTTTCCATTTCATTATGAATCGATAGCACCAGCCCGAGCTTTCAATCAAGATTAATCCCCCGCAACACTCCTCGTTCCCTTTTCCTTGTCTGCTTGACAGAATCCTAGGATTGCTTCGACATTGCCGAGCTCCTCACTCTTCTTCATCTCGGGCGCCTAGTCATTCCCCTTGGTCTCAGTGTTTTTGGGCTCTTCCTCGGTGTCCTTGTGAGTCTTAATACTATCGTTCACGTAGTTTCTGGCCCGGTAATAACGTAGACTGGCTGCCTGGGGTGTGATACCAAAGTATCTTCCCATGGCCGAATAGTCAAGCTACAACATGGTAAGGATACTAGTGTTGAAGAACAGAACAAGTATTAAACAGGGGGTTAGCATACCTGAATACCGGACTCTTGGATACCAATAATGGCAGTCTCCAGATATCTCTCAAGCGTCCTGATGTTCTGCTTGTTTTCAGCCTGCTTGGCAGCCTTGGACCGTCCGATATTACTAGAAGACATGATAGAGGTGGACTTTTGGAACAAGAAGTTGCTTGATGCTTCAGATGTAGCTTTTATGGGAATAAAAGGATGGGTGCGAAGAGCAAGCGACGTGGAAGGGACAGTTGAGAGAGAGAAAGCAAAAGAGAAATGAAATTGGATTCGGATAAAGCTTTTATTCGTGACATCTGTTTCGAAGACAAACGTCTCGTCTCGCCGTTGCCTTGCGTGTACGTTTCGCGATGTACACGGAGTACCGCGTGTAGAGTGGACGTGTACGCGAGCCGGACTAAAACCCATCCATGTGAGTCACAATAGAGACTGAACACTATAGTAAGAATGTCAGGTCTCACTATGTAGATGGCAGGCAATACTTGAGTACTAGGAGAAAGCAATCTAGGCTGTAGCTGGTGAGGAACGGGCATGGAATCCCTGAGTGCAATCTTCGCACACATTCCCGAGACTATACTTGTTTTCATTGTCCTTTCCACTGAGTTTCTTGCAGCATTGATATCTTACAGCTGATGAGGCAAAACTTGGAGGGGAATCAGTGACGTGTATTGACTAAGAGACTGTCTCTGGTTAAACACTCTGGGTGGCATTCTAGGCCCTAAGGATGTCTCCACGACAGCGCATGGAAAAGCAGATAGATTCATCTCTAACTACTTTCCACAGGAAGTATGATAATCTACTCAGGGCCACGATATACGTGCCTGGTACCCTCAATGATCCTTCATATATCTGCAGACGAGATAACTCCATGTTGAGATACTCAATCACCACTCAAGGTAACTCTCCCACTATATATCCCCTCGGCTGGGCTTTGCAAGATTGATTGGTACTCATAGCATCCTATCGTGAGTACAGTTAGCCTTGGAAAAGAACATGAATTTGTCAAATTTGCAGGGATCAAGACACAAGCGATATACAGAGGCTAGTCAATACCATTCTATCATTAACATGGGAGTAATATAACTTCATACATATAGAATTATCAGGGAAATGGCTCTCAAACTGATGGATGTACTTGTTAATCTCTTTACGGCTTCTCTCATTCAGAGTGTGTGGGCTTGTAAAAGGTGACTAGCTTGCTATGCTCTAGAGTATTAGGAAACCAGGCTCGACAGACAGCCATGATGGGATTACCCATACAGTAGATTCCGAAAACGGATTCCCCTGTGGACACCAACGCATTGTTTCTCGGCCCGTACCCGAAACCACACTAATCCTCATTCGGCTACAACGTAAATAATCATGTCCTAAAAATCTATCAGTTTTTTGTCTTAGAACCATGTCATTACGTATGATACTGTATATTACATAAAACCCACATACAGCGCTATCTTGGTGCTCCCATATGCCTGACATTCCATCCTTCTGCAGCGCCATGATTTGATTAGAACCATCTGCACAATATGGCACCGAAATTACCTATCTCAAAGTTATACTTCATCCGTGATATGATACAGTAATATTCGAAATCAGTCATACCTCGCACTATTTCAAATTGATTGCCGGAAAGTATTCCAGATAGACGCTAAGCCCTCTTGGAGCACCGCTCTTCACTGCTGGCAAAACTGTATCAGTATTTGTCTGGCTGAGTCATCGCCTTAGCATGTAAGTTACAGGCACTATTTGGGCAAGCGGTCTGAGAGCCCCGGGTAAATGGTAGTAATCAATCAGAATTCGAAGCTCTCGGAATTAGCTCCCGACAACCAAGTCACATGAGTATGGAGGTATAAATGATTTCGAAATCTACTGTAATGCGTCATGAGTTCCTGGTTGGAAAAGGCCACTAACCGGCCCCTAAAATTTTATACCAAAATTACGGACCCTCGCAAGCGAGGGTCCGCCACCCAAACCGTACATCCCACCCAAACCGTACATTCTTTCCATATCCTACCCTCTCACTTTGATCATAAACCATACCACCAAAAATGCCTAAAAACAATAAGGAGATAGAGGATCAGCTTCTCAAAGCTCTCGAGTCTCTCTCTAAGCAGTCCAAACCTAATATCGCGAAAACTACGCGAGAATTCGCGGTTCCTATAAACCGACTACGACACCGCTAGAAAGGAGGAAAGTCGCTTTTTTAACGATAACCTAATGGTCGGAAGCTTAATCCTATATAGGAGTAAGCTTTACGGGACTATATCGACTACTTTAATACGGTCGGAGCCTCGATAAACCGCCGTTAAATTGCTATAGTAGCTAATTTAATTCTCGAAGAAGACTATTATAATAAAACTATAGCACCTCTAACAATTAGTAACTACTAGCTATAACGCTTCTTTAAACGCAATCCTAAGTACTATATACGACGACGGCGAGCTCTTAATATTAAGCGAGCTACTACACTTAACAAAACTATAGTTAAGAGATAGTTTAATAATTATTAGCGCGTTATATCTAAATATAGTATATACTAATAAGATATCTATAATTTCGACGAAACTAGCTTTTAAATTAGTGTCGGACGTAATTAATTTATTATTACTAGGTATCTAAAAAAGAAGCTATTTAATAGATCTATCACTAATCGTGAATCTATTACTATTTTAGAGGTAGTTTCTACTAATAGTTTTACCTATCTACTACTTATAATTCTAAGTGCTCGGTAGGCTTTACTACGCTAGTTTAATACTATTAAAGGTAATAAGTATATTTCTATAACTAATACCGGATATATTAATAATACTCTAGTATATTAGTGGATCTAACTCTTCTATAAATAGATAATTAGTTAAATAATTAAAAGGAAAAGACTCGTTTTATATAACTATTTTAGGTTATATTTAATACGCTAATTTATTAAATTTTATAAGAAGAATAATATTATTTTATTCTTCTTACTCTTATATACTAGTTATATACTATAGCCTCTTAATATTAGGGTATTTAGTATATATAAATATTAATATAGTGAGGCTATAGAAGCTACTATAATAACTAGATACCGTAAATTCTTAAAGGACGAGTTTTTATACTTAATTAGAGAAATTAGACGAAAAACCTTTTAGCCGAATATAATTAAGCTTAGGTTTAAATTAACTAGCCTTTAGCCTATTAATTCTAAGCTTATTACGGATATTATAACCCAACGTACGGAGTACGAATACAGTGCGCATATCTTATAGCATATATCGGGTATTTAGGTTAGTAACCTGACATGACGACTAGTTGGTCGTCATAGTGGCTCTTTTGGTAAACGCTCTACCTTACCATTACTTCCTACGTTTTGTATAGTGGTGTTAGGCCCACTTACCTTAATAATATAACGACCAACTTCGGAGACCCTAGGTTCGAGACATGTAGATATCGAATTCGAATCTACGGTCTTTGCAAGGAATATCATAGAGAGATCCAGATATACACTTAGGGGTCTATAACTTAAAATACACACACCGATATCTTATCAGCACGGTAATCATACCGTTCAAGCTACCTATAGATATTCTATACTTTCCTTATACCTCGGGGTCAAGGCATCAGAAAGAGGGGAGATAATGTTACAACCCAACGTACGGAGTACGAATACGGTACGCATATCTTATAGCATATATCGGGTATTTAGGTTAGTAACCTAACATAACGACTAGTTGGTCGTCATAGTGGCTCTTTTGGTAAACGCTCTACCTTACCATTACTTCCTACGTTTTGCACAGTGGTGTCAGGCCCACTTACCTTAACAACGGATAAGTTAGAGTCTTATAATCTATATAATTATAATCTCCCTTAGTCGAGAACACCCTTAACTACCTCCTAAAACTCCGAGTTTAGCACTCTAAAAACTACTAGTAAAGTAAGAAGGATAAGCGACTAGCTTAACTAATCAGATCCGGGGAGTTAGAGGTTCAAAAGGGCACTAGAAAAGCTTTAAAAGTGTACTAAAGTATAAGCTACACTAGCTCACGAACTACGGCGGGAATTCGACTTAATAAGTGCTATTATAGGTGCTCGCTACGCCCGATATAATACTTCTCGGCGCTATACCTAGATAACTAGCATCATTAACTTATCCTAAGTCAAAGAGATAAAGCGAAAAGAGTTCAAATTAACTAAGAAAGCTGATTAAGATAAAACGAGGCGGAAGTAGAAGAAGGTGTTAATCGAAATCAGGAAGTATAGGCGAGCACAAAAACGTAAGGGAAATTGATATAATCTTATATACTAATAGTCAAATGGTGAATTGATTTATCTATGATTTTTAAACTATTAATTTCCTATATTATTGTATAGAAAATGGTAGTTAAGGTAAAATGTAGGAAGAATGTACGGTTTGGGTGGGATGTACGGTTTAGGTGGCGGACCCTCGCTTGCGAGGGTCCGTAATTTTGGTATAAAATTTTAGGGGCCGGTTAGTAAGGTTGACGGACATCTCGAGCCAAATCAAGTACGCCAAGAAGCTACTCACCCAACCCCGCACCTAGGCCTCGGCTCGCTTCGTAAAGGATGAACAGAGCTTCCAATCAACCTGACCTCTTCCCATTATCAACTCTTCAAAAAATCTTTATAGAATTCTTGGTTTAAAGTTTTGAATATGACGACAACAGTCCGCGAATTGCTACACACACATCACAATGTACCCCGTGTCACTGATGTACGAGGCCAGACTTCTATCAAGCCGCTATCGTCACCTGACGCAATCCCTTGCTTTCTTTGATCCTCCAGCCTTTCTCCTCGCAATTAACCACGCTACATCCACAATGGAGAAACTGTTGCCTAGCATGGAACCTTCAAATGTGAGTCAAGTTACCGGCTGTTCATTAGAAGAGACTACTAAGCTTTCATACCTCCAGAACATCCAGCTGAAGGATATCAAAATCGTCCCAAAATCGGCTCAGCCACTGGGATCATCATCTGATCCCACTGTCTATCGTCTAGAGCTTGAACATAATACAAACCCTGTCCTTCCCAAATCGGTCATCGTCAAACTAGAAAAGAAAGAAGGGTTTCGGGCATTTCAAAAGGAGATTGACACCTACAACAATTTGCAGTCGCTTCAAGGAACCGTGATTCCAAAGGTTCTTGGCGAAGGGTTTTTCTGTGGTCGCCGTGCACTTTTTCTCTCTGATGTGGACGGGAGAACTCTATACGAAGCTGCTCAGGCCGACATTGATGAGAAGAAAATTGAAACTTATCTCGAGGACGCATTATATGCTCTGTGGGAATGCAAAGCAGAGTATAATGATGAGAACCCGAACAATTTTTTAGTTTGCCATGATCATATCGTCATTCTCGATCTGGAAGATGTGGAGTTCCTCGTTGAAGATCCATGCTGGGAACGCAGCGTCAATTCTGGCAACGTGGAGTACCTGTTGAGCAGATACAAATACATGAGGAATCCAGGTCGTCCTCGGTCACCAATGGATTTTTCAAGAATCCATTTGAACCGCACTAGTGCATCGAGCATGACCCTTGCTTGATGGAATTGTTGATCTTTCGTTGAGAGGGAAGGGTGAGGTAGATTCAACCTGATGATTGGCAAAATCACACATCAACTAGCATGGGGATGAATCGAAGATATTAGCCTTCGTTGTACTAAATGCGAAATTTTAATCTCTGTCGTGTTTCTAGTAAAATAGTTTTCGAAATCAGCGATACGGCCACCTTCTTTCTTAGTCTTTGATTCGGGGAAATTAATTTCTGATGACGCTAATGTGTTTAGCTCACCGCCTTAGCTCCAGCAGTACGTTATCGAAATGATTGTTTTGGCATGAGTGAGTCATTATCATAGTACAGTAAACTTACCTGGAACCATCCAGAATTGTTCTGTAGATCTGGCGATCTGGCAAGATCGCCTGCTAGCCCTCTTCTCCCGTTACAGTAGTATTCGAATCACTTTATATCTCAACACTCTTACGGCTTGATTCCCGGAAAATAAGTCCGTAAGGTGCTAATATTTTTCTGGATCCCCGCCTTCAATTTTCGGCAGAACTGTTCTGGTAATGGCACCGTTAAAGTGTTGTCATAGTACATGAAACCATCCTTATTGGCTTGAACCATGCTCCTGCTCGTTCAATATGGCAACGATTTCTTTTCTCCCCGAACTCCCTAAATTCCTGTAAGTCAGCAGCTGCATATCGCTTGCATCCCCAGGTTTGTCTGTGCAATTGAATTTTAACTACATACTCCCATATGACGACGGGGTTTTCATACCGTGCTACTCGGGCTCTTTCCACAGTTTATTATGTCATAGAGTACGTAATCATCTCAATCGTTGAAGTTTCACCTTCGACCGTCTACTGAATTGATTGGTATATCAACTCGAGCTGACATGTATGGGAACCAGATAATTAGAGCCTTGATTCCATAATGTAGCACGTAAGATGTCATGTGGCTTCAAACTACTCCTAGAAGAGCGTCTACTGTTTGAAAAGGGAAGGGCATATGAAACTGTTGCGAAGACACGTGACCTCCTAGCACTTTAGTCTAGTCTAGCTAGCTTTCCTTCTTCTTCCTTTTCTCTCTCCACGCACAATACAAGATTTTCCAGTCCACTCCTTCTTATGAGTAGTCGTACAGGATCGTCTCTATCAGAAACAGCAACATTTCCAAAAGACTCTCGGCCCAACTCCGATTCCCTTTATTAAATGGACAATCTTTGAGCTAAAGTTTGTATGATACTCTCTGTCAATATTGCAACTAGTAATAATCTTAGATTTAGGCAATGACAACCTTTACGTGTGCAGAACATGGTAACGATTTCAGAGACCGGCGTGCTGTGATCGAGCACATCCGAGGTTTCCATGTTAGCTTCATCAGGAGGCCTGGCCGTCCAGGAGAGTTTGACACCTATGGACATATGTGGTATTGCTTTGATTGTGAATCTCGGAACTTCAACGATCACCGTAGTTACAATTCCGACAACGCAATGTGGGGACACCTTATATAGGCACACAATTATATTTTTGATAGCATCATGTGGTAAAGTCCATTCTTAACCCGCGTGAGGTATAGTTAGACTTCCGCACGCACCGGAATTAGGTCGAATATCCCGACCCGGCACCGGACCCAGGTTAGGTCCGGTGCCAAACCCCCGACCCGGGCCCACACCGGACCTAACGTTGGGTTCACCGGATAACCTAATAAAAACCCAATTAGACCTAACTTTTACATAATTCTCTATATAAAGTGCCTTACTTATCTAAATTGACTACTATAATTTTTCCTTATTTTAGTCATATTAAGAAAGACTTTGATATTTAGTAGTATAGTAAGTCAAACTTAATAAAATATCCTTATTTATTAGTATTTAAGGTCTAGTAATATATTAATTACTTAATAGAATATAAAATTTCTTATAAAATAATACTATAATTAGTAGGGTTAGAAAACTTATATATTTAAGTAGTAGAAATATATATTTATAATATATAGTTCTAGTGTAGTCTTTCTAATACTAAAGAAATAATTAGAATAATAGTAAATTAGTCTAATTTTATAAATCTTCTTTATTAGAGAGTAATTTCTAGTGAAAATAAATATTATTAGTGCCTAGATATTATTATATTTACTTAATAATCCCTTAATTCTAAAGTATTTAGTTAAGACTAAGTATTTAGGGTAAAAAATTCTTAAGTGATTTTCTAAATTAATATAGGAATTAGGTTTTTATTAGGTTTTCTAGATTTTTACTAGATTTTTACTAGATTTTTACTAGATTTTTACTAGATTTTTACTAGATTTTTACTAGATTTTTACTAGATTTTTACTAGATTTTTACTAGATTTTTACTAGATTTTTACTAGATTTTTACTAGATTTTTACTAGATTTTTACTAGATTTTTACTAGATTTTTACTAGATTTTTACTAGATTTTTACTAGATTTTTACTAGATTTTTACTAGATTTTTACTAGATTTTTACTAGATTTTTACTAGATTTTTACTAGATTTTTACTAGATTTTTACTAGATTTTTACTAGATTTTTACTAGATTTTTACTAGATTTTTACTAGATTTTTACTAGATTTTTACTAGATTTTTACTAGATTTTTACTAGATTTTTACTAGATTTTTATTAGATTTTTATTAGGTTTTTATTAGGTTTTATATAAGGGCCTACTTACTTTATACTCTATAAGCCTATAAGCTAATTAATATAAAGCTAATATCTTAGTCTATTTAATCTATTACTTTTAATCTCTACTTACTATTCTTAATTATAAGTTATAATATCTCTCTTTTACTTCCTTTACTATACTCGTATCTATATTTTAAAGCTAGTAATCTAATTTTATATTATCCTTTTATAGGGGAGAGGCTAATAATATCTTATATCTATTAGTTTAACTACTTACTCCCTCCTTAAGCTATTCTATAATTAACGAAAGCTTTAGATATCTAATTAAACTACCTCCGATTCTACTTTCCCTCTAGCGTATTAGTCTAGATTAAAAGAAGGTATTTATCCTCTATAACTAAATAATATATACTAAATAGGTAGATTAGTAGCTATAAACTAACTTTAGTTAGAAAAGTAAGTTTAAATAGGACTTAGCTTATAATATAGAGATTTAGTAAAACTGCTATTAGGTTATATATAGTATAAATAGTATACTAAAGATTATATATAAACGCTATAGAAAAGTATTAGAGTATCTTTATTTAACTATACTAGATTATAATATAACTAAAATATATTATTATAGTATATCTACGATATAAAAGTACCTTAAGACTACTATATATATACGTTTCGGAGATAGGAAGAAATCTAAGATTATAAAGTTCCTTTAAAAAGGGATATATCTAGTATTATATATAAAGTTTAATAGTACTAATAGGTTCTAATTCTTTTACTATCTAAGGGGATCCTTTAATATAGAATAGACTTTTTCTATTAGAACTAGTATACTAGCGGGTCCTAGTAGGTAATATAGAACTAGAGTAAAGGAATAGTAGGGTATTAGTATATTTATAAACTAATCGCTAAAGAGCTAAGTTCCCCTAGTAGTCTCTATAGGGATAACCTTTAGCGGGTTATAGGACTAGGTCACCTAACCTAGTAGGACTTAGTCTTTATAATACGCTCTTTAGCGGGGGGTTATACTACCCCTATTAGATTATAGGTCCTAGGTTATAGGACTAGGCGGGATCTAGCCTATAAGGTACTCTCTTAGTAGAGGGTCGTAATATTTTCCCCCTTCTTAGAGAGCTACGATGTTATGGCAAGTGGGCCTAATACCACTATGCAAAACGTAGGAAGTAATGGTAAGGTAGAGCGTTTACTAAAAGAGCCACTATAACGACTAACTAGTCGTTATGTTAGGTTACTAACCTAAATACCCGATATATGCTATAAGATATACGTACTATATTCATACTCCGTATGTTAGGTTGTAACATTATCTCCCCTCTTTCTAATGCCTTAACCCCGAGGCATAGAATATCTATAGGTAGCTTAAACGGTATAGATACCGTGCTAGTAAGATATCGGTATATGTATTTTAAGTTATAGACCCCTAAGTGTATATCTAGATCTCTCTATAATATTCCTTATAAAGACCGTAGATTCGAATTCGACATCTACATGTCTCGAACCTAGGGTCTCCGAAGTTAGTCGTTATATTGTTATGGCAAGTGGGCCTAACACCACTATGCAAAACGTAGGAAGTAATAGTAAGGTAGAGCGTTTACCAAAAGAGCCACTATGACGACTAACTAGTCGTTATGTCAGGTTACCAACCTAAATACCCGATATATGCTATAAGATATGCGTACCATATTCATACTCCGTATATTAGGTTGTAACATACGACCTCGTAGCTAAGGGTCGGGGGTTAAGGATCTTTTATAGTCGACGTAGGGAGGGTTCGAAAATAGTATATATATCTAGTTATCTAAAAGGGAGTAATTTATCTTTATAGTAGAAGGTATAGATAGACTCGGAGCTTTAAGCGTTATCTCTCTTCGTTACGTATAGTATAAGTTCTTTATATATTTTTTACTTATCTCTCTTCGAGTTATAGCTTTCTTTTTCCTATACTTCTTTATCCTTTCGCTTTTTCTTCTTATAGCTTTTCGTTATTTCGCTTTTCTTACTATAAGTCCTCCCGAGTTATTATAGTAGCTCCCTTTCCTCTAGTCGCGAGTATAACGTATACCTCTATTAATAATTATACCCCTCCGGCCGTCGTCTCTCTTACTAATCCTATAAGTATATAGTATTAGTATTATATAAACTATCTTAGATATAACTCGGTATATATATATATCCCTCTCTCTAGCGGGATTAACGTTAATACTCCTTAGTATAACTATTATATAAAGAAGCGGTAGTCTTATATAATAGTAAGTATAGATCTCTATTTATATTAGTAGTTATTAATATTCTTTAGGTCGATTCTAGGCTTAACGCTTAAGCTAATACTTATATTCTAGCGCTCTATACTATCTCTATATAGAATATATTATTCCTTATA